TAAAGTGACGTCACGAACATATGATAGCCACTATAGTCTATTCATTTACAGCTGATCTAAGATAATGAATCATGGAGATAATTAATCGATCAATCGAAATCGATCCTTCAGAATGTATCACTAAGTAATAATAGAGTTTCCTCAGTGATGCATTTCATAATGTCGACATAAAAAGTATTCAAAATTTCTCTGCATCGTAGATTTTTCGTGAAGATCCGATTCGAGCTTCGCACCGCATTTCGTATTCGAGTGAAACTTGAATGCCATCTAGTTATTATTAATTACATAAAAAATTGATGCTGAACATCCTCCAAGCTATACGGATTGGCAAAAACGCATTAGTTGCCCTAGCAGTTACATTAATGTAATAAAATATCCTGAGTATTTTTATCCGTTAGGTCACGTTGACTTTTAAAAATATCATATAGACTGTAGTGACATGTCTAGAGCACATACTATCATTTCCGCTCCAAGATGCTAAAAATATAGTCTAATATATATGTATACTTCAAAATGCTGAAAATGTACAATTAACGATAGTCACACATTTCATAATTTCATGTATATTTCTTTGTTCGTCACAATTTCTGGTGTCGTATTATTAGAATCTTATGAATAGGTCTCCAATTAGCAAAACTTCAAAAACAAAATTCCGGCCTATACTAACTTTGGTAAGCTTACACTATGCTAGAGCTGCTTTATTATTGTCTATCATTTTGTTAAAGCAAAAAGAAAACAGGAACCGTATTAGTACAATCTGTAAAATAGATGGATTTAATGAACTATTATTAAATTAAGATATTTCTTTTTATAGAGAAAGTCAAAGAAACATTTATTTGCATTTGTTTCAAGTTCTTCATTTCATAAAAGAACCTTTTCTATATCAACAAAATAAAATCCCAACTAGGATTACAATAAAAAATAAAACCCACAGGTTACATATAAAATTAAAATACGCAATAAGTTGTAACGATTGGAGTTTGTTTGTTTGTGTGTTTGTTTTTAATTTATGCTAGTGTTGCCGTTTCCATCCAAATAAATTATACGATTAACGAATGAGTATTACGATATTTGATCAATCTTACACGTCACTAAATATGATAACAAGAAAAAAAATTTAAGAGTAAAAGAAAAACAAAACTATCCAGTTGCATTTAATAGTGACTAGATTAAAAGAAATCTTTCATATTGTTTTTATATTACGCATTTTTTAATGCGTGGATTTGTTCACCTGACTGGCAAAGAGCGTTTATTGAACTGTTGTCAATTAATTGAGATTGACTTTGGCTATCACTACGAGAATGAGTATTGCTATTAGATAAATCTTTAGTTGACGAATTAGCTGCGCAGTTATCATCATGTTGCACTAATGTAACATAACAATTCTTCGATAATAATGCTGATTTCTGTTCGTTAACATCAGATTCAAGAGATGAAATATTATTATTCGCGTCTTTGATTTCATTTGAGACAACCTTTTGTAAAGATGGACGTAAACGTTTGATAACAATTAAAATTGCGACTAAAGTTAATAAGGTTAAGACCAGCATCGCTGTCATCATTATATGAAGGCGATTGAGTAATAAGGATGCAAATAACGGGCCAACTATAGACATGAAAGAAAAAAATCAAACATAAATGCTTCTAAATTTTTGCTTTCAATAAGTATACATCTGTCTTACCAATAGTTCCAGTTCCCATAGTAAATCGTTGTAAACCTTGTGAAAATCCTTGTAATTCTTTGATTGTTAACTTAGTAAAAAGGGATACACTAGTAGCTGCGATAAATGGTAGTGCAAGTAAATCGAGAACAACAAAGACAATAAACAATGCCAGTAAACGCTTATCCACAGCATTGGCACTCGACGGAGTAAACCAACCAAACGAATTTGATGCTATAGTAAAGAATGTTCCAAGCATGCAAGCTAATGTTAACGATAGAAAACCAAATATAAGTAATACTCGATCTTCAACACGTTTTGAAAATATTTTTACAAGCGATATATAAACAATGATGATTTCTAGACCAGCAAATGCAAATAGAATTGATGTATGTACAGTTGTCCAATAGAAGTTTTTTTCTGTGAACGCTGCTACTATTGTTTCTAATGCTGTTTGATTAAAATAAGTTATAAATGTTGCAAGAAATAAAACAAACATTTCAATACGTATATATTGATTACAATAGAGTTTAAATGATACACATTGACCTTCTCGTTGTATTGCATGATCTGATTTCGCATATTTCTCTGTAAAAGAATCATCTGTCACATTTTTGTTACATGATGATATGTCTGTTTTTGTTGTTGTTACTGGCGATCGATCATGATAGCAAAGCCAACAAACTACTACGAGAATTAACCAAATTGTAGCCATTAAAAATCCAGGACCATTTAAATTATGAACATGAACAGAACCTAATAATAGGAAAAGAAAATTGAATATTTTAATTCAAAATACATCTATCGAATCTAACCGATTCTAAAATTCATCAAGCGAACAAGAAGTGTAAAACATGGACCAATTAATAAGCCTAGAAAAAGAAAGAAAATATTTTTATGAAACTAAACATCATTTCAACGGGCTTCTATAGAAAAAAAAACTAATTATTAGTAAAAAAAAAAGACAACGAGAAAATTAAGTATTTTACCAAGTTGTCGACATCCAAGAATAACTGAAATCGCTTTGGTTCGTTCACCTTCGGTTGTACGATGAGCAACATCAGCAAGAATCTAATTTAGGTTTATTTATTGTTCAGGATATTACAGACATTATTAAACAACTTACAGGTGGTACGGCACCCATTCCTACACCAGCAATTAATCGTCCCAAGAGAACTATATGAATATTATTAGCAACGAAATAGAGTATATTTCCACTGATTTCAAATACAGCTGATATCAATATAAGAAATTTAACTTTTCCAGTCATATCGGAGATTTTCCCCATAATAATTCCAGTGATAGAACCCGATATACTATAAGACGAAAGTATTAGGCCAACATATATATTTGCATTTGTCAGTTTTCTGACATAATCATATACTGTTGGAAGAATAACAGCATATTCGACACCGGTCATAAAAGCAAATAGACATATTGTACCAAACGTTAACATAACATGTCTATAGCCAGGTGTCCAACGAAAGAAATTAGTTGAATGACTTATGGATGCTTCAGCGTCTGTTTCGGCGGTAGTTTCGGCGGCATGATCAATATGTACAGTTGTCTTTTTTAAATGCATCGTTGATAACGAATCAAATGAGTTATTAATCTTTGATAAGGATTTTGTTTGTTCATTATCTGTAAGTGTATGTACAGATGATGACGGTAATAATACACCTGGCGCACTACTAGTCAATGACAACCGATGATGAGAATCGATTAAAGATCCGTGCATTGTTTGTCAATATTAAAGTCTAGGTCATACAAAGATATGCTTTTTGTTTCTCTTATAGACAAATGTGTGGAAAAACACATAATAATATGGAGAATTATTAGCTCTATTAATATTTTAATCTTACTTGCTGTTGAACGTCATTACATATATATAATATAACGTGAAGTATTTGATGAGAATCTATATATATATATGTCATGTTACAAATAGTTGAAGAAATCGGAACGAGAGACAAAAACAAATAAGCAAGTGCGCGTGCAAAATTCATTGAAGAAATGCTCTATAGCTAACGTTGTAGCTAGCACATCAGTAAGAACAGTATTTTTTTTTCTTCTTCTCGTATTTTTCCGTTTCGCTCGCTCGATGCATCGACTATGCTTAACAAACTGAAGAAAGTGTAGTAGAGATGATGACGAAAGAGAATTGTGAAAGGAGCACGGCAGATTTGTCTTGTGAAATTTTCTTTCTTTTTTTTTCTTTGGCTCCTCTTTCTATGCTACCATTTGACTTTTTTTTTCAACTTTTTACTATAAGGCTTTGATCAAAAGTAAAAGTCAATATTATGCTTGACAGTTATCCGCATATCAAAACTAATTTATTTCTTTAGAATAAAAAGTCTTAAAAAGAAAACAAATGATTCGATTTTAAAAATAAAGCAAATCAATATTTGTTATCACAGAAAAAAAAAACTTCGATATCGAATCGGTTATTATGCAAAGAAATTGTAATATGAAACAAGCATCTCTTTTATTCTATTCCACCGATTACAAAGATAAATCATGAACGTGACCATCATAAAGAAAACATAGGTATACTAATTCCTTTTTATTGATCCTTCACAATTTATTAAACTTAGAAAATTTTCTTTTTCATATGATCCTTTGAATAAGAACTAGAGAATGCAAGAAAAACCTCACTAACCAAGTAATTATATTCACCATTGTATTGATTCTTGAAGAATATTGTAAGCTCTATAGAAAAAAAGAATCCTTTACAGTAAATATAATAAACCAATCTATCAACTTGTCTTTTTCGTTTGTCTCACCTCATTGCATTGAATTTTCAATGCTACTTATAGTACGAATAGCTATCACCAACTGATAGAAAAAGAAGAAAACAAAATGTGAATAAAAGCTGATCTCCTTCGTTCCCTTTTTTTGTTGACGTCGGCGTTGTTCTTTCTTATAAGTTTGTAGTGTGCACACACATAATGTTCGTGTGTCGCTTAACATAATTATACGGAAAAAGAAGTTCAACCGTTCTCATCCGCTCGATGGAGAAAGAAAAAAAATGTCATCATTTAAAAAAGAGTAGAACAGGAAAGACAAATGTATGTCAAGTGTCAGGTACGATCCATACGAAAACCTCCAAAAAAAAAGGAAGATGCCATGCTTGTAAAGAAAAAGATGAACCTTCATCGTTCTTTAATGTCAAGGTATTATTGGAAACGAATTGATTTGTTTTTATTCTTATACAACGTTTAAAATAATAACAACAACAGCAATAGTGAAACAAAACAAAAAAACAAATTTGAACAAGACAAACATAGATGATCTTTTATTTTTTGTAACTCATCTAGTTGCTATAAAAGACAAAAACAAATTTACTTGAAACAAACAAAAAATGCTGGAACAAAACCTATGAGAAATAAATTCGACTATACATTATAATGAGAAATAAAAAGAAAACTGACAATAACAATAGAATGATTTACTTTTGTAGAAAATAATTATTATCAATTTTGTGTTGTTGTTCTTTCGTCAGAAAAACTTAACTAATTACCGATTCCATGTCATATTAGATGTCTTTCGGTCAGAGAAAAATGAGCGAAGTAATAAAACTGTACCAATAGCTACAAATATAATTAACATAAATTGTCCTAATGACCAATCTTGTACACGTTGATTTAAGTCTTCAGCACGTGCACGACCTGTGGCTTCACGAAGACGATGATGCGTTTGATAATCAATAGATTTTTCAAGATTTTCATGGATTCTTTCTACGTTTCTTTCAATCTAGAATAAATATTTTGTTTTTGTCAATGAAGATATTTCATAGAAACTCATACCATTGTTAATGCACTTTCAGCAACTCGTGGTCCTGGTTGTGTAATTTCATGTTCAGGATCTCCATCAACTTTCCAATCTGTTTAAAAATAGGAAAATCATGAAATTGTTTATTAATTCTTAGTTTTTGTTTTCGTATGCAAACCTATGTAAATAGTTTTATGAGTAAATGTTGAAAATTCATTACTAAAACAAAATTGATAAACGCCCGCTTCTTCAGCTGTTTTTTCAATTTGATCATATTGCCTTTTTGTTTCTCTATATAAAATTTTACCGGTTGGACTTTTCAGTTCTAAATCTACATCATAATTACCGCCTGTTATAACCTACAAAGTCATGAATATTCATATCATTTTAAAAACAACTTCAATAATAAATATTTGTGAACAAACTTGAAATTCTAATGTAAAATGTGAACCAATTTTGAGATTGTCATGAAAACATTCTTTAGCATTATCAGGCAATTCAAATGTTAATTCATTTGCATATATCTTTTTCAGCAGTAAAATTACAGAAACTAATAAAATATTAAATTCCCAAGGTAACATTATTGAAAATATTAAAGATTTATTTGATATATATGGTTGAATGATTGTACAATATGAGTATCGATTAGAAATTAACCAATAGAAATTGAGACCACATCATCATCGTAAATTATTGAAATTTGTTTATAATATTTGATGAGCTTTTATTTTAGGTTTTCTTTGGTAAATTTTTGTAAAATAAATATTTAAAGATATGATCGGATTTTGTTTGTTGGTTGATTGTCGCCACATATGTTTTCCTAGGCAACGACAGAATGATTTATGTAATGGAATAATTTTTGACAATTCATTATGAATTAACATAAATTAATCATTGATTGGAAATAATAGAAAAAGTGATCATGCGAGATATTGATCCATTATTCCAAGCGATGAGTTATTATCGTCGTCGAAAATTTGAACAATGTGTTGAAATAACAAGTACTCTATTAGAAAAAAATCCAAATGATCAAGTAAGAATTTGATTCCATGAAAAAATTCGATAATCTTGCTTGTTATCTTGAACATAAATATAAATTTGAATTCTAGGTTGCATGGCTACTCAAAATGCGTGCTTTAACTGAACAACTTTATGTTGATGAAACGGAAGTAGCCGATGATGGTCTTGCTGATATGTTAGATGATAATGCTTTTCATCAAACACCAATGCCAGGTACATCTATGCGGCAACCAACAGCGAATACTAATGCTGGCATGTCAGGGCCCAGTCCAGCAATGAGACCAACAACGATGGCAGGTCGGCCAATAACTGGTATGCTTCGATTAAATACTCAATCAACACAAGGTGGTAAAAGTATGGAAAATGCATTAAAAACTGCTCGTACAGCTGCTACAGCAAGACCTGTGACAACAGCAACCGGTCGTTTTGTACGAATTGGAACTGTAAGTTATTATTAAAAAGATTTTATCACGTGAATCAACGATTTCAATAATAAATGAAAATATTCAAATGACTTTCTTAGGCATCCATGTTGAGTACTCCAGATGGTCCATTTCTGCAAGTGGGTCGACTTAATTTACCTAAATATGCACAAAATCAAGCGATCTCACGATCACTATTTGAACATTTATTTTATCATGCCAATGATGTTCGAGCGGTAGGTGAATCAAGAAAAGTTGCTTGCTTTCGCTATGTTGTTTTTTCTTCTTCTTCTTCCATATAAAGGCTCTTCAATTAGCGACACATGCTAATGAAGTATATCAAAATAAAGATTGGTGGTGGTTGGCACAACTTGGTAAATGCTACCATCGGTATATTAATATCAATACATATATTTAGTTTTATATCTAAATATTTAATTTTCAGTTTAGATATGATTCGTGATAGTGAAAAACAATATGTGATTTCATTAGAAATACAACCTATGGTTGATACATATTTATATTTATCTAGAATCTATCTTCGTCTTGATCAACCATTATTATCAATAACTAAACTTCAAGAAGGATTAGAAAAATTTCCTTTTGAACCATGTTTAATTCAAGCAATTGCACGCATCCATGAAGTTTGTTAACGATGTTTCTAGAGAAATTTCTTTCTACAAATATTTTGTTTTCATTCATTTCTCATAGGGACTTAATGATATGACACAAAGTATTGAGTATTATCGACAAGTACTTAAATTAGATAATACAAATATTGAAGCTATAGCATGCATAGCTGCTAATCATTTCTATAATGAACAACCTGAAATATCATTAAAATTCTATCGTCGTCTTTTACAAATGGGTGTAGCAACATCAGCAATATTTACAAATATAGCATTATGCTGTTTTCATGCTCAACAATATGATATGATTGTTGCTTGTTTTCTAAAAGCATTAGGGTGTGCTACGTCCGATGATGAACGTGCTGAAATTTGGTATAATATCGGTGAAATGGCATTAGTATGAGATTGATTTGATTGTGTTTGTTTTTTATTTCGTTATTTTTATTTTTTTATAGTACACAACAGATATTAATCTTGCTATACAATGTTTTCGTTTGGCACTTGTTCACAATAATGATCATGCTGAAGCCTATAATAATTTAGGTTTAGTCGAATTACAAAGAGATAATAATGAAATAGTAATAGAGAAGATTCTTCTTATAAAATAAATTTGAAATTATCGTTTTTCTTTCTAGGGTCAAATCTATTTACAAACAGCTCAAAGTCTTGCGCCACATATGTTTGAACCTTATTATAATTATGGTAAATCGATGTATGAGGTAGGAGACGATAATTATTTTTATATGAAAATAATAGATTTGTTCTTTTTCTTTATTAGCAAGGTGACTTACAAAGTAGTTTTCGTGCTATTAAAAGTTCACTTGATATTTATAAAAATCATGCCGATTCAAAACATATCTACGAGGAGCTGAGAAAAATGTTTTCAGAATTATAATGTTGCTGTCTTTTTTCAACGAATTTTCAATTGATTTTTATTATTTATGAATATAGAAAAAACAAACTGTTTTTTAAACTATTTTGCTACTGTTTAATAAATCATAATGAATGTTTAGTGATTATTTCAATCATTATAATAATATATTATCATGCAAAAAACCAAGTGTAGAATGATTAAAGATATAAATTATTCAAACTTCTTTATTGGGTACACTAGTTGTCCAATAGTCTACGAGATATGTGTTCGTTTTGCATCCTATTTCTATTTCGATGATCATCGAGCATCCAGAAGTTTTCACACAAAATACGTTAAATTGTGATAACTCGATTTAACTCTATCGTTTTATTTTTAAGTTGTTTATAATGTCGTAAAACAAATAAATAAAAGATATCTATTTTTGCTTGACATTTCCTGAATAGCTATCTCATTAATCGCCATGCGTACACATTTTTTGGTACAAAAGCTTTCCAAAAAGAATAGTTCTCAAAAGACTGTTAGAGTGTACGATCCGTTCCCAAGTATAAGAAATATATAATCAGAACATTCTAATCGTAACCTAAATCAATTCGTCTATTTATCTAGTAATAGGAGTCCGTGCATTGTATGCAAAGAACATTGACTCTATTCAGCTAACATTAACACTTTCTTTACGACAGCAAGCTGAAAGAGAATCTACGCATAGTATGTACTGAGGTATTTGACCTATGGGATATTTATGGCCTATTTTATTTGAGCATACTAGAAAACTGCAAGACTATTACATTTATGATACGATCGTTGTTATTGATGATTAAAATTTTTAAATTAGAAAAAATTTCCATGATCAGAAAATATTTGTCTTGTATTACATATTAAATTGGCGATATATGATTAGCAAAAAACGAAGGTCAATGCATGCTCGTCGAAGACAATTTCATATGCTGAATAATTCAACTGTAACAAAATTACATCAAGCGTCTTAAATATCTCGATCATGACTGCAATCAAAAGAAAGCATTCTGGCACGTGATTTCTCAAGCAATACCTCATCATTTGAGTAGATTTTTATTCCTTTCTTTCTTCCTTTCGGCTGGATTGAATGCAGATTCGCTAGTTATATAAGGAGAAATAAATTATATATGATCAAATTAATCTGCTAGGCAAGTCCAATATACTATTATTTTTGAATATAGAGGATATCGAATATTGTACAATAATTTTTGGATCAGTAAAATATTATTAGTTTTTTTTCCTATGTAAGCTGTCGAGTTCTTTCCAGCTTAAAAGAAGAAAAACATAAAATCCATCCTTCCGATGTAGCTATGAAGTTGTTCATGCATGGCATACAATACGAATCCTTCAATTTGCATACGCTACGAACAATCGTCACTTTCAATTAGCTATTCTTGGTGGTGACAATATTAATTTGATATAATTATGACCGATTTTCTCAAGTTATATTTTATAGTTTTTGACTGTAGGTCATACTATCTTAAAATGAATAATCAACTTCTGCTGTAGTATTGAATGAATTTTAGTAATTTGTTTTTCATTGGCACATTCTGAAGGAAGAGTAGTTGTACAATAGCTACTGATGCTCATGATTACTTTGATTTCTACAATTAAAACTCAAGGCTAGATGCCTCTATCTCCAAAAACAAAGAATCGATTCAAGTGGAAAACAAAAAAGGATGTAGCTGATTTATTTACATAACAACCGTAGTTCTCTCCTGAAAGCATGTACAGCGTTTTAAATTTTTTTACTTTTTTGGCACAATTATAACTATTCTAGATTTAAAGAGATTGTTTCCGTCTCTTGTCACAGACTGTACTATATTAATATGATATTCTAAGTATTTAGAAATGAAATTATTTTTGTACAATATTATTATTGCTCTATACTTTATAGTATTCAAAATATTTTCAGAAGAATTTAGGATATTACTCGGCACGTTCTTCGTTGTAGTAGAAGTCAATAGAAATTACCAATCCAATTTATCGTAAATGCATATTTTTCTTTACATCAATATAAAGAGATTAATGAATGCAATGTCTGCTATACAATATAATTATGGATTCTGTATCTTGTCTCGCATGACTACCTGAAAACGTGACATTGAATCGCCGATCATTATCATATATATATATATATATATATATATATATATATATATATATATGTATACATATCGTGTTGATTTCAATCATCATCAATAAAAAATTTTAGTCTATTTTTCTTGACGATATAAAAACATATCTTGACAGCCGTCGCATTCATTTTTATACGTTCTCTACGATTATGAATGCCGAAGACAGCTTATGCATTCATGACAAAAGTCGCCTTTTGATTTTGGCGTATCACCAACTAATTTATTTCAGAAAGATTCTTTGTCTAAACTATCATGTACCTCATTTTTTTGTTTGGCTACAAGATATCAAAAGAAAACAAACAAATAGGTACTATTTACCATTTCGGATTAATCCGTTTAGTTGATGCCCATTTATCACAATACGATTTATAAAACAAATGGAACAAATAGCAAGTACAAAACTTGTGACAATATATGAAAGAGTCGATTTAAATATTAACATAATATAACCCATGACCAATGAAGAAAGAATTTGTGATGCAAAATATGTACTATCAAGGATACCTAATATGGTACCTATGCCGTAGGTTTGAATTTTATGATTATCAACAAAGTAGATCTATATATGAAAATAGATAAGAAAAAAGTAATTGAATATTGAAAAATAACATAATTACTTCTCTATTAGCATGATACACCATCACAAGTGTATAAGGTATTGATGTTAACGATGCCATGCCAAGACCAGATAGTGATGCCATAATGTTAACAATAATTATACTTCTTGATACATAAATAACAACCATAGATAATGCAAATACAAGCATACCAAATGAAAATGTTAAATGAACGCCGAATCGATTGATAAGCGGTTTAATTAACGGTGCATAAAGTGCACCAACAACACAATGCAAAAGTAAACCATATGAACCGGCGCGTATGCCTTGATCATATCTTAAACGTTCTTCAGAAAATTCATCGGCATTTGGATCACCCATATAGATCGTTTGGCCAACGAAATCGGTAAAAAATATATTAAATGTCATTATTGCTGACCTAATTATATCGTCAGAAGAAAAATGCAATAGTATAGAAAAAGAAGTTTTCAAAAATTTTTCATATCGAAACAAACCATGAACAGCATTCAGCTAATGTTAAACGTCGTAAAACAAATGGCATTGTAATTATAGTTCTAACTGACTTTGATATTGAAGAAAAAATACTTTTAAAAATTTCAATAGGAAATAAATAATTACAATTATTATGAATATCATCTAATCTTAATTGTCCATCCAAATAATCGTTCATTGTCGAAACTTTTTCATTAGCTGATATTAGTGTACAACAAAGGGTTATAGAAAAAAATAATAAAATTACGATAAATGTTGACTTTTCTTGTCCTTGTATGTAATTACTAAGAAATGTTTGTGTCCAATCAGTTGCGGTAATTAAATACCCAAGACATCCGCCTTTGAAAAGAATAATCAAATGAAAAATTTTACTCGACTATTTTTATTTTCAATTAGTTTTTTTTTTTTTTATTAATTAATTTCATCTTCTATTTACCAAATGATGTCATAAATGAATATACATAAAAGCATGACGATTCTTGAGATGTACCTTTGCATACATCATATATTAAAGATTCACACGGGTTGAAGCACGCTTGAGCAGCAAAGTCAAATAGAATACACGTAACTACTAGTAAACCGATGCCTATTGAAGGCGCTTGAAATATTTCACCTGAAAGCAAAAAAAACAAACGATGAAGAGAAAAAAAGAAATTTATTTTCTTTTTCGTTTTTAAAAGATTTTTTTACCGATTGCTTCACTTTGCGGAATTAAAATGAGACAAAATATAATTGCTAAACAAAATCCAAGTATGAATGGACGTCGTTTTCCAAGCGGAGATCGACAATGATCACTAGAATGACCGATACCTGGACAAAGAAGAAAACCTAATAATGGGCCACAGCCCATGATCCATGTCATTGAAGATTCTGATATTCCAGCCTTAAGTAACATTGGTGGAATAAAAGTAAATGCTGATGCTGTACAAAACTCTAATCCGCATACGAGTGATGTGATAATAATTAGACGGAAGAAATCATCATGAACGGTTGACTTAATTAATTTCATATCTTCATTTACAATATTAATAATAATTGATATAAAAATGAATTCATCAAGTAATCTAAATGACAAGAGCGACTACTCGAAGTATGCGATTATAAGCGAATGTTGCACGTGTTATTTTAAGGTTTGCTTACATACCTGTAGATTTTTTGTTCTTTTTAAAAACGACGGGTAAAGTTATAGTAAATAATGTACTGACAAATGTACGGTTCAGTTACTAGGAAGACAGAAGAATTGCCACCAATACAGCAATACAAAATAAGGGAAAAAGAAAAGCGGCAAATATGTGACAGCACACTAATATTCTCTGATGCAAACAAACAATATGCTGTCCATCGGAAAGTAAACGCAAGAAAGAATAAAAAACTAAGAGACTCTTTGTTTATGCTTATACGTTCGATTTTTTTCTCTTTCTATTTTTTGTCAAGTCAGCCATAAAAACTATTTGCAACATATTGGCAAGAAGCTAATTGATACAGCTGCCAATTGTATGTGCCCTTCGAAGATAAATATATATTGTGATATTGCTCATTGTATGGTCTATAACACTCTTATGACGAGTACGGATTCATTTCTATTCAAGATACTCAGGAAGAAAAGAAACAAAAAAAATCTAAATTTGATACGAGTAAATCATATCATTTACTGCCAATGCCACACTTTTCTTTTCAGTATTAATCTGTTACGTGTACTGGTGTAATGAAAAGAAGAAAAAAGAATTGATCCTATAGGTAATAGAGAAGTACGTGAAAATCAAAGTGAAATTGTCATGACTGGTTTCTTATTTATTTGATCAAAGAGAATGACAGAGCTATGTAGGATATACAACATTCAAAGTTTATTATTTTTTGTTTTGAAAATAGTTTTTTTAGTTAAATCAATATGGTGCATATGGCGCATTGGGTATTTGATTCACCCATGGCATCTTCTGTACTTCAACAGCAGGATATTCATGATGAATTTGAGGTTGCTGAGGTTGTGCAGGAGCTGGATAACCATAGACAGCGCATTTGTTTACTCTAATCTTACACACAATATAAGTAATAATATAAGTAAATGATATTGTGCACGCTACACCTATGTTTTAAAAACAAATGTAACAGTAATACAGGAAAGAAAATCTTTATTTTTAGTTTACCAGCACATCCAAGTTGAATTTCAAGAAGAAGCTTTTTTGAATCATAAGGTGTATAGCTTCGAAATATTGGAATCATTTGTATTAAATAATTTAATGATAAAACCTGTGGCTGTTCTGAACATGTTGGTGTTAACCAACATGTAGTTGGATTCATAATAAATATAATATCCAATGCTATTAAAGCAGCTAAAGTAAGTAGCGTTAATAAATTCCACATAAATGCACATGTTGATGCGCCAATAGTTGTTACACAACATGCTGAAATCAATTTTTTTTAAATTTACAAAGATATATTTTTTGTTTTTAGTATGAAAACATACCTGTAGAATAAATTAAAATTATATTAATAAAAAGTACAAAAGATGTCCAAACACCGCCAAAAAGATTTGTATGCCAAAAGTCAACTAAAACATTGCCAGCTTCAGTCAGCAAAATAGCCTAAAGACAAGAAAACTTCAATGACAAAACTGATAAAAAATAAATATCGTTTACCACTGCAATGACCGTTTCTGTACTCGAGATAAATCCGAGTAAGCAACGTGGCCATGCGCGCTTCCACGCAAGATTTCGTTCAAATTGAGCTTGAAGTATTGGATCAATAGGCATATTTTATTCTCATTAAATGAATACCAATTGGATTTTTCTATGCCAAATTACTGTCTCAATCTAGGAAAAAACATCGTATGTTTTTGTCTCATCATGGTACTCAATGCATTATTCATGTTAAAAGATAAACAGAATAGGGGGAAAAGGATGAAGCAACTTGTTTAATTTTTTTCTTCGAATAGACAACAAAACTTTTTGTAATCAAATATTAAATAGAATGTTTTCATTCGATATTTACTCCACATGTCGACTAATTTAATCGTGCAACTCTCTCTGAATACTTATCAAAGTGCAAAGATCAATTGTCCTATTAGTAACTACTCATTTTATATGACTTTGTAGTTAACACCTACTTTCTTGCTTTTTCTTTCTAGGAAAATGTAGATGACAAGTAGATTTTATACTCGAGAAAAAGCAGCATATGTGACTAAATGCGAAGAAAAAAATAGAGGCAGCAGCAGAAAATGCGAAAGGAGAAGCTGAAAAATACTTCATAAGATATCAGATGAAAAAGAAGAGCTTTGTCTCGTTTGACAGCTGTCTTATTTTTGAACATCACCGTTAACATTTCAGACTATAGAAAATGAAAGTTTCTTTTTTTTCTTCCCTTTTCATGAGCTATTTCTTGTGGAACTGCAAAAAAAGGAAAGTCTTCTTATCATACTCATAATCGTGCTGAGAAGAAAGGAAAAAAGAAAAGGATCATGAAAACTCCTAGATAAAATAGAAAGAGTTTATTGTCATCCTTAAAAATGAAAGGTCTGTAGCTTGACTATGTCATTGCCACATTTAAGATGTAAAACAAACAAAACGTAGCACTTTAAAACAATTAAAATTATGGATAACTACGATTGCACATAACAATCCTCAAATCAACAGACACGTAGATCATTCTGGAAACTCATGTGAATGCTTAAAATATTGAATATCAAAGTACTGAGGTACATTTTGAGATCAATAGGATTGACAATATTCATTCACCTTAAACTATGTGCGTTCATTTCAGAGGTGTCAATAATGAAAGTACAAAGTATACGTACTAAATGCAGATGCTTCTGACTTAAAGCTTGTTAGCAATAATTCTGACGTATGCGTCAGAAACATTTTTTGAATCCACTCTATAGAATGTTTACCTGCTTACGCCAATTTTCGCTAAATTTGCTTTTGATCTAATAATGGCAACGTTTTTAATTTGAGTTGAAACAAGTACACGTAACTTTAAATTATAATAATCGTCAGGTTTTCATAGAATTAAGCTTATTATTTTTAAAATAGAGCTTGAATATTATTTATTTATTAATGCTTTCAACCAATAAAATTAAAAGAAATAGTTAATTCATATAATAAAAAGTATCAAAACATTGGTTCTCTTCGCACTCAATCGAATAGTTATACTGTTTAGTTTGCTTTAAAAAAAATTCTGGAGCAATAAATATTCTTGCTCGTTTGCTTTTACGTTTTGCAGATGTAAAATGGGATTTGTTTACATATTTTCATTTCGCTTGAATAATAATAATTTTCACTTGAATTGTTATGATACAATTCTGGATAAGTAATACTAATCGTATTTTTTTACTACTGAATTCTTGAAGTCATGACTAATAAATCTCAACAGCTATAATCGATGTCACACATCATAACGAAGTATCATGCCGGACAACGTTCTGAACGCTCAAATCTAAAAAAGAACAAATACTGTCCAACTAACTGACCTATCATACTCAAAATGAATCAAAAATCAAATCACAATCTTTATGAGATATATATCCATGCCAAGATAAAATATATAACCAGGTTGTAAATAATCAGTTTCTTTTAAGAAATCCTTTTGACAAAATAGAATACGTGCTATATATTTCCTATATGCATGAAATTGAATTTGAGACTACTGACGAAGCTTAGCTCACGTATTATCAATTGGATCACATTCAAAAATACAAATACCTAATGATCGATCAAATCGATCAATAATTCATTGAGCATTCTTCCGAAATTCATCGACAACTCTTTCAACATTACAATGGACACATACGAGTGATCGAAGCCGATGATGAAGGTTAATACGTGTTGAATTAGATGTATGTCGAATGTTTAAGTTGAAAAAACAATGCACGAGTATCAAATATATTAAATGGTTTACATTCTAAATATTTGGTCTTTCAAACTGAGATATGGGATGAAGGATAGAAAATACGACGAGAAAAGATATTAAAAGAAGTGAAAGACGAAGATAATGTCACGCGAGAATTCATGTGATTGCACTAAGATGTATATGATTAATCTCAGGACACTAAGGAGAGAATAGGAAAGGACAAAAACTTCTAAAATATCCTAATCTTCAAAATCAAACGATCAATCAAAATATAGATCAAGTTATGTGTGAGTTGAATATAGTTAGAAATTTCTTTTCTATTTCTATAATGGAATCTAATTAAATTGAATTAGCTGGCATGTGAAATAATAGATCTTATGAAAGATATCATTGAAATATTTTGCTCAATGATTAGTATTGATTTTCTTTGTAATTAACAGTTATATGAGCCAAGATCTACAGGATCAATATTTTTCTTTTAGTATGATATCCGATAATTCTACTATGTTGGTATATGAACCATGTCTTTATACTGATCTAGATTCTAGAAAATTTTCTTTTAGAGACTTAAAATATTTTCAGCTTACATTTGTAAATTAGTTCTTTTGCATAAATATGATCGTCCTTTTTGTGACCTTGCTTCCTGAGTTTTATTTTCTTTTTCACGAATACAATGAATGAGATAATGGGCTTAATACAAAGAGTATGTAAACTAATATTTTCTCTCACTCACATTGAATCTTTAGATTTTGGTCTCCTTTACATGCTTCACACCCATGATAGTTTTATCTTTAATTATATAAAATCACGATACAGACCACAGGAAATAAAATAACTCAAAATTTGAAATATATTTTCTGCTCTAATGAACTGTAGAATTATGCCAACTAAGTTCTATAGTTCTATTGAAACATTATGTATCTTGTATAAGGACCGCACTTAGCCTGAATGACAATTTAGTTAAACGTAACGTAGACAATTTGAGCAATACAGATGCTATGAACAGTGATGGAAGTATGTGGTTTCAGCAGGTGCTATGTACCAAAACGGAATTTTACCATGAAAAAGGTGCCATCGTCTCTTTTCTTTCAAGTTGAATTAGAACATAAAAGAAAACATGACATTTCATTTCGTGTTATAAAAAAAAAGACCAATCAATACTATCAATGGCAATCTTTCATAGGAAAAATCATTTTGAGACCATCCTTAAAAGATGATTTCTATGTCAATAACTGTTTTTTTTTAAATCTTCATCATCTATATAAATTTGTATTACGAATATGCGAAGTATGAGTAGCAAAAAGTCATTTCCATCTACATCCACTTCTTTGATATGACTACTAATTGAGACTATATTCTTTTTCTCGCCTTCTTATTGTAAAATCTGAGTAAATTCGAGGCAAACAGGAAATAAATAAGTTGAACATTTAGTTTTTCTATTTATCACAATTGCAAGAAAAATCTTGATTAACACCTTGAATGTCAAATGATGGCTATTCATCTCGTTTGATCTATAGATCGCCTATGATGCTACAGCTTGTCGTAATACTTTGACCATTTTAGCAATTAGTTGTGATTTGACACCATTAAAAAGTTTTAGTTCATGAGAAAAAGAAGAAATAGTATTAATGTGCTATGTGACATTTTACAATAGATAATACTTCACAAATGAGGTTAAAGCAAACATATTATGCATCTGTTCAATTTTTAAATTAGTTTCTATGAAAATTACTACTAACTGATTTTAACGTTCGTCTTACGAAGGTCAGGTCAGAAAGAGCATAGCATATTATGAATTTATAGCATGAGATATTTCATTCATTTTATGTAATTGTGATATAAGTATCCATTAGCATGTTAACAGAGTTCTTTACGCTTTTTATTTTAACAAAATTTAATGACACTTTTGTATTTCTGCAATTTATTGGCATGATGTGCGAAAAATGCCGAAGGGAGATTTTTCATCAGTGCGCAATAATCGTGTTGAACACACACAAATCAAGTTCAAATTCGTTGATATAGTCTTAATTTTACTGACTACTAAAATTTTACAGTTATATTGTTTCTTGAGAAGTCATACTTTCACTTTTTTGTTTTTATGAATATTGTCTATGAAAAAAATTAATGACTATAATACATTTTTAATTATTGCTTATGTGTTTTTCGTCTGGTTCGCCTGACGTTTTTTCCTTTTTTATACGGGAAAATGTTGCTTTTTCTTAAGATTAAAAATTCTAAGCGTCAAGCCATACGCTCAAAAGTAACAGGCATAACAAAAGTTCAAAAAACTTCAAGTAGACTAATTTACGTAGCTATATGACCAATTAGAAAATGTCATAGCCGTTCTCATTGTGCCCGTTACAATTTTCTCAATTATTAAACATCAATTTGATAGAACAACTGAAAGAGAAAAACGGAAAGCAATAATAGTGAATTACTTAATCAGCACACCGTTATAATGAACGGATTAGTTCGGCGATTTAGTTTTGTCGTAGTATTTTATTTTTACTTGTTGTTGACACTTCTTTACTTAAAAATCACAAAATTAGATTCGAAAAAAATTAGTAATGCATTGAACATATTGATTCAATAATACTTACATTGAAAAACTGATCGTCAGGTATGAGAAACCGGCGAAAATCAAATGAAATCATAAATTGAAATTACTTTCAAACTTCTTCACCGACATATTTAAACGAAAAACGATATCTTGCCATACAAGGAATTCTTTGTTGTATGAAGAATGATACTGAGATAATCAAGTTACACTTATAATGCACATACGTAATCGATCAGGATACACAAATTGAATATGACCGTGAAAAATAAACAAACAGAAGCAAACTTCTTTTTTTTTGTTCTTTCAAATAGAGATGATATGTATATCTAACCGGGTTATCTTATAGTTGCGTCAAATTTTTTAAATCGATTTTCCGTCCTATAAAAAAAGACAAGATTACGTTTGTAAAACTTTTAAGCGTTACTAATTTATAGCTATAATATCGAAGATAATTCTAATTAACTTCATACCAATCTAAAGTTCATACAGATAGTTATTTCTTTTTTTTCTCGTTGCTATTTTGTCCGACATATCATTACAATCGGAAATAAGCGAATACTATCCATTGATTGAAACTAGTGCAATTGATCTATTTGTATGTCTTTATCATGCAAAAGATAGATTGACATCTCTATGGTATGCATTTATACATACATCTATATATCTATATTGAACTTTGAAGAAATATTTTCCAATGAGAAAGCAATATAACGATGACTTTTGAACTCGTTTTTTTCTCGGTAGATAACATGATAGATAACAATACAATAAAAAAATCGTCAGGAGATACCGCCATTGATGAAAAAACTCTTTCACAATAGAATATTGCGAGATAAGATAAATGTTTTTTTTCTTAATTTTATCGATCAAATTGTCATTGTTATGCATTGACATAATAAAAACATTTATTGAAGATTGATATTTCATATAGAGGTAAATAGATTGAAAATCGAATTTTCATTCTATTCGTTTATTTTGATTGACGACAAGCAAATGATTCGTTTACTTAGTGTGTATGTGTGTATGTTGACAAAAATTAACATTAAAGTCAACCATGATATTTACACGACGTGATTCAATTGTTAAGATTTATACTGATCAAGTAAAGAGATAAACTCTCTTCTCCTTGTTCTTCGTTTTCTTTTCCTCTTACATCGATTTATCAAAAACAAAAAAAATCAATGTGACAATAGATAGCCTCAGGGCTCATCTTTTTGTTCTTCATTTGTTCATCCGTATAGAGATGATAGTTCGAAACATACTGGATTAATAATAAAAGTCATTCCTTTCTTTACACGTACGTGTGCATATAAATATAAGTAGATATATACGGCTAGCCTTCGTTCTCCTGATGAATTATGGTCCTTTTGCATGAAGAGGGAATACATAGGAAATAGAAGAAACAGAGCAGCAAATCTTATCTATGCATATATATATATATTAAGATATACGTATGTAGATGGATAGAAAAAGAAGTAAACCATCATTCACTAGTCATGGTAGTAGTGTTCACAATGTTTGTGTGTTGATTAACGAAATCGATGACGAGTGCATACATTTCTATGATGAACTTTACTTTCGAGAGTCGTCGTCTGTTACATCCCTGCTGAGTACATAAATATATTGAACAAGAAGAACACAAGATAAGATCGATGTCGAGTGAAGTCTTTTTTTTCTTCTTTTTTTCTTGTTGCTAGTAGTATTTGTACAAATATATATATATATATATATTGTTTGACCGATCGTAAATTTATGTCCTTGATGTTTTGAACAGGTGAGTATGTTATAGATAAAATTAATCATTGTATATATATATATATATATATGAGTTCCTTCGCCTTTAATTAAAATTCCATTTGATTATATTTTATTAAATTATCTCTTTTTTTTTCGTCTTGCTTCAATTAATTTATTCTTATACTATCATCTTGATTACAAATGAGCAACTCATCTCAGTAGCGAACGAGTTCAATTATTTGAATGAAAGATAGTATTATGTCTATAGTAAATTTTATCTTTCCGCCGTCTCTTCAATGATGCTGATTGACAAGGGTCATCTTGGTGCTTGCGGCATCCCACATCTTCGAGTAGTAATCATGATGAATAAGAAGACTATTCTCTCACTCTCTCTTTTCTCCTCCTCACTCTATATCTAATTGATTCAACCATGTCTACTAGTTGATGAAGATATCCTGGGCATGTTAGCATTCGAAATGCCATGTGCCTCCTTTCTAATATAATTATTATTCTACGATGTTTACCACTCCTTTCGTTCATTTTACCATCTGACAAAATAAATAAATAATGTACCAGAGCATTAGATTATTCAATAGTAGAAAAAAAAGAAGACAGAAAAAGTCATTTATTTCTTTTGTAAATAGAAGAGTAACTTCATTTTATTCAATTTTTTGTTTCAAAATATATCAGTAACAGGTGTCAAAAGGTAATTGAACGTTTAATATAACGTGAATACAAGAGTTATGTCATCTAGCATAGGTTATGCATATAAAGAGATGGCTAATTTAACGATGTAGTTGTGGTCTTTCTGATGCTTATTGACAACGTGTGTTTCCCTTACATACACATAAGAGAAAATGACTGCGATTACGTGGTCAAACTTCTTCTTCTTCTTCTTCTCTTTTCCTCTTCTGCGATAACATCTGCATAATGCTTACAGCAAAATTATCCATGCTCGACTGTCCATCATACTCGTCATCATCAGTTAGACAGTACATGTACATTTGACGACGACACAACAGGTAATTGAATAAGGGTTGGATTCGATCTCACATTGAGATAGTCACATACACTTCAAATTCGAGCCGCCGGCTATTGGACAGACTGTATGATTGAAAAATGACCGACGTTATACGCATATATATATATATATATAAATTTTGCTTTATGTGTGAAAAGGGAGAAATGTACAAATTGTCGTTCATCATCACCTTTTTTTTTCTTCTTCTTCTTCTTTGCTCTCTCTCTCTCTCCTTCATTTCGAAAACTATTGTTTGATATTGTCGACGAGAGAGAAGGAGATCGGAAGTTAGTGAAGTGAGAGAAAGACGAGACGTTCATTCAATACGTACGCACATACACATACGTGAACGTTTATTGTTTGTATTTTAGAATACGAGAAAAGGGAGAAAGAGAGTGGAGTGTAGTGCATCCATTTATATACATTTATACATATATATATATATATATATCGAACAACTTATACATTGTTAGATCGAAAAACAATCATAAAGAAAGAGAATGACGATTGTTGACTAACCGTCGGACGCCCTATTCTCAAAAGACAAGAATAACAACAATTAAAGTAAAAAAATGCATTACAATGGATTCTTCATTTTTTTATTTATTCTAATCGGTCGATGTAAGTTTTATGATCTTTTCTTTTAATTAATTAATCAATCATTTATTTATTATTTCTTAGCATATGCATTTCTGCGTTTGGAAAATTTAACAGTAATACACAATGACCATGTACAATTTCGCTGCACATTTCCACGAAATTTTTCACCCAATAATAGTATAATACAATGGAAAAAGATACGTGTAAATGACGATGCTTTAATGATATCAATTAATGGCAAAATTCCAAATATATACGAAAAAATGTATCGAACCGATTTAACAAATCAATTTAGTACATTAGAATTGTTTCATGTTAAACGAGAAGATTCAACTACATACATATGTCAAACATTTGAAACTCAAACAATTCTTTGTCAATATAATCTTGTTGTACTTAGTAAGTGGAAACAAATAAACAGGAAGATGATGAGAAATTGTATTCTCGTTTGAGTTAGACAATAGAACAATTGATATAGATAAGCATGATGATGATAGATGTTATTTTTCTTCTTAGCAATGATTTCATTGCATAATTAACCTTCCTCTGAATCTGTTCATATTGCCCTTATTTCTTTTTGTTAACAGTCAAGCCTGAGGCCCCATCATTAACAATTGACGAGGAAAATATTCAAGAATATCAAACTGTCAAATTGACATGTTCATCGTTAAATGGTAACCCACCACCTCGATACACATGGTATCGTAATGGCACACTTGTCACGTATGATATTAATGATTTCTTTCTTACTTATTCAAACGTCTTCGTCTGCTTCATTCTAGTTCATTGAATCAACAAGTGTCAACGACGGATATTACTTCTATATATACGTTTAATGTCACTCGGTTTGACAATCAAGTCAAATATGAATGTCAAATTTCGAATCAAGCACTTGCCGTCCCACTTCGTGTGGAACAATATTTACATGTTAAATGTAAGTATAAACATTAAAAACGAATGAACTACAGATATACAAAAGTGGCAATTGTATAATTATGATAATAGATCGTCCATATACAGAAATTGTTGCTCAACCATCCATGTTGTTAAATGAAAAAATCATTGGTATTGAATCTCATGAACAAAAATTAGCATGTCTAATTGATGCAAATCCAGCTGTTACATCAGTTTATTGGACAATTAATAATACAAATATAGTTAGCCGTAAGTAAAAACGACAAAAAAGAAAACTGACAAGAAGATAATCCAGGGTAACATTCAAAATTCTTTAGGCGAAATCAATGTTTATTTATCGCGATTAACATCTGAACAAAGTGGAATTTATACATGTGTAGTTGAAAATGCTATTGGCAAAACAAATCAATCAGTTTATCTTGACGTACAATGTAAGAAGTTCAAAGAAAACATTAATCATAGAATGAAGAAAACAAAACAAAATTTTTTTTTTCATTTTCTAGATGGTCCACGTGTATCCACAATGGAATCTCGTGTCGTTGTAAATCGTTCGAATACGGCTAATCTTCGTTGTTATGTAGATTCAAATCCTGCGCCATATCAAATCGTTTGGTTTAAAAATGGCTATGAAATATTTCGCCAAAATCAATTATCAGATTTACGCATTGATGATGTTGAAAGAAATGATACTGGCTTATATACATGTGCCATATATAATCGTTTACAAAACAATTCAACACGTAATAGTTCAACAACGATTGAACTTATTGTACAAAGTCGCCCCATATTAGAAACAACATATTCGAAAATAGCTGCCGAAATCGGACAAACTATAACATTAACTTGTCGTGTATCGGGACAACCGAAACCGAGTATTTATTGGAAACGAAATGAACAAATTATGAATTGTGATGAAATAGTTGATGATAAATGTTATTTGAGATTATTTCATATAGGAAAAAAAGATTTTGGGCCATATCGATGTATAGCTGAAAATTTATTAGGAAAAGAAGAATGGACTTATACGATTGTATCGAGAGGTAAGATTTCGATATGCATGTGATTCTAATCAATTTCTTCGATCTGAATATTAGAAGTGTACGATTACGTAGAGAGAAGCCTTCAGAATGTTTTTAAGAATGAGAAAGATCAAACAATGAATAGTATGAGTCTTCATTCCAGTTACCGTAACTCTTTTGTTTTCTAATGAGGAAATATTTCCGATAGTTCAATCACTTCTCGTTCAAGACAAATGTCATTCGTTCGATTATGAAGAGTACAAGAAAAGTAAAACTTGTCGAGTAGTAAGCGGACATTTATCGGAGACCTTAACAATGGACTATCGGCCATAGATTGACCGTAAAGTCGTTTGAAAGTGTTAAAATTACAGTAAATCGTTAAGTTGAACATTAAACCGAAATTTTTCTTCGAATATTGATTGTTGAAATTTCCATCAATTCAACTGCTGAAGATCAGATAATTGGATCGATGTGTATATTTTTTTTCTAATTATCATAAATCATCACATGACAATGGTCTCAAGTGAGAGATAGAAAGTATTTCCTTGTGACAAAAGAATCTTTGTATTCGTATATGATCACAGTGAAGGTGAAATTCCATCTCTAGTGAGATCTTACATACAACTACACTAAGTATTCGATAAATTGTAACATTTTTGAAAGAACAAAGCCTTCATCTACTCCCATTCCATATCAATCATGTATCTATGGAATTTAGTCGACTATTATGAGCAAACTTTGAATACTATGTGCTTATCTAATTAAGGTAAGCCAGAAGCTCCACACAATATTCGCGTATCTGACGTAACATCATCTTCGTTTAAAATTGAATTTTTACCATCTTTCGATGGTGGTGGTGGACCACAACGTTTTTCAATCGAAATTCTTTTACATGATAAAAACACAACATTAAATTCAACAGTTATCAATCAACAACTTCCATTTAATACATATGAATATAATGTTAAAGGTAAATATTTCTTATGATCATTGACAAATAAATCCAATAAATGATTTTGTTTTTAGATTTAAATGAATCGACATTATATACGTTTCGTATTAAAGCAATTAATATTTATGGTGAAAGTCCTTGGAGTATTGAAACACCTGTACAAACAATTGAATCAACGATAACATCGGATGGTATTAAAAAAATACTTTTTTGTTTTTCATAATTCGAAATTATTATTGTTTTTTTGTTTATATTTGAATAGATTTACCAGAATTACACGTTATGGCTTATAATACGAAAGAAAATTTTCTTCATTTCGATTATTTACCTGGTGAAGAACGTCTAGCAAAAGTAAACAATCAACAATTATGTTTAAATATTCGTCAATCGACCGATGCAAGTATTTATCAATCGATCGATAATTGTTTACCTATCGATAATAATCGTGTTAAATGGATATTAAAAAGAGATTTTCCTTATTTAAAATTATCGATCTGCTCAAAAAAACATCGAAATATATGTGGAAAAGAAATTGAAATGAAAGAAGGTTTATTTTAATTTACAATGCTCATTTTATTTTTTCTTTACGAGTCTTTTTTTTAAAATTTTATTAGATTCATTAATTCGAAGTTCAGTACCTATGATTATTGGAATCGTTGTAACAACTAGTTTTCTTATCATTTCAATCATTACTGGAATACTATGCTGTTGTTGCAGAAAAAATCGTTCGTTATCTAAAACAAATAAAACAAATAAATGTAAGTAGAAGAAAGTTTTTTGAACTTTATTCTCAACGATATTGTCGAATCTATTTCAAGAGAACGAACGAAAACATTAGTAATATATTTTACAGACATAGAATTACATAAGACCATATTGAATTTCGATGTATATGTATAAATTTTCTATTAATGACGAGACTTCTCGTAATCATAGTGACCCTTAAGGATATATAAGTGATAACCTTATTCGCGTAAGATTGTAATTTGGGACAAAGGTCATCGTTGAGTCTTATGAATCTATCAACGCTCAACTGACGTGATAATGTGAATGATCGATATCATATTTTATAGCAATGCTCTCGTGTATGACAGATAGTCAAACCTCAATTATTAAAGATAATAATTAGTTTGGATCAGCCGTCTGTGTTACATTGATCATCTCAGTGATAGCAGCAGACATGTTTTTTTTTGCACCATCATTACGATCTTAACGATATAAACATAATATTATGGCAAGAGTTGAAGTCTGTCGTACACGAAAGTTTTTCATATTTCGATCTCGTTACAGTGGTATGATCGTAGATCTACTTTTTTTCGAGAACATCAGTTGGAATAGTTTTGTCACGATTCTTGGCTAGAGCCAATTCGATATCTCAGTTTCGCATCCGATACATTTACTTGATGACAATTGAACTTTTTTCATACGGTCGAATAGTTCTTTCGAAATCTTCTAGTTTGTAGCGAAGGGCGAAAATCAATTTAGTTATTTAAGTTTTCAAATTGAAACAATATAATCATTGTCTTTCAATAAGAGTTTTTAATTTATCTTCTAGTTGGTATCAACGGTCTTGAAAATGGTGTTAAACCGTAAGTGTACAAAACGAAATCAAGAAGGATTGTTTATCTTTCTTTCTTTTTTTTTTATTAGAATTATTTCTGAACCTCGTTTACAAAATCCTTATTTACTGTACAGCAATACAAACTCACATGCGTCTCCATATGAATTTTCTGGGAATGAATATCAACAACGAAAAATAGCTACTTCCTTTTCTCGTTCATGTAAGTCATTCAACAACATAGTTTCAAATAATAAATTGAATTTTCTATATTTTATCAGGTGATATTATTGATCGAGATCAGCCAAAAGATGAAATATCTGTTCATGATGCTTGTCCTTCATGTAAGTAAATTCATTTTCTCGTCAAATAAACAGAACTGTTCAATTTAGATGGTACAGCAACTCGTGCAGCAACAATACATGCATCACCTCATTGGCTAATAAGTAATGGTGGATCTAGTTCTCACTCAGGATCAAATCCCTCGTCTGAATTAAGTTGTCTAACACAAAATACAAATATTTTGTTTGCTAATAATGAAATGAACTCTAATCATACACCACCTCCAGTGTCACATTATGGTTTTCCATCGGTGGCACTATCGTCTTCAAAACATCATCCGTTAATCAATGGAAATTCAACACTACGATCATCATCGTTTGATCAACAACAATCTTCAAGTGGAAATTCAACGCCCAATCGTATGAAAAAACTTTTCTATGAAGTTGTTGTTTAGAATAAAATTCAAAAAGTTTTCTTTTTTTTTCTATTTACCGGTGATATTCTGTTTATTACATATTTACATTCATCAAATATGTATCCTCTTGCATTTGTGCGCATGTGTGTGTGTGTTTTTTTTCTCGTTAGTTAATATATATGTAATTATATGTATTTGAATAATAATAAAAAAAGAATAACATATTTCTCTTAAGAAGTTACATATCCTATTTGTTGTTGTCGTGTTTTACGACGAGAAACAGCACGACGAAGACGTTCAAGTAAACTTTCACTTCGTTTACATGAATCATTCAATTGTTCAATTGCTTGATAACCTCGTCCAGTTTCAAATAAGACAGTCATATTGAAAATAATTGCTTCAAATGGATATAAACTATTAGCGAATTCAATTGGATTATCAGCATAACCATCAGCAGCTACAGCAATAAATTCACATACACGATGTAGATAATTAACATATTTAACCATTTCATATGTATGTCGTAAGAGTGATTCGCGTTTATCAATTTGTGATTTTATGAGTGATGTATCGAACGAAGTTCCTTTTTCTAATGGTATCGTTCCAATGAGGCGCTTGACATTTTCATTTAGTTTTACTTGACTTTGAAAAGCACGTTCGTACCGATGAAAAACTGCATGTTCATAGAGTCTTCGAGATGGATTGCGTTCTTTAACGAGAAGTTTTTTTTGAATTGGTACTTCATGTTTCGGACACGCAAATTCGCCCCTAGGCCCAAAATGATCTTTCCAATAACCAGTACAAACCCAACAGAACTGAGCACCACATCGGCATGTCATATGATTACAACCGCCTAAAATATTTGAAAAAGAGAACCATTGATTTAGTGGTTTTTGTTGCTGTAAAATTCTTTGTACTAAAACGAAAACTAACCATTCTTTTCAATGAAATAATTACATGATACACAATTTCGACCCCGAACTAAAATCTTCGCATTGTATTCAGTTGTTAAATCACCATTTCGATACACTTCATCGATATATTCCCGATAGGAACTACATCTTGCTGGAAAATGTGGTTCTTGTTTACAATCAATGCAAAATTGATGGCCACACCGACATCGAACATGATCCATTCCTGAATCAATAACTTGAACAATCAATGGACAAGATTTCGATGGACATTTAACATAAGAACGAGACAAATTAACTAGACATTTTTCTATATTACGTTCATAAATATTCATACAACGAATATTAACCAAAGATAAGATTGTACCTAAACAGATCAAGATATTATTTACATACATATTAATAATTAAAAGCATATCTATGTTGTCTAATTGAAAAGGGTGGATGTATGGCGTGGGCGTGGGCGCTGGCGAAGAGCGAACGACCACACCTTCCAGTAACTCAACGAGCTCTATATAATCACAAGAAAAAAAAATCTCCTCACATATTAAATTTCTCACATTGTACTTTAAATAAAAACATGAAGTCCTCAATTAAGTCTTAACTAGAAGTATAGTACTCAAAGAACTAGTAAAAACGTTCCTACGTGAAATCTCTGTATTGGTTCTATTTAAATCATCCATATCCAATTTAATTATTTTCCTCTAGAACAAAAAAATACTTTGTGTAGTTCGCTTAATGGAAGATCTTCAATAAACTCAAATCTATTCATTAGATCAACAACAGCAATTTTTCGTTCTACTGCTTTTCACCTTTTCTTAAATGTAAATTTTCAAATATAAAAACTTAAAATCTTACCAACATCAAGATGTGAATAACAATTCCATTCTGGACAACGTATAATTTTAATAGATTTAACTGTTGTTTCAATATATTGTTTCCAACATTGATTGCATAACCAATGTCCACAGGATTTTAATGCAGTCATTGGTATTGATTCATTCATATCACAACAACAAGTTACACAAATATCTGGTCGAACTAAGTTATTTTCATTATTTACTTCTTCATTATTTAATTTAGCTTGCAAATCGTTTTTATCTAGTATATGTATGTGTTGAATTTGTTTATTGACAAATTCACTTTCACTTAATTCGCTATCGATTTCATTTCGATAATATTTCTTTTGATTTATTTCTAAATCAATAGGTTTAAATGTATCGAATGGTAAATTTGTAACGAATTCTATTGTTTTATCAATTAATTCATCAATTTTATAGATTTTTTCACTTGATTGAGACAATGTTTCAATCTGTATTGTATCAGCATATAAATCCATGTTAAGCGCAACTTGTGCTTGACAAGAATTATTTTCATTGTTTAATTCATCATTCAAAATAATGACAAGATAACAGTTAAGTGTTGAATAAATTGAAAATAAATCAAATTTATTTGACCATTGAAAATATTTTAAACGATCTGTAAGACAAATTAAATATTTTGTTGGATAACATTGAGCACGAAGAAAATTTTTCCCATAAGTTTTCGATAGATGTTCAATACACAAGTCTGTTTGATGTAAGAAAATAGAACGAAATGATAATGACATTAAATGATGATGAGATTTTTCCTTTGGTTTAATTGTTACACCTGGTTTTTCTTGCTAAAGTGTTTTTTTTTAAAGAAAAGAATGTTTAGAAAGAATAATTGAAAGATGTACATTCATACCATTTTTATATATGTAGCCATATCTCGATTATAAAGTTTTTCTTCTTTACTTATTTGTCGATAAAATCGTTTCTTTTGTTTCGATGGCTCGACTTCTTCAGAATTTTCAGATTTAACAGACACTTGATCAATATCATTCTCATCTCGTTTTACACGTATAAAATCGTTTAATTCTAATTTCGACGAAGTATAATACTATAATTGAATAACTACAGTTAAGAAGAAAAGAAAACAAATTTGAATATTTACCGATAACATGGATTCATCGTCATCATCGCCATTAGCATCATCGGTCGATAGGTCTTCTTGTTCATCTTGTATTCGTTCTTCAGCATCTAGTCGTTCATTTGCTTGAGTAAATTTAGAACGTTGTGTACTCGATTTTGTATTCTTATCTATGATTTATAAGCAAAAGATAATGCATGATAAAAAAAAAGATATATCTGTCATATTACTTCTTGAAGTGTGATGTTTTTTAACGTTAGCTAATTGTGATTCTCGTGGTAGTGGAACAACAGCACAATAAGATACATTAGAAGTAACTTCGACAGATTCCGTATTATTATTTTGATGATTTTCTCTTGGTTCTATTACCGTATTTATTGATTCATTCAAATAAGTTTTTCTAGGTTTTTGTGTACGTCGTTGTGTTGTATTAGTTGTTATTCCGACACAATTGTTTTTTTTCCTATTATTATGAAATTCATATAAGACATATTTTGTTCGATGGATATTTAGATATTTTTGTTGAGTTTTTTTATTTTTTTGTCTTTGTTCCGAATCCGATTGAGTACCCAGATCATCGTCTGATGATGAACTTGATAGATTAGGAATTTGTTGACGAAAATCTTTTAGTACTTTCCATCGTTGTCGTTTATTTAAAGAATATTCTACATTGGGTTGTTCAATACCAAATGGATCTGGTTTGTGATTGGCTAATTCGTCCTGTTGTTGATCTCTATCTTCCCATGTAGCAATAATATAGGATTTATTCGATGGTTGATTTGGATTATGGTGTAAAAAAAGAGTTTTACCAGTAGCAGCACTATATTTAGTTGGCCGTAAATTTGGCTTTTCATCATCTACACTATTTGAAGCCATTAGATCGAAAATTAAACTATTTTACCCGAAAAAAAAACAAATGAAAACGCAGCTGTCAAGTAAGCGGATTTCTATATATTCTGCCAGTTACCTTGCAGTCACATGTTATTGCGCAAGACTACTGAAACTTAATGACATCATGGAGTAATACTACAAACAAAGATTGGATACTGAAGAATGACGCTCAATACATTTACATATTCTCAATACAACGATTCAAATTCGACGATGATGAGAAAGTATATAAATAATGCTTGCTACTTTTTGTTCATCGATCTTGTCCATTGACAGATGGCGACCCGTAACGGACAAGAAATCTTCTGTAGCGTTATAATTTAATGCACGGTATTTTATTGGAAATTCCCAGTGTTGCTTGTCTTACTAGAGTTTACATATATTTGTTTCGTGAAGAATATACGGATTAGCATTAGGAAAACTACATCAGTGAAAACAAGACTACTCAGGTCGAACGATACAATACGGCCATTTACGGTGAAAATACGGAACAAAACAGAAATCATCTACGGATTCCGTGTCCAAGGATTGTAACCAATCGTGTGTTGTTCTTTCTAAATGTTCGTACTGCTTCATTTACGAACGTGTTTGTTCGACCTGGGTATTAAATAGTGTTGGTTGAAGCCAATGCAAAACTTTGCTACAGATTGATTTTCTTAGGGTTTTGCGAGGTATCTTTGAAATAGATGCCTTTACTATAACATAGACACTACTATATCCATACTAACAAGATTAGACTTTGTAAAGCAAGTTTCTATAGGCACATTTCAATTGATTATTATGTGAATACTCGTCTGCCTTTACTAATGTAATTTTCCAAATGTTAATCTGTATATATTCAAAAACAGAAATCTGTGAACTGTTGATATGAACAACATTGCAGATTCACTAATATAAAAAATTGTACATTAGATTAACTTTATAGAAGATCTTTCGTCCGTCAAATATCGCCATCTGTCTATCGACAAGATTGATGAATGCAATATGACAAGCATAAGTTTATGTACTTACTCTAATGTTCGGTTTCGAATAGTTGTATTAAAAAAGCGTAAATGTATTTATCATCATTCTGCAAACTCATATAGTTTTCGACCTTAAAAAAAAGATTTAATCATCATTTTCAATGACATCTAATAGTTTAAAGTAAGGAAATATTTGAATTTCATTTATCGAAAGTCTATGATTTCTTTTGCTAGCATTCCAACGAATTCATCTAATTTTTGGTCGGATAGAGGATATCGCAAACGAAAAATTGATGTTATTGATTGCGAAGAAAAGTTAAACGAAAAAGAATTTCTTTTTGTTTTTATTCAAATTTCGTTTTATTAATTAGATCTCAACATAAAATATTTTTCACCGAAGAAAAATTAATTGAAAATATGCAATTACTTTCATTAGATTTATCTGAAAATAGAAGTATATCAAATTCTGACAATTCAAAAACAGATGAGTATGGAAATATCTTTTTTTGTACGTTGTATTTGTTCTCTTGTTGCTTTGATTAGTGAAAAGAGTATTAATCAAAATGAACCAGATAATTTATCAGAAAAAGAAACAAGATTTGAAATACATAAATTATTCAAAAATAATCTAATACGAAATAACTTACAAGATAGTTTAATTAATAAACTTTGTGATTATGAAAGGTGAGATTGAGTTATTTAAATGAAAGCTTGTTTTTTTTTCATCGTAGATTTTCAGAAAAAAAATGTCTATGCAAATAGTGCCTTACATGCCAATTCATTCAATACAATCTAATAACAATAATAATAATAATATAAGTAATACAAACGTGGATGAACAAGAGAAAAAGCAAGAAAATCAAAATTTATCTTTTGGTAAAGTTAAAGAACCTGAGGATCGTGTATTCAAACGACCATTACCACCAACATCTTATACAGTGGAAGAACCAGCTGAAAATACAACTAAACGAATTCCAAAAATGAAAAGGTTAAATTATGAAGATTGATTATTGCTAAAACAATCTTTATTTCTATAGGAGTTATTCTCAATCGATGCGTTTCAATAGCAATCTTTCAGTAGTTGAATTAAAACCTGACAGAAATGATTATTCATTTCAACATTCACAAACCGATTATTTTGTTGTTGAACCCTGTACACCTGTGTAAGTTTAAAGGAAAGAAAATCTGATTCGTAAAAATATTAAAACTTGGTCAAAAAAAGCAAGTAAACGAGTAGCAGTAGATTATTGATGTCTAAAGAAAGCGTACAAGAGTTTATCATCTTCGTAGACTTTTTAGTCGGTTTTCAAATAATTGATCGTGAAATTTTCTATTCAATCCAATGAAAATGACTGTCAAGCAACATGACTATCAAATCTTATTCTGTAACAAATGTTGGACTCGAAAAAATAGTGCACCATCAAACACGCTTTTCTTTTCACCATGAATAAACATGTTTGCGTTATTCTAAAGCGTAGACTCTCTATTGTATAAGTTATTGCTGCGAATAAAATGCAAGATAAATGCCTCGTAAAATTTTGCAAATTTCCAGTCGCTAGTTATTTTGATCAGCAATAATGTCAAACCATTAATAATGCGCAATGAAGCTATTTATTAATAGAGAAAAGAAATTTTGCTGATAACAATTATTTTTCATTCGACAACGAATCTTAATCAATATTAAGCTTAGCTAAATCAGATTTTTCATACAAATTTATGTAAATTCTTTCAAACGTGAATAAGTGAGGAGACACACAATACTCCGTATGGCAACATTTACGCTTTACATAAAAAGCAAAATATTTACCTAAGCCATAAAACTTCTCATGCGTCATAAAATCTTGTATGAAGATTCTTTTTTGGATCGTGATTAATGAAAAAATAATGGCCCAGATTTCACAGTGGTAACTGAATAATTGATGTTTTTGCAACATAATCCTTCGGAGTGAATATATTATTTAAATCGCACTTCTAAAAACTGAGAAATATGTAATAAAAAGCACTCAAATGATTATTTTGCATTCAATATGAAATAGAATATCAATATATCTGAATGAAAATTAAAATGCACATGTATTTTACACTTCATAACAGTCAATGAGAATGTTTTGATACTTTTAGTCATTAGAATTTCAAATGAATATTTTCGAAATATTCAAAGACAAACAATTAGTTTTTCAAATGCGATGTTTTTTTAATTAAATTCTATTACATACGTATGTGAATATTCAGATTTTATTTGATATTTTTATAAGAACTAATGTTTCTTTAATGAAACAATAATGTATTGTTGTTGACAACACACACTCACACAATATTTCTTCTATATGAAATGTCAGTGATTCACCTTGATAGAATCGCTGAATATCGCGAATATAGAGAAAGAAGAAAGAGAAATAATCAAATAACTTTTTTTTATACTTTGCCGTGAATGATTATGTCGTAGCATGAATAATAATATATATGTGATTTATTTTCTAGTGTTTTTCTTCTTTGTAGTGCCATTGATTCTACGAGCAGCTGCTTGAAACCAACGTCACAGACGAATCAATCATCGGTACAAATAAGTGAATATTTTGATTTTTCATCACTATCAGCAAGTACTAACAATCCTTTTACATCATTTAATGGTAATAGTTTTAATATGGAATCCATTATTTTAACAGATATTGATGATAAAATGGACGATGACATTTGAATAATAAAAAAAAAATCACTGTGAATAAATCCGATTTCTTTTTGTATTTCTTTTTGTAGATAAGTTTCTATGTATAAAAAGCAAAATCAAACTGTGATATTTTAAAACCAATGTCATCTGCATCCGATACTCAATTTGCAACAGTTATGGCTGAGAAATCGTCGAAAATAATAATAGATTCGCCTGACGTTCGACGAGAATCTTCTAAAAATAGATTTGACTTGAAAAATGTACGCGATGCTTTTGTCAATTGTATTCAACCCGACAATGTGCTTCTACTAGGTGAATATGTTCGTGCTTACGAAGAATTATGCATGTAAGATTAAATAATAGGTATACATATTTTATTTCGATTCTTATTTATTTTTCAAGATTTGTTTGTTCTTTGGGTACTGTATTTGAATGGGCAACAAAAGATTTATCAAATAAACTAATTGTGTTGAAAGAACATCAACGTTTCGATCCAATGAATTATGAAACTATTCAATCGATGATTTTATATGAAATTGAATCGGGACGTATTCAATCAAGAGATACAACACTATTTAGTCAAACTGGAAAACCATTACAAAATGGTAGTCGAACATTATTAAGATTGCATCGAGCACTTGCGTTTCTTTCGGCGTTTTTAAGTGAGATGCGAAATGCATCAGATGATGCTAGTTCAGCAACTATCGCTTGCAATGCATACTCTGCAACTCTTGCACAATATCATTCATGGCCAATCAGATATACGTAAGAGATTATATATCATTTTGTTTGTTTCTTTCTTTCTTTAATAATAAATTTGGTTAATTACCAGCAAACTATTAGAAAGTACATTCGTAGAGGAAAATCTAGCGAGTAACTCTCACAATATGATTTCTATTTAGAAAAATACACTACACTATGGAATTCGGTGGGCGTAATTGGAAAGGCTGCTGGCTTGTTTTTATTACTCAGTGTATCGTGCAGGAAGCTTTCTACTTCGTTTATAACCTCAGTAATGAATTTAATGGATGAAGTTTCGAAACCATAGTCTTCCCTGGTTGTTTTGTCTACAAGAGGAAAATCTTGATAGATATTGTTAAAGCTCAATATTTTAGGAGTAAAACTTAGAACAGAATTTAATTCTGATTTCGATTCCAAAGCAACGTCTAGTGTAACAGAGACAAAATAAATAATTTTGTTGATCTTTTCTCTCTGGAAAGATTTCATTATCTGGAAAATTGATCAAAAACTCTGCACAACATATCTTTAATCATCTACGTTCATTTTACCAAAACCTCCTAAATATCAAACATGGACACATACTATAAATTTTTTCGCGGGTTTTCTATTTCATTGTAGTTTGCTCAATGATTTGTTCTTATTGTTACATTTGACAGAATAGGTTTTAAAAAAAAACTTCGCAGAAATAGTTTTTATCTAAACTGTATCAATTTTTACTTGCGCTTTAATTAAAAATAAATTTTATATTTCTAGGATCATTGGTGCCATTAAAGTAGCAGTTCCAAATCGCCAAGAACTTGTCAATAAGCTTCTTACGAAACGAACTACTGATGAAATCAATACATACGCCGACGAAATAGTGCAAGCGTGTAATATGATTGAACGCACAACACAAGAACTTTTCAAAACCTATAATCTGGTAAAATTGCCATAAGCGTCTGTTCTCTTTTTTGCTGTCTATGATATTCTGCTGTTAATTCTGAAAAGTACGTGCTTATATATTTCTTTTCTTGTTCTATTCCATATTGCTGATAACCGATGTAAAAGTTAATGAATAATTACAATGGTTTTATTTATTTTTTATTTTTATTTTATGTTTTTTTATAAAATAATCTTGATATGAGTTACTTATTTTATGAATTTGAACAATGAATGATAGTTACTGATAAATAGTACAATAAAATATAATAAAAATTGCTTATATAAGACATATGATTGAATTTTTGCTTGGCATTTGTATCGATTAAATCGATACAAAAATGAATAGATATATATTTTACTCTAGCGTCATTCCTATGCAACTCTCGCCTAACAATACTACTGTTTTCGTTATGATGAAAGCTTGGAATGGTTTCTAAATCGTAATATATAACAAAAGAGAATATTTTAAGTAGCTAATCAAACATGCCGTGCTAAAATTTTTGTTCAGCAAGAAAAACAGAAAATTTATGCGTTAGTTTTTGACACAAAACTGATTTTTTTCAACTCTCAATATATTTTCATCAAAGAAAAGCTTTTAACAGATGTTTATTAGTCTCATGTGAAATATGAATATGGCTCAGTCATTTTCTGTTCTTGCAAATTGTATTCTTGATTCAAGCAGAACACGTCGAGGTCAGCTGAACTTCTGATTGTAAAACTACAAATAATACTGACATTTCTGTTTGACTTCCTAATCGATGAACCAATATTGGTAGCAATCAGCCAATACCCGATTTTTTCCCCTCTTGATATTGTGTTGCTCACTAGCATGCTCATTATTTGGTCTACTGATCTATTTCGAATGAATGTCTTTTATAGATTTGTAAGAATTCAAAAAAACAAATGTTCATAGTTAGAAATTTTTATCATCAGTAAGTTTCTCTTTTATTTACAGATATTTGAAAAGACATACATATATATACATATATATGTAAAATCTAAAGAGCAGTCATAAATAGATAAACTAAAACTAATAAAGAAAAAAATCACACAGTTGAGTCTTTTCAGTACTGATTTTCTTTAAGATTGTTTTGTTCGTGGAGACGCTTTAATTAATTCTTCGACAATACTTGGATCACTTAATGTTGAAATATCACCAAGATTACTAATATCTGGTTGAACAATTTTACGTAGAATACGTCGCATAATTTTGCCACTGCGTGTCTTTGGTAAACCTGGCGTGAAATGAACGTAGTCAGGAGAAACATGTGCACCAATTATTTCGCGTACACTTTTAATTAAATCCTTTCGTAGTTCCTCACTAGGTTCATAATGATCTTTCAATGTAACAAAACAATACATTCCTTGATTTTTCTTCGGATCAGGATAACCAACAACGGCAGCTTCGATTACGCCTACATGATGTTCAAGTGCAGCTTCAACTTCAGCTGTACCGATATTATGTCCAGAAATAACCAGCACATCATCCTAGGGAATAAAAACAAAAATAATTTCATATGAAATAGATAATTTGTTTTTCTACGAACAACTCGACCAGTTATCCAATGATAACCATTTCCTTTTATTTCACATCCATCACCGGTGAAATAAAAGCCAGGATAACTTTTAAAGTAAGTTTCAACAAAACGTTCATGATTGCGATAAAGAGTACGTGCTTGACCTGGCCATGAGTCAGCAATACACAATTCACCTTTAGTTGGTGGATCTAATGGTTTTTTCGTTTTTTTATCAAATAATTGTGTCTCAATACCAAAGAATGGAAGTGTAGCTGAACCTGGCTCTAACTGCCAAGCATTTGCCATAGGTGTAATCATAAAACCACCTGTTTCAGTCTATTTTCAATGAAAAACAAACCAATTTTCAAGGTCAGAATAGAACAAGGCGTATTCATATTACTTGCCACCATGTATCAATAACTGGACATCGATGATCACCTAAAAACGAAGAAGAAACAAAATAAATCATTTAGTAAAGAAAAATATTTTAGAACTTTACCAACCACATCATGAAACCACTGCCATGCTTCAGGATTAATTGGTTCACCAACTGAACCTAAAATTCTTAATGATTGACGACTTGTTTTAGTAACATATTCGTCGTCGTGTTGCATTAACGATCGAATAGCTGTTGGAGCCGTATAAAAAATATTTACTTCATGTTTATCAATAACATTCCAAAGACGTGATACGTCAGGATATGTTGGTACACCTTCGTAGATAACACTTGTAGCACGATTTGCTAATGGCCCATAGACGACATCTAAAAATGACTATTATAGTTCGATTAATAGAATATGAAATTTAATTATTTACATGAATGTCCTGTAATCCAACCAATATCAGCAGTACACATAAACACATCACCGGGATTATAATCAAATGCATATTTAAAAGTTAAACTTGTATATGTTAAATAGCCACCTGTCGTGTGAACGACTCCTTTTGGTTTACCCGTTGAGCCACTGGTATAGAGCTATTATTAATAAAAATCGTTGTATAGTTTTAGTTTAATTATTTTTCTTGTCAAATTAAACTTACAATAAACAATGGATCTTCAGCATTCATTGGTTCAGGTTGACATTTGTCATTGACTGTTTCCATTTCTTTATGCACCCAAAAGTCTCTTCCTTCTTTCCATTCGAGTGTATCACGTAAGCTAGCACAATCATCTTTCACTTCAGGCATGCCATGATTTCTTTGAAAAACAAGCACTGTTTTAACAGTACTGCATTGTTTCAGTTGTAAGGCTTGATCAATTTTACTTTTTAATGTTGATGGTTTTCCACCACGAACGCCAAAATCCGTTGTAATAACAACTGATGATTCACAATCCGATATACGGTCAGCGATATTATTGGCGCTGAAACCTCCGAATACAACCGAATGTATTGCACCGATGCGTGCACAAGCAAGTAATGCAACACATGCTTCAGCTACCATAGGCAAATAAATAGTAACACGATCTCCTTTCTTAACTCCATGTTTTTTAAGTACGTTTGCAAATTTTTTAACCTCACGTAAAAGTTCACCATATGTTATTTGGTGGCGAGATTCAGTTGGTTCATCAGGTTCAAATATAAGTGCTACTTGTTGGGCAAAACTATGATTATGGTGAATATGTCGATCAAGACAGTTATAGCAAACATTTAGTACACCATCTTGATACCATTTAATATCAACACCACGTGGTGTACGATAATCAAATTCTGTATTTTTTATTTTTGTTGGAAAACGATACCAATCCAAACGTTCAGCTGCCATTTTCCAGAAACGATTTGGATCTTCAATTGATAAAGCATATATTGCTTTATATTCATCTAGTGTTCGTATTGACTCTGGTAATGATGTTTCATTCCATTTTGCATTAGTTGATGTTGTACGATAGAATGTTGATATCAACGGATTGGATAGGAAACTATTCTCAGATGATAATAATGCCGATGGATGTGCAATAGTCTGATGTGTCGTATTATTAGTTGTTGAAGTTTTCATTAATTTTGAAGAAGCTACGGAATCATGATTTTTCGTTAATGTATGAAAACGCGAAGTCGAGCGAGCGGCGTCTGATACATATACGAAAGAAAAACAAGAACAACTATTAGACACATAATTGTAATATTATTTTAAAATATTCACCATTTAAATTTTTTATCCAGAGTGATAAATAGCGAATGGAAGCATTGCCATAGCTGTACTTTGCGGTCAACAACATTGTAAATGATAGCCGACCGTTTTTCAAAAAAAAAAAAATTTCTAAGGTATATTTTTCATCTGAGTTTCTTTTTCGTTCTGTTTTGTTACTGTATGATGGCTGCTTTTTACGTTATAAGAAAAAGGCTTGGTAGTCGAAGGGTTGCCGAGCCCCTTGATTTTATCTTTCGAGAGAGAGAGAGAGATTCAGGCGTTTGCAAAGAAGAAAAAAGAATCAGAAAGAAGCAGAGAGGGAAAAAAACATGCAGGGCGTGATGTAGTATTTATATTTCCTATTCTGTCTTTTATCGAGCACGTCGCAAGACAGATGAAAATAGAAATAGAGATAGACAACAACGGCTTATGCAAAAGTACATACCGACGAAGTTGTCTATATTATATTCACGCGTACAACTGTCAGGGAGTGTAGACAGCTTCGCGTTACTGCGCCCCCCCCCACCCCAACACTTTAGTAAAGAAACTGTGCATGAATATTTTTGTTCTTAAAAACATTGTCTTGCGCCCCTCTACCTTTATTTTTTGTTACATCTTTGATCATACTAAAAGCAATGATATACTAGTTTAATAAATTTATTCTCATGATAGTCCCGATGTGTTTTCGAGTAAGACTCCTTATAATATGGTTGATACGTAGAAAAGAAAAGAAAATATTTCGTCGACTACAGAGAATACTGCATATTAAACATATATGACTTCGATAATAAATCCTGTCTACTTTTCTTTTCTATTTGTATTCTACAATACCGTCTCGCTGAAGCATCGTTCGACGGCTAGAACGAAGAAGAAAAAAGAATATGTCCTGTGCTAACTTGTCGAATGTCTTCGTTCTTGCTTTTCTTTTGGCTGGCACACCATGTACTTCAGAAAGTACAGCAAATATTATTGGTTGTCGGGTTTTTTTCTTTGTTTGATTTGATCTTTTATGATTGAATATGATAAACAAAATAATAGAGACAAATAAAGTACAAAGACAAAATGTCATTTAAACATTACCAAATAATATAAAATTATAAACCGATATTTTTTTCAAAAAAAAATCAAACTACCTATGAAAGTATGCGAAGAATCTTCTGATAATATAACAAATAATAATCTATTACGGATAGCTTATTTTAAAGATCATACGAGTTTAAGAAATCTATTTGAAAATTTCCTAGGAATAATGCATAAATGAATTTCATTCAGAATTACGCTGTCTTCTACTGGTATCGGTTGCAGTTAATTTCCTGCATTGTTTATATTGTTGATAGGTAGATGAAAGGTTGCTGTACTCAATTATTCTCGAGGATGATATAACCAAGGACAATATGCGTCGTTACGAGAGAGGAAAAAAATACTTTTAATCAACCTTTCTTTTTATCTAGTTATTTAGGAAGACAAAAAGCTGCCTTGATTTTTTCCGTTTTAATAAGAACATGAAATGGCTACGGCTTGATTGCGGACATTTTATTCCTCCAATTAAGAGAAAACGTCCGCAAAGTAGAAACAGAGGGAGCGAAACAAAAATAGTCGCAGAGTGGAAAATGTCCGCAAAGCAGAATCGGGGCGGGAGGAGAGAAAAAAATGTCAGCATTATGGAATCAAGACAAGATTTATTAGGTGAAAAAAATACAGAAAAATCATTTATGAAGAATAGTTGAACAACTAACTGTGTTAGGTTGATAATCAAGATTCATTCCAAAATTATAATTTTTAAAAACTATACGGTCTTTATTAGATTGTGTGGAAATTGGAGGAAAGTTATCATCTTTCACAATGGACATTTTTATTTGATTCGTCTAGGTTTAACTTCGTCACTTTCAATGTTTTTCTTTCACAATAAACATGCTTATAAAATGGCCAGGATGACATGTGATGAACAACACTAGACTAGCTCGAAACAGTTGATATTATTCAGTACATCTATTTGCATGAATCATCTTAAAATATCAATTTTCCTTTGATTCCACAATGCGTACATTTTTTGCTCTCTTCCCGCCGATTCTGTTTTGCGGACATTTTCCACTCTGCGACTATTTTTGTCTCTCTCCCCTGTTTCTACTTTGCGGATGTTTTTTTCCAACAATTAAGAAAAAACGTCCGTAATCAAGAAGACGCGCATGAAATTATGCTTGATTTCTTTTGTATATTATTACTTTTTTGGATGCTATTTAGTAGTTAAACATATGTGCTGTATGGACAAGTCTCTAGTATAGAAAAGAGAGTCTCGAGGTCGTTGCGATGACTCAGAAGGCCATGAAGCATATTTAAACTCATGAAGACAGGATTTGGAGGAAGCTCTTCGGAGAAATTCGATGAGCAAAATAAAACGATTGGCAAACGCAAGCAATTTTCTTTGTTGTAGGAGAGCACTCTTGTATATAGATAACAACACGACATTTTTTTTAATCAAGAAGACATTGTTTCGATTTAGAAACGATAATGTAGCAGCAATTTCGACTATCGTTTACGCAGATGTATGAGTATTTTCTTTGTCTATAATAATAATTGTTTATAGTGCTATGTACCCAGTAAAATGATTCAGTTAAGTAAAATGAAATGAAAATAAGAGTATAATTATGTTTCACATAACTTCAGATCTCAATGATTTTTATCTAACATACAGTTATCATCTTCTTGCTATAGATAAAATACTATTTCTATATTAAATAAAACAGTCACCAAAAATATATGTATTCTATAATATTAATAAATATCAATCGACTATAACAAGTTCATCATGAAACGACCTTTAAATTAATATTCTATTACTACTCATTATACTTCATAAATTTTCAAATATTATACTGCGCTATTTTTAGTTTTTCATCAAGAACATTGACGATGAGGGTAAATGTAAACAGTTGGGTTGCGTACTATTATCAGTTAACGAAAATACATTTTAAAAAGACGAAGAACCAAACTAAGCAGAATTATGAGTACAGATTAAAACACGATATATTTCAGCAGTTTTTTTTTGCGTTAATTTGGCAAATATTTGCTACGTGTTTTTTCTAAAGGTACAATTTTGAATCGAACTCGCCGTGTGTAAAGCACCACCCACTGGTAAAGAACGTATAACCTGAGAAATTATCAATGATGTACTTTTATCTTTATTTGTCTGTCCTTTACATTTGCTTTCAACTAGTCCGTCGGTGCACTGCAAAACGAAACTCGATGAGAGTAAATTCTATCTGTATTCTTAATTATTTTAATATCGATAGATTTTCGCCTTAACTTTGATAAAACAATGGCTATTCGGTGATAATGTTTTTAGCGCTAAAACTCGATTAACAAAATGAATCGGTTGATTAAGAATCAGTTTAGAGTATTGGAAGATCAGCTGGGATTTCTTTGTTTGAACTACGGGCTAATCTTTTTTGTGAGAACTAATCCAATGAAACTTTTTTCTTCAACCTGATACAGTAAGTTCACAGATAAAGTTGTCACAAATAATAAAGATCGAATTTGAACAAGCAATTCTAAACTTCTGTATAAAAGATTGTGTTGTACATTGGTAGTTAAATAATATTGAGAAACAGCAGGTCTCTAAAGCAGTTGAACTATTGCCAAACATGTGACAGGACGTTCTACGCAATGAACCATATTTTTCTGTAGGCATACGACGGAGGAAAAAGTCGACAGATCAATATGTGACTTGGATGCTAGAATGAAGTATTCTATAAGTTTGGGATAGTAGTTTTTCAGTATTTGTCAAATTTCATAAAGGAAATCCTTTTTTTTATAAGGAATAGGATGCGAAAAGTAAGCTTTCATTACGGAAAATTGATCTCTGTAGCAATATATTTCTCATTCAATTTTACGAAACTTATACGAAGAAAATATTCATCAGACTATCATAAAACTGTAAACACCATCTCTGCTAGAATCAAAACCAAGACTACTATCTAATCGATTACTGATTCTTTTCAATATTTTCCACGTCATTTATAATTGGTTTCACAGGAACTATATCTCTGCAGTTAACGAAATCTGTTCATATTATCTGAGAAAATTTTCTCCCAGCGTAAAAATGAACAGCGCATGCCAACAAAAAGAAAACAAATTAGCGTTGAAGGCGTTTCACTAATGAAAATTCATAGAAATATTAATGAAACCCCCACGTTATCACTCTTCAAGCTGCGCGTTATAATCATAGCAAAAGAACTATTAGACTTATAAAAATGAAATTGCGTTCTTCATTGCCATTTATTATCCAATGATGAAAATTATTTTATTTGATCTACAAGAGCATATTCTAATACATTAGTCGATCGTTGCTGATTGAAAATCATTTGGCCACTCTATGTATCGAATTCTCAAGGAATACGTACAATGTAAAAATTTTAATTTTCTTCTGAATGTATATCGTCGGACGTCAAACACATCTATTCGACCTGAAATTTCAGTTGCGTGATAAAAGTCTTCAGACTGATTCATCAGTAAAAGTTTGCAGGTGAGTTTTCTATTATGTTGCAAGCTTTGATGACAATAAACTCTGTTCAAATATTCTCTTTCTTACGTTGTAACTATTACTTACTTTGACTGTAGCCTCGAGACTCTGTGGAGGTTCTGCGAGCACGTAACGCGCTAACACATGAAATCAATTTTTCCTTCGTCGTTGATAAAATTAAAATTTCATGCAAAATGTATTTCTCGAAGTAAAAGGGATTTGCGTCAACTAGCTTTGGAGAACAGTGCCTGCTAAACAAAAGATTAAAATTAGCTTTGTTGCATATATAAAAGATCATGTAACGTGTCGCTTAGCATTTTTGAAAAATTTTAAACTCATTTGCCATTGGTATGAAAAACTGCATGGTATCATACATTCAGATCCATTCGAGATGAGCCATTTCGACAACTGTCCTTCCTTAAAAGAAAACGATTATACTGCAAACTTAGGCTTCTTGTAATTTATTTATCACAAAAAAAAAAGGAATCAATAGATGCTCTACAAGTTGTATAGAGATGACTCAAAAACAATCAAGATTTTCTATTTTCAAGGTTTATGATTCACTTTGACATGAAGATATTTGTGACGATTTTGCTATAAATTCATAGGATATCTTTCAAACTTCTGTGTGAAAAAATACAATAATCTGCTCTATTATTTTTTTATCCACAATAGAGCCGATCTATTCGTATAAATCAAAAGCTCGCCTATTCTTGTATCATAATTTTTACTTCCATTCAATAGAGAACGAATTCTCTTCGTCATCATATGAACTCGGTGTTTATTTGATGAAATAACATAGTTTAAAAAACAATGATGACATCAAAACGACAACTAAAAAAAACAATAATTTTTCTATGTTTTTCATTTCGATAGTTGTCGCCGATAATTATTCTTCTAATATTTGTTTGTTTTATTTATGCTTTCGATTCGGATACTCGTGTTGATGAACGACGTTTTGATTCACTGCGTTTACGTTCACGTCGTTCTTTGGCATATTGTGAAAGTAATTTAGCGTACCTAAAAACGAATCAAACTTTTTATGGCAAAAAGAAAACAAGTTGGATCTTCTTACTCGTTTTGAAGTACACGTTGCTTCTCAGCACGTCGTTTCTTCAATGATAATGTATGTCTTTTACGTTGGATACGTCTTGGTGTAATTAAACGTTGGATTTTTGGTGCTTTAACACGTGGTTTTTTACTTTCTTTTGTCAATGGTCGTTTAACAACATATTTACGTACGTCATCTTCTTTGCTTAAATTAAACAATTTACGAATATGATTGGCACGTTTTGGACCAAGACGACGTGGAATGGTTTTATTTGTCAAACCATCAATATCTTGTTCACCACGTTTGGTAATAACACAAGCCAAAACGGATAAATTTGCATCAACAACACAACCACGAACTGATTTACGTTTGCGTTCACCTTTTCGTCGTTGACGATAGCATTTATGACGTTTGTCGAGTAATAAACGTACACGTTGGTTTGTTAAAACACCTTGCATCATTGGAAAACCTTGTTTATCGTTTCCACCAGTGATACGTAATGAATAACCTTTCCATTCATTGCCCAAACAGCTAGCATCGACTTCTTGAGCGATACGTTTCTCCATGAATGGACGTAATTTACGATCATCATCAATATCAAGTAATTTTTGACAACCCGTTACGGGATAAGCGATGTTCAACTTCATGATGATAAAAATCCACTGGCGTGAATCTAGAAACAAAATAAAAAGACATTTGCTATGTCTGAAACATAGTGAGATGAAAATATCGAATTGAACGATGCAAAAATCTTCAAGATTAATTAATCGATCGACGAATATATAACTTTTGATTCCAAATCAATGTCACATGCATTTTCCTGGTAAGATCTAAAAAGTGAAGAAAAAACAACATTGTACAATCCAAACGATAAACTACGCAACCAATCATAGATATCAATGAATAAACGAGAGAGGACACGAATATTTTCGAGCGCACTCTATAGTAGAATAACTAGAGCAAATTTTGTTTGTAGATGTCGTAAAGTCTTAACTAAAAATTATTAATATGCATGTGTGTTCAACACTTCAATTATGAATCATTTACACATTCTACTGGGTCTTTCAAAGAATGCTTTGGTAACAACGCTTTATCTTTCTCTAATTTCATTTCATTGATCACGAAGCATTCCATATTTGTTCTTCTAAAATCATCTCCATATTGGCAGATGAATTTTTGACAAGATTAAACTGAGGTACGTACCAGTACTATAACGAAGGTATTGCAAAAACTTACTGAATAATATTCGCTCTCTTTTTAAAACATAATTCATAGTTTTATTTTCATCGAACTGATAGTAATAGTAGTTAGCCGTTAGAATTAATGAAAAAAACATGACATGTGAGACTATTGGAATCCAAAGTGATTTCTATCGTTTTGAGCAACTATTTTATATGCAACTTTGATCTTTATTACTTTTGAAAAATCGTAGTTCTTAGGGTTTTCCTTGATAAGTATAACAGGACATTCTTTTTATAATTTTAGTAAGTAAAGAAATGTGCAGATGGATACAGTTATAAGATTTTGATGGAGATCATCAACATGTAGACACGAAAAGCGTCAAACATTTTGTAATGAACTAAAGGATAAGAGGAGTTTCATGCGATCATGTAGTTTAGAACTATCTACAATCAGAAATACACCCTCGTCTAAACATCTAAATGTATAGTGATTTCTTTTTTTGCAGATGAAAAAATTCCAGTAAATTCTTTCTATTTCTATTCGAAAATCAAATGGATTTCTTACTGGCTGTATCGACAGACTCATGGCTCTTATACATTAACGATTTTAGAGATGACGCTAGCTAATGATTAAAAGTAAATTAGTAAAAAAAATAAAGAACTCTGACAAAAATAGATTAAAGTAAAGTTCTTTGATATGAACAATTCTTCTAATGCAAGAATCTACTAGATCGGCCATGTTACATAACAGGCGGAAGCAGTCGATCAAGAGATTCGTTATATAATGGATAGAATGAGTCATCAAAGGCCGAATGTAAAATAAAACCATCAAAAAGAAAAAAAGAAAATATCAAGGAGCTCTAAAAATATTTCAACGTGACTCGACAATACAAAGCTGAAGAATGCAGCGAAAGCTAATGAATTTTTTTACTAAAGGTATTGGAAATAGCTACCACTATGAAAATAATATATACATATATATGCTTTATAATACCTGAGAACAGCAATTTCTACTAAAACAGAAGAGAATATTGTATCATCAACTACTGAACAGGTAAAATATAAAATATAAAATTTCATTTAATATTGTTTTATACTCAGATCGAAGCTTTGAATGATCTATATGGAACATATGCTAATCCTGTAAAATCTTCATATCAAACAAATTCAAAAAAACTTCATCAGAAAAAAAATTTGGTATCAGTTTTAAAACAGGTTAGAGCTAAAAAAGAAATGAATAATTTAATGAAATGTATATACATTTAAAAATATATATTCAGCGCGAAACTGGTCTTGTGAATTTTCATCGCTATCCAAATGCACGATATAATTCAATGGATAGGTACTTTGATTTTGGAGGGCTTGATATATTACTGAATTTTTCTTTTTTTCATTCGTTTCAGATTACTACCAAACCACAGTGAAATTATTGCATCCATGGGAAGGCCTACATTTTGTGGACAATTTTCGGAAGATGGACAACGCTTCTTTAGTGCTTGTCAAGGTTGATTCAGTGATGTTACTTGATGTTTTCTATTGATAGTTTCATTTTTTAAGATTATTGCATTCGTCTCTATGATACAACATCACGGAACTTTCACCAACAAGCTGAAATTGTAGCCGATGAAGTTGGTTGGTCAATATTAGATACAGCTCTATCACCTGATCGAAATAGTTTAGCCTATTCGACATGGTCGGATTGCCGTTAGTAAATTTAAGATTTTAACGAATTATAAATTTATTTCTTTTAAATCTTCTTTAGTTTATTTAATCAAATTAAATGAAGGTCTCAGTCAGCCAAAGATCGTTCCATTAAATTTACAACCACATTCACATAGTTTTTCGATATTTTCTTTACAATATTCTGCTGATGGCTCAGAAATAATTGGCGGTTCAAATGATACCTGTGTATATATTTATGATCTTGAGAAACAGAGGCGAACACTACGAGTAAGTGTGCTATTTCTTAAATAAGTTATGATATTAATATATTTCTAAAATAGGTTCAAGCTCATGAGGAAGATGTAAATGCTGTTCGTTTTCTTGATAATTCAAATTCATTAATTGTTAGCGGTTCTGATGATAATCTTGTTTCAGTTTGGGATCGACGTGCACTGAATGAATCACAACCCAAACCGGTTGGTATATTTGCTGGTCATACAAATGGAGTTACTTTTGTACATAGTCGAGTAAATTTATTTAATTCATTGGTTTCCTCTTTTGAAATATACTATTTCTAGACGGATACACGTTATTTAATTTCAAATAGTAAAGATCAAAGTATTAAATTGTGGGATATGCGTCGTTTTGCTAAAGAATCAGCTATTGATTTAATTCGTATGAAAGCAAATAGTATAAACAATGGTTGGGATTATCGATATGATGCTTATGGACCACAACGTAAAACTTAATGTTCTTTTTTTTCTTTTTAATAAAAGTTTCTAATTTTTGTTTAGCAAGAAAATTTGATATACCAGGTGATCCAAGCATTCGTACGTATCGTGGTCATGCTGTTCGCTATACATTAATACGTTGTTATTTTTCACCATCATTTTCAACTGGCCAAAAATATATTATAACGGGCTCTTCAGATGGCTGTATGCGCAGTACGTATTTCTGTGTTATGATTTTAAAGGAAGACAACATTGAATTGATTATCTTTTAGTATACGATGTGCTTACCGGTGACATTATATTAAATCTTCGTGTTAGTAGTAATAGAACTGAAAGTCGTGAAAGATGTCTACGAGATGTGTCTTGGCATCCATATGAAAACTATATTATATCAACATCGGTAATTGTTTTGATTTTACACATCCGAGTTTTTAATTTAGAATGATAGCAAAAATGATTTACAAGCAGATTTTATGGGTAGAAAATAAAACTTATATGCTAATTCGCATTAATGAAATACAAAAGAAAACTAGAAAAAACCTAGTTTTTTATTATTCAGAATTTGAACCTATCCATGTTCAATATGAAACAAATCAATCAAATATAAAGTGCATCGAGCAACTATTTGATCGAAATGTAGTAGAATAAAAAAAAACCTGCTTTAGGATGATCTGTAGGATTATTATAGTTTATGATAAGAATCTGTCAATGAATCAATCTAGAATATGAGAATGATACAGATTCTAGATATCCTTATCTTAATGCTACGAGTGTACTGAACTATTTTAATATATTTCTACTATATCCAATTGTTATTATGGAAAACATACGAAAAATTATTTTTTTGTATTTACATATCGACCGATTCGATGTTCTTGTTTCATGATACAAGTCTAAACACAATAGTTTTCTTAATTTGAATTCTTTTTGATACTCGTACAGATCGAGAACAAGAAGTGGAAAGTCAACCTTCTCGAATAAGGGTCGGCATTACTATATATGGTATATAAAAATGAGCTGATAAGAAATGAAAATAAAAAGAGTATTCTTCTGTCAACTTCATACGTGTTATTATCATGAAGTACAACAACAATAACAGAAATTGTAAAATATACTTCATTGAAGAGACCTACAACCGATATACGTACTTGGTTTACTTGATTCTATACATTTAAATAGGTCGATACTTTTTAGTCTGATAAATAGCAACTCTATTTAGAACATGATTGAAAGGTAAAATTATATGTTTTTATCTGAATTTACTAGATCTTTTCATATTTTTATTGCGTTTCATATGTCGAGCACACAAAAAAATGACGAGTCCTTGAGATTTTTTCTCACATAGTTTAAAATTTAGAATCAAATATTATCTAATAAAATTTTCTTCGTTATTTTCCAATCAATTTAACAAACCATTTTTGTTTTTTTCAGTGGGACAGTCGTCGAGCTCATGTACGTTGGACGTATTCATTGGATAAAACAATAGATTCTGAATCAGCCAGTTCTTCGGAGCCGAAAGTTGTTTCGGTTGAAGCTGAGAGTTCCCCACCAGTACAACGACCAACGGCATTATTACGAAGACTATTGAATCAACAGTTTCTCGGCTACTATTCTGATCAGAATACGGACGATGATTCATCACCAGAAGAAGAATAGATTTTGATTATTTTTTATGCTTTACTTTTTTTTTAATTTCCACTAATTCCGGACCAAAATCGAAATTAGGATGCGTACATATGAGTAGCATCAATTTTAATAAATATACATTTTTTCTTTAATCGTATTTTAGTATAAAATAAAACGATTTCTATGTAATGACATCACGACGTGAATCAGCTGTGCGTCAACATTCATTTTCATTATATAATTTATCAGCAAACGAAATTTATTTTCAAGATTATGCTGTTATCTGTCAAAGTACATTAAATGAAGATCACCAAACGAAAGTTAAAGGCCGTGTAAAAATCTGTTCTAAATCTCTTGTTTTTGTTCCAAATGATATTCGTTCACCGATGATTAAAATTTTATATAAACAAATATCGAAATTTGAAGATAGTGGAAAAAATGAATTCAGTCTTACTGATTCAACAATAGTATCATCATCATCATCTTCATCGTCGTCGTCGTCAAATATCAATAAGAAAAAATCAAATAGCTTAATTATTATTTGTTCATCAGCTACATTAATGGCAATCAATGGACGTATTGAACCATATACAACGACGTATGATACGCATCGTTTTTATTTTGAATTTGTTTATTCAAATGTTGAAGACTGTTTATCAGTTGTTGGTCAACTATATCGTTCAACAACATTACCATTTCCAGAACAAGTTATGATGATTGAATCAATTGTTCAAGGACGATTAAAAATGCTTAAATTTGATTTCAAACAATTAAAAGATTTGAATGAAAAAATTTTATTTGAACAAGATGCATATGTTATTAAACCTTTAATAAAAAACCCTGGTAAATGTTTATTAACAAATCAATGTTGTTATTTTCAAGCATTAAATAATATTAATGAACAGCAAATTGTTCAATATGAGTTAGGTACATTATACAAAATAGCTAAACGACGTTATAAATTTCATTATATTGGCTGTGAATTACAATTTAAATTAGACGATCAGTAAGTATTGCCAGTTTACAAGAAAAAAAAAGAAGGGTCTGATACAGATCTGAGAATATATTGAGTAACTTTTACTGTGCAGGTTTTTATAGACTAAATAATTGTTTTTTTTAGACGACCTAGTCAAAAGAAAATTCTATACTTGGTTTTTGCTAATGAATCTATATGTTCAACATTCTATGACTTAGTACTTACTCAACCGTGTGTCCATCTAGATTTAACACCATTTGAAAATATGACATTGCGATGGCAACAAGGTACAATATCAAATTATGATTATTTACTTTATTTAAATGATCGTGGCGAACGTTCATTTCATGATTGTTCTCAATATCCTGTATTTCCATGGGTATTAAGAAATTATACATCGTCAAATCTTGATCTAAATGATCCACAATCATTTCGTGATTTAAGTAGACCCATAGGTGCACTTAATATTGAACGTTTAGAACGTTTAAAAGAACGTTACACAAATATGAGTCTACCATCGGATCATCAACGTTTTCTTTACGGAAGTTTTTATTCTAATCCAGGCTTTGTTGTTTATTTTCTTTGTCGTCTACATCCACAATTTAGTTTATGTTTAAATGGCGGCCGTTTCGATCATTCCGATCGATTATTTCATTCAATTGTTGATACATGGAAAAGGTTATTTATTTTCTAGAAAATCATGATAGAAATTCAATTCTTCTGCTTTTCTTTTCTTTCTCTTTATTTACAGTGTATTAACAAGTGATTCTGATGTAAAAGAATTATTACCAGAATTTTATATGACATCAAAATTCATCGACGATGAAGATGATGATGAACATCGTTTAGATGGAGAATTTTTAATCAATCAATTTGATATTGACTTTGGTATACGACACGATGAAGTGCGTATTGGCAATGTTCTACTTCCACCATGGGCAGAAAATGAACGTGACTTTGTATATAAAATGCGTTTAGCATTAGAAAGTGAACATGTATCACAACATCTACATGAATGGATTGATCTTATATTTGGATATAAACAACGTGGTGACGAAGCTCGTCGTGCTGATAACTTATTTCATTATTTAACATATGGTGTGCCAGAAGATCATAGTGTAACAGCAATGGAACAATATGAAGAACAATTATCATTAGAAACACAAATTCTAGAATTTGGACAAGTTCCTAAACAAGTACGTCGGGAAAGAATTTAGCCCAATTTCTACTCATTGTTTTTTGTTTTCTAGCTTTTTCTTAAACCACATCCACGTAAATTAACCGAACAAGAATTAAAAAATGGTAAGTAAAATAAATTTTTATTTACTTTGTTCTAGACTAGTTATGTATATTCATCGATGAAACTTCCTGCGCATAAAATAAATAGAAGACTATACTCATAAGATAGTATAATAGAAATTTATCAAATTTCCTTAGATCTCTTTTGAACTCAACTTGATGTTTTACAACATAATTATCATTCTATTTAGTTCTATAGTCATCTGTGCACTTATCCTAACCTACTTTCTAGTATGGCGAATGGAAGCATCTATACACTTGTACTGGAAATCCATTTCCAAACAAATCTCATACTTTCACTTCTAAAATAACTATTTTTATCAAAAGATTTTTCTAGATTAAAAAATCAGTTTTAATAATAATCACTCTAGAATAATTTCAATTTTTTTTCACTCATAGATCAAGAAAAAAAATTAAATGTTGATATCGATCAACCCTCGACTCCAACCGATAATATTACTAATCCGATGGAAGAACATTTGATGCGTCTTCGAGTTCAATCTTTATCATCGTTTGAACATCATGAATTAGGCCATTTTGAATTCGATTCTGTTTGTCGACTGCATAAAACAGCTGTAAGAGGCATTGTTCCACATCCATCATTACCATCGACGCATCTACTAACAATTGGTGAGGATGGATTTTTACGTAACTATATGGTTAATAAAAGTAAAATAGATACATTCTATTTTATATCATTGCGTCCATTGACATGTATAAAATCAATTCAAGTTCATTTTTCAATAGACGGAAACGAACAATGCGCATTAGCATTTGTTGGTTGCTATGATCATACATTATACATACATAATTTACAAACCGGTACATCAATATTATCACAAGTTTTACATGATGATATTATTACAGATTTATTTATAACAAATCGTTCAACACCAACACTTTTATGTACATCATCGCATGATGCAACGGTTCGTTTTTGGTCATTAGAAAATCTTATTTTTGTGAATGAAGATAATTATGTATTTCAACCGAATTATCATTCAACATCAATCCTTCCGATGCAATACGATATATCATTTGATTCATCTTGTACGTGTATGCATGCATTAGAAGAACATTGTCTTTTAGCTGTTGGTTGTCAAGATGGAACAATAAATTTATGTAACTTTCAAACTGGAGAAATACTAAAACAATTAACATCACCGTCATCATTACCAATTTTATCATTATCATTACGTTCTGATGGTCTTTTTCTTGCTTATATATCATCAAAAGCAGTAACACTAGTTGATATTATATCGAGTACCGATGTATTCACAAATACATGCGTATCAGATGAACAATCATTTAAATCTTTATTCTATTCATCACAAATGTTAATTCTTGGCTTAATGAATGGTTCATGTGATGTATGGAATTTGAAAATTTGTGAAAAAGTTCACACATTAAATGTTAATGATAAAATAAGTATAACAACAATAGCATACAATGATGGAATGTTTTTCTTCGGTACTGATGATGGATCTGTACATTCTTATGTATTTGCCAGTCGGCAGCAACTATCGATCTAGTCTTTTGATCATATCATAAGTATGAATGTTAAAACAAACAGCAATATCAAACGAGATGCGCTTATTTTCGATATTTATTTTATTTTTCACCAGAGATATTGATATAGTATAAATCTAATTATGTATGTGTTCAACTCTATTACGTTTCTTTGTTTTGGTTTATTTGAAAACTTGGAAATCGATTCATTTTCTATTCGAAAGTTTTTTTTGGTAATAATAATACATTTTTTTAGTATAAAATGATTGCATATTATAAGTCATAAAAGTAAGAGAAAACAAATGAACTAAACTACTTTTCATAAACTAATCAAAAATAAAACTTTACACAAATATAAATCGATCTGAAATTAATAAACAATCGGCCTATGATAGTATAGACAGCATCTCAAAACAGTTCAAACATCGCGTTCTATGCCAGGCGTCTTGGATTTTATATCGTTGATTTAAATGAAAATTTCAAAGCGTTAATTTGATATTTATTCAACATTAGTTTGTTTTAAGAAGAAGATTTATTTAATAACGTTACCCGATGTTATTCCGATTGATAGAAATGAAAAAAGGAGCCATATGTAACTTTGAGCATCTGATTTTTTAAGAAAATGGCAATATAAATAGTAAAATTTGATCGAATGTTCTTTCATAAATGTTTATTCGGACATAATTTGTTGTTATTTTCTAGTTTGGACACCAAGTATCCAGTGTATATGTTTTAATTCTATTTGTCTGTGTATCAGATAGAGATTTCTAAAGTCAATTATCTAACTTTGCTCTTTCTCTTTGAACAAATATAAATTCGTTCATATTTTTAAATATTTATTCATTTTGTGGAACAAAATTACACCAAGGTAGTTCTATGCAAATCCATTTTTAGAATCGTAAAAATTGAATTAAGAATTTAACTGGAGAAGTTCGAATCTGGTCTTGGAAAACAAACTTCATATCGAAAAGATACTATGTCTCTGTTAGTAATACACGCTTGTTTAAGTATTGAAAAGGCAATCGCTCAGCAGTTACGTCATTTTGTGGTCTACAATTGGTACGGACCAGAACTATAAAAGTAACTGTCGATTGTACGAAAGTTGAATTTATTCACGTTTTCAAGTCTTAAAGAAAAATGAAAATAAGAAATTTTCTCTCGACTATTGTTTATTATATGTATGGCGTGATTTTCAAAATTCTCAAACCAATAAATATGTATGCCTATTATGTCTTTATACTTGTTCTTCTCTCCGGAATTCGTTTACATTGATGCTTTATTGCTGTTGCATTTACAAGGTTGCCTATCTTTTATTAAATTACATCAATCCATGGCAATCATAAAACATTATAATCATCTTTCTTTATAGCATGAAATTATCATATATGTAACTCTTGCTTGATCAATAGGTATTTACTTTGGCAAATTTTTTAAATTCTGTATAGATGAAAATGGTTTTCGTTCAAAAAAACGTAGAAATCAGAACGCCATTCACACAGCTCCATCTAAAAGTACTGAAGTGAATTTTGTTTTGGAGTATATCATTAGTATTGAATACAGAGAAATTACCTGTACGTCAAGATTGCTGCGGTGTTTTTTGCTATTGATTTCATATTTCTTTATTTGATCAGAGCTATCTCAATTTCCATAAATTTTTAGAAAATTTCAATAACTAACGAGAGAAAATGTTTTCTTAAATAAATGAATTAGGAGAGTAACTATTTACAGAAAAAGAAAAACTTAAAAATGTATCAAATGCATCAAGACAAAGTACCCTGAGGTAAATGTTATTTTCGTATGGCGTGAGCATGAGTTGATCAGTTCGCCACAAACGTACATGCAAATAAAGATAACAGAACAAGAAAAAAAAGGAATATTATTTTCTTTCTCAAAACATGATTTTTTTAATATTCAACAAACACGAATGAAATTCTGATAAAACGAGCAATCAGCATCATGTAAACTATTAAATCTTGAAAGTTACTCTTACTGATGTTGCCATAAATCATAATTTGATAATGAGTTATATCTACTTGTCGGAGATTGCCATATAGTTAAACATTTCTCTATTGAAAATCTGTTTTCAATCGTAAGTTTTTACTTCTTTGTTTTTGTTTAAATAGTTTTCAGATATCGGATATTATTAAACAATGGCCAAAGAAGAGAAAGAATTCGGTGGTACACTGGGAGCCATTGGTATAATGATATTTTCTCATTTTATACCATTTTATTTTGCACTATCACTGCAATACAATTCTGGCGGTCTTTATTTTCCATCATCAATTAATGAATTTATTGAAAATTTTAAAGAAACATGTTCACCAACATGGTCGAATTTTTTTCTTTATACCGGTTTTTTTGTTATACAGCTTATATTTGCTGCTATTTTACCTGGTCTTGAGGTTAAAGGTTTACCTTTACCTACTGAAAATAATCGGCAATATACTTATAAATGTAATGCATTATCAAGTTGGTATTTAACATTGATAGTAGGTGGCATACTTCATTTTACTGGTATATTTCGATTAACAATATTAGCTGATAATGTTGGTTCAATACTTTGCGTAGCTGTAATATTTAGTGATATTTTATCAGTAGTTATTCATTTTTATGCTATATTAACCAGTCAAACATGTCGAATGGCCCATTCGCCTATTTATGATTTTTTTATGGGAGTTTGGTTGAATCCACGTATTCGAATTTTAGGACAAGATGTTGATCTTAAAATGATAGCTGAAGTACGTTTATCATGGCTTCTATTATTTCTTTTGATTGTTTCTGCTGCGTTAAAACAATATGAAACATTTCATACTGTTACATGGCCAATGATATTTATTTTAACAGCTCAATTACTCTATATAAATGCTTGTATGAAAGGTGAAGAATGCATTCCAGTAACTTGGGATATATTTTACGAGAAATGGGGTTGGATGTTAATCTATTGGAATTTAGCTGGTGTTCCATTTGTATATGCATTTCAAGCATATTATATTCTTGTGAATTGTTTACGTACAGGAAAACCAAATGAAAATGTGTCAATGATATTTATTATTATTTTATTCATTGTACTTTTTATTGCTTACTATATATGGGATTCATCTCTATCACAAAAAATTCGTTTTCGTATGAGACAACAAGGGATCTATGTAACACAACATGGATTTCCACAAGTTCCATGGAATGAAATAAAGAATCCAAAGTATATGAAAACGGAATGTGGTTCACCATTATTAATCGATGGCTATTGGAAATATTGTCGTAAACCACCATATACAGCTGATATATGTATGGCGACATGTTGGGCATTGTCATGCCATCAATGGACTGGTGCTTTACCTTACTTTTATCCAATATTCTTTTTCTTTATGATTATTCATCGGTATACGCGTGATATGGCTCGATGTCAGGCCAAATATGGAAAAGATTGGACAATTTATTGTGAACGAGTGCCATATGCATTTATTCCCGGAGTCATTTGAAAATTTCTCATATTGCTCTAGTTTTTTTTTTATTATCTTGACTTTGATACAGATATAATGGCGTCATCTTTAAATAGCTCTTAAAGTCCTTATCTGAAGACAATCGATAATAAATGATGATAAGGATTATGAAAATATTATAGTTCTGACTCTTCATTAAAAATAGAGCAAACTATCGACTAGATCATACTGTGTTCGAATTATTTTAAATCAATTTTTTTTTCTTCATATAAAATATACACTTGTAGATCGAAAAGATGAAAGTTCTCAACCTTCACATTACTATACATTATAGTTTCCTTTTTTTTAGCTAAGAACATTTTTTTTAACTTTAAAACAATCAACAAACTGGCTCTATTGTGAACATTCAAATAAGAACTTCACATAACGGAAATTTAGCCCCAAAAATAAATTTTAGTTTTTAAGAAATTGTCATAAAGAATATTTTTAAGTCACAAATTTAAAATTTGCCCATCTGAAAGCGGATCCATCAGATAGTGGACAAGGTTTTGCATGGTTTAATGTCAACTATTAAAATTACTTTTACGACCAACACTCAAGTTTTAATAAACCACAGCAGCTGACACATTGGATTGAGTGAATATGCAGGATATATAAATATTTGGATTATTGCACAAAGGCAAAGTCAAATGAAATTCTCTATTTATAGATGCATAAATGCATACTTTTGTATGAACTTACATGAGACGAAAATTACATTTATATTTAGTCCTATTCATTAAAACTCGGATTAACAAACGAGAAGGATAAGCACAATAAAATTAAAATAAAGCGTGTGGGAGTGGCTATGGTATGACGTCTTTTCTTCGACTACGACGATAACAAGATCAAAATCCAATTATATAGACTCGGTAATCTTTCCGAAGACGCCGCATTAACAGTTGTTTTCCTGGCGTAAATTTTCGCTACTTAATGTTCTTGTGCTGAAGTAATGCTATGTTTATCTTTGCTCGAGTGCGTTCTCATTCTGTTAGTACTAGAAAACTAAAATCGAAAAAATAACAAAAATCAACGTTTATCGAAATTGTATTCGATTAAGCTTGAACATTTCCTTTTGAATGCTGTCCATCAAAGTGCGATAGATTTATCGGTTCATCTTTGTTATTATCATGTTCATGTTTGATATATTTCCATAATAAAACTAGTACTAATAGACGTAAGAGCGTAGTAATAGAATCTAGAAATATCATTAAATTTCTTTGATTACGAATAAACGGTAGACACGATTTTGCATCATCGAATTCAACTTCACTGCATGTGTCAGAATATTTTGTTTGAAAACTTTGAAAATTTTGTTCGGTATGTCTTTGATCATCGATAGAACAGCATCTATGAAGAATCAATACGATTAAATAGACTGAAAACACAAATCTAATCTTAAAACTAACTTGCTGATTTCAATTATAGCTTTTATTGATGGATTTAGTTCTTTATTTTCTTCAATATGAGAAATCAATTCATTCTTCATCTTAGAAACTATTGTAATTAATTCGTAAATATCACTGAACAAAAAGAGTACGATGACAAAACTCATGGCATAAAATATTCCATATGAAAATAGTTTATTTGGTTGTTTACGTGCAAATAAAAGGTAGAGTATTGCACCACATGCAATAAGATAGAAAGCTTGAAAAATAGCATTTAGCATATTGCGTTGAATGAATAGTTCAAAACTAAATACAAGCAATCCGAAAAAGGCTCCGAGTCCATAAGTAATTCGAAGAATTAAACGAATTAATTCATGAGAAAGTTTCATTTTCAAAAAAAATATTTTCAAGAAAAACAAAATTATAAAAAAGTGACAGGTGATTGTTAGTTACTTAAAAAGCGCTACATCATATTTTTTAGGTTTGTAGCGACAAATGAAAAAGTTAAATTTGACGATTCAATCATCTAACTCAGATATACGAAACGAGGCGCTATTTACTTACGTGCTACTGCAAGTATTTGAATTCAGCTTTCAGATTTTGACACTAACGATATTAGATTTTATTATCGAATCAATTTTCATAAAAATTTATAACTCGACACTTGCACAACGGATTTTTCTGTAGGTTTCGAGAATTAAAATAGTGCCTTCCATTTTTACTCTATGGTATTGTTCAAATCAAGTAGCGTTGCATGCTTTTGACTAATGAAGTATTGTGCAAGAAAATGCCGCTTTATATTATACGGCAAAAGCTTACGATGACTGAATTTGAGTAGGCGATTAGTTTGCACAAGTTATCCAAGTATTGATTTGTATAGAAATTGACGTAGATGACACGGAGCATGCTAACCCGCCGAATAAGGTCGAGAGGTTCGGTTCGATATTTGCAATGTTTATTAAATATCCAGGCAAATCTTACTGAGAATTTCATATTTAAATGACAACAAAATTTTCATACAATCACAAACCGTGAGAATTAAATTATTGCTTGAAAAATATATGAACTCTTAATGAACTATGCAACCCGGCATTGTTAATTGAAAAAAAATACGAGCGTATAGATCAATAGATCTTGTATATTTTACAGACACAAAATTAGTCTTTTTACCGGCCATTTAAATTGGTCCTGTCTGAGAAACTATTGAAAAGCGCATTCCCGATGCCCTTGCTCATTGCCATATAACTTCGTAGAGCATCAACTGCTTGCAAAATATAAGTTATAGATCAGATTCTTATACGAATGTAATTTGTAATAGTTGAAATGTTCACTTCTATTCTATGACAAATCGAATTAAAGATATATTTCTCATCGGATACACGAGCCGTTTCCGTTTCATTGAGTATTGTTTTTGACAAGTATAGAATTTCGATTTAGAAAAAAACAACGAACTCATTTTCTTCGAATGTTAATTTTAATAACTATACTGGTTCACTGATTTGTATATTCATTCTAGATAGATTCCTTTGTAATTTTTATGCATTTACATCTTTATGTTTATTGCTTCTTTTCTCTAGTCTATTTCGTATCAAATAATAGAAGTTTCAATTGATTTACATCAAGTGATTAAATTACCATAGCAAAGCTATTTCTTGCAGTATTTTGGTTCATGTCTATTCTCGCACATAATTATCATGTCCTCAAATACTTTAGTCAATATATTTCTATTTACACGTCATTATAATAGTGATATAATAAAGAAGATAAAAATAAAATAATACTTGAAAATGTAGACAACATGAAAAGAAAAAAACTGATTAGACGTTGAGCGGAAATAAAATATTTCCATATAATATTCTGCTTCAAAAAGAAAATCGATAAACAAAAATCCATAATAAATTAAAGGGTGCACAAGACAAAATAGTGCGTTTTAATTGTTCTCAATTAATCGAAAAAATTTCATTTTCTATTTCATTTGGTTCTCAAGATTTTAAAATTTCATGTAATCAAAAGAAATTGATTTCGAAGTATATCCTATTCTCATTTTATTTTTCCGAATGAATAAGTAATCATGACATTGGTTTACCTCGTTCGCCTTTATCGAGCATTTCATGCTAAGACTATGAATATTTCAATCTGATTTATGTGTTCATTTATCAGAAAAAAAAGAACTTTTTTTTCTTTTTCTTTAGTCTTAGTTCATTCAAAAACAAAGAAAAATATTTCTGTTTCCGATATCGGCTTTCTATTATATAAATTCTTATTAAATTAATCCCCTTTTACAAATAATCGTCACACGAGATCATATTTTTTTCATGTGCGAGAATAATTCCCTTAAAAATTTATCGATTTATAAAGAATCTTAGAGAGTCATGACAATAAGAAAAAACACATCACCACCTATATGAATCATTTATTATCAAAATATTATACAATCGTCTATAACTAAATTATGATTAAAAACAAAAGCATACACTTTATCTTAACTAATAACTGTGAATGTTGATGACAATAGATTGAGTCATATTTTAATAGTTATAGTCAAATGTTGAAAGAAATCAATTTTATTCTTCTTTATTTAGTCTCAAAGAACAAATGTGGATAATTAAGTCATTTTATTCAATCGAGAGAAATATATCGGCTAGTGCATGACATATTTTTTAATATTTGCGTTTCATATTGCTTTTTCCCTTTTGTTTTCTGATGTGAAAATATTTATTTTGCTTTCCCCTGTCTTTTTTTTGAATAATAATAGATAGAGAGAGAGAGAGAGAGAGAGAGAGAGAGAAACGAAAGGGTGTATCGTGCTCTCGATGGGTCTACAAAGACAAGAAGATCTATTCAGAGAAAGAAAGAAAGAAAGAAAGAAAACAGAAACAAGTCATCTTCTTTTGCCATAAAGGAAATAAATGAACTCCAAGTGTGCGTGCTTGATGAGGGTGCTGCCATCGGCTACAGCAACAACCACTTTTACTATAAAGAAGAAAAAATAAGAAGACGTAGCATCTAAAATAACAATTAACTGACAAGCACGAGCTTGTTTCTGATGACAGGAGAGTCTTTTTCTTTGTTCCGTTAGGTAGCAGAGACGGATGAGCATGTTGTGATTAGAATGTGTTTTATTTTTGTGTGCCTCTGTATTTTCGTCTATTTTTCTCATGTGTAACTAACCGAAAGATGGTAAGCTTTTGTCATGTAAAATGAAGCTTGAATAAAAAACTAAGCACGATCTATTAAAGTATTTATGAGATCATCTATATTATCAAAAAATCCTTTTTTGTTTTAATTTCCATATTCCAAACACACTCTCACCCTCTAGTGACCTGTGTGTAACTACATTTATATATGCATCAGATTACTTTTTGTGTTAATGAAAATATTTCTTATATTCGTATTTATAGATACCTCTCTCTATATATTATGCATACCAACAGACTGTCAAGGGCAAGTATTTTAATATAGAGTTGACTATTTATCTTAAATATTTCAAAATAGATCTTTCAATAGCTGTTTACAAGTTATATCAAGAGTAATAATTGATGTTTTTTTCCAAGTTTCTAGTTTCTTCATGTTGATTAGAATAAAAATAGTAGAAAGGTGAAGAGCAAAACGAAAAGAAACATGATTTGATCATTGACTATGATCAGTAATACATTCTTTTCTAGACTATTTTTGAGTATTTGTTTTCTTGTTCATAAACAGCAGGCATAGTAGACGAAGCGTCACACTTGCCTTTTTTCCGCTACTTCTCTTCGTCACTTATTCTTCTCTTTAGTTTGCTGACTTGTTATTTTGCACTCCTTCAAAAAAAATTTTGCCGATGGAATGAGTGCAGAAATTGATTGAATGTATAATGAGAAGTGTTTGAAATTACTGACAGCGTCGCTGATTAAAAATAGGTAAAATAATGAAACAGAACGAGATGGTATGTGCGAAAGAGATAGAGGGATGTTAATATCTAAACTGGATAGGTAAGTATAGACGCTATAAAAAAAAAAGAGAGAGAGAGAGAGAGAGAGAGAGAAAAAACAAAATTACTTCCTGTTCACAATCCTGTTTCCCTTCATTTTACTAATTCCGACTCTTATATCTACTAGTAGTCATCAAGCACACACACACACACATACAGAGATCCCTCATTCGTGGTAATAACGGCATCTTTCATCTTGATCTATTGTGTTCAACTTCACAGATGACATTATAGCTAAGTAGATTGCGAATTTTTACACTTATTTTTATGTATAGAAATCAGTTTTTGTCACCTACTGAATAGGAAAGTAACACTTGAGTGAAGATTGTCAGAAATTCTCTATCTATTAAATCTAGAAAACAGGCAAGAATTGTAATTCTATGTGTCAATCTATATCGACTTTAAGGAACCGGCAGTCCTTTGTCTATGTGTTCGATTGTTCAAAATAAAAACAAGAGAATATTGTGTTCTAGATTTTATTTTTGTACGATGTAAGAACTGTCATATCTACAAAGCAAACTTAATCGAAACTTCAATCATCTATGGACTCACTTAACCCATTTTCAAAATCAGCAAATTTTCCATCATTTACACCAATTAAAAATATTGATCGTTCATCAACGGTTACATATGGTGATGGATGTGTTTATACAGGTCCTTTAACTGCACAATATTACGTAGTTCAACCAAAATCGATAAGCGAAATGTCAAAATGCGCAACATCTCATGATGACGAACAAAACAATGCTTCATTATCATCTCCTAGTATAAATAATCTCTCACTAACATCTTCGCCATCAATTGAAACAACGAATAGTAGTAGCGATTATCAATTTAAAGTTATGCTATTAGGCGATAGTGGCGTTGGTAAGCTTCACATTATTTCTATTTTGATTTATTTATCTTATATATAGGTAAAACATGTCTGCTTGTACGATTTAAAGATGGTACATTTCTTTCTGGCAGTTTCATAGCTACGGTTGGAATTGACTTTCGAAATAAACTAGTCACACTTGGCGATAAAAAAATAAAATTGCAAATATTTGATACAGTAAATTTTTTTTTGTTTTAATTATTATAATAAACTTCAGTTGTACTTTTCTTTTTCAAGGCCGGCCAAGAACGTTTCCGTTCTGTAACACATTCATATTATCGTGACGCCAATGCACTATTATTGCTCTACGATGTAACATCATATTCATCATTTGAAAATATATCAGCTTGGCTAAGCGAAATAAAAGAATCCGCACATGATGGTGTAATTATAATGTTAATCGGAAATAAAATTGATAAATCTCAACGTGTTGTATCAAGAGAAACTGGCGAACGTTTAGCAAGAGATTATGAAGTTAGCTTTATTGAAACATCTGCTAAAACAAGTCAAAATGTCGAATTAGCATTTATGGCAACAGCTCAAGCACTACTTGATAAAGAATTAACTCGAAAAACTCAACATAATGGACATTTTACATTAAATGATACATTTAAAATGTCTAGATTATCATCAATCAATCACAATCGAGATAGTTATAATAATACGACGAATAGTTCTAAAGCTTCTGGCCGGTGCTGTTATTAATGAGAATAAAGCAAAAAAAATCAAAAGAGAAGAAAGTAAAACAACTTATTCACACGAATTTTAATGGAAAATTTGTTTACAGTTGTCAATATGCTTCTGTGCTTTGTCAAAAAATAATAAATTCAACTGAAATAGCTCTTTAAATTAATTAATAGTTGAGAAAGAAAAAGATTCGTAATGTGACACGAAACCAATATAACTAATATAATATTTAATCAAAAAAGAGAATCGTTAAAGGAAACTATTGCGTTTTTCTATTGGAAAATGCGACCCGATAATTTTTTGCAAAATATCGTTTAATTTTTCGAAATATATATGCAATATTTTTCAGTGTATGTTAAATATATAGTTGAACCTTAAAATGAGCTATGAGATCTTGCGACATAACTATAGCCTAGAGAAAAATATTCATACGCAAAATGGTTCTTTTTGATCAAGTTCGCATACCGACTCATTAATTAAATAGTCCAGGATTAGAAATAGTTTTAACTGTTATTTCTCAAAATAGAACAAAGCTAATTGTAATTCGATTATTATTTTCTAGAATTATAGCTAATAAGCTTCACTAAACTATGTAGTTATTTCTGTATTGTATTTAATTTACCAGGGGGAAACGACGGATTTGAAGTAGAAAAGTAAGCCAAAGCACTTCAAAGTAGACTACTTGAAGTAGCTCAAAGTACCATCCAAGTAGCCCAACGTAGGAACAAGTAGCTTAACGTAGTTCAAAGTAACTTCAAGTTCAAAAGTCTACCGTTCTCCCCTTGTTAATTTATCATAAACGATAACAAAACTTCTCATGTTATGTTAAACTTACATAATTCTGTGTGAATATCAATCATCGAAGAGCTTTTGACTGTTGTTATTAATTATGGTGTTATCAGATTTCGAACTGATAATTATCATTCTAGTAGAACTTATGATTCAAACGGTGTAAATCTAAATAACAACAGATAAAGATTTATTATTAATAATTCAAGATAATAGTTGACATATGTCACATAAAAATAAATTCTTATCGTGAATTATTGTCTTCTATGAATATATTAAATCCTTCAATTTCCAGTTCAAAACTACCTCTAGTCTATATACACGTGCTAATCATCAAAGTCGGAATTGTGCAGGTATCCGTTATAACTCGATTGTAACAACAAAACAACATGTTTATAGTAATGTGAAATTAATAATTAGTGATTGGGTGAGAATACTTATTAAGCATAAGAATACGTTTATTCTTATCTTTAAAATCTAGGCAAAGAAGAGTGTGTTTCTTTTTTCTATTGATGTTATAGTCTTATCCAATCAGATTATCGATCTTGCGCAACAATCTGAAATCATATTTTGCAAATCACACTAGAATTTAACTGAAAGTAAAATAAAAAAGCTCTATAATAGAAAAACATGATAAATGATTTGTATATTACAATCTGACCCAATCTATCATATATAAGCTATGACTATTTTAAAAAGTAAAGAACAGTCAAAAGCACGTCAATGAAGAGCAAACAAGTCATTATTTTCACCAATTTATATTATTTTACATGATTAATTATTTTCTTCTACTATTCATAACAACTGTGAATATAAATGAATGATGGTCTAATTATTAAGATTCGATAAATAGTACGTTGTCTACAGGCTTTTACTTGGATTATCAACAACAATATGTAGTGTAATGAAAAACATCTATTATAACCTTTAGAGGATTTCTTTCGGTAAAAGTTCGCAGAATATTTATTGACCTGGAAATCATGACAAAAGAGAAAAACTAACATAATATATAAAAATAGTTATGAAAAACGACCAAACAAAAACTAACTCATAGCGAACAACAAATATCAACGAAAATAAATTCTTTCATGAATTGAAAATTCTCTCTGTTAATTTTAAACAATGAATAACAATTTCTTTTTCTTTTCAATTAGATAATGAACATACTATTAATTGATTTCTACACATAGCTATCTTCTTTTCATGAATAACACTTGTTCATTGTTTATATCTGCATGATTAATGGATGAATAACTTCGGACAAATTTCAATCGACCGTATCCTTATCAGAGACTAATGATTTAACTACATTAATGAATATGATTCATTCCTATCTACTACTATTTTTCATTTGATCCTATCATCATTGAACTTCTTATCTTTAAACATAAGCATTCTTTTCTTTTTCTACACCGACATGCTAAAACAAATAAAACATTGCTACAAGACAGCGCCTCACTCTATATTCTTTTTGTCTAAAATAAACATTGACAAAATAAATATATATATATATATTTATATATGAATGTATGAGATAGTATTTTATGTTCGATTTCTATTGACATATACAATGGTATAATATCATCAAACGATAGAAAGAAAATTCTTCCGTCCCAAACGATAAACTAATTTGCCGGTTTTTTTTCCGCTTATATAGATAGGAAAAACAACATTTGATCATGGAGAAGGAAATAAGATCATTTATATGGTTGCATCGCCTAACAACATCAGACTGATTGAATTCTTTGTCTATCTCGAGAGAGAGTGGGACGGAAATGATTATCGGGCGGAGATAATTCTTTTTGTTTTCAATTATAACGAAATACAATGATCGAAAATAGACATTGAGTAGATTCATATTCGAGTTCTTTTTTTCTCGCTCTGCAAAAAACAACAACAAAAACAACAGCAAAAACATAAAAAAGCAAAAAAAAAAGAAAGGAGCAAAGCGAAAAACCCTTCCATAAAAAGAACTAATAAATAATGTTCAAGATGTATGTTGTTGTCTTTTTTTCAATTTGTTCATTAAGGCATCAATAAAACTCATTTTTTCCTCTTATTTTTTGCAATCTGACACAACAAACATAAACAGAACAAATAAAAAAGAAGGAAAGAAAATCGAACCGATACAGTTGGAGAGATCGAGCAGTTCATGTGTTTTTTTTTGTTAGCCGTTGATGATAGTTATCTTACGCTTAAACACACACACACACACACACACACACACACATTAAATAAAATAAAATGAGAAAAGAAATGATACACACACGCACACACGCACACACACGCGAGCATCTACAATAAAGCAGAAAGCATTCTCGGGATAAACAATCTAATATGTAGAAAAAACGAAAAGGAAAAGGAGAAAAAAATCTTTCAAAAAAGTTTAAAGCGTTTTTTCAGATCAACACGACGCCATTCCGGTAAACGATAAAAATCCGATCTTGTCATTTGGAATAGTGTATAAAATTCATTATCAGAGAGGTGACACTAAATATATTTTTGTTCAATTTAAAATTTTTCTAAACAATAACGATTACAAACCTCCAGACGGTCTCGATCAACATCAGACGGTAATCGTTTCTTGGACATTATTTTTAATTCTTCATATGTATAAAGTTTTGGATTACCCATTAATATTGGAGCTGAACGAGTTGAATGTGCATGTTGAGAATTCAAATATTGACGATCACCGCCACCACCACCAACACCAACAGTCTATAGAAAAAAGAAATAGATCTAAACATTTAACACAAATATATTCACTATTATACCTTAGTTGATTTATTTTGATATCCATCGTGGGAATCTAATTGGCAGAAAAAATAATAACTTTTAAAATAAGAAAAGAATATTTTTATTTACAATATGAATTTGTAATTCCTAGATCGGTTGAATCTAAATCACAACTTCTTTGCATATCAAGGGAAATTGGTAATGTTTGAGCTTTAGGCGATGGTGTTAAGCCATAGCCAGGTCGAAGAACTGCAATAAAAAGAAAATTGAATAAATTTTTATTGCTATTGATTATTTTATGAAAAGTAAAGCTAGCTTCCAATGAGGTAAAAAAAACAACAGACAGGTAACTAAGTGCAAGAAGAAGTTCAAAAACGCAAAGTTCTTTTTTTGTTTTTAATCAAACCTGGTGTCTGTGCGATAAAATCATATGCAATAGGACCTAAATCTCTGTTTTTAAAAGAAAACTGATAAGTTTTAATCAAATTTTCATACTTTGTTGATTATATCTTGGTAGTGTCACACGTTTTCCACCGGCTGGTGTAGTCGACATAGATGTTGATAGACCAGCAAGACTATCATCAGCATTTGTTGTTGATGATGAATGTGTATGAACACGTCGTGATGGTGATGCGAATGTAGGCGACTCAAAACGGCAACGTCTCGGTGGTTCAATAGCTGCTGATGGTGAGCGTGAAGCTTTCCATGGATCGAGTGGTAATTGTCGTGCGATGATTTTCTCTTGTAAACGTAAATCTTCGAGTAGAGCATGTGCCATACCGGATGCATCTTTTAATTTCGACATCATACCAATATCTTTTTCTAATTGTGAATCATGACGAAGTTCACCGTCGGTTGTATCATCATCATCATCATCGTTGTCATTTAAATTTTCACTTGTTATTGTAATATCATCCGTTGTATGTTGTTGTTGTTGATCCTGTTCATTAGATATTGAAATTAATTGAGGATAAGGTGATGTCGAAGGTGACGTAGACGATAAAGTATGTTTTTTAGGTGTTGTTTGACTATGTTGACGAGAACGATTTGAATGGGATTCGGCACGAGATTCACTACGACTATGATGAGTTCTCATTAATTCCGGTACAGCTTGAATAGCGAGAGGAGCTGGCCAATCGAGTGATTCAATTTTTTTTGGTGCTGCTGGATCAGGTATAAAACCACCTGAATAACGTGAAAGAACAATAGGTTCTTCATCAACGCTTGGTGTTTGTTGCTGTGAAGGAGATGTTGAATCATTTATTAGAGTTTTCGGCGTAGACGATATAGACTGTGCTGATAGAGGAGATGCATGTGGTACAGAACAATGTATTTTACGAATTTTAGTTTGACCTAAACAAATGATTTATTAAATTGATAATAGAATATTATTAAACATACCAGTTACTAGTGCTTTCATGCCTTTTTTAGTTCCCGGTACACTAAATGTTTGTGTTCGATTGTATGAAAAACCCACTGCAAAAAAGAAATAAAAACAATATTGAAATCAATTCTTATCAATAATCTATATAGAAAAAGCACTTTAACTATATCTTGATTATAACAAAAAGCATTGTTCAATTATGAGCTGTTTTTTTTCTTTTCCTTTATCCTTCATCCTTTTCCCATTAATCTTATTTGAATATTTAACGTCTGTCTTATCTCATATCTGTTAAGAGTCAAATTATTATGTTCAAAGAAATTAAATCATAATTGATGGCATAGTTTTTCACTAATCACTGCCCAATAAAGCTTTTTACGTGACGTATAAACATACCAGAACACAAATATATATATATATATATATATATGTATCCTCTCTTTCCAACGTACACACGTAAAACCGATTATTGCATTCTATACGTATCATGATCGCCTGCAGACAGTGTGCCACTTAGCGATTGCTCTTGGACCTTTCAATGCACAAATGAGAAAGAGCTTTGTTTCATTACATAATCAGTAAAACTTTATCATCTGTAAAGTTGACCATACTGGTCAAGTGAGCATAACTGTGCAAGCGTATATAAATATAACTAAAGCGTATAATTAAGTTATAGATCTACTGTATTGGGCTTATATATAAAAAAAAAAGAGAAAAAGATTGGTGCGTCGTATAACTGATATAATCTTTCGTTGTTTATGTTTTTTTTTATTGCTTCTCTTCCTAATGATGATCAGATGAAGTAAGAAGGCAAGGTCATAATATTAACACCTACCCATTTCTTTTCGTAATGATGAAATTTGCCGATAGTGATGAGGATGGTGAACTATCAACATTCTTGATTGTTTGAGTATAAATACGTCGTCTTCTTATCGCTTCGTTATTAATCGTAGTTGCACACAAACAGACACCAGGCACAACTTAGTGTGTGTGCGTGTTTTTTCGCTCCCTTCTCTCTTCTCTTTTTTCCGTTGTCTTTCTCATTTTTTTCCTTTCTCTATTCATAGCTTTTTTCGTTCTTGACATCTGTTATAGCTACTGAGAATGTTTTCTACGACGTTCGGTAGCTATATTTTTTGAGCTGTCGCCTTTAAATTTCTCACATATGACTTGTTCTTTATTTCATTGTGACAAGGTCAACGGGTTGGCTCCAAACATACATCTATATATTTTTTCAATTCTTTTCCCTATCGTCTTCATCATTTGTTCATTTCCATCTAGCTACTTTTTTCCCTATTCTTTTTTTTATTTCATTCTATATGCATAAAGAACTCCGGAAACGTACGAATGAATAAAGGAAAAGGAAAGAAGGCTTCTCATCAGCTGTCGATAAAGCATTCAATTCTCATGATGATCGAGGAAATCATACAAATCAAAAGGAGTTTCTACATATCGTATACACAGCTGGAAATCAAAGAATACGATAAGAAGAGAGAGAGAGAAAGGGCGTGTCCACCTGTTGATTACTCAATCGATAGTACTCTTTCTCTATCGGATTCTTTTTCTTCTTCTTTTTCTCTGTTCAAACCGTGTAATCGATATGATCATCATCAAAAGGCAGTAGTAACAGAAGTTTCGTCGTCACCTTTCAAGCGAAACAAATTATTGTTATCGCGAATAGCTATTTTGCTTTTTCTCTTGCGTCATTACTATTCATTCATCGTTTATTACACAACAAATTCGATCATCCAAGCAAATTTTCTTACTATGTGTTCAATCGAAACACATTATAAGTGTCATCCTTCTTACTAAAACTCATTAGAATATTCTTCGTAATTAGAACAAAGAAAAAAAGCAATCCCAAAAATAATTACTTGGTCGATGAAAATGTGGTGATTTCGTGTACGATGCTATATGATCACCAGCTCTTTTCATATAGCCCATATTTTCTTCACCATTTATATAACCTGATGTTAATATTCGATTGAGATCACTTGCAGCTATTTGACTTGGGGATGATACACTCATTGTTGTCACATGACAGCTCTAATGAGAAGAAGAAGAAAAAAATAAATACAAGTGCCATTATTATGTATAATTAATGTATTAATAGATTTGTATCTTGGCGATACTTCACCTATGCCTCGTTAGTCACAAATAGTAATTTCGTTAATTAGTTTAAATTTTAAAAACGCCTGAAGAAAACTAAACACATCTTTCGCTTTTTCATAGGAAACATGAGAAAAAAAACATGAAGACGAATCTTCTGTCGAAAAAACAACATATATTTGTCGCATACATCATATTATTTTTCTCGACATTTGAAAAGAAATCAAAGAAACTCTATTTACTTTATGTGCTGGTAAACTAGATAGCGTAATGTCTGTTAAATCACGGGGACTTGGTTCGCTTGAATCGCATATGTGTAGTATTTTATCTGATGGATGATTAACATCAACATGAATTTTTGACGTTTGATCGGCAGTTGGACGTAATGTTGTAAGATTCTTATCGTACGATATTGGTGACGATGTTCGAGGCGAACATGAAGCTTTTTTTGAAATCGATGTTGACAATGGAACAGATGATGAGTAGTCAAAACCACCTGATTCATTATCTTGATGACGTTGTTGTTGTTGTTGTTGTTGTTTATTATTTCTAGTTAATAAATTTTCTTTATTTTCATTTGTAACTGGAGTGGACTGTTGTTGTGATTGTTGAGGATCGGATTTTTTTATTTTTCTATTCAAGAAAGTAAAACTGTTTAGATCAAATATTGTCATATTTTTATTTGCTGACTTACTTCTTCTTAAGAAATGAAAACATGATGAAAATAAATAAAACGTTCTAAAATATAAAAACAAAATAGATCGATGAGGATTCGTATCTACTTAGAAGACCAAGAAGAAATAAACTTGTCTAATCTAAACAATCAATCTTCGTTATTATTATTATTGTTGTCTGGTATCACTTATTCCCTCTTCATTCATATTCGGTACTTTTCTTTTTCTCTTGATGTACACATACATTTCATCGATATGGGTTTTAAGACAATGAGCAATAGAAAGACAGAATAAGAGAGAGGAAGAGAATAAGGCTATTAATGGATATGAAAAGAAAAATCGACCGAATAGATGTATTAAGCACCTACCAACTAGTTGTTTGTGTTATAACTGTCGCCGATTTTCCCTCGTACAAAGTAATCGAAGAAAAAAAAGAAGCAGATGCGTAGGTGTCTTCTTCTTCTTGTTCTTTTTTTTCTTGAGACGAACCGATGCAATACAATAAGAATAAGGATGATCGACGCGATGATAGTTATCTAGCAGCGCGTCGTATACAAGTATGCTTCGATTAGACGACGACAAAGGCCAAACAGTAATGAAAACACCAACAGTATTACAAGTGATCACGAATCAAACGACAATCGTGTTAGTATTTCGAAGGACTATATATACTATCAATACTTCGATCTGCGTATATACTGCTGCCAATACAGGCCGCCGTAGTGGCAACATCTGATACCAGCGTCACAAAACAGAACATAAGCATTCAAAAGGCGTATATCTGGCAGATATTTTCTTTCTGTCTCTCCCTTCTCCCTTCCTAGCTTCCATTGGCGTCTGTCGATAAACAGCGAACGATGTGCTTTCTCTCCCTCTCGTTCTTGTTCCTCTTTTCTTGGTTGGACGATTGTGCCTGTAGCATAAAGAGATCCCATTTGTGTTAGTATGCGCTACGCGCGTATATACTATGCCGATAGGTCACAGACATACGTACATATGCACGCATACACACAAATACATAGTCTATTCGTCATTTCTCTTGTTTCGGGTCCCGACGTCTTCTTCTGTAAATAGGTTGGGGCACAGAGAAAGGAGGGGGGGGGGGGGGGGGCAATGGAAATTAATAAAGTGACACACATACACATACGTATGTTTGATGACAAAGAATGGCAGCATTTCACGGACTTCCTTTGGTGTCACCGTCATCAATTAGAATACTATTAATATAAATATATACATATATACCAAATTCATTCATACAATTGCACGCTTCACGCTTTCATATATATGTATATATATATATATATATATAAATGTGTGTGTGCACTTGGTTAAAAAACCGTATACAATATTTCAGAGAGCTATATGTATGCGCTTATCAATATTATGCAAATGTATATGTTACGTGTCAATCATCGATGAATCAAGCAATGCTTGAGAATACTTTTTATTAGTATACAAACGAATTCTGCATGCTAATCTCATCGCTTTTTACTTTTGTGCCAACTACTGATTACTATTCATGTAGCCTACCTGATCGGTATATTGTTATAATGAAATCATTGCTTTGTAATATAAGTATTTAAGATAAATGAAATGGTATAAAATAACATCGAATAAGATAATGAAATAAGTTGAACAAATGAAGAAGAAATTTGTCAAAAAAAGTTATCTATATCTCTATGCGCTCAAACAAGCGAGCGAACGTGAGAGAGATCTATATTTTTTGCCATTATCCTTACTAAGCAACCTCTATTAAAGAACAAATAGGAATATGTTCTGTTTATGGGAAACGAATTATACTCTTTATAAGACGAATTTAAAGTGTACTTGAATTATTATTTTGAAAATAAAAATCTTTAAATATTTATTTACCGATTTATAGCGACATCTAAATAGCATGAAAAAAAAACAAATTTTATAATTAAATCTAATTATGAAACAAAAGCAAAATATTTAAATGCTATTTTTTATTTATTTTCATCGACATTCATATTGATATTACTCAAAAAATGACGAGTAGATAAAAAAAATCAATCTTGATGAGGCAAACATGAAATGACGAAAAAAATAAAATTCCAATCATTCATCTTTTATTATATTAAATATTAAAGTCACTCGATTATTTATTATTTTTTTAGATATTTTTTTCTTGTATAACTGAGGGATGATGATTTACTAGAAGAAGAAAAAAAATCATGACAGTGTTATCAACTAAAAAGCCTTCGAATAATAATAAAGATTCTACATCAAATCAACAACCACAGCAACAAAGTTCAACAGCAACACGGCTACGTTTATCATGTGATGATGAAAAATCTAATGGAATAAATTCTAATGATGATTCAAATGAAACAAATGTTGGATCGTCATGTGTATCTAGCACAGTTACTGATAATACACACTCGATGACGACAACAACATCTCCAATATTATTCAATAAACCAAAACGCAAATCACATTATCATCAACATCATCATAATTTACATCAAACAATAAATAAACAAGCTAGACGGAAATGCACTACGATTGAAGAGAATCTTACAACGAATAATTCATTAAGTGACGATAGTTGTATTGAAAATGTGTCATCATCTATTACAACAAACGATAATCAAATATTCGATGAAGATGAACAATATAATAGTGAAGACGAATATGAAGAAAAAGCAAGAAAATACGATCGAAATAATCTGAATGAAGTTCGTTCTACAAGTTTCTTATTAATTTTAGATCATACGAATGATTTGTTGTTGTTTTTTTGCTTCTATTTAGACTGAAATACATTTTGCAAGAACTTTAAAAGAGAAAAAAGGTTATATAATTAAACCTGTTCAAGATGATGGCGCCTGTTTATTTCGAGCAATAGGTAATCGAAGAGAATAATTTCAATGACTTTTTTGTTCTATTTATTTTTTTCGTTTTTAAGCCGATCAAGTATTTGGCAATGAAGATATGCATTCTGTAGTTCGTCAAAATTGTATGGATTACATTGTAAGTCTTTCAAAGACTGTCATTGTCTTAGAATATAAATCTAGATTTTTGAAAAAATGTCTTAGCAACCGTTCCTTTCTTCGTCATAGATTTTCTTAATTTATAAACTACTTCCGTTAGAGAATTAAATAAAACATTAACTATGAAATGGGTCTCAAAGTAGATAAAAATCTTTCGCTTATTAATTAATCAAAGTCGCATCGTGTTTCGCATTTCTATCCCTCAGGAAGTGCACTAATAGTATATTTTCCTTTTATATCTAGGTAAAAAATGCAGATTTCTTTCGTGCTTATATTACAGAAGATTTCGATCAGTATGTAACACGAAAACGACGACAAAATTGTCATGGAAATCATATTGAAATGATTGCACTTTCAGAATTATATAATCGACCTATTGAAGTTTATGAATATAGTACAGGTAATTTTTGTTTTGTCGAACCTATTCTTAGCATTCATTTTATTTTTTTTAAGAACCAATTAATATTGTACATGGAATGTATAAAACAGATAATGAACCTATTCGTTTAAGTTATCATTGCGGCGTACATTATAACTCGATTATTGATCCATGGAGACCAACAGCAGGTCATGGACTTGGGCTTCCTGATCTTGAACCCGGTGTAAAGAATTCATAGTTTACTTTTATTTTTCATTATACAAGTTCTATGTTTAGCGTGCTCAAGAATCATTAATTCATACAGCCCTACGGCAATCCGAAGAAAGTCATATTGAACAAACAATGCTAGATGATAAATTGGCAGCAACAGATTGGGAAGCAACACAAGACGAACTCATACAACAGATAGCCAGAGAATCTTATTTACAATGGCTATGTGATACAAATCAAAAGTCCACTGATAGTAATACGGTATGAAAGAAAAAAAGACGTAAAAGGATTTCATTCTACATTTCAATGATGGTTGTTAACCTTGATTTGGCTACCTACAGAGAAAAGCATTTATTTCCCATCAGGAGTTTTTTTTGGATTCAAGGTCGATGAAATAGAGAATAGTACACACAAACCATGAACCACAGAACAAATTGAAAAAAGTAATTTTTTTTTCTTCTGTTCGATATATTAATTCTGTAAACATAGTTTTTTGTTAAATCTGTATAAACTATATAAAAACGAATTGAATTTGATTGTCTAGTATGTATTGTAGAGCATATGCGTATGTTCAATGAGGGAATAGTGTTTCTCATTAGGGAATTCGAATAGAAACGATTTTCTTTTTTAATACATTAAGAACATAAGCTTCTTCGATAGTTTGCTTGATTTATTCCTCTATTTATGCAATGAAATTGATTGACTTTTTCTTTCGAACACTAAAAGGAAATTGGGAATCAAATTATTTAACTGATTCAACGATACGAGAAAACCATTAAAAAAAAACGAAATTCTTTTCAAGAAGTTAAACTTATCTATTGAATAATTTTCTAGACATCATCCGCAACAACATCAGATACAACTTCTCACACTGATGAAAGTAAAATTGGAATTTTCATTCAAAAACAAAATGTTGATACATGTATTTTTTGTTTAGTTAATGCATCGAAAAATCTATTACCTTTAAGACTTGAAGAACGAAAAGATTGTGAATTTGCTCTACCGTTTCAATATGAAGGCAGCGCGTCATCTAATATTGGTATGTTGTTAATTCTGAATAAAAAAACAATTCTTTTCAACGTAAATTTCTATAAATTAGACCTTGACGATGAAGATTCATTGATGAGACAAGTTCTTGCTATGTCACAAATTGAATACATGGAACAATTTAAAAAACAAGAAACATCGATATCTAATGATCCCAATGAACCATCATCGTCAGAAACACATCTTTTATAGCTTTTGAAATTCTTTTTTTCGTTCATTTCTATTCTATTGACATTTACTAAACAGAGAGCATAGCATCCGAAAAATGGATCGTTTGTCTAAACCGATCGCTCCCTTATGATTATTCTTTCTTTTTGTATCTTATGTTAATAGATTTCTGTATGTGTGTTTGGAATTAAACAAGAGTGATAATTTCTCTTTATTTTATTCTTTGAAAAAGAAAAGATTTTTTTCATGTCAAAACAAGAAATATATGATTGAGAAATCAAATCATTTAACTGAAAATGTGTGATTTAAATAAAAGGAAATATTTCAATTCTATAGTAACTTTGACAAAATCAAATTTTAGAACTTACGTACGTACTGATTTCTTCTTCTATCAATAGTCGGGTCGATTTTTGAGATAAACACCCGGAATAGAATTGCAGATATACTTACTAAATAGTTGTGCTAATTGTATTTTAAAACTTGAGGATATAATAAAGGAAGATCAATCTCTGAAAATAGAATCCTTGACTCCCCTTGCAGGACGTGGTTATCTCAATCTGAAGAAAAAAAAAGGTCAGACCATATGCTTTATTTAATTTCTCATGTATTCTTGTTGCCATGAAATCATTAATAAATTACAATTCATCATTCAAATCGAGTCTATTCTCCTAATTTGAAAAGCCTGTCGGACACAATTTCTCGTATATCTCCACTATCCGAGTTAATTTATCGTACTAACTGAAATATAAAATATTGCCTATTTCTAGAAAGAACTTATTGATTATTCTCACGCTCTACATTAGCTATAAATTCATAGTTGACATAACCTTGACATGCACCGAACTTATTTTATCTGACACGTTTTAGAAAAAACGATTTACTAAAAAGCGATATTCTAGCCGATCAATGAATTGATTAATCATTTTTTTTTACAAGAGAATCATCAGTTATCGAAATTTTACCAGCAGAATTCTTTTCATAAAAAAAAGTCTCAACGACACGATTATTAAAGTCAGAAAAAAACGAACGTAAAAGTTTCAGTAGGAGATGAGTAACAAAAAAATCGTGAAGACTTAACTGCATATTGTGAATTTATAAAATTTGCCTCACAATAAACAAAAATTATTTAGGAATATTCGGTTTAACCTATGCTAATATGCAAATCTATTCCCGTATTTTTCGTCATAGAAGTATAATTGTTTTCCTATTGATATTCATGATAACAACTGTGTCAAAATTAGATTTATTTGAGATACATCATCATTCATTTTTGATAGTGACATATTTCTATGAATTGATTTCCCTCGAGTATAAAAAAATGCCGTTTCTGATTAACAGGTATTAATAGAACCGTTCAGACGATTCACAAAGTTTTTATCAAAATGTTACTTCTTTAAACGATTTTCTTTATTCATAGGGTTTAGTACGAGATTTAAAAACTATCGACATTCGATGCGTGCCGAAGGAATTCATAGATATATATATATACTTTTTTTGTTCGAATGAGATTGATAGAAAATATCTCTTTTAAATTTTTACTCGACAATTTATTATTTAAATAGATAATTTATATACAATGAAAAATGTTTTAAACTTGACTTTGATTTCCATTGATATGATTATGATTATTAATACGATTGTGTTCTTCAAATAGTGGATCAGAGCTCTAGACAAAGAAAAATAATATAATTCAAACTTTTCTTCTTAATGGACAATTACTTGAAAATTATCTTGTGGAGGATATTTGAACAGGGATGGTTCTGCAGGTTTTTCTTCCCAATCAATACCAGCGATACTAAAAAAAGTCAATAGAATACTATGATCATAGTTGAAGTAATTGTTTTCAGAATGATTTCAGCACCATTCAAAAAAATTCACTTGACTCTATTGGATAATGAATACTGCAAAGTCTTTAACTATTTCTACTTTCGAGTAATTTAGGGGAAAACAACAGCATCGTAGTATATCCTATTTGTAAATCGATAGTACTCACCTTAATCTCATATTTCTTTTCATAACATCGAAGAAATTATTCTAAAAGAAATTTGAGTAAAATTAAAAATTCGTTCATTTTACTTCAGTTTTCTTACTTTCGTTTGTTTAGCTTCAATATTTGCTTTTATAAAAAATTCTATTATTGCAATAGTCATAGCCAATGCCAAGCCACCAATTAATATATAAAATATACCCGCCACATTAACAAGATTAAGTGCATTATTTTGTTTCGAATCCTAGATTGTATGAATTTATATAACATAGCAAATGATATAATTTAATTTAAAAAAAAACCTTGGTAGTGCCACTATGACATTCGGATCTGTCATACCACCATTTTCTTTTCAGTGTATTCAATGTGCCATCTTCACTCATTTCAAGCACGGCTATATTGATAGCTTCCCTAAAACAAGTTTTTCATTATGTATTAACATTATGAATAGAATGGTCTCTATCAAATATTTCTACCTTAATTCTGATCCAACTGGCGTTGCTATACCATAGCCTTTAGAATCTAGATTTGAACCAATTTTCATTGTATCACATGGCGCTTGTTCATTTGTATATTCATTTTTAATTGACTGTTAGAAAAAACGAAGGATACTTCTTTTTTGAACGAAAAATGCATTTAAAACTGACTTCGAGTAAAAATGCGTATCTTCCTTTGGATTTGCTATATGTAGAAAAACAAATCGTAGTGATTTTTTTCAAACAAAGGACAAATGATTTTTACCGAACTTTACTGATTCCCTCTTCATTGTTGTTAACTAAAACATCATCACTTTGTTGCATATATGCCCACATACGTTGAAAAAGTTTGACATCAGATTTCTATGAAAAAAACCAAATATAAAAATATGTTTTCATACGAATTAAAAAACAAATTACCTCAAAAAACGCTTGAGTTGATCCAGCACGTACTACACCATATTTGATTTCTGTTTGTCTTGCTAAGTCTTCTACGTTTTCAATTAGTGTAACCATACGTTCGACCGTTAGAAAAGCAGCTAAAATTATTCAAAACACAAAAGATTTCAATATTATTATGTTCATTTATACACTGTAGAATATCTTTAATCTTTCGTATCTATCCCACATTATCTTAGATTAGTCAAATTGTTCAAGAAATATCTACTCTAGGTTTAGATCCTAGGAGATTCAATACTTTATTAAATATTCTGTTTGGACCAACCTAAATTGGCAGTATACGATGATACAAGAATCATTGAAAAATACCACCAAACACTGGCAACGAGTCGACCCGATATCGATCTAGATGAATAATCGAAAAAGAAAAATGAATATTCGTTATGATTTAATTTACCTTGGTATAAAATCTACGCCTTGTTGCATAAAAGCAGCCAATGCAAAAAACAGTGTATTTAAAATGGAAAATTTATTTGATAGTTGTGGTGTTGCTTCATCTTCAATACTCCATTCATAGGGTGAGAAACGCGAAACAAGAAAAAGTATAACACTAACACCAATATAGGCAAATGTAACACACATCCAAATTTCGCTGGACAATGGTGCCATAAATGAAAAAACGCCTGGAAAAAGATAAAAGCTCGTTCTTGTTAAATAAGTGAATTCATACGAACAAAATTTTCTATCTTACCTGGCTTGTTTTTTTCTGGTTTACTAATTAAAATACTTATACCAAGATTCATCCATGGTTTACTAAAATCGACAACACTTTCTCGTTGACTTGTTATTGTTAATGGTGCAACAGCAAGATCAGCTTCATGTCGAACTAATTCACCAATCATACCGTTCCACGGTTGATCATTAGCTGGCTTGCCACCAAACGAATTATCTTTTACAATACGAAATTTACATCGTATTTCAAGTTTCTTTTCACATATTAAACGTGCTAAATCAATACAATAGCCACACAATTGATCGAATGTAAAAAATTGACCAGCTGCATCTGATGCTGATAAATTGCCAACAGTACTTTCATTTAACATTGTAAACGGTTCATCCTAACAGACAACATATTTTGTTTCTCAATGTACAAAAACGAAATGAAGTGAAACACATACAAGAATAGTTGTGATTATTCTTTCACGTGCTTTATCAAAATCGTGTGCTTGCCGACCTTCAAATCCTTTAAGATCATCCATGTAAAATTGATCATGAGTATAATTTCCAATCTAGAAAAGCGAGACAATGCAATCTTTCCTCGAGAACAAAACATGATTTTTTTTCCCGTAATTACATTTCGTGGTAATTTGTTCATTGTTACTTGGTGAATATTTAGTGTATAATTGATACGTTCACCGTATTCATTAAATGATACGTAACCTGAATAGCCTTCAAATGAAATCTGAAGGAAATAATGTGAAGGTTTTTGTTTTTGACTACTACAATTTTCAATATTTGTTTTCTTACTGTTTTCATGATGTTAAATAAATTTTCACCAAATGCTTCATGTGGATGATTTTTATCTTTTGCTCGACATTCGATTTTAAGATGATCAAAATTGTCTTCATTATCACTTGCATGAAGAATTTCAGCCCGTGTCGGCTCATCTAGAGCCATTATTGCCCGCATATATATAGATAGAGCATCAGCCAGAGCTTTCTTCTGAAACTAGAGAAAAAAAGCATTTTGCAAAACAGAATAAGTTCCTTCTTAAAATTTTCTATAGGTTGTACCGATGGTAATGAAAGACGATCTGTTGTAGCAGGATCAACTGAATGATCCATTCTATAGATTGATCTTGGTAGAAAATATGTAACATTAACACCACCATAACGAAAAAAACGCATATCAATTCGATCAGCTTCCTGAAAAATAAAATTCAATACTTTTTTCTGTTGTACTTTATTCTAAAATGCCACTTACAAGACTCATTATAATATAATGATAATGAGGTGTTGTCATTCCATGATGTCGAATCTTAATATTAAGGAAAAAGTTTGCAGCCCAATCTTTTCTTATACGATACTCTAAGGAACTAGTTTCGCAGAAAAATAACATCAAATTTTTTATCAGAAAAATATCATCCGATTTTATCGAAACTGGATAAAAGCTTTCAAATGAATCAGAAGGAAAATAACATGAAAAGATGTCTCCTAGTGCGACTATGGACTTTTGCTTCGCTTCACTTTTGATTTAGAAACCTGAACATTTTATCAATTATACATTGTAACCACAAGCTTAAGTTAGAACTGAACTACGTAGTATTACTTGCATAAGTAGATTAATATAACTATCAATATATTTCAGATCAAGCACAATAAAACGTTCTTCTTTTGAGCCTCGATCTTTAATTTCAACACTTTGGAGTAAATTTTTTGTATGATTTTGATTATGTATGTCGATTAAACGTCGAATTTGTATATCTAATATATCGTAGCTTTTTTCTCTTGCTTGTGCTACCATCATTGCTTGAAAACGTGAAAATGCTTCTTCACCTTCCACAATATAATATAAAGTTGTTACTTTATAACGTTTTATAAATGCAGCTAATGCCGGTAGAAGATCTACTTTCATAGCTAAATGATAGATTTTACTTATTGTATTTGATTCTTGTTTATTATAATTGAAATAATTTAATGATATCATCGATATACGTAAACGTGTCATAAATGACTCAAGTAGATGTGTTTTTTGATTGTCAATACTTGATACAGAACCAATGGCACCGGATTCAAGTTGATTGCAAACTAATTGAAAATTTTTGTTTTTAAAAATTCATAATGATAATAATTCATCAACTTACTTCGATGAAAACCAGAATAAATATTAGCATTCTTCAAAGAAAAGAAAATCAACTAAAGCAAACTTTTGTGAACAAAAATACATACGCTAACATTATCATGAACTGATTGAAAAGTTAATAGATCTCTTGGCCAAATAAAATAATCACTTAAATTCGTCGCTGCTGCTAAGGCTAGTGAAAATGTTTTTCCATCAACATCATTCGATGTTGTGTCATCAACAAACCAACCTTATCAAAAGAAAAATGGTTCTTTATTATCATAGTTAAAGGGAATTATTTTGTTTTAAATTTACCAATTGGAATATTAGTTTGAGTTTGTACAGTAAAAATGTAAGTACTACTAATAATAATAATAAGGCGTACGAAGTTTGCAATCATATCGTGACTAACACATTAAATGATTACAATTGCAAACAAGCAACGATGTGAAGCGTGCTAAAATGAAACAACAGACATTCATATGAAACGTTCGATTAAGTCATCGAAAATGTCAAGTAGAATCATCGTTGTTCTTCATCGCTTAAATGGAAAAATCTTTTCTTTTCTGACTTCAAAAAAAGAAGAAGAAGCAGAAGAAGGAAAATCTATATTTATATATATATTCGACTGGAATATGTTATAAGCTAGAAAGAAAAAGCAAAACGAGGATAAGAATAGATAATGTTCATGTTGTTGTTGTATGTAAGAGCATCAAGAAAAAAAAACTTTTTTTTCTTCTGTAGATTCGCTAACTGAGTGATTCTATTATCTAGAGATTTAATAATGACAATGGCAGGAAAAAGACGAGAAGAGATGAAGCAAGAAAAAATGTCCTGCACACTATATTGAACGACAAGGATGGCACTGACGTGACCGATTGATTGATCGGCAAAAGCATGAAAAAAGCATCCTTTGTGAAATAGTTGTGAATCATTAAAAAACATGATTTCCAAGAGATTACAAAGAAAAAAGAGAAATACCAATAGATGAAGTTATTGTAACACAGATTCAATATATCGAAATGAAGATTTTTTTTTAAATTTCTGATGGTGTTAGTTTCGCAAGATTTCTTTCATAGATAGAATATTAATCAAATTCAACTTGCTTCTTTTTATGCAATTACGAAAGATCATTCTTCGATTATTCAAATAGATAAAAAAAAAATGAAATCATATTATAAACGACTTTCTGAATAGAACTTATTATGAAAATAAGCTCCGGAATCAATCACAGATTGAAAGATAAACTATGAATATTTTTCATCAAAACAAATTTTATATGATTTACTAGCATTACAAATACAGGCATATGAATATATGATTATATTATATGAATTGATTATTCTGTTTTTCTACTACCGGTTTTTATTAAAATCATCTTTTACTAAAAACAATAATCGATGTCATATATATATATATATTACTAAATCAGATATCTATCGAGAAATATATTATTGTTCTTGAAAATATCAGCATTCATTTTCTGGTGTTGTAATAAGCTGTAGCACCCGCACGCTTGATTACCTAGAAACTAAATTGATACTAAATTTTATTAAATTAAATCGAATGTGTTAATATGACAGCAAAGAGAAATGATATATTAGATAATGATTAGCCTTGATATTATAACTTTTGTATTGAACATCACACTGAAAACAAATGATAGTAGCAACCGACCCATACGGGAATATTACCAACTGTTGATTATCTTTTTAATTGAGACTATTTCCGTGTGATCGGATAGGATGAACATTTAAAGGGATTAACACTATTTTGATTGACTTGCCTCTGGTTACCGATTTACTGCTAATATTACTCGACGTTTTCCTCTGAGCATAAGATTGCCGAGAATTTGTATGATCGAGTTTCAAGGTGAAATGCTTTTCATAGATAAGTCTCATAATAACTAGGAAACAGTTCAATGATGAAACTGAAGTATATGTCACAGTTGACATGAGAATTTCAGTTGAGATTGGAGTGCGCGAAAAAAATAATTAATCGAAAAAATATATTTTCCTTTTTTTTTGCTCGTGATAATAGATTATAGAAAAACAGAAAAGAGAAGAACTTTCCACATTCCAATCTCTCAAATGACTTTTGATCTATTGAAATTATTAGAAAAAAAAGACTCACAAGCTGAGCTAAATCAGGACTAAAAATACTGAAGTCAGTGTAGAAAGTTAGTATGGATCTTTGAGCGTACTAGTTGCAGTTTCGAAAATGAATAATCATAAACAATCAAATTTTCAATTAGTATGAACCATACGATATATAGCAGATTGTCTGTGAGATAGTTAAATTTTTCATAGAAAGATTAATCTTCACAGTTATCGTATGGGTGTCCATGCCATCAAACATCGTCGATTTTATCACGATATATCGTTGAAACGCTGTTAGTAACATAAAGATCTCTATGTAGGATACAAATTCTGTTCAATTTGTCTTATCAAATTTGGTTTTGGTAAAGTAAAATATGAATCCTAGTTTTCAGTATGCCGATTTCATGTAGTGAGACTTGACGTTGATTTAGTCATAATCAAAACTAGTTTAAATCAGTGACTGGCTTCATCCGTTTCGTAAAAATTACATTTGATTCATCGTAAACAATTCAGACCGATTGTGATTTACAATAAAAGTCGAAACCGATGTAAAAATAATTTGTACCGGTTGATTAAAATAGATTCTTAATCAGATTCGTGATCGTGTTGTTTATTCATTTAAACAGCAACCTGATTCTGCTACATTAATGCGCGATTGTCATATTGAATTCTCGGAATTAATTGAAAAAACAATTGAAAAATATTGCGGAGCAATGTGAGACGACAAAACTAAAAAACAATTCTAAACAAATTCTTTTTCTATTAAACAGGATTTGCGAATATGCTCCTGATTTCATGCGCGATATATCCGATGTCGCTTTCGATGAATTGATTAAATATAAAATATATGAAAATACAAATAATATGCAAGTAACGAATGTTGACAAACAAATTTCAGAACCATTAATCAAACAACAGGATGAATATTCAAATATGGTAAATAAATAAATATTTTCGGCTTAATTCAAAAACTTTACTTTAGTATGATTCATCCGTTCTACATTATACGCAACAAACATCACCGGTTGACGACGGAGAAAATGATAATAAATATCGAATTGAATTAGCCGAATCAGAAAATCGACCATTAACATTGTATGTATGCTGACATTTTTCCATATTAAAAGAAATGAGCTACCGAGAAATCTAAACATACTATTGAGCTCAAAGTCAATATTTTACAGACACTGACACATTCCGTCATGTTTTGAGGTTTGCCAATCAGTATATAAATTGAAAAGGCGTTTAAAATATTGACCGATCACAAAGCGATATCAGCATTATTACTTTATTTTTAAATTTAAATAGAATTGGCAGTGATGAAGAAGATAATGATTCTGACCGAGAAGAAAATAAAGATAGCGAATTACAAACAGCTGTCTCACGTCAAGATATTAACTCAAATCAAAATGCAACCGTATCATCCTCGGGTGAACTTCATTCCAATGGACATGAATATATCATTGTTCACCATGTAGCACATGATCAAAATCGTGCTGTTATTGATAATGCTGTGCCAAACGACAAAGAAAAAACGAATGAAAATCAAGACGTTGCTGATTCATGAAATGAAGCACGTTTTCTTTCTTTTGTATAAAAAGCAAACTTGCTTGTACATTTCCATGTGATTCACTTGTTTGCTACACGATGAACTTTTTGTGTTAATTGTCTAATGTCGTTTTCCTTTTCTTGTTGTTCGTCTTGTCTTTATCCATGTGTATATCTCGCTTTTGTTTTTCCGTGTCAAAAAAAAAACAAAGAACGTTTTCTTATGAACCATCTTTTATATGAATGCATATGAGCATAAATCTTTTGCTTGCACTTTTTTTTCACAATAAAACGATAACACAAAAACGATTGAATCAAAGAAATAGGTCATGAACATACTCAATCTGATATTTATCAGATAATAAAAACAAACGAATAATAAATTAAAAATGATAGATATCTCGAATAGGCAGCCGTTTGGTAAGAGTATTGTAAACATACATTCATTAGCAATTCACATGCAAATGATAAAAAAATGCTTAAAAACAAATAAATGATAGTTGAGAAAGATATTCGTCAAGAGTTTAAAGCAGACGAAGGTATAGCGACTTCAAAATTTCTGCACGTTATCATATAATGAATGTTAGCAGTTAAAGAATACTGCTGCAGGAATTAGGAATCATGCATAACTAAAATTCATTTTATTCAAGCGATATAACTTTTAGATTGGCGTTAAGTTGGCCTGGGCAATTTATTTGATTACGCAAGCAAATAGAAATGATATGTATATCTTTCGGGTTCGGTTGAGTTAGGACAAAGTTCATTTTATTACGACAAATATCTAGGGTGCGTGGGAGAGACGACAGAAGTCTTATCTTTATCCTCACCTTCAACTATCCTTGTATTCAAAGTTTTAATCGTCCAACCCAATCTAAACAAATATACGATTCGCTTTTATATATTTCCAAACCCAAGGCAATTCTGAGTATCCTTGAAAAAAAAATTTTTACTGTCTATTGGAATCGATACAACATTGTGTACAGGCTGACATTCAAATCTTTTGAGTGTGCTTTTTAATCTCTGAAGATTACTATTACCATAAGTGGTATAAATAAACTCGATGAGAAACATGGATGAGAAAATGTTTTTGTGATAACACGAATAATGAAGTGGATAGTATTTTACACCTAAATTAATTTTCAATATCTTTCTTTGTTTTACAATTTGAATAGTAGAACAGTCAACATAATGAGAAGTTTTTTTTTATCGTGAGATAACGGTATAGATAACTTAACCAAATATACCAATCGTTTTATTCAACTCACGAATCAAGTTATATTTCGAATTCTAACCGTGTTAAAACATTTAAGATTGCATAAGATTAACATAAATTTTTATAACTATTTACTTACAGAACGATACAGTGATTAGCGAAGAATATTTCGTGTTTAAATCATTTATATTCTGTACCTTACTGACGAGTTTTCTCTAATGAATATATTATTTGAAAATAACTTTTTTTTTCTTTTTCTACTTATCTTCACTTATAATGTATTTATGCTAATCGAATTAGAAGATAGTTTACCGAAGAAAAAACAATATATATGTATTGAATCTTGAAATATGGAAATCATTCGTCGCATTTGATCTCGAAGCTAATGATAAGACTTGATGAAGGAGTTGTCAGGACAAGATAAGAAGAACACGAGGCAGCTGTTTTCTATACGAGCTGAGAAATTTAATTATCTAGGTTATAGCAATTACTCTTAGAGTCCAAGGGTTAACGATAGTTTGTTATGATGCATTGTATTATTCCAAAGTACATCTAAGATCTGTACGTAAATAGAAGCCTATGACCTTTAAAGATATGTTATATCACATGTTTAGGAACAAACTATATTCGTGAAATGTTTTTCATACAAGTATTCTTTATTATAATTAATTTTCTCTTTCAACGTAGTTTTTGTTTTATGATAAAATAAAATAAAACGAATAATGAACTAGTCCCTTTATTTACATGTACAATCAATTATTGTGTACAAAATCGATATCAGCATATCATAAAACTGACTAATCGAGAGTACAACTGTTGTCCGCTCTCAGCCAATACTTAAGATATCGAAAAAATATATTCATATAGATAAAAAGTTAACTTCTATGCTGTTCAAGTACTTCACTTTATTGATAAATAGGTATTCATGTCATTTCTTCTGTTCTCTATCGTACTAAATAAATACAACGAACTTTAGTGCCGACAAGCCTATCATTGGTTACGTAGTTCACAAGATAATCTTCGAACTATCAGTCCAAAATAGATTAAACTGTATTTCTATTTCTATACTTAGCTATAATAGCTAACTATAAATGATATATTTGATGGTCTGTTGAGAATATCACGAAAACAACATTAACGATTATTCTTTAATGCAAATAATATGCGCATGTCTATTTATTGATAGATAACATACAGCTACTATAGTATATGTGTCTGAGACCGAAATCGAATCGAATCCGAATAGAACTCCAAAACTGCCGAATCAAATCGAATGTATAAAAAAAATCACAAAAGTCGAATCGAATCGATTCATTTTTTTTCACTTTCATTCGGTTATTCAAAATCATTTTCTTTGTTCTACAGTGATATGATCGAGAACAGTTGACTAGTATAAGAGATTACCAATGAAAAAGGACGTCCGCTGTTTCTCTTGATTTCTTTCTGCCAGTCGTGTTCATTTAATGGTCATTATTGTTCTCTTAGATAGTGCTATCATGGTTAAATACACTTTAATTGGTGTAAGAAATGCCCGTTTACAACGGACGTTCTTTCTTTCTTTCTTTCCATCTTTGTTTTTCGTTAGTCAATTTAGGCCCCAATCACACTGAGAAGTAAATTAACAGTATAGTTCCTTATTTTTCTTCTTTCTATAGAAAATAAACTTATTTAATTAATCTACTTAGATGAGTTCAATAATTTATATTTTATGTATTCCTTCTTGAAAAAAATGAATACTTCTTATGTATATATTGATAAGTTATATTTATTCAACATATTTCTATAGAAGATGACAGTCTGAAAACAACAATACTATGTAATAGTGAATACCATATTTTGTAAACCAATTTGAATCGAACCGAATCGAATCGAATTACAATTTTGAAAAACGAAAAAAGGCGAATTGAATCCGAATCTAGGTCCTAAAAACCCGAATCGAATGGGGCTTTTGCTACTCTTTTCTGTCTTTGGTATGTGTGTATATCAAGGGAATGATAGAGCGAGCACGAACGAGAGAGAGGGAGGGAGAAGGAGAGAGACGTTATATTTACATTTCTCTCTTTTCTTTTTTTTCTTCTTATTAATAGACTTCTATTACCAGTACGTAACTGGTACAAGCCTTATCAGTTACTGTATGGACGACAAGAAGAGAAAAATAAACAAACGATCGCATATATATAAACGTCGGTTTTAATCAGTAACTGCATCTTTTAACCATTCTAGAACAAAGATAAGACGCACATCGGCATCTATATTAAACTAGAACAAAAAGTATTACAGGAGACATAAGGCTCTGTTCATGGCAGTTTCTTTAAATTTCTGCTTTGGTTTAGTCTTGTTGCTCGGTAAGTTTTTTATTTTGAATTTAAATAAATATCTATAAATATATATATATATATATTTTTTTTTTAAAGTTTATCGAGCTTCGACTGCACCAATCAGTCCTGGTAATGCAGACGCTATGTGTTCATTTGGTAAGTTTAGACTGAGTATATATTTACGAAGAATATTTATTTTCTTTTTCGTAATGTATAGCTCAACATGTTGCTCCCGGTCAAGACTCATTAGTTTACAAGTATAAAACTGAAGTCAAATTATCTGTTGTCAATGGTCAATTTGATTTAAAAAATGAGATTAGTGCTGATGTACACATAAAAAATTTGGGCAATTGTAATTATGCACTTCAGGTATAATTTTTTTTAACAAAAAAAGATTTATTTTATTTGATTGTATTTAAAAACAATGTATGTTCTTAGCTTAAAAATGTTGACATAAGTGAAACCCAGGATGAAGATGAATCAACTGTATCAACACCTGCAAAACAAGAACTCGAAAATCTTGTCGTCCGTTTTCGATGGGCTGATGGTTTCGTTGTTGCTGTTGAAGCTGATGCATCGGCTAACATTGATCATGTTAACTTTGTCAAAGGTATAATTAGTGCACTTCAAGTTTATTCGCCTGTACCAACTGATGGTGAGAATATTGTAAGTATTGAAATCAAAACATTTTGAGATAAATAAAATAAAAAAATTTTCTCTTTTTTCTCTCGTAAAAGGTACGTGAAGAAGATGTACTGGGTGTCTGTACAACGCGTTATAAATATTCTCAAAAGGATGGTGCAACAAAGATTACCAAGAACAAAGATCTATCAACATGTTCAAAAGATAAATTACATTTAAGTTCAAGCCCAGTTTTAACTTCACTTCTTGGTCCACTTGTAAGTTTGATTGAGAAAGAAGATTTCCTTTACGAATGTACGTCTACTTGTTAGGTTGAACAAGCATTTGCAGCTAAAACTAGTTATGTATGTCAAACAGAAATTACTAACAAGAAAGTTAAATCTGTTAAATGTAAAACAATTGAAATCGAAGATGGCGACAGCGAAAAATCATCTAAAACTGACAAAGATAGCAGCTCAGAAGAAGATAATGATATTGATTTTGATGAGAAAGATGAAGAAATTTCATCAAAACTTATATCAATCAAACAAACCTTAGAATTAACAACAAGCAGTGCTGCTAATGTAGATGCATGTAAGTTTATAGAAATTAGTACTATGGACTAATAATAACGAAAATGACTATTTTATAGCTGCAATTAAAAGTCCTGTTCGACAAACACTTCAATTTGTTCCAACCGCTTCATTTGATAAATCTAATGAAGCTGTATCAGATATAGTTAAGAAAATCAAAGGACTTTTGGCATCAAAAGATTGGGACCAATTTGCTGCTACACGTTTTCTTGAAGTTACAAACGAATTACGACGCATGGGTAAAGCTGATATTAATGCATTTAAATCAAATGGAGATATTAAGTAAGTTTCTATTTATTTTTTACAACTCATTTGCTACATTATCAGAAGCAAGGCTTTTTTTTCATGAAGGCCTGTAAGCCTCTACGGTGATATCAGATTGAAAAAATTTTATTTGGAAGTTTTGCTAATGATAATATAGGAGTATTATGAAATACTGTTCAAGTTACTTGATCGATTTTATTCGAAAGTAGATGTGTTATACGTATTGACTATTTGAAAAATTACCATCGATCATTCACTAGGCTTTTATTTTTCGTCTTGAAAAAAGAGTTTACCTATTGTAGTGTTACTTATCTATTACTAGCTTCTGGAGTTAGTTCTTCCGCATAATCTCAGTATCTGTATAATATTTTGAAGAATCTGCACGACCTTATATATTTTTTTTTTTATTTCATAGAAATTTAGTACCAATGTTTCTCAATACAATCTATGCACATGATCCAGCTGCCACCTTATTCAATTTTGATTCAGCTAATTTGAAATTTGAAAATCCGTTATCAGTATTTTATTTGGATAGTCCATCAACAGAATTAGTCGATCAAATTGTTCAAGGCGCAAAACGATTAACTGCTGAACAAGTACCTGATTTTGTTGGACTTGCTGCAACAATTCTTAAAAAATACAAAGCACGACAAAATAATCAAGATGCCGATAGGGTATGTTCACTGAGTTATCTTATTACGATCTATTTCTCAAACATAATTTAACAGAGGCACGAGTAAAACATTTCAAGAAAATTTCTTTCTAAAATAGATTGTATACAACGATTTTTCTATGAATAATTAGTAACAAAAGATGCATTGTGTTAGCTCTCGAGGGAGTTTTGAATGACTTTCTTTTTTTTGTTTTGTTTTAGAAAATCAAAGATTTTCAAAAATCTGTTTCCAAATTTTTAACTGCTCCAACCAATGATGACACTAAAGTCGTAACAGCCGCATTAGCTGCCTATGCTCAATTAGGTTTATATGATAGTCAAGTAAAGAGTTTAGCTGCTGAAAAACACTTGGAAGTTCAATATCATGCACTCAATGCCATTCGTCATATTGATGATGATTATATTGACGATGCCGACGAATTAAATATTCGCACTGATCTCCAAAAGGTTTTATTGGAAAAACTTCAAAATAAAGAAAATAAAAATGCCGTACGTGTATGGGCATTCGAAGCATTGTATACGCCATTTATTTTCAATTCAGAAGAAAGTAATCCAACATTATCTGATGATTTAGAAAAAGCTTTTTCAGCTATTCTCGATGAACCACTTAATCAAGTAAATTCTTTCTTTTGCGCCTTTAAAATCTTGATTATTTCTATGTTTCCGAAATAGGTTAACGGTTATATGTGGTCAGTTTTGAAATTTTCATCACTTGATCGTCTTGATCCATTACGTGGTCTTGCTGCTCGACTACGTGTTCATCATGATAATAAAAAGCAATTTTCTGAACAATCAACATTATCATCACGACATGTTGAACTTGAAATACCACTCCGTAAAAATTATAAAGCTGTCATTCATTTAAGTGTTGTATTTGAAAATGATCGAGTCGCTCCATCATTTATTGGTGCTAAACTTGCATTTGATGGCGTTCGCCGTGAAACAATTCGTTTACCATGGGTCGACGGAGCATTAATCATTGAAAATCTTGATTCGAATGTTGCCGAATATTTCTTACGTTTAGATCCATTGAATAAAAATAAAAATGTTGATGACACCTATAAAACAAACACAAAGAATAGTTTACCAAGTAGCACAAAACGACTTCAAGATGTAAGTAAATTCTTGCATGAAATTTCCTCTATCGTCATAATTTTTTGTAGGCTTATGATGGCGTAGAAGACGATTCAAGTTCATCTGTTCATCTTTATGTTAAATTATTTGGTGCTGATATTCGTTCACGTGATATTACAGATAAAGTTCAAGATCTTCTTAGTAGCAATATTCGTACATTTGTTCGAAATCAAATTTTGGCTCGATTACAACAACTTTCTGGAAACAATCCAATATTTCGTATTCCATTAGAAATTGGTGCTGCTTCAGCAGCTGCGAATGGTTTAACATTATATAAATCTGCTCAAGTTGCTGTACTTGCTGATTTATCATCGGATTTTGGAGATACACGTGGCACTGATGGTTTGGGAACATTTAAATTAACTAGCCGATCAGCGTAAGTATTTATCTATTCAAACGATTGGATATTCATTTTTTTTTTTTGAAGATTGAGCTTTTCATTAACACTTCAACGCGAAATATCCTCACCATTGTCAACTATTGGTGAAACCGTTCAAGTTGGTGTTTTATCCAATACTCCATTTCAATATGAAGCCGTAGCCAATAAAGATGGACGAACACGTGAATTTAATCTTCTCAATGATAAATCCATAGTTATGGCCACTGAGTAATTTCTTTCTTTTTCTTTCTTCTTCATATCTATATTGATTATGTGTCTAGTTTTCAATATGCATTACGTACATCAAAAGGTCTCAAATCTGTTCAACACCAAAAGACACCTACCATTGATCCATCATGCACTCCAAGTACTGTCTATCGTGCATTGGGGCTTCGAATGTGTTTAGAACTTAATCCATTCCGATCAATTCAACTTGGCTCGCGACCATCATATCCAATTACGGTAAGAATTTTCATTTTATATATTCGCAGTACGATAAGATGAAGATTTTATTCATTTTTGCTAAATCGAAACCAGGATTATCCCATTTATATCGTTTGAAATAAGTCATTGACGAAGATAATTTTAATTCTATTTTATATAGGTCTCTATCACCAAAGATCCATCGGTCAAGAAATGGCGTCTCGGTTGGCGCTTCAATACTGCAGATGCTCCACAATATGAAGTTGCTGTAGAAAAAGTTGGTGCAACTGGAACATATCCAGGTATATATTTCAAATAAAAACTAACATTATCGCTTAGATTGCAAAATTTTTGTTTTCTGTTTTTTAGGTTTAGGACTTTCAGCAACCAAAGATGGCAGCAACTTTGATATTAAAGTTTTAACAGGCATGAAATCTTTTAATGTCAAAGGTGAGAAAAAGAAAAGAAAAGAAATTCCTCTTTTTTATTTATTTATTTGCTTGTTTGTTTTTACAATAGGTACACAATCAGGAAGTAAATTTGATGGTAAAATCTATACAAGTGATAGTAAAGAAGTCATGACAACATCTGGAACGTTAGTTGCTAATAGCGATGGATTTAAATTGGACAGTAAAGTTTATGATATTTCAAGCAAAAAAGAAATTTTAGCATTAAAAACTGAGATAAAACCAAATCAAGGACAAGGTCTTACACTTGATATTGATTTAACAACACCAGACAAAGCGAAATCATTTAAAATTCATTGTAAGTTCTAACGAAGTTTGACTTGTTTGGTTGTTTGAATCAACAAATTCTTCAATTTAGTTCATGGAGATTTATATAAACCAGAGAAAAAACTCTTTCATCTCGATGGAGGTTTCAATCTTGGTGAAATTGTGTATAATGGTAAAGTACACTTAGAACGTGGTGATGCTCAAACACGCATTGAATTACATCGCACACTTAAATTCGGTAAAGGTGCAGCACAAAGTGGCTATAATTTTCTGTATGAACGTAAAACGAAACAAGTCGATAACCAAAAGAATTGTAATGTTGGATCTCATTTATCATTACGAACGCCAACAAGTGATCAAGCAATGAAACTTTTTGATTTCAAAGCAGATTTTACTCGTGCCGTTGATTTATCAAGTGCAACACTTCAAAGTTCACTTGACTTTATTATAATGACACGTAGTCCACCAGTACCAGAACGACTTGAACTTGATTATGTTCGAAAATCAACTCGAGCAAATAGTCAAGCCAACCGTTTGATTTCACCGGAAGGAAGTTTAAAAATTCAAGTTAAAACCAAATCCAATGTATTCAATTTTCTTTTGGATCACAAACACCGACGAAGTGCAGATGCAGCGAAAAAAGGTTTGTTTATTTTATTCGTTTAACTAGACAAATGCTATAAGAGGAGCTCAGACTTGATGAGAGTCGCTGGCATTTACATGCTCTACAATACCAAGAGAATAATTTGATCGTAATAATATGTCTGCTGATGTGTATCACAGTAGCCACTAGACTGTACAGCTCAGTCTATATTGAGTTCAAGTAATTTAGAGATTGATCATATGTTTGGTCACTCCTACGAAGTCTTAATAATTTACGGATACGTACTTTTTTTTACAGATATGAAAGCTGTTCAGTTTACGAGTCATGAAATATTTTTTCATGGATTAAATAATATTCAATAATTTTATTTTATTTTTCAGGACCCGTATCAGCTCCACCAACATTGAACATTGCAAATAAGATTCATATTGCTGCTGATACAGATAAATTACTTCCTGATATTCCACGCCCGTTTGCTTTCGATTTTTCATCTGAACTTGATTTTGAATTACTGAACAAAATTGATTATAAATTTCAATATGAACTTCGTCGTCGTGAGGCTGCAGGTTCATTGACATATCATGGTCAAGTTGATAAAATTACTGATGGTCACTTATTTTCCGGTACAAGTCAAACAGAATTACAATGGAATAATAAGCAAAATAAAGCAACAGCAGTAGGTAGTTTCTCTATTTGCAAAAATTCCCGTTCATTAAAGTCACATTGGGATATTGATACAAGTCTTGTTCCAGACAAAAAAGATGCGGAACTTGACTTAAATGTTCGTTTCGATCGACAACCTAAACAAAATGCACCAAAATCTTTAATTCTTGTATATGATGTTACATTGAAAGCACCTAAACATAAACTTGTTCAATTAATTGATCTCGATGGTAACTTTACCAAACAAGCCGGCAAACTTGAAACATACAATTCAATTGCTTATCGTATTGATACAGGCTTGAAAGAAATCAACTTGAATCTTATTGTCAATCGTAATCAAACCGGTGATGGTTCATTAAAAACTCACGTTGCTATATCATTACCATTTAAAAATTTACCATACATTACACATGATTTGAAATTACAACGATGTCCAATATCTAAACGCCTTGTGCATGTTGAATCACGATTACTTGCTAAACCAGTTTTTTCACATGTTGCTGCAATTGGCATTAATCGTACAAGTCCAGATCAACCACCACATGTTACCGTTGAAAATCAAATTGAATATTTACGTTCAAATGGAGATGTTTTATTTGGTTTATCGAAAGTTGAAGTACAACGTTGGTCAAAATTGCATTCATTTGGTTTTTTGAAACGTAGTAATGCTGTATTACATCGACATTCAATTGGATATGTTTTTTCACCTAAAACACGTAAAATTGCATTATCATTAGAAAGCCCACAATTACCAGGAAATCCATTGAGTTTCATCGTTGAGTTAACCATTGATCGAGCAAATCGTATTGGAAAAATGCAATGGCCACAAGAATTTGGTTTTCATTTTGAATTCGGTACGCCACTATCAAATTTAACTGCATTAAAAGTCTTCTATAATCTACCAATGTTTAACAAAAATAGTCAAACACGAATTGACGGAGCCGTTGGCTTTAAACTTGCGTCACCAGTAAGACACTTCAATATATATATATATATTCGTTTGTTCATTTTTTTTTCTTTATTTTATAGAAAGTCACTCCAGTGGACTTCTATATCAAAGCTAGAGGTTCACTTGACACCACATTTCAACTTGTTGAAACAGTCAATATTGGTGAGGATATATCATTAAATGCATTATTAACAGCACAGTATCATCCTGGTTCAATCAGTCAAATTAGTGCATCGGCAAGTACCAAAATCTATGATCGAGAATTTCAAAATTCATTTTATGCACTCATTAAACAACATCAAGTTGTTATACGAGGTATTCTAAATACAACTGATAATCAAGATTATAAATATGAAATGGATATTGGCTTTGATGATGATTTACTTACTGGACACACAGAACGAACAGATGGTCAACAAATAGTTGCATCAGATATTAGTGCCAACAAATGTTCACCAACTGGAAAATACAATCGTTGCTACAAAGGTGATATTACTGTTCAAACAGGTAGTAGTGGAGCATCGAAAAAAGGTTCATTCGATGCTAGTTGGGGCAGTGGTACAGCTAAATTAGAAGTTAAAGTTCCCGAACAAGTTGAAATGAAATTTGATCATACACATACTGGTCGTGTTCGTGATGAGGATTTCAGTTCGAAAACAATAATTGAAGGCAAATCTTTACGAGCAGATAATAAAGGTGCATTTAGTTATTCCGGTGCAGTAGAAAAAGATGATGGTAAATGGAATAGTGTTCAAGTAGAAACATCATTATCAGATATGAAAACAGGACAAAAATCATTTGTATCCAATATTGGCTTCACTCAAAAAGTTACGAATAAATTAGCTGGAGAATTTCAACGTAATATTGATGTTAAAGTTCAACGACAAGGTAAATACAATATAAATAAAAAGGCAAACAACGAATGCACACTTATTTCATATTTTTAGGTTTAACTTTGGTTGATTGGTCAAGTGAATCAGTTACTTGTAAAGGTAATCCAACAAATGTTCTTACTGGTTTGTGTCAAACAGCAACATTCAATATGAAAACAAGCAATGTATTAGCTCAACGTCTTCGACAACGTCTTCAATTGCCTGTTGATCCAAAATTAGCTAATACAGCTGGTCAAATTACATATGATGGTACATTGAAATTAGATGTGAAATTCGATCCTAAATCAGGTCCTCATACAGTAACATTTGATTTAAATCGCGCGAAAGAAGATACTGTTGATGTTAATGTTGTCTTTCAACAACGATACGATCGTCAACCAATGAGTGTTCAAATCAATGCCAATCTTCCACGACAAGATCCCATATCAGTTAAATATGATGAACAATTGCGTAGTGAAACAAACTTTCAAGGTACTCTTAAATATTCATTTAATGCAAAAGATAAATCAGCTGAAAAAACATATCAATGTGAAGTTGATCGACCAGATCCAACTGATTTTTCAATTAATTGTGTCGGCGAACGAACAACATTAGCTATTGATATTGATCGTAATTTAGGCAAATCCAAAGTTTACATTGATTTAAATCGATTTGCAGGCGAACGATTTGGATTTGAAGCTGTACGTGATCCACAAACAAAACAGCTCGATGCTACTTTATATACATTAATTACATCATGGAATGTTAAACGAAACCCTGGAAAATCAACTGTTGTTAGTATTAAACAGAAGGATAATGAAGTTTTACGTGTCGAAGCTACAAAAGTTAGCGATCAAGAAGTTCAAATTAAATTTTTACCAACTAATGTTAATCTCAAGTAAGTTTTAAACTAGTTTGTTTTTTGAATGCTCCCTTTGTCATCGTGATCAATTTTGTATTTTTGAACATTAAAATTGCTCTCTATCTGTATAATATAGACAATATTAGTATCAGTGCATTGATGTTGTATGAGGCGTAATTAGACGGGAACACCATAAATGCTTAAGAACCGATTTCACTCTCTTGTAAAGATCTAAACAATCAGTCTCAATCATCTATTATCACTAAATTTAACTCCTAACTAGTAGATTCTATTTATTTCATTGATCAAATATTTTGATTTTTAGACTTCAATGGGACAAATCAACAGTCATTACACTTAAACAAACATCTCCTCAAGACCGTGATCTTCTATCAATAACTATTGATCGTGAAAAAATTCGTCCTTATCTACCATCATTACGTAATCAAAATCGACCATCATATGATATTGATCAAGTATCAACAAAATCATCAAAACCATTATTTGAAATTGCTCTTGATTCACATGTTCTTATTTCGATTTCACAAGCTATTGGCAAATTGGGTTCACACAATGGTTTATATGGTTTAGATACAGTTAAGAAAGCATTTAAATTACAAATCGGTGATGCACCATTGACAATCTATAATGTTCAACATTGGAAAACACACGAAGAAAATAGTCATTTACCAGAAAGTTATGTACTTCAAATTGTCAATAATGCTAATGGAAATACAATACAATTGGCAACAGCTAAATGGAATGAAGTTCGTTTAATCGCAAAATTGAGTCATTCATTTGATGGTGGAAAAACTTTAACAACTGATTTGAAACTTGATAGAAATTATGCACATGAAGTTGGTTCAGTTTACTTCTTCCATAGTTTAGGCTATCGAAATATTGAAGGAGCTCGACAACTTCGCGTAAGAACAAAATGAAAAACATAATGATTTATACATTTTTTTTTCTCTTTTTCATAATAGAATTTCACACGAAATTTCATTCGCAGTAATATGCTTAAAGATTTACAAGCAACAAATGCTGCTGGATTAGTAAAAGTGTTCCGTGGACGTATACGATCAATTTTAGATGTTGATTATAATGCTTTTAAAGCTATTGTTGCAGCATGGAATCAAGAATCAGAAAAGAGCTTCCTTCGACAATGGTCGTAAGTAGAAAATAATTGTTTTTTTATTTTAATTATCAATTGATATTGAAATGGTGCAACGATTTTAAGATTATATTGCGCACAAAACGAGTAGAAAAATAATTAACAGAGACCGTTGGTTATGTTGTAGATCAGTAGATTTCGAATCTGATAGATTATACTCACGAACTGCAATATATATACACATATATATAGTTTTTCTATTTGATTATCTAAAATGATAAATTATTTATTTTTCTCTCTAGTACTCGTCTTGGTTTAGCAGAATTCTTTGCCAAATATCCAACTTACGGTGAAGCATCCGATCGTATTTTTGCTCTTCTTGGCGAACGTCATGCTGCACGTGATGCATTCTGGCGTGAACGTATCGAAGCTATTGTTAATGATAATCGTCTTAAAGATTTATCTGATCGTCTTCAAGTTCGTCGTGAAGCACTTGTCAAACGATTATCAGCATATGCAGAGTTAGCTCTCGATCGTATATTACCTAAAGTTGATCAAGCTGATATTGATAAGCGCATAGCTAATTATGTTGGCAAATTAGTTGGAGGATTTGAACAAGTTTCTAAACGAAATACCGAACAATGGAAAGCAGTATTTAAACTTATTGACGATGCTAGCAAAGGTGAAGACACTAAATGGTTCCGAACATTAGTCGCCGATATTGATTCAGCTGCATTTGCTGCTGCAGCTGATGCTGAATCAGCTAAAGTATTTAAAAAATTGGGCGATTCATCAAAATTATTGATTGGTAATCTTCAACAATTTTCACGACGCATTACAAAACGACGTGAAGCTATTCGTGAACGCGTTAAAAATGCAATTCGACATATTCCAAAGGTAGATTCATTTATGAACTTTAGTTTATTAACTTTAATCTTTCATTTCTCTTTTAAAGGCATTTGTTAACACCACAAACTTTGAATTATTAGTACCTATTGGACGCCAACCAGGTAGCTATGCTGGTACAAGTGAATTAATACTTGCCATTGGCAGTCTTCTTCGAAATCGTGATCAAGCATTTGATACTATACGTTCAGTATTAGTAAACCGTATGGAATCACGTTCAGAAACATCTCAAAATTACTTTAAACTTTTACGTGCAGTTGGCAAACGTTTCTTTAAACGTAATCCATCATTAACCCCTGAATTTCAAGCTGTTATTGCTCCAACTGGTGATGCTATTGATGTACATGGTCATTATATATATTTGAATCCAGCTTGTGGTTATGTCTTAGCACATGATTTTGCTGATTTACAATTTTCATTTAATTTTGTTAATGGTAAAGTTCAATCAGTAATTGGCAATGAAGGTGAAATCAAAGAAAATGATTGCTCAAATACTGGCCGTGTTCAAATTTGTAATGATGGAGGCTTCTATACTATTTCTGTACCAATGCATTATGGTTAGTTCGAAAAGCGATCATTGATATTTTAATTTTCTTTTGTTTTCTTCTCTCAAAATAGGTGGCCGTGTTAATGGCGCACTTGGTGATGTACGTGATCGTAGTGAAAAGGAAAGCAATGATTTTAGTCGTTGGTTATTGCACCACTGTCCAGAAGCAGGAGCTGGCCAATCAAGCAAAGGTGGCCAAGCCATACCTGAGTGTTTCAGTGAAGATGATGTAAGTCTTCCATAATTTGCTTGCTTTTTTTCCAGTGATGAGTCTTTTTTCAATTTTCTCATTCAATTAGGATGAACAACAATTTTGTGAGAATTTTGTTCTTAATGGCGTCAAAGGTGGAAAAGATCGACGAGTATTACTCGGCCAAATTGCACAAGCTCGTAAAACAATCTTATAAAAGAAGACTGTATATACAAGTAGGGTTGGAAAAATAAATAGCGTTCTTTCTTTTTTTTTTCTTAGCGTCTTCAGCTTTTTCCCTCTCTTATTTGTCTGACTTAATCTTCTTATAACTGTAGTTTACACTTTGTTATTATCATCATTTTATACACTGCTTATCTTAATCTTTATAAACTTGTATTACCTTAAAAATTGAAATAAATTCTTTTGGAAAAATGTTGGTAAATTAAAATAATTATTCGTTCATACAGAAATTTTATCCTATTTATTGACATCAGATGATTCCTCTAGCATCGAAAACAATAAGAAATCTTAATGTTTTTTTAAGTCCACTTTCGATCAGGATAAAAACTTTTCTTTGTCTGAGATGGAATGTTAAATAGAATCCAAAAACGAAGATAAGAATTAATTAATTTAATGTATGATGTGTATCAAAGATCTTTGAAGATTATCTAAATAAGACTGATATTCTGCCACAAGAACAAGCAGTTGTCCAGCTAAGTCACTTCTATGAACTGACTTGCATTTTACTGTAATATCTTCACAAAATATGTACTCGTGAAAAAAGCCAGAAATCTAGAATTCATGTACAGTGTGCGTATAGATGTTTATCCAATGAATGTAATATTGTGATTCCAAATAGTATTCATAACAAATGTTCGGTCCAATTAAAACGCGTCAAAAATTGGATTTATCAGTATGAAGTAAAAAGGGCTATGAAAACTTTTCAGTATCAAATTGAGTAAATTTCTAAAATTTGACGACTGTTGGTGAAGAAAATTTTCTTGAGGGTGGCAGCTCAAACTAGATCGCATTTAAAATGATAACTAATATGATAAAGTAATCGACGCTCAGCCAGAAAATCTTGGAGCAGTAATCAAAAATGAAGTTAAAATAAATAATATCAGAAATATTATCCGGAGAAACTCAAACGAAATGTATTTCAGGTGTTGCGACAAACATGAAAACAGATTTTAAGATCATTGAATTTGGCAAATGACAAAATGCTTTGTGACAGATATACTTTTAAACTGGATCTTGTTTATAGTACCCCATGGAATATTTGTTATGAATGTTATTTGCAACTACTTTAGTTAACGAAGATAAATGAAGTTTTGGAACTTACAGAAACGGATAAATTAAACTCATAGAGGAGAAATGATAAAAATTCTAAACTTTAGATTTTGATACCAAATTATACATGGAAGCTGGAAATATATTGCTGTCGTGACGCGATGTTTTTTAATAGAAGGGCGATTTTAGTGGCTCAAGTCGGACTCGGGTTCACACATCACAGTCTATTAGAGCTGCACGAATAATTTTTTTCAGGATATTTTAGTATCTTTGTATCTGGATTTTAATAAGTTTAAAGCTGTATTATCCGCGGCAGGTTAGTTATTAACACAGTAGTGTGGGTGTGGCTGAAGAGAGCAGCACGACTCAGCGCTATCAATTCACAACAACAGCAACGCAGCATCAGTGCATTCGACAAAATCACGTTGGCACTAATACGACTCTGATTTAATAAGAATATTTCAGAGCTATGCTCGTTTATAAATGTTTCGTGAAGAAAAATATATAATAATTATATGATGCATAAGTAGTTTCAAGTAAAGTTGCATACAATTATGATATTATATACTAAAAAAAAATGATCTTCGCAAGTATGTTTAAGGGCAGAGTTTATGTCATTATTGTTATTTGTTCTTGTGTTCAAACACACGGATTAGCCAATTCATCGAACCGCTGTCACAATACCTAGCTTGTTGACCACAACACGCACATCACTCGTTAGAATATTTAGTGGCATTGGAGCACCTTCTTTGAAAATCGCTAAATTTGTAAGACCTATTTTGAATCAAAAAAGAAATTTGCAACTGATACTACTAGTGATCTGCTATCTGATTCTTTTTTAATAATTTCAACTGCTTCTTCACCTTTTCTACCAAGTAATTCTGGCCATTCGCGTTTTCCCGAAGCTGGTGTCGTTTCTAAAAGTTCTCATGATAATCACGCAAAAATAAATCTGCTTCAGCTACTTTTAATAAGCACAACAATTACTATACGATTGTTCTTTTCATCAAAAATCTCTGGTTTTAATATAACTCGAGTTTGAGTGGCATATAATAACTCATGCTTTTCATTTTTAATACTGGCACTTAACGAATACGTATGTCCCTCAACGCTGCGATATATTGAATGTCTCAATACAAAGAATATTGGAATCATGTTTGCTTTTTTTGTTTTATGTGTGATAGCTGTTGCTGGTGCATCAGCGCGTGATGTTTCTTCCAGCTCAACTGTTAATGTCGCATTTCCTTCAATTCTTGCCCAAAGCTCCATGCTATGTGGCAAAGCCATGTATGTATGAATGGGAACGGTAGCCTCACCACCCATATACCGCTCCACCTTCAAGATAGATAAATATATAAATGTAAAGAAAACTATAAACAACAAATATGTAATACAATTACCACTAAAAGTAATGAAGTAAATAATACTAATAGTAAGATATAGTTAGTTTGTTCATGATTTAATCAGAATATTCTGTATTTCGCACATGGATGTGCTAGATAAGTGCAGGAGTTAAAAAGAACTACTTGTAGAAAGAAAAGATAATAAATTCGGTGGTTTCATTCAAGTTTTTAAACATGTTGATCAAGAGTAACGATTGCTTTTGCACAAGAGTTGCATGTGTGATCGTTCATAGGCTTCCATTGTATATTAATCATTTTGCGCAATTAAAAAAGGAGCAAGGTTGGCTACATTGTATGATACATGTTTTGTGGTAAATATTGTCTTCATTTTGATTATGATGAAGGTTTCTAAGATTTTATGATAATTTCATTTCTTTAAAAAAGGTCGATCTTGATTGATATAAACGAAGAGCAATATTGTTCTGGGCATGGAATTCGGTGGAATTTTAAAATATATTGTCGAAGATTCATTTTTTGTGAAATACAAATATTTCTGCCTCAAAATTGCTGACTGAAAAATAGATGTGCTCAAGAAGAGACAATAAAAACAACGCTAATTTTCACAATGTTTTAAATAGTAACCTTCTTTTAAACAATGTAAAATTCAAATATCTTAAGTGGAATTTGTCTGCAAAGATAGAGTTTCGATAGAAAAAAACAACATTATATTAACCATAGGAGAAGAATCTGTCGTGAATTTCGAGCGGTTCAATTAGCACGGTTGATTTTATATTGATTTACAGTTCATTGAAATATTATGGTATTTGATTCGGACATTGAAGCATAGACACTTCGGTATATTCCTAATACAATGTGATAATTCAATGAAGGTTGAATGTGACTAAAGTCAAAATCCATCATTATGAGTAAGAGCACTCTGTAATATTCAAATAGTATCATTTGTATTTATCGAGCATCATTCTTGTGAAAATCTACCACTCCTATCATCTTTAATGAATAATATGTATGTTACATAAATAAACTCGTGGCGTCTAACCGAGAAGGAAATTGAAATTGAAATACTGAATTAGTTAAATTGGTATCAAATTCACAGGTGAATTAGGTTCGGGAGCTGCTGCCGCTACGGCTGTTATTATGATAAGACAATCACTGAAACTGCTTCGAGAACACAATCCAATAGCATTCAAAGCTGATCGGTCGTTTCTAATTTTTATTGGCGAACGTCGAAGAAATTTGGTTTTATTCAGTGGTAAATATGCCTCACTACGCACAGCATCCTAAAGGAATTACTTTTCGCTTTATTTTATAACTTATAAGCTTACATTATTCACAAGTAGAAAACAGGAAGAATATGCATTGCATTGATCTGATTGAATCATATCGACTAGATTTAATAGAATCAATGACTATTTATAAGCGCATTTCATATTTAAACTACAATATATCTTCGATAAATTGTTTACCTTTCCACTTGTAGCAAATAATTTTGTGTGTGCATCTAAATATTCCGTATTATAATCCTCACTACTATCACTGAGTGGCTAAATTCTTCGACATGAATCCATAAGTTACTGCGCTTAAATGTTGATAGCATTACTCATAGTGGCTATTTATCTTGGTTCACCCTTCCGGTAGTCTTCTGACAGTTTTCTTCATTAGCTCTACTTTTCTGGTTGGGATATAGGCAATCGGTGTTTATTGAAAGGTTTCATACATATTTTGGCTGCTTTTTGTTTAAAGTTCGATCGAGGGTTCTCCAAATCTTTAGGTCATAACACGAACTTTGATGTCATCAGGAAATAAAATGTAATCATTAATGTGTGTGGAAGTTTTTTGAAATTTTTGTTAGATTATGTTCATAAGTTGATAAAAATGAAGATTCAACAAGAATTTTATTCTTCCAATTCCAATGATTTCGCCTTTGCAACATACCAACGCAAGCTTTTGCAGACGACATAAAACTTGGATCTTAAATTGATTTACTTTAGTAGTTTTTCTTATTGGATAGGTATTTTAAGTAAATAATAAATCATATGATGTAGTCCTTTCATCATGCTTTACCCTATACCTGAAAGTAAATAGCAGTAAGTTGCACGAAACAAATTGAAAATTAAAGATATCGATTGTAATTCGGTAAAATAAAAATCAATTTCAACTATTCTTCGATGATTTATGTTCACATAAAACTCTATGATGAGTTTTTAATTTAATAAAAATCCAAACGATGAAGTTTCCAGTTCTACATATTAAGTTGTCACTAGCAAGCATACTAAACTGATCGATATACAACCTGAAAGTCTAGTCTCTTGGGACAATTCTGGAATAACACATTTCCAAAACATTTATAACATCGTTGAGAAAAGCTATACTGAAAATCATTCTCAATTCTGAATCATTGAAATATTTAGTAATGAATGCAACTAAACTCTTCGCTATTTCGCAGTTATATGCATTCCTCTTGAAAAAGTATTTAAAAAACCTTTGAAGTACTCTAGAAAATATGTCCAGTGGGTGCTCATCTTTAGACAACCGTTTTTGTCCGGACAAAGTTCGTCCATAAGAAATGTGATCTACTGGTATTTACTTAGGCTGATATCAAACAATATTAAACGGACGAAAGTAAAATATTTCACCTTCGAGAAGAAATATGATTCTTTGTTGAAGTGTGAATCATAGAGTAGTGAACTGAAATCTGTGAGTAAATCGTTGCATCAAAATAACTACCGAACTATTATGATGTGTTTGCCAGGTATTTATTTACTTTCTACAAATTATTTCTGTCCTTGAAATCCTAGTTTCTTTCTTATCGTTCTTTACTGATGACTCACCAAGTTAATCATCAAGCCGTCATAAATATATTTTGCTATTTAATGTTCTTTGCTTGTTGAATTAAGCAACTACCGTCAGAAGGAAAAATATTCGCCTAACACATCGGGGTATAAAAACAGCGACGTTATGGGGTCTACTTCATTCTTTTTCTCTGCGCAGTTAGAAAAAAAAATATGGCTTCCTCATCGCCAGCGACAGGTTTTGAGCATTTTGGACACAAAATATACTCGACTGTTAATCAAAATAATAGCAATAAAAATGTGTTCCTTTCGCCAGCAAGTATTGCTCTTGCTATGGCCATGTGTTCAGTTGGCGCTCGACAAGAAACACTAAAACAAATGTTACATGTGCTTGATGCTTCATCGATAGAGAGCTTAACAAAAACAGCCGAGCAAGTTATGGAAGTCTTTTCTATTGCTGATCAAGATACACAAGTTAAGCTTAAATTAGCTAATCGACTTTACGCACAGAAATCATATAAACTTCAACAAGGTTATTTAGATCTTGTTCAGGATTCGTTCAAAGCTGATATTAAACTTGAAGATTTCGTAAATAATAGTGCTGCTGCTGTTCAAACGATTAACGCATGGGTTGAAGATCAAACGAATAATTTGATTCAAAATTTACTTTCTCAAAATGATGTTAAACGTGATACACGTTTGATTATAGTAAATTGTATCTATTTTAAGGTAAATATTAGTGTTTAAATGGGAGTTTTGATTTTATTTGCATAAATAACGTAATAGGGCACATGGAGAAAGCAATTTGAAGAGCATTCAACGAATGAAAACGCTGATTTTCATGAAGCTAGTGGCAATGTTTCAAAAGTCAAACTAATGTTCATGAAAGAAAAATATTTGTATGGTGAAAATAAAGATTTACATGTGCAAATAGCTCATTTACCATATAAGAGTGATAATGCGCGTGTTCAATTCGTTTTCACTGTGATCTTGCCACAGAAGGATGTTTCATTAAATAGTGTTGAACAAAAATTATCATCAAAGCCACAGCTATTGCAACAAATATTGAACGATGAAAATACAAGAACGGAAGAGCTTCTTTTGTATCTCCCGAAATTCAAAATGGAAGCTTCATTTGAACTGAGTGATGTTCTTAAAAGGTTAGGAATGGTGAATGCATTCAGTGACAGCGCAGCCGACTTTACTGGTATTGTAAGTAAAGAAGATGATCCTGCAGGTTTATGCGTTAGCAAAGTAAGAATTGAATGAAGAAGAAATATTTAATGTAATTTTTATTACACAAAACGTTTAGGTTATTCACAAAGCGTTTATCGATGTAAACGAAAAAGGTAAGACAATCGATTTTATATATGATATTCTATAGACGGATACAATGAGAGAGACAGAGAAGAATATTTTTAAGTTTTCCGAAGGATTTGTAAGAATGATACTTACATTTTTTTACCGATAATGTGATAGTCATGAAAAAGAAGTCAAGCAACAGCTTATGTGCCAACCAAGTAATGCATTTTAGTCTTTAATTCTCTGTGTGTTATTCTTATTGTGCAGTTTGGAGCTAAGAAACAAACATTTAGTGTTACAGAAAAAATCTCAGTAAGGTTAATATGGTTTCATGATGAATTTGCCAGTTTTCTTCTGGTGTCGAATTTCTGTGTTTTTGCGTCAATTATTTGGTATGCTTTTAGAATCAAAAAAGAAAACAGAGGTTTACTTTCATCATATTTATTATGTTCCACCCTTGTGTTAGAAAAATTATTTATGCTTTAAAATTTTCAGTCAAGCCTGACAGAAATCTGTTATTTATTCTTTATTCTTTATTCAACAGAGTTAACCATATGTGACAGAATTGACTGAAAGTATGTTTATTATTTGTGATGAGAACAACATTTTATATTCTTACGTTTCTCACATCTTGATGAATAAAAATCTTGGTTAATTTTCTATTCTACATTTTCTTTTCAAGGAACCGAAGCAGCAGCTGCTACTGCTATAAGACTCACAAAAAGACGTCGGTTAGCATCAGCTATCAAATCAGTTGAATTTAAAGTTGATCGTCCATTCATTTTTATGATTCGAGAATCACATAACAATATTACTTTTTTTTCTGGAAAATTTCTATCGCCACCGTTATCATAGTATGAATTGTTTTTGTAACGTAATAACACTTCTTTTTACCGAGCATCTTGAATAAATTCGTACAGTTATAAAAGAGCATGCCGTAAAATTGATGTTATCTTTCTGGATGAATTAGGTTCGGAAGCTGCTGCTGCGACAGCTGTCATTATGGTAACCAAGTCAATGGCAGTGCGCCGAAAACCTGAACCAATTGAATTCAAAGCTGATCGTCCATTTTTATTTTACATTCAAGAAACTCGACAGAATTTGACATTATTCACTGGAAAATTTCTTACACCAACAAACTTTTCATGATACTCTGTATTTTGATAGTTCATTTTTTATAAAGATAATTACGTAATAAATTAATTAAGAGACCTTTGAGAGAGAGAGATAAGCACAATATTTTCTATGCATTGCCAACAAAAATGATTATAATTTTGCGATGAATATTTCATAGCGATTTGCAGCTATTATTCGATGTATCAGAATTTCGCTTGATTACATTTCTTCTAATTATTATTTACTTTAGGATCAGAAGCAGCAGCAGCCACAGCAGTTATCATGATGCGTTGCTGCGCCTCAATAGGTCCAAAACGATCGCCCATCGAATTCAAAGCTGATCGACCATTTTTATTTTACATTCGAGAAATTCGACAGAATTTGACATTGTTTACTGGCAAATTTCTTACACCCGTTAACTTATCATAATATTATGTACTTTGATCGTTCGCTTTTTATAAAATTGACTAATAAATTAAACAAAAGAATCTACTAAGAAGCAACTTGCATCGATTCGAAGCAAGAATGCGTATAGGTTTGCGATGAATATTTCATAGTGGTTTAAAATTGTTATTCAGTGTATGGAAATTTCGCTGGATGCCTTTTCTTTTATTATTTGATTTAGAATCAGAAGCTGCAGCAGCTACAGCAGTCATCATGAATATTTTTAATATCACAATAGCTCGAAAAGCATCACCTATCGAATTCAAAGCCGATCGACCTTTTTTATTTTTCATTCGTGAAACTAAACAAGATCTTGTTTTATTCCGTGCCAAATATGTCTCACCACCGGCTGCATCGTAAATGAAGGATTTTCGTTTTCTTTCACGTCGAAGAGTACCAACATGTAAATTTATTGAATAGCTAGGGCTCTATGGTGATAGGCCAATCATAATGATATTTCACCTACGCTCATACTCGGTATGCATTGATTCATCGTGTGGGATTTAATACAACATACTTCCGTACTAATGAAAAGGACGCAATCAATCAAAAACAAAACAAATTTAGATAGTTTAATGTATATTGTGATAATATATATTTATCAGAGATTCGCTGATATTTTTTCATCAATAATACTGATTGAATACTGTTCTCGTAAAATAAGCGTCGTACGAGTAACGATTGGCTTTTTTTATCTCTTGTTTACAGCCTTTCTTTTCAACTGATTGCATCAATCATAGACTCACCTTTCAAAAATGGTCGTCTACCGAATATTTTCTCTCACATAAAAAAAAGCAAGTAGAAAAAAAAGGATATGAGACAAAATTGCTCATCCATTTTCCTTGTATAAAGAAGCAGGTCATGGCTGCTGCATCGACTGAAAGTTTCGCACATTTTGGATCTAAACTATTCGCTACTATAGCTCGTGAAAACAATTCTCAGAATGTATTTCTTTCACCAGCAAGTATTGCTCTGGCAATGTCAATGTGTACAGTTGGTGCTCGACATGAAACACTAAAACAAATGCTGCAAGTATTCGAAGTATCATCAATAAAGGATTTAGAGAATTCAGCCCATCATGTTATGCAAGTATTTTCAAATAATCGTGGAAAAAAGCCATCGACAATTAAATCAGCCACTGATTTACCTGAGGTACCCAATCCATCATTAGTTACACTCAGATTAGTAAATTGTCTTTATGTACAAAAAGGATTCACAATACGTGATGATTATTTGGATTTACTTAAACACTCGTTTTATTCTGCTATTGATCTGGAAGATTTTGAAAATAACAGTGCTGAAGCTGTCGAAAAAATAAATGTCTGGGTAGAAAAACAAACACGCAAGCGCATACGTGATTTATTATCAACAAATGAAGTTACCAAAGACACGCGACTCATACTTGTTAATTGTATTTACTTCAAGGTAAATATTTTGTTCACTATGTTTTTCTAGTTTCTTTATCGTGCAGCATCTGTTCGTTTAGGGTGAATGGGAAGATAGATTTCAACAGAATAGTACGGATAAAAATGCAGATTTTCATGGAATTGATGGTACTACATCGAAAATCGAATTAATGTTTCAAAAAACGAATTTTAATTATGCTGAAAACCAAGATTTACAAATTCAAATTGCTCATTTACCCTATAAAAACATGGGTCCCAGCGGAGTGTTCATTTTTACAATAGTTTTACCTCATGACGGTGTTAACTTAAATGAAATCGAAGGAAAATTAATGTCAAACACGAAATTAATGCATGAAGTATTAAGTTTTGACAATGCAAATTCCATAGAACTTTCACTTTATTTGCCAAAATTTAAAATGGAGACGAAATATGAATTAGGAGATATTATGATTTCATTGGGCATGAAAGATGCATTCGACGAAAAGAAAGCTAATTTTAAAGGTATTATTGGTACAATCAAGGATGAGAATCGTATAGCGATAACCAAAGTAAATGATACATACTACTCATTTCTCTACATATTTTTCTTCTAGGTTATTCATAGAACATTCCTTAATGTCGACGAAGAAGGTAAATAATTAAATTTTTAGTATTTTGTTTTTGGAAAAATATTGATATGAAAATACGTGTCTAATATTCTACTGTTGAGTGCGTCGGCCTTGATAGAAATATTCATAATGACGTAAATAATAAATTAATGTAGTCTGATTAATTGCATATGAAAATACCTCTAAGGCGTTTCGATCTTTTCCATAGAAAAGATTGAGACAAGGACGGTAGTGCTTCCCCTTCTCCCTATTGTAAGTTCATTTTGGAAGAGATAAAGTAATCTCTTTGTTTTTTTTTATGAACAAAGGGATTATAGAATCAAAAGTTCATCTGTCTTCTATAGTTTGAAACTTTTTTATTTAGGCACAGAAGCGGCAGGTGCTGGGGCAGTCATCATGGGTCGTTTTGGTTGTGGATTTCACGCTAAAAAAAAGCCGATTGAATTCAAAGCGAACAGACCATTCCTATTTTTTATTCAAGAGGTTAGACAAAATGTTATTCTCTTCAGCGGAAAATTTGTTTCGCCACCAATTCCCAGTCGTTAAACTATTTAACATTCTAGCTGAATGGCTCCTGATTATTTTTCTTCTTCGATTGTATACTAAAATCTCTCACGTAGATATGAAATTAATATAAATTAACGGTAGCTGACTAACGAATTGCACCAATGATATCAATAAAAGTAACTAAAAATGAAAAATGACGACAAAATTTAACTGTTTTTAATATAAATCCTGATTCAAACTTACGTCTGACGAAATCTACATTATTTTTAGTCACATAATATAGTTGATATCATTTTTTTTATTGATTTCATGCATAAAAGTACAAAACGTTGAAGACGTACAAACTACAAGATGAAGATAAAATTTAATTTTAGTTAAAATCATTCCAGTACAATATTTGTACTCCTATCAGATATATTATTTGTCTGATTTAAAATAATATTTAAGATTACTACGAGAACTACAACAACTAGAAGAAGAATTCCAATAGCAAAATATTTTATTTTATTTATTGATTGTTTTCGTTCAATATCTTTTCGATAATCCATAACACCGTAACCGAACGCTTGATTTTTATGCAATAATAAATCAGTCCGATCTAATAGCATATTCAGTTGTTCATTACGTGCCATATTTGAATCGATTGCTTTTCGAAGTTCATGTTCAGTTTGATTAGCTAAATCGTATAATTTATTTATTTCTATTTGACTTGTTTCACCTTTTGTTGGCAATGATGTTGAATTTTTATTGTATGATATCTGTTTATGATTCGTCATTATCATATTTATCAATATAAATAGACTGAGAAATTCCGATTGCTTCTGGTCAAGGAGAAAAAATGAAGGTAGTATAATAATTTTGAAAAAATAATCCATTCGTATTACAAGAAAAAAAATGACAAGACAAAATGAGCGCATTTGTATAGTTGAATACCTAAAGAAATTCTAATATGTTCATTCAATTGAAAATCGATCTGTTGAAAAAAACTCGAGCACAGATAGTCATCAACGTTTTTTTAGCAGAGGTAGATCTTCATGAGAATGAATTATTATTATAAAACTCCCAGATCTGTTGATCTACTTCTGTTCTTAAACAAAAATAGTAAATCAATTGTTTTCACTGTGATAAAAATTAGTTGTCCCGAAGCCCATGTACATTGAGTTAATCAACATCATAGAAATCCAGTATCTCCATAGCAATAATCTAAGAGGCCAAAGATGTATTGAAGCATTATAATACACATAAGTAGTCGTGACTCAAAGGAAATTAATTATTTGAACAACTTCTATCGTTACTTATGATGATTCTTGTAGTTCAATAGAATACAAAGAGCCACGCTTTCATGTAGCAAGAAAACTAATCAATTCTCAATATCTGTACATATGTTGATACCAAGTTTATTTTGAAAGCAAACTTTCTCTTCTAGAATATGACTTTGGAGAATAGAAAACATTTGTTTTCATTACTAATTCAATGAATATCTCACAGATACAATGCTAAATTATGACATTCGTATACGAATGAATTACGTCTAAAAGGATTTCTTAATGCACAAAGCTTGTTTTTGAAGCTTTTAGAGAGAGAAAGAACGTAGAAATGCTTCTACTTTGATCTGAAAGTATTGCCTATTGAAAAGAATCTTCATTGACAAGTAATAAAATTGAAATTTTTTTCATTGAATTTCTTATACCTTAAGAGTTTTATTTGACCTTCTGCATTGATCTCGTTATGCATCCCTACAAATGCATCCATAATTTCTGTTCGGTATTTTTCTCTTCCGTGACATTTCGAAATATCGAACAGAAAATGGTGCTTTAGTGTTGTAATGAATATTTTCTTTATTCATCATTGATGAATGAGTATTTTTGCATCTCTTCATTGTATCACTGGATTATACCGTTTAGCATTGAAATATGAACAGTGTAATATACATTTTCAAGCTCTCTGGAGAATATTGTTTTTATTAAGAAAACGACACAGATTATTTTCTTTTTTGCACTGCAGGGCACTAATGAAAAAAAGGAACCGACAGAATACAAAGGAAAAAAAAATAAAGAAAAGAAATAGAAATGTTTCTATAGACAAGCTTTATCTTTAGAGGTATATTCAGTTGAGAAAAAAAAACAGTAAATTAAAACAGTTGATATTCGTTTTTTGCTTCGGATAGTTCGTTATTTTTTTTTCTTCTGGCGTCTAAGCAAATGTAAGTAATTATGAGCATTGCATATATTAATTGGAGTGACAGCAATACAAATAAGAGCTATTTAAAGAGTCAAACACAACGTACAATGATAAAAATAAAAATATCTCCGAGTCAGTCGAAAAAGAACAGCAACGATATTGACTGGCGTAAACATGTTTCTTTATGCGACTGTTATTTTGAAAGAAGAAAATATCGAAGTGAATAATAATAAGAATAAAAACATCACATGTTTCTATATTGTAGTGTATCGTGTATCGACTATCATAACATCGTCAATTGCATATTGACATGTCGAGTTTAACTACTCAAACAATTCGTGTTCTTGATTGTTATGAAGGTCGCGATGGTGCTATTACATTGACACTTTATTTTTGTTGTTTATTAAGTGGTTTTTATCCAACTGACTCTAATTTGCATCTATCTTTGCAACGAATATTTGAACGTTTAGAAGATTGTCGCGTTGTCTTACGTCTTTATGATGACATAGCAATTCTTCGAGATTTTTTTACTTATGAATTAAGACCTGGAGTGAGAAATTTCGTTCATTTTTCTGATACTATTTTCTTGGTTGATGCAATATAACTTTTAGGAACGAAATTGGATAGTTCGTTGTCTAAAATTATTACACTATATTGCATGGCTTGGTTATTATCCATCGGAACATATAAGTTGGCTTGGAGACATGAATTTGATTGACGTTGATCCTGAATTTTGGGAATTCCTAACAAATTTCTTTTGGGCAACAGCATTAATTACTTCTGCTCTTTGGTAAACAAGTTGTTCTTTTTTTCCGCCAAACCGTACCCGATTGTCATGTCTTTTGATATCTCGTAGGAATGCGTATGTTGTTTTACAATATAGATCTCAAAAGCATATAAGTAAAGAAAAAAAAGAAGAAGAGTAAGTAACTATAACAAATGAATGTTGACTCAACTATTGAATTGCATTTATAGGAAAAAATCTCTTATTCCATGGACAGCTGCTCGCAATGCTATGCTAGTTACGATTCGTGATGGAACTGAATTTATGGTTGCTGTTAATAATTTACCAAAAGGTTATTTGTGGTCATCAACATTGACCTATACTCAAGTCGGCATGTTTGGCACTTGTTCGGCCTTCTTACGTCTTTTTGCACTTTTCAAATTTGCTTCCTGATCATTGAAATTTTCATTTGATTTATTTATGTTCTTTGATCAATCGACCAGATCTTCTGTTGCAATTTTAATTTATTTTCGATGGACACAAACTGTGATGTTTTTCTCTTTAATATGCATGTTTTTTTTTAAAGAGCACTTATCAAATGTAGATTTGTTTTCAACCCATAGCAATTATTTCTTTGTTCTATAGAAGAAATAAAATTTTAGTCATTTCTCTCAAGAAAGATACTTTTTTTTTATTGTATTTTAATTATAGGATAAGAATATTGCATTTTCGCTTTCGTATTCTTTTATATTAAAATAGATTAGAATAATACCAAGTATATTTAACAAGTCTATAATATACTTCAATTGTCAGTAAAAATTTGATAAAAAAAGAATCGTTAAAGTGACATACTTTTAAATATTTGAAAACTCAAAAAAATCTATGCATTACACAACATTGGTGAATATCGGGATGAATAGAGAACTAAATTATCATTCGAGCGAAGTTTGCATTGATCTAATATGACATATGTTATTGCTAAATCTTGAACTCGTGCTTTGGATATTACGGGAGATGTGTCCATATTTCAAAAGTTTACATCGTAGAGAAAATCTCATAAAGTTAATACTTATTGTACAATCCACGTTAAATGTTTTTTCTTTTAGAAGTGTGAGATTTCATCTTGATTTATTTGAAGTTACACAAGACAATAATTACAGTACGCATGTAAATAAAATCGAATGATAAATTCTCAGCAGGCCTTTTGCCCACAATAAAAAAACGCTAACGTGTTGAGGGCTATGAGTTAATGTGAATTGTGATTCATATGCTAAATAGACGAGGAAGTATTTGCTTTGATGAATTAGCGTTAGAAAAACAGTTAGTAATTTGTGTTGAGTGAATTGCAGAATCTCAGTTATTTCATAATGATTGCAACGTAGAAATAACATAACAATGAATTATATGACAACTAGAATATTTATATTAGTGATTGAAGAACTTTTTTCTTTTTGCTGAATTGAGTTAGAATCTTAAAAATTTGATAAAGAAAATCAGCTGAATTCATCGTAATAACTGATAAAGCGGCATATCTACATAAAGATCGATGTACGAGTATATTGCTGGAATTGAATTTGCTTAGTAAATTAGACGTCATGTAAATCTACCAAGAAAATATATGAAGTATTTTTAAATAGAAATTCGAAAATTTTTAAAGATTTCTCATAATTTGCATCTCTGATAGACTAGTTTTGAACGTCTATTGCTATTCAAATGTTTGTTGGACAAATATTCCTTTTGGAGAATTCAATTAATATATTCTGTACATATAATAAACGTCGTAATTTTGATTTAAAAAAATGTATAACCATACAACTTGAGAAAACTTTTATCCATTGATTAAACTATGCCTTCACTTTATATTTGGATGTAATAAGTGTTGCATACAATAGGAATTAATAATGCGTTTTGAAATGAGATATGATTGACATAAGGCTTAACTAGCTATTTTTATTATGCATGGTTATTGAAAAGAAAACAAAATTAGTCATGGACATGATTCAAAATATCTGCATTTTACAATTAAAACAGTACATTGTATACAAAGCCATTATTCATCCATTGCTTAGATCATACTGAAATGCGTTTCTAATGTCACATCTGTTTTAGTTTATTTTTCTTGGATTAATTAATTACAACAAAAATTTTAAAAAAGCAATAACAGTTTAGTGAGAACATATCTAACTTGTGCAAAGTAATCAGATTATTCATATATTCTCAAACATGCAACAACCTTTGATCGACACATGGGACAGGTTTGCATACCATGTGCACAGGGCAAACAAGCTACGTAGTGCCCGCATGGTACAAATACTGCAGCTCTATGAGTCATACTACAGGCGATACATAGATTCGTCATGGGCATCAATATTTCCCGCTCAGATGTATCATTTGTATTTTCGGCTACATCATTGGAAGCTCTTGACCCATCATTGTCGTTTTCAATGTTGTTCATCAATCGACGCAAACAAGAATTGTTTATGGTTGCTATGAAATGACACCTTTATTAGAGTAAAAATCTGTAATAGAAAGCAATGACTAATTTCAAATGTAGCATTTTTAATGACGTAATAGTCAATAAATCTTATGCAATAAAAATTGCAGAGATGATGACAATTCTTTTTTCCCAAACTATCTATCTATACTTATCGCTATACGAATCAGTTTGATGGCCTCTCTTAATTTGACAATATTGGGCGAATAATAAAAACTATGAGTAATTCATGATAAATGCCCCTATGATGCAATCTATTAAAGAATTGCAATTAGCAATGAATATGCAATAAAATTTTCACATCTTTTCGTAGATATCTAACTTTTTCTTTTATAGAGAACGACGCCCATGCTTTTATTATTACTCTGATATGATCAATTAAAAAGCTGATGTATCGAATGACCAAATAAAAATCATTTCATTATTTTAATATTAATTTCAGATCATTCCAGCATATTTGTTTTTAATGTATGTGCCGATATGAATGGTGTGCTCTGCAATGATTCCCCTGCTGTCCTCTTTCCATTGTTCTAATATATACTTTGAATATGTGAACAAGCGAATAGGCATCATTACCGAGGATGGCGGTAAGCTATTCTACTCGATACAGTTTGCCATTACGATATAGAAACGCAACAGTCTTATTTATCCTTACCGAAGTATTAACGCGTGCTTCATGTCAAGGTAGATAGATAGATCGATGTTTTAACTTGGTGGCGATTCAAAAGCTCTACATTTTCTTCGTACATTTAAGGCCCCCTCCCCTCAATGGTCGATTTTCGCCAAAAAAAGTCCAAATCGGCTGAAATTTTCAGGATATGTTGGGACTATAGCGGGTAGTCTACGATAAAAATTTCAGTCCGAAATATGCAAGTTTAAGGAAGTTATAAAGTGAACACCGGTTAAAAATGACCCATTTTCCATCCAATTTCTCATGCCCTCAACTATGTTTTTTCAAAAAATTTTTTTACCATCCGATAGAGCATGCAAAGATGCAGGGCATGACGTGCTCGGATTTTTAAAAAGTCCTTTCTGTAAGCCGAAAAAGTTTCCAGAATTCACATTCCTTGAAAAACGCCTAAAAGACTGCAAGTAAATTTTGTAGGCGATCTTTTTTGAGCATAAAAAAAAGCTCTTTCAAAAATCAGAGCACGTCATGCCCTGCGTCTTTCCATGTTCTATCGAATGATAAAAAGAAAAATTCAAAAAAACATAGTTGAAGGCATGAGAAATTGGATGGAAAATGGAAAAACATGATTTTGAGAAAAACATAAAAACATTTTTTCGAAGTTTTTGCTGTTTTTTTAAATTTTCTGCAATTTTCACGCGTTTTTTGAGGAAACTGACCTAACTTTCGTACGTAACTTTTAATTCTACACACGCTGAGCGCTTAATTAATTAGTTAATCAGCCATTAGAGATCAAAGACCTAATTATACTGCCTTTTTTGGCATAGAGGACCTCTCAAAGATCACTAAAAATTTCGGTCAAAAAATGGTCTTTGGAGAAAAAACTATAGTGATTCTGAAAGAGCAGAACATGAGCTATCACCCCATGGTGTTATCTCAATTTTCAATTTTTTAACGAAAATCGACTTTTTTTTAGGGGGGGTTATGGAGGGATGTCATAATATCCACAACTTGGGTATCGAGATGAATACCCAGATAGGATACCCAGTTGGATGGACATCTACGTATCCTCAGAGCTGAGGAATTTGAGTGCATTTGGCGTAACGAGAATGGGTATCCATTTTTATATATCCCCAGAGCTGAGGAATTTGAGTGCATTTGGTGTAACGAGAATGGGTATCCATTTTTATATTAATTTGTTTGAAGTAGGACCTGACAGTAGGAAAATTGCCGGTACCCAATCTCGTTACACCAAATGCACTCAAATTCCTCAGCTATGAGGAACATGGGTATTCATTTTAGTATTCATTTTAGATATCCACTTGAATGGATATCGTGACTGGTATGTCGACGATACCCAGTGTTAGGATATTATGACATCTCTGTATATATATATATCTATCCGAACTTGTAATTTTTCGCAGAGAAATGCTGCCCTTAACCGGTTTTGCATCAATTGTTCTGTTAACAAGTAACAATAGTTGCAGTTGACTGTGTGCGCAACATTTAGTGGATTTTCAGACTTGCTCTTCCTATTTACTCGAATTTATGCCACGTGGCTTTGCAATCACTCAATCTAGACGAAGGCTCTCCAGTAAGTTAAAACTTTACTTTCATCCTTTTCTAATTTCTTTTTATTCTAGAATAAAATGAACACTGCATTTGATCAATCAATAGAACAACATTTAGACGAATCCGAATCAGCAACAATAACGACGACAACAACACCCACGCCCACATCAACAATAGCAACACCAACAAAAAAAGCATCTGCATGAAGTTACAAGGAAGACGAAGAAATATCGATCATGTCGCAGCCGAACGACATGAACGATGAGGTAAGCCACTTGGTAGAGTTTTTTTTTGTGAATTGAATATGAATGCTTTATTTATATCTTTTCAGAACTTAACTGATGGTCAACTCGTCTTTTCATCACCAGCTGCTCATTTGACTCCAAATAACGGGGTGATTCGTGATGCTGGCACATCCTCCATATTTGTAAGTTTATCTTCTATCTTCAAGCATACAGTATAAACGTTTTTCTTTTCTAGAAAACATCTTTGGCATCAACAACTCGTCGAACGGCTGGATTTAGAAAACAATTATGACACAACACAGACTCGTAGCCAACTGAACCCATTTTAAATCTCTCTATCGTTCTTTCTCTTTAATTTTTCCTTCTGCTGTGTTATTTATTCGTTTCTTTTTCTGTTGTAATTTATTGGTTAATTGAAACATTTATTTTATTTTATGTACCATTTTTTATATGATATTTGTCTAATAAAATTATTATTATTATTATTGCGCGAAGTTATTTAAAAATAGCCTGATCTCTTATCGGATAGAAAAAGGTACTATTTAGCTGAATTTATATTTAAAAATAACCGGGAGAAACAAATATGAGCGAATTAATCTAGTAGTATTTCAAAATCAAATTTTCCAGCAGTATTCATATATTGTCAGTGTGTGATGGCGCCCTCTATTTTTCATTTGCCAATTTTTCAAGGCAAACCAAGAGCGTAGTTCAATACAAAATATTTTTTTCTACCTACTAATATCAATAATATCTCTTGTTTCTTCCAAAAACCAACAAACCAATCACGTAGCTCTTGCTATTGGTTCACTTTTTTCACTGCTTTCCCGAGTCAGGATCAGGATTCAGGATCCATACCAAAAGGCTATTTTTTCCTTTTTTTTTACAGATGTCTTTAATAAGATTAACAGGTTTACGATCATTTCAAACGATATTTATTCGCACTGCTAAAACAACTGTACAAAGCGGTGGTAAAACATCGAAAACAGAGAAAACTACTGATGAAAAATTTCTGAATGAGGCGCCAACTGAAAATGAAGATCAAGAAGATGATACACCGGTATCAACAGGCCGTGAACGATCATTAAATCGTGTTCAATTGATCGGTCGAGTTGGAGCCGATCCAAAAGTTGGTGGAACTGAACGACATAAAGTAGTGACATTTAATTTAGCAACAAATGAATATGCTGGAACAAATACCGTCAATGGAGAAATTAAACAACGTGTTGATTGGCATCGTATTGCAGTATTTCAACCGCGTCTATTAGATAATGCGGAAAAATATGTACGTCAAGGTGATAGAATCTATGTTCAAGGTCGTCTTCATCATAATATGATTAAAGATAAATTAACTGGTCAAGATCGTTACGTGTCAAGTATTATTGCTGATGATATGATTTATTTAACCAAAAAATAGTTTGCATCGTTATTTGTTTGTTATTTTCTTTTTGTTGAACTCTTTGTGCAGATATAAAAAAAGGAAAAGTAGAATAAACTTCCGGTGATTTCTTTGTTATGAAAAATAAAAGTAAAAAACCATCGATATTTCTTCTTGAAGATTCTTCTGTGTGACAATTCTTTTTTGTAAAACTCAACATGATCGAATTTGCTGAATTATTGCCTTATATTTTTATGCTTATCGGATTTATTTTTATGGTTATTGTTGCCAGGTATTTCAAAAGAAATAAATAATTATTAATTTTGTTTTCTAATTTTGTTTCTTTGCTTTTTGTTTACATATATCGTCGAGATCTCTTTGCAGAAGAAACAACAACAAACATACCAATAGCTGAAACAGCTAAAAATATACCCGTAGATCGAATTGATAGTCCGTATAGAATTAATATTGAAGAAAGTCGATCAACACTAAAAGGTATATATTGAATAAAGAAAAAATAAAATGATCGAATGAATTTATTAGATGGCGTTGATATTCGTGTTCATACGCAAATTCTTTGTCAACTACGTGTTTACTGGTTTGTAACTATTCAAAATTTCTATTCCGAATTGGACTCATCAGATTTTCGATTATCTCTATTGGAAAATCGATTTTTAAAAAATCATTCTGCACATGAAGAAATATTTAGGTAACTTTTCTTTTTAGTTTCATTTCAAAAGTAAAACAATAGACATTTTTTTCTAGTTTCGAAACTTGTGGTGATTATGTTCAGCGTGTAAAATTTCCTGGTGCAGAAAATTATTTAATACAAAATAATCAAACACGTCGAAAATATCCTCTAGTTATTATTGTTCATAGTTTCGCCAGTGATGATAGACAAGAATTTTTTCGATTGGCAAATATTTTAAATGTTAATCATATGCTTTTATTTATTATCTTTTTCTTTAGCCAATACAAGTAGCTGCATTACATGTAAAATCATCAACGCCAAATGATCCGCCAACTAAATTCATAATGAAACTTTCGAAATTAGCTAGCGGACAATCACTTGTTTTACAAGTAAATCTTAATTTATTATCCTAGTATTTAAATATACGCCTGTTTTTTTTTCTATTCGGAATAGGATATATTTATCCCGGGTGCAGGGATATCTGATGACGCATGTGCTATTTGTTTAACGGAACGAGCAAATCATGTTTTACTACCGTGTAAACATGCTTGTATATGTCAAAATTGTTTTTCTCTTATTGACAAATGTCCTATATGCCAGAGATTTGTTTTATCATATTTTAAAATATGAATAATTGTATTCTGTTTATATAAAAATAAAATAAAATATGATCTAAAGATATGTAATTAGTTAAAAACATATTTACATTTCTATGCCTCAAAAGACTTGTCGCAAAAATAATGAATAGATAATCAATTACAATAGAAATAAACATATTTCTATAATTATGAAACAATATATTTATTAAAGTGAGTGAAATAAGATTGATATATTATTTAAGAGTTGTCTTATTCATTTTTATTTCGGTCGAAATCTTATTTTAAATTTAAGGTTTTTAAATATTTGAACTACTAATGAGAATGCTGATGAAGTATTTTATTATGAATATAAAAGTTAATTAACATTTATTTTATAGACTTTTGTTTGTCTCGATATATATACTGTTGTTAGTAATTCAAAATATTGTGTATGTGGGAAGGAAGAGGAGAAAATCTCAATTATAACAATGTAGGATGCGCGTGTTGATTAACACTTGACAAAAATGGAAATATGCGCACACGTTGGGAGAAAAAGAAAAGCTTATTTTAACTATCTGATTGCTTTTTTTTCATCTTGAGTTATTGGATATTTCTAATGTTTTTTCTCTTGTGTTAGTATTTACTATTCATGGTAATATCTTTCTGTAATATGACATGTACTGATAGAATAAGTAATTGAAATCCTTGTTAATAGGTAAATTGTGTAGGCCTATTTGCTAATAAGACGATTTCTTATTTTCTTTCATATTGTTGATATTTGAACGATTGAGAGAATAAAAAGGAAGAGAGTGGTAAGAGAGAAAATGATAAGAGTTGAAGAAAATACTCATTCATTTCACAATTTATTGTTCCCTCTCGCTTAGAGTTTCTGACGTACACATTTACGACCATTAGTAGCATACTTATACAGGAAAATAACTCAATATGCAAGAATTAGTTCGTGTGGTATTTTTTCTTCTTGTTGCACTACTCGTTTTATTTCGTAAGTTATAAAGATTTTTATTTTTCAAATATCGAACGATAAAACTATTTTATTTTCTAGAACTTGTTCAATGTCGTAGTGTTTTGCCAGAAACAACCGATCGCCATAAAAGATCATTGAGTAATACTAATTATGCCAAATTATGCACATTCGGAAAAAGTCGTTTATGCAATTGTAAGTTTTATTCAAGTTTGAATAGCTATGCGAATACCGAGCGTTTTTTCGTTTAGATTTACGAGCGATGAATACTGAAAAATCCGATCGAATAGGGTGAGTGAATCTTTAAATTGGGAAGTAAAAGGGCATGGTTTTTTTATTGATAGAGATGATCAAGAACTGTGGCGACGCGGTGTCAGTCAATTCTACAGTAATTGGTAGAATTAAACATTTTTATTCAATCGTTACTGATTTGCAACTAACAATCTTGAATAAATTTGAAATCGTGAGAAAGAAATATTGATGAATTTTTTCCATGGAAATAAATATAAAAAGGATTTAATAAACAGATAAATGATTGCATATGATTTTATATTAATGAATTTGACTGTGGCAAAAAAAAAGAAAAGATAATGATCTTGATGGTTCACTGAATGATTCGGACACGTTTTTTTTGGGCGGTTAAAAAAGGGCATCATAGTTAATAACCATGGCAACTAATACTTTTTAAATTTGTTTGGAAGAAATCATCAAAGGCATACATACACAAGATGCAGTGTTTTTCTATAGATTGAACTAGAGTTGTGCAAAACCAACCTGCTAATAGAAACAAAGTGAAATCGTTCTGAGTTACAGCTGTGGAAAAGAATTGAAAATTATGAATATTGAACAAGCATTTCAAATGGTAGACAAACAAATTCTGGAAATACTATTCTCTAAAAAAAGCACAGATAATAGAATAGCCAGAATCATGGAGACTCACACGCCTGCAAAAATGGGACATGCATTTCATCTATTTAATCGTTTTTGATCTCTAGAATTTTGATATACGAAAATCTAAAGTTTAGTCCTGTAATGCTATATAGGCTTTATAAGTATGTAGATAATTCGAAAAAATTCCGTTCAATATGAAATCCTGGGGAATTATTCAAACTTATTATATGGTGCATATACTTTCGGAAAGGGATTGGTGCCAAAATAAGATTAATCTCTACACAGATCACAGTAAAGCTCATTTTCGTAGCCCGTCTGATGGTAAAATGTGGAATTGACTTCTAAGCTTTAGATTCATTAAGCTGATGCAAAAATAGATTACGTAGAAATCTTTCGAAAACATTCACCTTCGTTTTAAGATGTACAATATACCCAGTGAAAAATTTTAGGGATTAAAATCGATTATAATTTCGAAATCCTCTGAGCATAATCCAAATTGGTAATCGGATTTTTCTGAAACAAAATCAAAATTGTAATCGATTAAAATTTTGATTATAATCAATAAAAATCGATTAGAAAAGTATAATAGTCAGTTCGCACAATTGTGATTCATGAAAGTTAGCTCTTGTAAGACTACGCACGTAAGCTTAGTTATAGATTAAGAAAACGTTTTCAAGGAATATCAATCGAACAGATCAGATGGTGTCGTTTAGGCAAACTGAATCTCGTCAGCACTGTTACTATGAAGTAGAGAAACTTGGAAAATTTATCATCAATGCTTTATAAGGAGCTAGTTAACTTTTGAGTCAAAGGAAGAAGCCATCTATAAGGATGCTTTTTGGGCTTGTCCCTAGATTGTACAGGCATAGAGTGAAGCCGCAAATTTCCCATAAGTTCTATTCTTAAAAAACACTATCAGCTCGTCAGCGTCTACCGTTTCTACATACCATTGAAAACTTTCAAAGTCGAATTTTTTCTTCGAATTGAATCGTTAAGCGGCGAAGAAGTAGTATCAAAAACAGCAGATGCTAGTGAGTTGATATTATTTTTTTAAGAATAGAACTTATGGGAAATTTGCGGCTCCATCCTATGCCTATAAAATCTAAGGACAAGTCCGAAAAACATCCTTATAGATGGCTTCTTTCTTTGACTCAAAAGTTAACTAGCTCCTTATAAAGCATTGATGATAAATTTTCCAAGTTTCTCTACGTCATAGTAACAGTGCTGATGAGATTCAGTTTGCCTAAACGACATCATCTGATCTGTCCGATTCATATTCCTTGAAAACATTTTCTTAATCTGTAACTAAGCTTAGGTGTGTGAGTCCTGCAAGAGTCCTGCAAGAGTCATAAATTTAATCCATTTACACAACTTGAATCTATTTCAATGCATCCTCGGATTATCTAAGTTACAGTTATAGATATTTCCAGTAAAATGGTGAGAGGAAAATAGATAGAGACGTTTTAATATAAAATTCTGACTACGATCTGATTTTACATGTGATTACTCCTTCTTTTTTACCGAGTGATATTTATTGGAACTCTATTTTAACATACAATGCACTACAATTTCTTCTTTCATTTCTATTACGACTATTCATTGGAGCAGCCCCGACACAATTCTCAAGAGCCCCTTTGTTGTTCCTCACGTTAGAAATCTTTTACTAAAAGTGTTTATAATTGGAATCATTCATTAAAGAACATTAAAGAGAATATTTTATTATTAGATTCAAAATTAAAAAAAATGCAGTGACATGTTTTCAATTGAACAAGAAAATACTATAATAGCACATTTGAGGAACTCGACGGAGTGCTTTTTATCTTAAACTCAAGTGAAAGGTCACATAAATTAAGAATTTTAAATATCTAGCAATAAATTCTTACATAATAGTATACTACTTATATTTAAATGAGCAATAAAAAGTTGAAATGAGGAATAATCACATTGAGCAATAGAATATATTGAATCAGCAATATATATATATATATTGAATTGGCAATATATATATATTGAATGAGCAATATATATTATGACTTAGCGATAATTATACTGAGTGAGCAATAATTACTTTAAACAGAACATAAAATGTATGTAAAAAGAGCAATAAAAATTCTTTTACTTACAATGGTAAGTATGTTCTCAACCTCAGAGTTCATGATGGAACTGCAGTACAAAATAGCTCGCTATTTAATTATTTACATGGGAAAACTCTACAGAATCTGAGATTTACCAAAGTCTACAGGATCGAGCATGATCTACAGGGTGTAGCAGGGTCTACCATGATCTACCACGATATAGCAGGAGCAGGGTCTACAGGGTCTAGCAGAGTTCACAGGATCCAGTGGAATCTACGAAGATATAGCAAAGTTTGGTGTGGTGTCAAGATTTAGTAACAAAAGAAGATCCTAATTCATAATCTCGCTGACCTCACACAATCAATGTGACTCTCGCCCCGATTTTATGGCGTTTCCGGATCTTCTCGTGTTTGGCAGGCACGCTGCAATCGGTATCTTGATTAGACTACAATATTTTGCTAGCCTCCACCCAAGGCAAAATAGTGGAAATTTGTTCGAAAAGAGAAAGAGGCAGACCATTGAAAGAAAAATAGGTTTATTGGCACAATGATCAGTTATATATATATTTCATTTTTCTTTATGCTTCTTGCCAATCACAGATAAAGGCTGTAAAATAACTGCTGATCCCATCGTTAAATTTGTTTTTTCCTCATGTATTCATCTCATTCAGAAGCTGATATTTACAGTATATAATACACACATCTAGATCTACAATATACTAAAATTTGAGCTTTATACTCTTTATTGCTACCGAGAAATAAGCATTACAAAAATCTGAAAATCCTCCATATGTATTTCTTTATTGATTGTTATAATCAAGTGTTAAAAGTGCCTTATGTTTAAAAGGGTAACCGTTTTCTAGCAAAAAAACGGTCCGTAAAACGAGCTGGCGGATTACAGCGAAATAATGTGACAAATAATGCCTTATTATACCGTTTTATAGCCGTTTCAGACCTTTTAAGATGCTCGTTCAGACGGTCGGAATGATTGTCCTTGGTAGTAATATATTTACAGCTAGCGAGATCTATAAAAAAAAATGTCGAATCACAGAATACTTGTATATTTTATATCGGAGAACTGGAACAGAAGTGTATTAGTCTAATTATATTATGTATATTATGTATCTTAATTTATTCTTATACTACAATCAACAGTATTAGTAGAAGTTATGAAAAAGCTTGTTAGCGCAGCCCCTTTGGAGCTAAAATGTGGAACTCACATATATTCTTACACATACTAAAATAATTCATCTGAAAGATCTATCTTGATTTCCAAAGCCTATAATTAGGTCATTGTCTATTTGCTTATATATGTAATGGAGTATTAATTGTTAGCTCGTATATCTAACAGTGGCAGCGACTAGTTTCTATGGTTTGTAATGGGCAAGCATTGCTTTTTTCGTGTAGCCTGAAATTAAAAAAGGAAGAAGTAGCAATCTAATTAGTCAAGCTCCTAATTAGCACAATTTTAAACTAATATCTGTAATGGGGAGGGGGATGGGAGCCGTAAAAATCTCGCTTGTAAACTTACACTCACCATTTTCTTCGAAAATATACGTGAGTTCCACAAAATAACAGAAAAAAATTTAGAGAAATTTTAGCATCATAAACTAATTATAAATTTTATGACACACATAAATGACATTTAGAATATCTACAATGCGTTTTCGAATCATAAGTTAAGTATATCACCTGCAGTTCGCATGGGAGTCATCTATTATTGGGCTACATACCATTATAGGAAAAGATTCAAATTGCAGTCATTACTATTTAGCAAATTCACTTAATATTTAGTGTTTTAAATACAGTTACGATCCACTAAAATCGATTGTTCGAACAAAATTCAGTTGCAGCTGCAGTAATTAGAAATAATCGATTGATCATCACTCAATTCGACTGTAAAATATTGGAATTTTAATGAATTAAGAAGATTTGAGTCGGTTGTGTGATTAAAATCTGATTTCGGAAGAGTTAATCGCATACAATCGATTGCTAATTACACAATGCGATTATGCAAGATTGAGATTTCAATCGATTAAGAAGATTTGGATTGATTATAGAATTTAAAATCGGCTTCAACTACAGTAATTACAAACAGTCGATTGATAATCTACCAATTCGATTTTTAGAGATTCGGATTTTAATCGGATTATATTACAAAAAGAGTCAATTTGGTTTCAGAAATCGGATTTGCTCAACCATAATTAAAAATAATCACGATTTTGTGAGGGATCATTTTCACTGGATAGGGCATTCTCTATTTACGCGTGTTTGCAACGAGGAGAGAGTGAGAAGTCGCCAAAAACCTCACCTCAAAACTCTACATTCATCATTTTCTTCGAAAACACATGTGAATTTCACCAAATAATAAACCACTAGTAGTTTCTCTTTAAAGTGTACGGTCAATTTTTCACTCAATCTCTACTAGGACTTTCTTAATATGATAGTTTCTTTGAATATACTCGATACTCTCTAGAAATACTATGTCTATTCATATTGATCAATCATTGTCATTCGATTCGCATAATTCAAGAGAAAAAAAAATAGACAGCATATATGCCCTTCATATACAATCAATAATGAGAATCAGATGCACAGATATGATACTATTAGTGAAATATGCAAAAAAATGACGCCTCCTTGTTGTGCTCATAAAAAATCATTTGTATTTGTATAAAAAAAGAAGAAGAAGAAGAAGAAGTCAATGGGTAATGATGCTAATAGCAAATTTCGTCGTATTTCACATCTAACTGCTGTTGCAAAATCTACGTCGTATGCATTTGAAAGCAAAGAAAATGTAACATTAATTTGGTTAGATAAATCTATTGATACAATCCGAACAACACTACGCGGAATAACCCATTATGTGTTACTCTATACTGAAGTTGAACCATGTATAAAATACATTCGTTCGGTAGTTGGAGATCGAATATTTCTTATTGTATCTGGTGATTATTCTGAACAATGTCTTGATCAAATACATGATTTATCACAAGTTGATTCAATATTTGTATTTTGTATGAACATATTGAAATCTAAAGAAAAGTTAGTTGATTCAAAGCATTTTTCAAAAATTGTCGGTATATTTGATAATGAAGAACAACTAATAAAATCTGTTCGAGAAGAATTCGATGATTTAAATCAACAATTAGCAGCATTTAGTTTATATGAAAAACAAAAATCAACAAGAGATCTATCGAAAGATGCAGCATCGTTTCTTTGGTTTCAATTATTTAAAGATGTTCTTCTTCGTATGCCCAAATTGGAAGATGCTAAACGTGAAATGATTGAACAATGTCAACAATACTATCGCGGAAATACAGAAGAATTAAAAAATATCGACGAGTTCACTCAAACATATGCCTACAATGATGCAATACGTTGGTATACAAAGCAATGTTTTATTCATCGGTTATGTAATAAGGCACTGCGAACTGAAGATATTGAATTATTATATATATTTCGTTATTACATACAAGATTTATGCAAACGCTTAGCTGTTGAACATGAATCCTTTCGAAGAAGAGAAAAATATCAAGCAATATTAAAACTTTATCGTGGTTTAAAATTAACTAAAGATGAATTAATTCGTTTTCAGTCCAATGTCGGTTCATTGATATCAACCAATGGTTTTCTATCAACAACACGTAATTACGATTTAGCACTAGCATTTGCATTGAAAACTTCTAAACGTTCGGTTGATGTTTATCCAACGTTATTTATAATTCAAGCTGATATTCTATTACATGACGTTGTTTTTGCTGATATATCATCGTTAAGTGCCTACCCGGAACAACAAGAAGTTCTATTCGATATCGGTTGCGCATTTAAAATTCACGAAGTGAATTTTGATCATAGCAAAAATATTTGGATTGTACATATGAAGTTAACAAATGAAGCTCGATCCATTGTTGAAACATACCTTGAAGCCAATAGACGCGTAATGGAGAAAGGCAATGTTTTACTTGTTTTCGGCTTATTATTAACTGAAATGGGTCAATATCATCAAGCAGAAGTCTATTTTGAAAATTTACTTTCATCAAATATGATTGATGATAGAGCATCGTTATATACAAATATTGGTCGCGTGAAATTTCATCAAGGTTTATTCGATGAAGCATTGGTGTGTTTTAAAACCGTCTACGATATTCACAGGCATGAGAAAACACTAGACTATCAAGATTTAGCTCGAACATTGAATAATCTTGGTTTAGTTTATTTAGAACAGAAAAACTATGATTTAGCTTTGAATTTTCATTTTGATGTTGTAAAAATTCATAAACAACATTTAGAATTACCTGAATTATTGTCGGCAAATAGTTATAATGCAATTGGCGTTATTTTTACATACAAACATGAATATAAACGTGCATTAAAATATCTATTTCGTGCTATGAAACTCTATGAAAAATATTTACCAACTCTTGATCATCCAATAATGGCAACGAATTATAATAGTATTGGTTTAGTCTTTTATTATACAAAACAATACGATCAAGCATTAGATTATTGTTTAAAAGCATTGAATATACGTGAAAAAGTTCTACCGATAAGTCATCCGCATATTGCTGATAGCTGTAATAATGTTGCACTGGTTTATCATCATTTAAATGAGTATGAGAAAACTTTAGATTTATTTCAACGTTCTTTAAAGATATACGAAGAAAATCATGATAAACAAATGCGAATACCGATCTGTTGGAATAACATGGGACTTCTATCATTGGATCAACATAATTATGATCAAGCTATTGAATATTATATGAAAGCATTAGATTTATACAATAATGATGATACTAATAAAAATGTACATATGGAAGAAATTGGTTTTACAATTGATAATTTAGGAGTTGCCTATGAAATGAAATCTGATTTTAATAATGCGCTAAAATATTATCGACAAGGATTAGAATATCAATCAGAAAGTCCAGAAAGATTTGTTAGAATATTAATTAAAATTGGTAATATTTATCAAGAACAAGGTGATTATGATTCAGCATTAGGTCATTATCAGAAAGTTTTAACTAGAAGTGATACAATTCCAACAGAACTCATTTCGTCTGTTCTTATGTCTATGGGTATTATTTATCATCGAAAACATGAAAATGATTTAGCTCTTGAAATTTATAAACGTGTCATATCTCTTCGAAAACATTTATCACCAAATGAAGATCTTGAATTAGCTTGGACATATAATAATATCGGTTGTCTTTACGATGACATGAGTGATATGAAACGAGCATTAAAATATCAACAAAGAGGCTATGATATACGACGTAAATCTTTACCATCGTCGCATCCTGATTTAGCCACAAGTTTAAATAATCTGGGCCGTATCCATCAAGCACTTGCTCATTATTCAGGTGGAGATCAAGTTGAATATGAGAAAGCATTAAAGGATTATAAAACTGCACTTCATATTCGACTAAAATCTTTACCGATCGATCATCCTGATATAGCTGTTTCGTATTATAATCTTGCATCACTACATCTCGATCGACAAGAATACGAAGAAGCAAATAATCAAATACAGAAAGCATTGAGTGTCCAACGAAAATTATCTTCAGCTCATCATCCGGATATACGGCAAACAATAAATCTTGAAAACAAGATTAAAATCATGCTTGACTATCGTACTAATCAGTCAAAACAAGGAGAAAATAAAGCTTCGTAATCAAACAGATGAAACGAAGATTTCTGGAAAGCGTATTATCTTTATTTATCAATTGATTCAGGGCGTCAACAAAAAGAAAAAGTACAAAGTATTGAGTTCGAACAAATGTTTTTTTTCTTTATGTTCTTCTCAATTATTTATGCGACTAATAGGTTAGGGATTATAAGTAAATCCTCAAAATGAAATTTAGATGGGCTTAATGAATGAGCAAGGTCATTCGATATGTAAGTGTATTCTGTGACTAATATACTAGCAGAGAGAGAAAAAATAAACCACTCTTTAGAATTACTAGTTTCATATAATACTTCAAGGAGAATTCACAAAACTTTTAAATTTATTCTATAGAGAATGGTGCCGCGCTTTATACTATGCAAACAAATTGCCAATAAGAAGAGTATTGTTGTGAAGGGCACGCATTGTTCAAATCCTGGCCGAGAGAAAGAAAAACTTCCGGTCATAATTTGATCTAACAAAAGATAAAAACTCTGAACAATGAGTCATTTTCAGCTGATCAATCGCTCGTTCATCAGGAACTAATCTTATCGAATGCGCTGATTTATAGTCTCATCATATTTTAGATTATACTTCTTGAAAAATTCTGTTTAACGGATTAACAGAAGTTCACTCTTCAAATAAAATAATATTGTGAAGATTTTCACAATGAAAGTTTTTGTTGACAGCGGAAATGAAACGAAACATTTGATTATTGTGCGATTGTTCAAATATAAATATAACTACTAATATTTAGCTCAAATATGCAATGCAATTAAATGCTTCTAATTTTAGAATCCCTAAGCAGATCTATAATTATTATTCAAGAGAAAAAAGTTTTTCTTCTTAAGCATTCAAATGGTTTTCCAGCCGTAATGCCATACAATTGAAGAATGTGTACTTCAGACTATAATATATTCTCATCAAAGTCAGTCACATTCTATGCTTAACGTAAGTCTAAATAAAATCCTTAGATGACATTTGTTACCAACTGATTATGTTATGCTACACTGACTAGAAATGTTGAGTATCTCCTTATATCTAATCTATGCAAGAAGTTTGAACTCAAACATGAGTTATTACATTTCTGAATTGCAGTCATAAATATAAATGCTTGCGTCATTAAAGCAATAAAACCAACAAGATTATGATTCAAACAATAAAAATGTATCATTACAGATTGTTAATTGTCGGTATTCAAACAAAAAAAAGCACAAAATTATTTCATTCGATAAAAAAAATGAGCACTATTATGAGAGGAATGCGATAAAGAGGTCACCCCCTATAACATTTAACATCATTCATAAATAATATTTGACCACACGTTAACAAGAGGAATGTTTTAAAGAAGCAAAAAGCTAAGAGATAACACTCATAAGTTAAAAACTAAAAGCACTGCTAATATGATATGTCGAAAGTCAAGATCACATCTTCCATAATATTTTACTTTGGCCACATACGATTAAATGTTTCAATGAATTTGTCATAAATCATAAACGTAATTGCAACATCAGCACAAACGCGTCCAAGTCGTGGTACTGTACCCTTATAAAATCTATATCGAACGAAAAACAAAACAAACATGTGTATGAAATTTAAAAAGTTCAGATATTATATTATCAACATACGCTAATGGGCCTTCGTGACGCATTATTTGAATTGCGCAATCTAATGTATTTTTATATTTCGAAGCTTCAAGACTTTGCATGCGCGTCTTAACAACATCGAGTGGTGTATTACCGAAAACACTAGCTGCACCAGCGGTAAGACCAAATAACCCAGTAATAATAACTGGCACTGGATCATGCGGACCTAATTTCTTATGTTTTCTATAGTGTTCTTTTAATGTTTCCATGACAAAAAATCTAATGGCTTGATTAGTGCCTTGTTTAAGCATTGTTGCTGTGAGACCTTGATACGTACCGCGAATACCTTTTGTTTAAAAAGAGAAATTAAAAAACCAAATGAATCGTTGACATCAAGTGACGATTAACGACAATAACCTTCTGATCGTATAATTTCACGAACACCATGAAAAAAACCATGAAATTTTGGTTTAACTGCATGCTGATCATGAATAAATTTCACTTTAACTGTTTCCATTGGCGTAACAACGAAAACAGCTTCAGCTAACTTTACATAAGAAAAACAAAAAGGAATAATAAAATAAATATATTCAGAAGAATAGAAATACATACGCCAGCACCTAAACCACATAGAAGTCGAGTTTTGGTATTCAGTTGACCGTGTTCATCGGCTGTGAATTTTTTCAGTTCTTCAAAGGCACCAAATCTTTCAAAAAAATAGAAATAAGATTTTTTTTTATAATATACTAAATTTCTTATTTACCGAACAGCACTCTTCGGTATCGATCCGTACAAGAGCACACTAAGACCACGATAAAGACCAAAGAACCCTCGTGCATTTACTGTCTTTTTGACACAATCGATAACACCATTATATTTTCGTGACTCTCCACGTCTGCTTGAGCCTTCATCTAATTGTAATTGAGTTTTAACGAATTCAGTTGGAAATGTTATGCAAATTTCAATAGCACCCGTGATACCCCCTAGGAAATCAAGGATTCAATAAACTAAGTCGTCCTTAAGCATTTATTTTTTACCGGCAATAACACCACGAAGGCCACCAGTGGCATTAGCAGATGCTGCGGCACTAATATCATGATGTTGAGTTTTTGTCATGGTGTTTCGTTTTTAAAGGTAAAAAATTGATACAACACTTGTGTTCACAGTCGACAAGTTAATGATATTATTATACGAATCATGCGGTCTCTTATATCTATGTAATGCAAGTAGAAAAAAAACCAATGTTAATCATGTGTTGTTTCTTATAACCAACTGTGAAGGTTACACGCAAAGACTAATAAGAGCAAACAGAACAGTAAAAGATTTGAATTGATGATAGAAATGTAATGTGTCTCGATAAAATCGTATAATCGAAAGATACACAATAATACAAATGTGTTCTATTGGCTACTTAATGAGTAAGATCAATCTTTTAGGATGGCGCTGGAATCCGATATGTTTGATCGTTATATTTTCTGGAAATATTATTCCATTTGAAGAACGATGAAAAAATTTGAAACAGTTATTTTCAATCGAATCATATTTAAATAGGTATAAACCAACATTGATAGCATCCAATATAAGACATGCCATGTCTTAAATTCTATTTACTATAGAACAAGTTTCCTTATCAATATCGAATTAATTGATCTTTATAATTCTATTACGATCCAATTTTTTCCATGTTTATTTTTTCATCATAAATTACATTTTATATATTTCAAGAACATTTCATTATCCCAAATGAATATAGAAGCATTTCAACAAATATATGACATGAAACCACGTTCGACCTATTGCGTTTCTGTGATAAACTTTTACAATATAATATTGAGCCATTAGATGAGTAAACATCACAACTACGATGTGCTCGAATAGAGTTGATATAAAAGAAGAAGAAGAAGAAGAAGAAGAAGAAGAAATCACAACAGAAAATCTCAGCTGCATTCTTGCCTTTACTTGCATGAGAGAAAAGACAAGCTATTTATTTTGTTACAAAAATATACTGAATATGTTCACTCCAGCGAGAGAATTTCTTTTATTCTGTAGCCTTTTGTAACGCTAGTATTTTGCTAGGATTGTGGTTGTTGTCGTTCTCATCATTGTTTGATTATTTTGTTCTAACAACATATATTATACACGGGAAAGCGTAGTGAAGAAGAAAGGAGAAGAAGAAAAAGAAGAAGCAAAAAATGAACGTTAGAAAAAATAAAGGAGTTTGGTGAATAGTTGCGATAGCCAGAAACAGAAACGACAGTCGTTTCTCTATTTTTCCGCATTTTTTCCCAGCTAGTTATAAGAAGAAAACCATTAAGCACAATAACTACTTGAACTTGTGTGGATTTATCTAAGAGAACAAAGTAAAGCATTTAACTTTTTCGTCGATATGTTTGTTTGGTGGTTTATTGGTTCGATTGGTAATGTATAGATTGATATTGGCATATGTATTTAAAGTTTTACGTCTTAAAAAAAATAGGATTCTTATCTACGAGTATTATCTATTGCGAAAATATTACTTCTACAACACCTGATAACGATGCAGAACCAGAAGATGTTCACATCAGTCTTGTGATCGCCAATGATCAAGAAGAACCAAGCGATAGCATAAAAAAAGATTTACAAACTAACGAAGACATAATCAAAGAAACTAATTCAATAGAAACTTCAGAACCGGAACCACTTTCCTGTCATGAATGTACGAATTGTTATTCACCAGCTGATATTATCATTCGTAAATGTGACGCAGGAGTAACAATGTGCTATGTAAGTTTACTTTTATAGCTTTTAACATAACATTTATTAACCTATGCTTTTTTTGTTGTAGAAAATGAGTAAACGCATTAACAAAACTAGTCTATTAATACATCGTGGTTGCTCGACATCAAAAGGCCTTTGTACAGTACCCGAAGATGATCAATCAAATTCATTCGAAAGTATAACATGTTGCACAAGTCATAAATGTAATCAAGCAGCTCACGTTAAACTATCGCTTTTACTTTCATCATTAGGTCTATTCATTATTTTCATTATTTTTAACGACGCATAAAAAAGAAACATTTTGCTCCTGGCAACATTTTCCCTCCTAATGTTTACTCTAGAGGTGAAAAAACTTACAAGATTTTTATTCATCATTATATATATTTTTTATGTCAATCATACGTGTCTAGTTTAGTTTAATGTTTTTCTCCATTCATTTATTTATGCATTGGTTTCGTGATTTGATGTTTTTCGAATCTTGGTAATTTTAGATTTTCTTATTATTATTAAACAATAACGTATGACATTTTTCTCATGTTTCATGAATAATATATATATATATATATACAATAAATCAATTTTCTTCCCCTACGAGCTAATGATCTTTAATATGAAACGAAATAAACTTTAAATAGAATATATATATATCTAACTTGTTTCGAATAGTTATGCCTGATTAGAATATGTTTCCGGTATGCATCATATTCGATACGGATGATGAATGAAGCGAACAAATAAAAGGCAATGATCGTATCTTTCCGTTCTTTGCAAGTCGATAAATAAATCAAAGAAAGTAGTTTAGATAAAAGATTGTGTCAAGGATTTATACGAACTATCGTCAATGATTATAATATTAAACATTAGTAAAAAGAGAAGACCTTGCAATCAAAATGAATACCATCGAAGAATAATTCTAATCATATTTTAAATGAATCGCATGATGATAAATCATTATAACTACGAGTAATGAACACACACTTTTATTGATATGAACCTAGGACAACAAGCCTCTTGATTAAACAAAAATATTGTAAAAATCGCATCACTCCTTTTGCTTCGATGAGTTACGTATCACTGCTCTCTTTTTTCTTCTTCTTTTTCTTTACTTGCTTCAATATAGGACATATGCACAAAGTGCGCAACCGTGAAATACGTCGTGTACAACATCATACATAGGTCGATTACATGAGATACGAAAAAAGAAAAAGAAGGCGAAGAGAGAAAAAACTCCATGTGAAAAAAAAGAAACATTTCGTAAGACAACGCATGTGGCCAGTCAAAATACTAGCTAATTTAAGACAGTCTTTTTTAGGTACTAAATAATTCATCTCATGAATTCGATTAAAAAACGCCCAAGAGATACTTATGATCAAGCCGATCTACAATCCCATACAACGCGATTGAACGATCGTATTATTAAACATCAACTACACAATTATGGGTCAGCTATTGATATATATGATGCAGTTGCGCGGACATTATTACCTTATTGGGAATATAATGAACGATATAAAATTAAAATTTTTAAACATTTACGATTGGACACACCTGGTATTGCTAATATGGCACATCATGTTCGTGCTCAATTACAAGCATTACATAATGAAGAAAAAAGCTCGATAACTATTTGTGGTATTGATATATCGAGTGGAGCAACTTCTGTCTATTTAGAAAGTTCTCCGCATGGACGCACATTTCAAATATTATCGAATATACTTGGAATTGAAATTCGTCTTGTTACATCATATATCTATGAGGAAATTCTTGCCGTTATACCAAACGATTTGTTAGAAATACAACCATTATATATTGCATTTAACGATGTTTCAAAGCAATTTTTTATGCTCGATAAACCAGGTAAAATTTTCGATTATTTCATAGCTATGATATTTTTCATTTCTTTTTGTCGCTGTAGCAAATGTAAAACGTGATGATTTATTAGAACATCAACAAACAATTGATCGTCTTATTCAAAACTATACTTTAATACCAACTGTTATATCAACACCGAATCCTCGTTGTTTATCATTGTTTCTATGTATTGCTCACATATTAAAATCGACTGCCATTGATTTTCTTGATACATCATCATTAGCTATGCAAATTCGTGATGCGACTTATCAACAGATAAAATCAAATTTTGATCGCTATGAAAAATATATTCTTCCATCCGTGTCGAATAAATCGAATCATGTTGATATTCGCCGTGATATTCAATGGCTTATGGAAACGAATTATTATCGATATCAATTAGAACGACCAATATTATTTGCACTTGCACATGTTCTGCAATGTAATCTATTAATATTTTCATCGTCGTCATCATTAGAACAACAACCCGAAATAATTGATTACGATAATAATAATAATAATAATAATAATAATAATAATAATAATAATCGATCGAATGATAATGATAAAGTTATTGTGTTGCTTAAAAATGAATCTACACAACGTTTTGCAAGTGCTCGAACAACGTGTAAAATAAATTAAAAATAAATGTCATTTTATTGTCTTGTTTTTTCTATTTTATTTTTTCTAATATGTAGATCCATTGAATCATTTATTCGTTCGAAAAGAATTCGACAATTCAGCCGACGCAATCTATGAAACTATTGATTCTTCGCCAGTGTTCGACAACAAAAATAAGTCAACATCAAACAATACTTTTTTCAGTAAAACAAAAGATAAATTTGTTACAGCTGTCAATAAACTAGTTGACAATTATGGTAATGTACCAAAAAAACAAACATTTGGTAATCATTCACAACAGCGATCGAACAATAATAGTAATAACAACGAACGAACAATACCAACATCACCTAATGAACAAAAGCCATCGAGTACAAAACGGCCAGCTCCTTTAGCTGAACATATACTTCGACAACAGGAAGAGTCACGTTCAACGAATAATCAAACTTCAGATGTAACATATGAAAATACAAAAACTACGCTACCAACGCCAGTACCACGTCGATCGACAACATCATCAACTCCAAATAAAACTTCTGTAATATTTGCTCATTGATGCATGTCCTCATATACATATACATATACATATATAAACATGTATCGTAATATAATATTTTCCTCATTCTGTTTTTTTTTCTTTTTCTAGCAACCTTCGTCATCAAATAAACGTCAATTACGTGCTGTTCCTTACAAAGATCGACAAACAGCGTTAACGAAAATGCGCACAACAAAAACGCCAATGAACAAAAATATATTTTTTGGTGTTACTGTTGAAGATGTTGATGAAAGTACAACAGCCGATGAAGCCAATCATGATGATGATGATGATTCATTTAGTGATGAAGCCATGGATGAGCTGCAAACGGTTATTCTCAAAGAAAGAACGAAAACAACGACACCAGCAACACCAAAATCGTCATCATCATCAGCAACAACAACAACAACAACGCCAAAATCGTCATCATTATCAGCAACAACGACAACGACAACAAAATCATCATCATCATCAACAACAAAAGTATCAAATAAATTACCTTATGATAATCATGGGCAAAAATCAACAGCATATCATTATGATCATGAAGCACTTAAACGACAGCAACAAAGTCATACTAAAGCTGATGAAGACATATATGAGAATGATCGTCATCGAGATGATTTAAATCGTGACGATGATATTTATTTATCAACATCAGATATTGTGCAACAAGATCGAAAACAACTACAATTATTTATTAATGATCGAACGAATATTAAACAGCAACCAGCATCAATAAGACAACAAGAACGTAAAACATCAGCAACAAAATTGCCTTCGACAACTACGAATACTAATGATCGTCAATCATTTTTAATTGATAAAGACGCCGTTCTGGAAGTACTTGGCCATAATATTGCGCAACGTGATCGTCATATTCTTATGAAAGTTCTTAAACAAGAAGATATTGTATCGAAAGAATGGGAACGCCTACTATTTTTACTTGATGAATATGTTAATAATCCAAAAAAAGAAAAAAAAGAACGTGGCTTATACGCATTAACATTAATGGAGAACCTTGATCGACTCGGTTACGATATGCTTGAAATACAATCCACAGGACATAATCATTTTAAAGCTATTGCCAAATCAATATTACTTATTATTGAAATCAATGACTGGTTCAGTGAACATATATGTCGTGTATTACATTTGAATGGACCAAATGATTCTCGTATGGTACGTCATTTAAGAAAATTATGTATAAGAGAATGGTCCAAATATCCAGATGAATATCGAACATTATTTTCTCAACGCAATACTACACAACAGCAGCAACAACAGCCGCAACAACGAGCAACAATAGATTTGGCACGTGAATTAGAACGCTTTCGTTCAGAAGATTATTATCGTCCGGATATGTGTGCGCTAGTGAATCAAGCATTAGCAACAGCTCTTGCCGTACCGGTTCATATTGTTCGTGCTGTACGTGAACCGAATAGTCCCTTGGAAGTTTATCTACCTATGCGTGGTATTTCTCGACCAGGCTTAGCAATCGTACTTATTGCAAGTCGTCCGAATATAGGCGATGGTCATTACGATGTTGCAGTACTCAAAGGACATCCTCAAACGTTACGTAAACATCGAAATGTAACATTTGATGATAAACCTGAAGTTCGATCATTTGAAACAAATGCTGACGAACATCAACAACAGCAACAACAACAAATGCTTAAAACCGCACAAACAAATTCTAATGCATCATTACAACAACAACAACAACAAGCATCAATAATGAATCCAGCTTTGTTAGCTGCACATCAAGCACAATTTTTTGCTAACCCATTCATGTATACACCATTTACATTTGCTACTCCTCAACCACAACAATCCCAACAACAACAACAACAACAACAACAACAACAACAGCAGCAGCAGCAGCAGCAACAACAACAACAACAGCAACAACAACAATTACCAAGTTCGCCTTCAATGATTCGAGCTACCAATCCGAATACAGCAAATAATAATCAAACGAAATCGAATATCACCGGTGCTACAAATTCCACAATACCTGCTACAACTATGATGATACAACCGCAAATGCCATTTATTCAAATGCCACAAGCACAACCAACATTTGTTTATACTCCACTAATGCATACAGCACAACAGCCAACCGCAACGAATGGAACTGCTACCTTCTTTTATACGCCAGCGAACTATCCCATGTGATTTTTATTTGATATTTAGAACAAACAAATTTACAAAGCGTTTTTTTAAATAAAATCTAATGTGAAAATGACTTGCTCATTATTTCTAAGAAAACAAATGTAGATCAATGTGTGTAGTTGTAAACACACAAGTTCGATAAATTTTTTTTATTAATAGATGCAAATTTATAACATTAATAAATACTAAATTATCAAAAATCGCTATGCACTATTGATGAAGCGCGCTTTGATTCCAACTGTCATTTGATTTCCATGAGTAACCATATTACTAGTTGTTAGAAATTAAAGCAAAAAATATTTTTGATATAATAAAGAAGTCGACTATGATTAGATTTTGCTTCATTTGAATTGGCAATGATCGATTTATGAGTACTAGGTCATCGTAAACTTGTTTGCTCAAAAACTTCATTGTTGATTAACGTGTGACTTTCTATCTAGCCGCATAAAAATAAAATTCTGATACTTTTTTCAGTAGATTTGTGCAACGCAAAACATATATTTTCCGTTGTTTAACAGTTAAAATAACGACGTGACATCTTAGTAATCATCAACAAATTCAAGTCATGCTTCAAGACAACTCAATTTAATAAAAGATAATTTAGCAACGGTTCAATAATGTAATAGAACGAAACAACATCGAACATATCAATTTAAGTTACTCAAAGCGTCTTATATAATTTGGATTCTTTGATGTAGTTCATTTGATGAATATTAGTAATAATATATGATGATTGGATAGTTAGTAACATGCACATTCTAATGGGAGTTTCGCATAAATTAATTTAGAAATTGATGCTCATAATTCATTCAACATGCAATGCTTCTAAAAACAAGCATAGGCGTCTGCCGTCAAATTCTAAGTCCGTCTAATCTTATGAATATTCAGAAAGCAGCTCATCTTTAGTCTGGAAAAGAACAATGATTGTAATCAAAAATATTTGCATAAAGGTCAAAATTATTCTTATCATATTATTTTATATTGATTTTTAAGTTGTGTTCGAAGAATTTTTAAGAATTATTTTTCAGGTTGATATAAACGTTACTGTCACAAACAACTTCAAGGAGTGTAAATGTGATTAAATTGGAATAAGAAATTAATCGGTAGATTTTTAAAGGCATTTTCAAGCATCATTAAACTCTATGTCGATTTTTTCAAGTTGATTCAAGTCGTTTTCTATATTTCACCTGTTAGATCTTTTATACTTAAAAAAAATACGAAAGCTCATCTGAAACGGTGATTTTTGATTTTCATGGATGTTGATACTAAATCACCAGTGGCAGAATTCATCCCAAGCGAAATTCGAAAATTCTGTTCATTTATAAATTATGTTGGTTTCTTTATTTCCTGTGTTATTGTGTACACACACTACCTAAGATCGAAAGCAGAATTTTGTAAGAATTCGGTATTCTCTACAGAATTTTGTATCAATAGAAGAATATATATATATATTTCTATCTGTCGAAACGGAAGTTTTGCTTAGAATTTTGTTTAAAAGCAGAATTCTGAGTTTGTTATAAAACTTTCCTGTATTTTATTCAAAGGAATGCTGGTGTTTGAATTGGAGTCAGACGTTGAATACTCAATTTTCGAAGAATTTTTCAAATATTATTAGAATCTGCTGAAGGGTGTTTCTCATTAAAAGTTTCATATCTGAATTCAAATATGTTGATTTGTCGATCAAATGAGTTTTACAAGGAAATCAATGCAGAAAAAAAGATTTTCAGCGCAACCCGATTGGAGCTAAAATGTGTTAATAGAATGAGATTTCATGATGTTTTTCGGAATAAGATAGAAAAAAATTAACGTTTTAACATTTGGAAGTTATTGAATATATTAATAGTGAACTGTAGTAGTACAGAGAAGACATATGAAGGCGATATAACTAGTTGTTGATGTTGTTGATAAAAAATGTCGAAAGATTTTAATTATTTTGTGATACGAGCTGTGTACTTGATATATTTCTATAAAGATATATTTGACAAAAGTTTTCGACTAAATGGAACAAATGAACATTATAGATATGCAAACGAGGATCGAAGCTGTTGTTTATGCTTGGCTAATCTATTATCATAGATTATCATAAACATTTATAAAATAAACTTTTGTTGATGAAATAATGGCTACCTTGAAATGATTGAATGTAACAATTATTCACTACATGTGATAATTAATTAATTCTCTCTCAAACGAAAATTTTATATCATCATTTTTGAGATTACCTACTTTAATCAAATTCAAACTTTGAAACAATATGATTCGATATATTGATACAAAAATTTTCAGTTAAACTATTGGTTTATTACTAAAATTAGATTTACGAATAAAAATAAATTGCAATATTTTTATTAGTTTAGGCGACTTAGCAAAACTCTTGTACCGAATAGAATTAAAAAAATATAATCGGCCATATCTAAATCCTCTCAATAAAGTTGTATCTGTGAATATTAATTCTGAATAATATACGCGCCATGCTTATTAGTTGTTTTATCTATCTTTTATTAAGATAATTAAGTATTGTGATAATATCAATATATCTGGTGTACGTCAGTCTTTCTTTTTGTTGCTAACAGGGTGGCCAGATCTTCTGAAAACTAGGAAAAATTTCTGAATTTTGAACATGTTTCTGATTTTTTTCTGAATTTGGAATATTTTCAAATCGCTGCTTTGCCACTGAAATTAAGTACGATCATAACCCATTACTATAATAAATCAATAGTATTTCATCAATTTTTTGTATTAATCATCTTTTACATTCCTCGTTCGAATTCTGGAGTCGAATTAATTTTCGGTTATATGAAGCGTTTATAGTCCGATTATCGTAATCCAGTAATATAAAACCAGATAAAGCTTAACTTATAATAAAAGTGATTGGTAACAAGTCTTGCGAAGGTTTTTATTAGCAAATGTGTTATCTTAAACAAACTTCCTAGAGCAAATTCCAAAAGATACGAAATATGAATAACAATACCGAGATGATGGAATCTAACGTTTTTTTCTTGTTGGATTTCTTAATCTACGCAGAATGCATGTGATTTAGTTTTGATCGTTTTCGTGAACGAGTTTTAAATTTAAAAAGAAGCTCAACATTGAGTACCTTTTATTCATGTTTGCGTATTAGCTAAACGATATATTCACTATAGTTTCTTTCGTTTTATTTAAATATCTTTGAAAATACAGTTCCAGTCGGTGAACAGAAATGCAGCAGGATTTTGGATGCCAGTATTTTAGCGGAAGGTGCACTAATTTGCCCAAAACTGCCATTTCTGATTAATTTCTGATTTTTCAGAGAAAGTTTCTGATCGTTTTCTGATTTTGAAAAAATATTTTCTGATTTTTCAATTTTTGATCTGACCACCCTGGTTGCTCATCTATTTGACTCTTTATTTCTTTCTATTGTCCATTTATTAGCTTTTCATTTTCTACTCTTTCTTCTCTATGTCCTTCTCTCTTCTTAGGGTATATAAACGTGTGCTATACATGTAAACAATGTGACGATTTTAGATACAAGAAATGCTTGTACTGATGGAACTACGATTTATTTAGCTTCTTTATATCATAAATCACATCATTTACTCGTAGAACACACCGTTAATATAACCAATGACGATGGGGAGAGAGAGAGAGACAGAGAAGACAGTAGAAAAGGAAAGGCTAATAAATGGACAATAGGAAGAAAGAAAGAGGCAAACAGATGAGTAACAGAAAGAAAAACTGACGGTATATTTGTTATTCAGGAAAATATCTGTATGCATGAAAACGTAGAATTATTCCTATTCTAATAAACTATAAATGATTCACAAAATTGTCTTTTTAATTAAAAATACAGATGACTTAGAGTTCGACGATTGTTTTTCCATTATGAATATAAAACACTGTTTATAAGAAATATTTGATATTTATATTTTTCTATCTTTAAATACAATCAATATACATAAATGTTAGTTCGATTGATGTCTTTTTACTACTTATTTGGTGCACCGAAAATTGAAAACAATTGTTTTTTGATGAATTCTTTTAAATCATTGATATTTAATCTACAATTAATATTAATTGTAGATTATTGATTTCTATTTTTATTTCTGTACACTGAAAAAAAACTAAGTCTAAAATCAGTGTCAATCTATTTAGCCTATGATAGATAGTCCTTAATATGTCTTATCATAGTAGACAGCGATTGCCAATGTGTCTAACAGTAGCATATACGGGTTCATACCGTTCTGCTTTCGATCTAAGGTAATGTGTGTACACCGAGGGGGGAAAGCACGACTTCCGCACTTCGCGTACTTCACTTGTCCGCCCTTGTACTTCCACTCTACTCCCATCGTACTTCGAAGTACGGAAGTCGCGCTTCCCCCCCCCCTTGGTGTACACAGAAACAAAGAATCTGTAAGAGACACAGGATTCTATATTGGTACTATTCATTGCGTATCAGAGTCATATACGTATTAATAGTGCAGAAGTCTTGTTGTTTTGCTTGTGAGAAGTCTGCCACCCTTCGTTAATATGACTAAATTCTCGTTGCACTTTAAAACATAGCTGTACGAAGTATTGCTTATTCATTTTTCAAAATCTTTGCTTTTACTTTTATGTTTATCCTTAGCAATTTTGTTTGTGGAGAACATAAAATGTCCTTAAAAAGGTTCTCTCGCTCATCGCTCAAGCCATCTAGACAGAAAAAGACTCCTTTTTTCTCTGCTCTCAGCCTAGATAAATGAAAAAAAGACAGGATGAATGAAGTGTAATAGGCAAAAATCTAATGTCAACACTGAAGTATTTTACTCAATAAAGCCAACACACTGCCAAGATGTTCTAAAATAAACATACTTCTTTTGTTGGTTTCTTTCAGGTGAAGTTGCAGCCTTGCTATTGATAGTTTCTTTCCAACAATCGAAAAAGAAAAAGAGAAGCAAACAACTTCAGATTATGAATGTTTAGATTTCATATATTTTCGTCTACATATACGCCCTATTGATGTATGTGAATTAATATACGCTAATCACTCATCTATAACTATTCTCTAATAAAATTTACAACTGTATCGAAATGCATAGCCGCACAAAGCTTAAAAATCGCGACCAAATGTGATAAAGAATTTTTGATACACAATTTGCTTTTGATTTCATTAAAGAAGATGAATCTTATTCATAATTAGTTTATTTTCTTAGACTAAACAGTAATATTCCTCTTTGAGATTGCTATAGAATCAAACAATACAACCAATCAAAAACACAATAGTCGAATTTTTCATAATATATATATATCATGTAATCAGTGCGAAGTTTATTCTATCCAAAGTGTTTTCTTTCAAAAATCCGAAAGTACCAACTAGACATTTAAGGAGAGCCTAGAATCTGAAGTTTCACATAAAGAAAATCGAGGTCTCGACAGGTCAAACGCATTCAAAATAATCGAAATTCTATCAAACAAAATTGAAGAGTTTATTTACCATATCTCACGTAGCGATGCAGCATACCCGAGACGATTTGCAAAGTGTTGAAATGGACAATAAATTAAAAGGAATCCTCGCAAGACTGAGAGAAAAACAGAGAGAGAGAAGCAAAGCATTGAAATAAGTGTCTATTATTCTTGCATGACATCAACAACAGGAGCAGTCAGCAAAAAACAAAAAGTTTTCATCAATCACATTAATATAATTTTTGCTCGCAGCACAAAAACATTCATGGGAGATTTTGAAAAGAATTTATCAAAACTTTCACCTACTGAATTTCAAGCGTATGGAATGAAATATGCAACCCAATTTGAATATCGCGTGGAGTTAGCTTGTCGAGTAGCGTCGAATTTTAAAGCTCAACATCTCGTTATTCTGGATGATGTTGCATTAACAGTATCGAAATCCGAGCGAGCAACCAGTTTTTTTGCTGTTCAGGTAAATTAGTTCATCAATTTCAGCAGACAAATTTCAGTTCTTGAGGTAATAAGAAATGACAAGATAACTTAATGAAAATTTCAGGTATACGTAAGAAGTAAATTCATTACTTTGAATTCTGTATCCATCTGTCGGTTTTCAGCTTTGTGCAAGCTTTTTGTTTTGATAGAAAACAGATAATAATGTGCTTTGTTTGACAGTGATTGTTCAAAGGAAATTTATTCAATGATAATGAGAAAAAAAAACTTCGCAAATATTTCGTTGTGCTACTCTCTCAATTCTGATAAATAAATAAACATTGCTTAATTCTTTTTTTCTATTTTCATTGTATGGAAAATAAATTTGAACGATCTAATCCTATTATTAAAAAGAGGAAACCACGATTTATTTTCGATCGTTAATATATAAACCTGATTTAATGATTTTGATAAATTAAAATTTTGGTCTTCAATTTAAAATGCTCGCGGTTGTAGAAAGAAATTTTGCTTTTAATTAGCTATTGTAATAATGGTATTTTATTATCAGGGCTGTGATAGATCTTTATTGCCAGCTCTTTGGCTTGCCACGGGTTTCGAACAAGGTGTGACAATTGTTACTTATGCACCAGCCAATCCAATTGAATTACGCGAATTTCTTAAAATTAAACAGAACTTTGAACAACGTTTAGACAGGCCTATTCCAATGCGCATCATCTATCAAGGCCGAGATATTCTTTCTCTACAGCAGCAAGACCCAAGAGAATATACGCGTCTTTGTAAACAATGTCATGGCTCTCTACCACCATTTACCGATGACTTTCATATTCAAGAACTCAAACGGCACTTCGATTTAATAACACAAGGTGCAACACGTTCGCTTGTCTTTCCCTTTGAAACAATGGAAATTCACCGACAAGAATTAGCTGCTTATACTAATATAGTTCTACCAGATTTGCCAACCATTGACAAAGCCAAACATAATTTTCTCCTGCGTAAGCATGGATTTAATGATTTACCTCATTTACTTGTAAGTTTAAACGATTGATTTCTTCTTGACTAACATCATCTGGTTGAAAGCAAAAACTCGGTATTTAAATATTGATTTTTTTTCTATGAGAAGCAAAGTCTAGTTTTTAGACAAGACTGAAAATTAAGAATACACTAGTATGTATGTTGAGGAAATTTGATAATCATTTATTTGAGTTTCTTAAAATGAAAAGCGTGAATTGATAAATATGTATCTTTATTTTACAGATGGTTTTCATAGACGGATCAGTGATCGATGAGTACGAAGCCTACATTGCAGCGATGGCACGTCTATCATCTACAAACACATCACATAATCCAGAAAATGTGGCACGCTTCTCGCAATCGATTGTATCGGCAATTGATCGCTTGCATTTTGAGTTTCATTATGAAAAAGTCTTTCTTAAATTAGACGCCATAGGAGCTGGAGGTTGGTCTTGTGTTTCACCCAGTGAAAATGCTCTTCTTTATGATTGGACACAAACTGTTGAAGTACGCGTTGCTTATTTAATTCGATACATAGAAAAGAATGTGCTTGAAGAACATTTACCATCGCACGCTGTTGTTGAAGAATTTATCGAAGCACAAAAGAGACCAGGCGACATAGATGCTGACTATACAGTGTGTGGCTTTGTACTCGATTCAATCTTCTATCCAACTTCAATTAATCTATGTGGAACTGATTCACGCGGTCAATATATTGAACAATGGACAGCACCAAAAGCTAGTCAAATGGATGATTCACCCACTATTTGGCAAAATATGTTTGAAATATATGCACGCATGGTTGCTATTGAAGCTGAACCGTTTTCATACAAGAATGGTATCTATGCTGGTGATATATTTCTTACTGTTAACAATGAATATAAGCAACGCGATTGGAATATTCGTCGTGGTGGACGGAGTTCACCTGAAACTTTCATTATGTTAGGCGAACCAAATTACGAAGCCAAAGTTAATATATCTATTCCTACAGAATTAACTTGTGAGAAACTTTTTGATCTTTATACACATGTTTGTGATCGACTTGCACAAGCCCCTTATCATATGTATCCATTTTCGACTGCTTATTGTTATTTTTGTAAATCTGCAGTGCCTAATTTTATTCGACTTAATCTTTTGATTCATCCAAAAGTACTTCTCCATAATGATGATAATACAAAATTGCCAAAAAATAAAAGTAGACAAAAAGTTTATGATATTGTTAAACAAATCATTGACGATGAGTTATTGAACAATGCAAAGACGAATGGCTTTTATTCTTGAATTTATCGTTCATTCTCTGAATATTATTAATTAAACTTGATGTTTTCTTTCTTATGTAAATGTATATTTTTTTAAATTAAATAAACGTTTAATCAATTTAAGGCTGATGACCCGATTGTTCAACACAGAAAGTAGCATAGAAGACGATCAATAGAAAAAGAAGTAGCCTATTTGTAAGTTTATGTAGAAGCGATAAGAATACGTTACATTTTGGATGTCAAGGAGTCAAAATTGCACAGAAAATATTTTAGATTTCATTCTGCATTTATTTTTGGTCTCACAGAAACCCGAATGGGCATAGTTTGCACGCATTGAAATTTGTTGTGCCTTTATCATTGATGTATGTTCGTCAAAAATGTAACAAAATTAATTGTTCCTGACATTTTACTACAGTCTATCTAGTTGGACTATTGTTATTCTCATAGGTCCTCTGTTTTCGAGGGTTTTGCCAAAAAAAAAGGACAAGATAAATGATACAAAACTAGATGATTTTTTCCTCCTACAATGGTAGTCAGAGCAATATCTTTTTATGTTTTTGTTGGAGTGGGTGAGGAAGTCGCCGAAAATACAGTTACATGTGACTTCATGTTTATGAAGTCGATAGCATACTATTAATAGTGATTATCTTCAAACTAGTAAAATGAATGTTGATTCAGAATCTTCTCTTCGCTTTCACCCCCTTACATCATAATCATTCGTTAAGATTAGTTCGAAAATTCATTTTAAATTTAATATTTTATACGAGTTTGTAAAATTCTTATGAGTATATAATTTATTTATCTTTGTATGACTCCTTTCACCAACGAATAACAAAAATATTTTTCTTCTCGTTCTGCCTATGGTAAAAGAAAGACTATGTTCTACCGATAGAATTGCACAATCATACTGGTTACTTATAACATACAACCACGTGTAGAAAACTCGTCATTATTCCGCTTGACAACATATATATATATATATATATATATATGTCTCTGAATGATTGTGCATGCGTTCAAAGTAATTGTTCTTCATAGATTCGGAAAAATCATTATGGCGAAGTCTTTTAATATCGTTGTAAAAAATCGAAGTCTTCATGCATTATTAAAGATTTACTTTCAATATTCTAGATGATTCGTGAAAAGATATCGCCTAGTTTAGATTCCATGCAAGAACTACATTTAAAACATGGTTGGATACCAGGATCACAGAGTATTCGACCCACTGATGATATCAAAGAGAAAAAACATAACTATATTACAAACATGCTGGATCGTTATGTTAGTCTTCAAGATTTTGTACTGCATCGATTTTTTGGATTGAAATATGTGGTTCAAGGAAATTGGAATAGTTCAAGAATGAGCGTATCTGATGAAGAAATTTCTGCAGCTCGAATCGCTGCTAAAACCGCTTCGAATACTCATGAATTTCGATTCGTTCCAAATTTATTCTCCTATCAAGTTCCAACTGGTACCAATCATTATGTTATTTGGTTTCTTTTAAATGGCGATGAGCCTATTGATCCAACAACACAATCACCTATCCTCGATGATGAAATTAATTCGAGTATAGAAACAGCACTTGAACAGTTATTAGGTCCTACGAATAATAAATTTTCATTTGTTTGGTATCTCAATCCGAAACCAACTATTACTTCTCGTGTTTTATATCATGTGCAAGTCTTTTGGATACATTAATAATCTTTTCAGAAAAAATATTTATCAGTCGCACGAGTCAAATTTTATTTTATCTTTTTTATTTTTCATATTGTTAAGTCAGCGAATTTCAATAAATCAATAAACAACAAAATGCTGTTTCGAAAAATCAATAGACAACGGATTCAACCAAGAAAAAACGATCTAATGAGCACTGATTCGATAGTCTCTATTTCATATAAAAAATTCGCAGTTGAGAAAGGTAGAGTGAGAGAGAACGTAATTTCCGTAGCAAGGTAAACACAGTGCAAAATGTAATAATGATAAAAAAAAGAGACACGAAATGACACGTGATTTTGTTTTTTCACGACGAAGATAAGCTGATTTTTCATAGAGGTTATATATATAGGTGCAGATATCTATCAATCGTATATTGCATTATTATTCTCATTCATATTCTATCAGTCCTCAATCAACAGATAAACTTCAGTTTTGTACGAAACAGGTTAGTTATTATCAACTAAACTCGTTTTCAACCTTGTTGAAACCTCGAACATTCATTTCTTCTGCGATTCACATAACAAAGGCGTTTGCAGAGACTACTAAATTGTAGAATAGTCTTCCATTGATTAACTAATGTTTTTTATATGCACACAAAAATATCGACTCATTTCCACTTTGAACATTCTAATCTAAAGTCAATGCAAATAATAATTTTCCTTTTTGTAGAAGGTAAACATGATAATTTATCTTCTTTCCGGCCCACGAAGTTTTTCAACAGCGCTAATGTATTCATTCAATCAACGTACTGATACAGTTGTGATAGATGAACCATTCTATCCAATTTGATTAAAGCGAATTGGTAAAGTACAACCACATTATGATGAAATAATGTTAAGTTCACAAAACATCGATGCAAACAAGATACATGATAAAATTGAAGAAATGGAAAAAATGAAAGGAAATATTTTTGTTAAGAATATGGCTAATACAGTGAAAGATATGAATAAAAATCGTATATTAAATTATCGTCCTATATTTCTTGTACGTAATCCTGCTGAGGTTATTGTATCACATATTAAACTAGATCAATCTATAACGGGCGAAGATCTTTGTTTCGAACATCAAGTAAAACTATATGATTGGTTTCAAGAACAAACAAAAGAAGATCCTCTTGTTATTAATGCTAATGAATTGATAAAAGATCCGAAGTCGATATTAACAGGACTTTGCGACAAGTTGAATTTACCATTTACAAACGAAATGTTATCGTGGCCCGCTGGGCCAAAACCCATTGATGGTGTCTGGGCTTCAGCTTGGTATAATGCAGTTCATCAATCAACTGGTTTCGGTCAACCTAGTTCAACTAAATTAACTCGTGATGATGTCCCCAGTGAATTCCTTGCGCTCTACGATGAAGTTTTACCTTACTATCGCAAAATTTTATCTCATAGTTTTCTAGATTGAATCGATCTATTTTCTTGCGGAACATATTTATTTTATAAAAATGTTTTCTATAAACAAATAAATAAATGGTCGGCTAATCATTTTCTACGAAGTTTCTCAGCTGTCTTTAGGGTTTCTTTATCGATCAATTCATGATCTTGATAAGGCCTCTCTTAAACTGCTTATAGGGATTCTTTGAAAGTCCCGATAGTCATTCGATTCATTTCATTGGTTTAGCAATCAGAATGCTCGTACACGAAAGATGACATGAATCTGACACTGAAATTCTGAGAACTAAATCAAAAATAAGAAAAAATATATCACAGACAAATTAAACGAAAAAGAGCAACATAGGAGATTTACTAGGACTACCTGACTGGTAGATACCGATATCAACACGTGCACACCGTTTAGTTGCTGAAATATTGTTTCCATCAATGTATAAATGTATTTTTTAACTGAAAAAATGAAGCATTTATTCATGAACGTGAGCATCAAATTATTCTCAGTAGTTTTATCTAAATGTACCACTATGACCTGCATGCAAAAGTCTGTTGATCTATTGAGCATTCATATATACTTAGAACCAAGTAAGGACGTGTATCGCTCTTTTACCTATTATAGTTAAAATAATGAAAGCTAAATGAAAAGACTAAACGATTTTTCATAGAAGGGCTATCATTCACTATTTCATTGGCTAACAGCTAGACATATGTTGGTGCATTTGTTTCTCTTGTTTTTTCATTAAAAAGAATGAAATTCTTTTTTTCATTCTTTTTCTTTTCAACAAAACGAAAAACGCTTGGTAAATATAATCAAAACACAGCGTGTCTTTTGCTTCGCGAGCATGATTTTACTTCCTAAGGTATTCAAGAGTGAATAGTACTATTGCTTCAAAAAAACGTGCTTTTCCAGCGTGCGTTGCCAGAAAAAGCAGACATTCATCGGTAGACGAAATGCAATTGATAAATTGTATCAACTATGCATGTTAGAAATCCGCTGCAACCATTTACACATTACAACAACCGGAATAAAAATCTATACCGAGCACTTTTTAAAACATTTCTCTTTTGGATACCCTTTAGTCACCAATATCGAAATCATACTTCTTTCTCTCACTGTATTTTGTTAATAAGAGTTGATTTTTTTTTAAAATCTGTTTGTTAATATTATGAAGATTACTTTTATTTTTCTATTCTTTCACTTACTATTCTATGCAAATTGTTCAGCGTTCATATGTCCTTTCAGAAATTTTCCTGTTTTGCATACCTCCATCATTTTAGACAATAATTCATCCTTTACACAATGGCAGCATGCGAAAACGTTTTGCAAACATGTGATCCAAGTTTGACTCCAGTCGCAGCTAACAGATCGGATACTTTTACATCAAGGATAGCTATCGACTCATCTGGACAGGTCGGTTCGTTCTATGATGCATATAACGATCGAGTACTATCTGATTCAAATAAAATTGCCGCTGAAAAACGAACTGCTTCAACGAAAAGACCAGAATGTATCTGGCAATCAGTCAATCTCGATAAACCTTACAATCTTTTAAAACAGATGAATATGAATGACGAACAACGATTGAATATTGCATTACAAATGACAGAACCAAGTGGAATCGGCGCATTAATCAATTATACTGGTCGAATCGATAAATATACTCGCTTTCTCCGCTACACGTACTATAGTAGGACGGATTACTTGCCAGATAATTTATTTAATTCACTCAATAGAACCGAACTACAAAGAGCAGATGCTCAGGCTACCCATATGATTGTATTAGTGAATTGGGGCATCGGCGCGGTTGCTGTTTTACAACTGCCTTCTGATGACCAACAAACTGAAGGAAGCGAGTACGCCCTTCAAAAAATATGTAATTCCTTGAGCGATGATTGCAGTGGATTGAACCTTTCCAACGAAGACGAAGCCTTTCTCAAAAAAATTTATTGTACGAAAGTCTTCTCAAACATATCGAAACTCACTGAAATCAATTCGATAATTGAATTTCATGACAATATTCAATTATTAAAGTCGAATGGCGATTCTCTCAGACCTTATAATTATAATCTTTATCCCATTGAAACTTCTTATATTACGAATAATGGACTACAATTTAAATTAATTGAATTTCCAAAAGGCAGCATACTTAAAATCGAATCTTATTTATTGCCATTGATACTCAAATTCAACTGGTTAAACAAAAATATGCATCAGGATTTTCAAAATGTACGCCAGCATCTAAAAAACGAACATAAGAAAATACTCACAGGTTGGGAAGACTCGGAAAAGATGTACGAACTTGAAATTAATCGGATCAGAAAATTACTTGAAGCTTTCCGTCGGGGTGAGATTGATGAGAAAACATTTCGCCAAGACATACAGCAAGATCAAACCACAAAGCTTAGTTATATCCTAAGCAATGATATTGAAGGTGTGAAAAAAATGATGAAAAAAGAAAGTCTTATCAAATCTCTCTTAATTGAAGAATTCATTTACACGAATGCTAAAGATCAAGGCATAGAAAAAAACGACGATATACAAACTCTTGAACGTAAGCTGTTGAAAGACGTTGGGTGTGTGCGTCTGATCTGCTCTAATGATAATTTATATGCAAAAAATCAAACACAGTGGTGTGAACATCGTGAGCAGATGCTTAAAGAACGTAAGGGAAACAAAAATATACAATTGGTCTACGCTGATTTCTCCTATTGCTCGTACGAGTTGAATGAGTTTATAACGCTACCAAGGACTGAAGAAACGAAAACAGTAACTACTCCACCGCCAAAGAAAAAATTAACATTGCAAAAAGCAACATGCGATGAGAGTATTAATATTTTACTTCTTGGTGAATCAGGAGTAGGTAAATCTACTTTCATTAATGCTCTCGTTAACTATCTGAAATTCGACAATCTTATGCAAGCGACGAAGAATCTGACGGTACTCATCCCTGTTTCCTTCACAATTGCGATGGGTGATAATTTTACAGAACATGCAATCAAGCATGATGGAGAGGATACTGTAAGCAATGAAGATCACCATGATCTTGGTAAATCAATAACTCAACATTGCAAATCATACGTCTTTACTCTTCAAGACGGCAAAAGTCGTGGGCAAAAACTGCGTATTATCGACACACCCGGGATAGGTGATACGCAAGGATCAAATCAAGATGATAAAAATATGCAACATGTTTTGTCATACATCAATAATCTGACACACTTGAATGCTATTTGTATCCTCTTGAAACCCAACAATTCACGACACACCGTATTCTTTCGTTCGTGTTTTACACACCTGATCGATATGTTGGGCGAAAATATTTGCGACAGAATCATATTTTGTTTTACCAATGCACGTTCTACATTCTATACACCAGGAGACACAGGACCACTTCTAAAAGCTTTACTTAATTCATTGCCGGCTAAACGCATTCCTTTTTCCAAAGAAAATACATTCTGTTTCGATAGTGAATCATTTAAAATAATAGGGTCAGACATGNACATCTGGTTGAGCAGCTTCAACTGCTCAAAACCCATTATGAAAAAGCGAATAAGAAATTAGCTACGAAGAAAATGATAACTGAACTCGATGTTATTTATCAGAAAATTGAAAATGTGAATAAACATCGAATAATCGACCTACAAATGAATGCCATTAGGCAATGGCATAAGTATATGATCAAGTATTATGAATATGAAGTGTCAACTTGATGAATAGACTCACAATTTTCATTATACTTGTAGAACAGTTTCGTGTCTTTATCAACGATTAAAACAGTTTTATTTAATAAGGCTCTGTCGAAAATGCTAGAGAAGAGTTGATGAAAAACAGTTGCATGAACAGTATCGGACTTAACTGAATTGCACTCTATACAAAAGAATTTGCTGAAGTTTACTTATTGCTAAGGAACGCTTTCTTGCACTGCCAACAAGAAAAAGGATTCAAAAACTGTGCATAAGTCTCAGTTCGAATTAAATATGTTTTATCAATTCTTTTTATATATTTTCTTTCTATGCTGAAACCGGGGATCTTATTCATTGCTATAGCATTACTTGAACACGCAGTGCAATCATACGCATATCCAACACCAGAAAACGACCTCAACATGATTTGCTTAGGTCTGGAGAGGCAATTATGAAGAAACAAGAAGTTAAATTTAATGAAAATAATGCGCATTCTTAATAGAGCTAGCAGATTTTTAATGGAAAGCATGTACAAACATATGAAGAAACTAGAGAACCTATAGTGTATTCTTTACAGATCGGAAAGCTTTGAAGCAATGGAAGCTAAAAAAACTCACTATAACCTGTTCAATATAACTGGAAACTGTTTGGAAACGAATTATTTCTTTTGTGAAGCTGATCTGTTGTAACATACAATCAATATAAGTAGAAAACATTAAACAGTTTAGTTTTGGAGAAAATATTCAATTCTTGTTACATCTAGTAGATGGTGTGATATTTATCTATGAAAAACATGTTCACTAACTAGGAGCCATCTACAACTGGTTTAGTCAAAATAAGCACCAAAAGTTAGGAAGAACGGTTCGTCCTATGTTTGAATACAACGGTCATAGATAAGCTACCTATTTGAGGTCATGAATATGATGAGAATATTTTGAAAAGAAAGCTCTGCCTAAAAAAACGTTTTCAAAATTATTTTCACCCATTGACAAATTAGTCTAAATGTATTTTCCTAACATATGCACGTTTCAATATTTGGGTTCGATTTGATGCGTTCAAATAATAGAAAAAATTACAAAGTTTCAGTGGCTTTAGCACTCTTGCAAAAGGGCTAATTCATTCATAGAAAATCCGCCTATTCATCATTCTCATCCGATTCTCTAACGACTTCACACTATAGCTCAATCGCTTTAAACGAAAAAGAGATATAATATGGACCAGGTCATGTTTAGAAAGAGTGAACATATCTCAATGATTATACTAGTTCTCATGCCACAAAACTATTACTACTTCAGAAATATGAAAATCATCAAGAGAGAACCATATTTACATATTACTAATTACGTTGTGCACCAAAACATCAAACAAAGAAAGAAATGATAACAAATTGGAGCTCTTGAACCGGTAATCTCGCATATTCCGGAGAACAGTTTCAGAACAATCGAAGCAGAAAGAATTCTATGCATTGAATATTGATTCCTTTATATTATGTTTAAAATATAACCGGACCAAACCTGTCAGATGCTTCGAATAAATGACGTTACAAATTATTTGAATAATCATTGAACAGAAGTGATGTATTTAATGGTATGAGAATAAAGGATATTTTTCTTTCTTAAGGAAGCAATTAGTCAGTAAAAATAGCTCGTATCACAATGGCATTCAAGTAACAAGGAAAATAAATGATCGAACACGTAAAAATCTATATTTTCCTAAACAGTAAAAGTGTTTTTGACACAGAATGTCGAGTAATCAACCATTTCTCTTTCAATAGTGGCCTAACCATGAAAGAGATTTTATAAATATAATATACAATTTGAACTTTCCATATGTTGAAGTTACCGGTACTAAGATTAACAGCATCTGTTAGTTGCTTGGTGCATTCACCATCACGTAGCCTCTCGATTTTTGTATGTAACATAACGACTCGAATTTGTTACTGCTAGAGAATATTTTATTTCGTTAATATGCTCTTTTTCTCTCTCCAAAGTATCGATGTGTTTGTGTACTCAAAAAGTGAGTACACTCTGGATTCGGTCAGCCTATCCAACCCTCCGTCCGTTACCACGATAACTCTTCAAAGTCTCATCCAATTGTCATGAAATTTTGTACACAGAATGATCCCATCAGTATCTCAGTCGAGTTCGAAGATGAGAAGGATCCGTCAGGAAATGGCTGAGTTATCGTAAAAATTGTCATTATTGCTCAGACCATCCCTGAGAGGGGGGGGGGTTGGTACAGGGATTTTTACAAAAAAACGTTTTTTATCATAATTATACACAACAGATATAAAGCACCTTAATTTTTGAAGAACACATAACAATCGGATGCAAATCCGATGTTTCCGTATTTATTTATGCTTAAAATGTGAAGTTGGAATCCAAATAAAAAAATGTTTGCTTTCTTTAATCGACGCACATATACTAAATTCAGTGAAAGATAAAGAGAAATAAAACAGCCAAAGTCAATGTGAGAAATAGTTGCTCAATTAAAATCGATATCATCACGAGTAGGCTGTATGATGGTGACATCTAATGTCATTTATTTTCATCGTTTATAGTTGTATAAGGTTTGTAATTTTCGGAGACTTTTCCGCTAAGATCCTATTACTATGAAATTATCTACCAAAAGTGGCAGGTGCTTCACAATTACTAATATTTTTATGAAGTTTAGAACTATATCTTATTAGCGATATAATTCATTGAACTTAAACATATTATATATAACATACAACACACTGCAGCTTTATAATCTAGGAAGTGACTATCTACACATATGTGCACATAGTCACTTCCATTAACAAAATAACATATATGCAGGAAAACGCTTTTTGTTAGAAATGTTATCGCACGAATTCTTAAAAACGTCTTGATGTTTTTTTTATTATTATCTTTCACATTTTCTTTCACGTGTCATAGACTTATTCGATACAAAGAAAGGAATTCTTTCTTCCCCTACTATACGAAAAATGAGACAACACAGCCATACTGATAATAAAGCAAATGTATTTGCCCGTGGAGACACCTTCAGTTGCCGAGGAATTCGAAAGTAATTATTATAAACTTTTTTAACAAAAGCTCTGTTTCAGGAAAAATAACTACCACGTCTTGGAATCCGGGCGAATATTTTCAGAGTTTGTACGAACGCGAAGGACGAAGAAATACTTTACAGTACTCTCTTGAACAATTAATTAATATAGGCATGGCGGCTTCCCGATTTGCTGTTTTTAAATATTACTTGCAGTTATTTCGTATCTCACATAACTCACTTTACTATATAATATAATGATCGTGGAGCACTTAATTGTTTCATTTGTTTTGATATTTGTAGACAGCAACTTGTAAATCTAAAACAATGCATGAGAATGACAACGTTTTACCATCATGCTGTTCAGATTTATCTGTAACTGCAGCTTGCTTGTCGAGTCCTTTCATTCAAAGGAGAGCTGTTGGTTCATCAGGACGAATCAGTTGGCTATATGATGCGATTAATGATCAAATAATTTCAGGCCCGAATGTATTTAACGATTCGACAGTGACATTTTCATGTCAACGAAAAGAATGTTTCATGAAACCATGCGATCCAAATCTACGTAGTAATCTATTAAAATGGTGCAACACAGAGGATGAATTACGGCTGAGTGTTGCTTTACAACTATGTGAATCAAAGGGAATCGGTGAATTCATCAACTATTCTGGTTCAATCGATGAATATACCCGTTTTCTCTGCTACACCCATCATCAAACAACAGAATACTTCAAAGATGAAGTGTTCACATCAAACACAATCAAACCTCGAAAACTAGTTATTGACGCTACTCATGCGATTGTATTAGTTAATTTTGGAATCGAAGCGCTTGTCGTTTTACAACTCCCCCCTGACGATGAACAAGTTCAAACGATTGATCATGCCTTAGAACGACTATGCACTTTATTGAAGGGTGATCAACAAGATGTGACGTTATCCGACGAACATATAGAGTCACTCGAAAAAATACTTCAGATAAAAGTCTTTTCGAATACGGCTGAACTCACTGGAGTTAAATCAGTATTAGATTTACATCCGAAAATTCAATCATCTTTAAAGAATGAGCATCTTCTCAAACCTCTAAATTACAATTTATGTCCAATTAATTATATTTATGATACGAGGGATGAAAACAAATATACATTCACCGAGCTGAGTAACGCAGATGTCATCGCAATAGAATCTTATTTACTTCCATTCTCAGTCGATTTAAAAAATGTAGCAAGAGCAATGGGTCAGAGCTACCCAAATCTACGTCAGCATCTTAAGGGCGAACATAAGAACATGCTTACAAGTTATCAACAATTGAAAGCAATGTACAATAATGAAATTCATCGAATTCGAAAATTAGTTATCGACATTCGTCGTGGTGATATCAAGGAGAGCAAGATCCACGAAGAATTAAGCAATGACCTAGAAGATAATTCAAGAAAGATGCTTGCGGATTTTCGCAATCAACTTAAGAAAATACAAAAGAAAGATAGTTTCATAGAAGATTTGTCAGAAAAAGGATTTATATATCAGAATGCGGCGGATCGAGAGATATATGCAGACGATAATAGACAAGTACTTGAACAGAAAGTATTGGGAGGTGCTACATCGACACATATTATTTGCTCTAATGATACTTTATATGAGAAAAGTCAATCAAAGTGGCATACTCTTTGCGATCAATTGCTAAAAGAGCGTGAAGGAAATCCTCAACTAAACTTAATCTACGTTGACTTCTCATATGTTCCTTACAAACTGAATGATTTCATCATTTTACCTACTACTGAAATTATCAGTAACTTAGATGAAACACAACCGATCACAGCACCGAAATCAGAACGATCGAAAAGTGTTGAACCTATCAATATTTTACTTCTTGGTGAATCAGGAGTAGGTAAATCTACTTTCATTAATGCTTTCGTTAACTATCTAAAATTCGACGATCTAAAACAAGCGGAGAAGAATCCAACTGTGCTCATCCCTGTTTCATTCATGATAACAGTTGATGATAATTTTACAGAACGAGTAGTGAAATATGAGTGTGCGGATGATTTAAACAATGAAGATCATGATAACCTTGGTAAATCAATAACTCAGCATTGCAAATCATACGTCTTTACTCTTCAAGACGGTAGAAATCGTGGACAAAAACTGCGTATTATCGACACACCTGGGATTGGTGATACAGAAGGATTAAATCAAGATGATAAAAATATGCAACATGTTTTATCATACATCAATAATCTGACACACTTGAATGCTATTTGTATCCTCTTGAAGCCAAACAATTCACGTCTCACCGTATTCTTCCGTTCGCGTTTTACACAACTGATCGATATGTTGGGCGAAAATATTTGTGACAGAATCTTATTTTGTTTTACCAATGCACGTTCTACATTCTATACACCAGGAGATACAGGACCACTTCTAAAAGCTTTACTTAATTCATTGCCGGCTAAACGCATTCCTTTTTCCAAAGAAAATACATTCTGTTTCGATAGTGAATCATTTCGTTACTTAGTGGCAAAATTGAATCGAATCAAGTTCAACAGTATGGAAGAAGCAGACTATAACGGTAGCTGGGAGAAGTCAATGACGGAATTAAATCGTCTTATCGGATATATTCACAGTAACATGTCTGACCCTATTATTTTAAATGATTCACATTCAGCGAAGCATGCACAACTCATGATTAATTCAACGATTCGACCTATGTTAGAAGCAATGAGAAATACTCTTCGTAATATTATTTTATTGAATGAACGATGGCATAAAACTTGTATAGAGTTATGTCCAAAAATTATCAAAGGTACAACTGCTATTTGTTTGGAGTGTCCGCGTAAACGTATTAAAATTTGTGACTTTTGGGTCGCTACAGATGGATTACATGTCGTTCAGAATAAATGTCGAACTTGTCAATGTGATCCATCTCAGCATTATCGCATTGATTATGAACTTGAATATAAGGAAATCGAGAATTCAGCGAAACCGACTGAGGAAGATATGAGAAAAGTCTTGCATAATTTGTGTGAAGCAAGTGCAGAATTCAGTTATTTTCTTTTACAATCAGCCGGTAACTCTCAACATGATCCGTTCTTTTTAGGCTTCGAGAGAATGATCAAAGAAGAAAGTGATATCTGTGATGAGAAGACGTCATACAAGTTCAACTTACATCTGGTTGAGCAGCTTCAACTGCTCAAAACCCATTATGAAAAAGCGAATAAGAAATTAGCTACGAAGAAAATGATAACTGAACTCGATGTTATTTATCAGAAAATTGAAAATGTGAATGAACATCGAATGATCAAGCAGCAAATGAACGCTATTCAAGGATGGTACAAATTTATGACAAAATATTATGAAAGTGATGTACCAATAAACAAAGGAAATCAGTAGTCTTGATTGTACTAACTGAAAAATATTCTGCAGTGAATTCGTTGAAGATGTTTGAAAATCAGCAAATAAAGTTCTTTTAAATTCATTAAAAGCATGGGCTTTTTTAAGTCTCATCTAAATGATTGATAAAAATTTTCGTAGGCACGCAGATTCAATCAATCAATCGCAACGGTTCGTCCTATATCGATGCATAAGAACTATGTTTGAAGTATACAGTATAGTTTTATTGCAGTCTTGTATCTGCTCCTCAAATATTGTTTTTACGAAGCACTACTTGCTCACTTACAGCTGAAAATGAATCTGAGACAATCATGCCAATGATAACAACGATTGAGACTCATTTGAATGAAATTATGTATTGTCTGTTGTCTCTATATTTGAAATACATTCATACAAAAATATTAAACCTTATTTTCTTTGTCAGGGATACTACTAGCAATGAGTCTTATTATCCAAAATGATTCTGTTTCTGAGCATGGGATTATAATTATGCCAACCCAGGTTAGCTGTTTCACTCTCGCTTACTATTCTTGATGCATTGATGTGCGATAGGCATTCATAAGAATTTGTTGAACTTTCTATCCGCATGCTCTTCTAAAAAATGTATTTGATCGATTCAATTCGATTGAAAAGATATGATAGGTTAATTGTCCGTAATTTTCAGTTGAATCAGCCGTTCTGAAAAAAATTATTCCGTTGAATCAGCTACATTATTGTCTGATTTTCTCTTGAAACACTATTATGTACAAAATTAATCAAATATCGGATGCTAAAGATAATTACGAACGCTTACAGAAATCAAACGTTAAAATAAATGGAAATGGAAAAGTCATAATTTTTCATGAACGACATGCATCGTACCATATAGGAAATTTTTATTAGTAAAGCGTTTTATCTGCTTGTAAACATTATATATAATCTCAGATAGTCGAGCAGAAAATTGAATTTACAAATAATCATTGTTATGAAACTATGGATTTTGTTAAGACGCCAATAGCGTTGTGATAATATTAGGAACTTATTGTTACGGAATCCCTTCAGCATCGGATTTTTTTTGGAAAAGTATATTTTAAATCAATATATTATTCATCAGAAAATTATTAACGTTTCGAATGTCGTTGACTTTGGGATTTAAGAATGTGTGAGATATGAAAATTAAAGAAAGATATATATGCAAAATTTTCAGAAGAATATCATATTTCTGTTTGGACTCTAGGATGAGTTCGAAAATTGGTGATGGTGTTACTTCATCGCTTAGAGAAAACAAATTTGAAGGTCAAACTTCGTTGGTTCTCGAAAGACTGAGCAACATCAGCAGATTTATTTTACGAGGTTGAAATTTTGTTTTCTTCTTCAAATTCGATTCGATAACAATATGACGTGTGGCGTATTACTCACATATTTATGTGGATGCTGTGCGATTCTTCATCATATTGAAAGGAGACTCTCAATCTTTGTGTAAATATCATCGAGCTTGTCTGAATTGATAAGAGTAGAAGCATTTCATTCATATCACGACTATTATTCTTCTTGGTGACATGACGCTGTTAAATATAGTTTGTAGTTTTCTGTTTACGCTCATTGTGACTGTGACTCCCCAAAGTAACAAATTTCTTGAATAATTTTGTTTTTGTTATGACAAACCATTGAAGGCCGATTTCCATCACCACCGGTCGAGCTTCGTGGTTTATGGTGCATATCAGAGCAGAATATAAGCCAGCAAACGTACACTCAACAGCTTGGTCAAGCCTTTTTCTATAATAACGAAACATTTACCATCAATTTCTTGATTGATATTCGCTTTACTTGGGTAAAAAACTAGAGGAAAATAAAATAGTACGTCAATAAGATCATTCGTTTTCTAGTTAAACCATTTTCTCGCAATCAACGATACGGATGGCAAGGGTAACTATCAAGTATTTACCGATACAACTCAAGGTAAACACAAAGAGAATCCTTGTCTCATTTCATCTCGACGGATTATTTTCATTTAGGTCCACCTCAATTTATCAATGTGAGTTCATGCTTCTGGAGACAACTTCTTCCTAATGGAGATCTCCTTTGGGGTCGACAATCAAATGGTACATGTACGCCTACATTTGAAAATGAAACTGGTCCAATCGCTACTCTCTACACTCGTAATAATCCGAACTGCCAATTATTCAATGATGAAGGTTCCTTCGAAAGCCTTACTGATACAGCCTATGAGTCAGAACTCTTGCGATTTGATCAATTGTTGATAAAAGAAAAACGAAAAACTGTTGTATTCTTCGGCAGCTCGTCGTTTCGTTTATGGCCGACACTTTCGAAAGATTTTGCCGATGTGCCTATCGGAGTCATTAATCGTGGTTTTGGTGGCTCGTCTCTGAAAGAATGCTGGCAACAGTTCAAACGAATTGTTTTACCATTGGAACCAACCGCATTGATTGTTTATGCCGGTGAAAATGATGTTGCTGCTAATGAGACTGCATCGGCTGTTTTCTCGTATTTCCAACAGTTCATTCCAACTGTTCGACGTTTCTATCCATCGTTGCCCATTGCCTACATTTCGATAAAGCCAAGTCCAAGTCGTGTAGGTAAACTTGCAATCATGAACGACACTAACAATCGTATTCGAGACAGTATTAAAAGTTTGACCAATGTCGATTACATTGACGTGTTTAGCCTGATGCTTACATCTGACAATAAGCCACGTCCGGAACTATTCGGTCCAGATGAGTTGCATATGAACGCAGAAGGTTATGCCATTTGGACACCATTAGTGAAAGACTTTTTGAAGAAAAACGGAATAATATCAAACGCGGATAGAAATCAATATAGTTTTATATTGATGACTCTTATCGCTTTTGTATGTCATTTCATTCTTTTTCAATAAATTTTGCAGCGAAATAAAATAGAAATAATCTTCTAAAAATCTTTTCATAGTTTTACTATGAAGGAAGATTTCACTTTGCGAACAAGAACTGCTCGATTTTATCCAATCATTAGCATTGAGAAGTTCACTTGATTTCACTCAAACTAAGGATTAATATTCATTTCGTGTGTCAAAAAGCGAAAATAAAATTTATTTGAATTTCAAATTACATAGAAAAACGAAAATATTATTCATCAATTTCAAGAATGCCAGCAATCGAACGTGTTGTCCAAAATGATTCTGTTTCGGAACATGGGATTGCGACTGTACCAACCAGATGCTTTGATGCTTGACTTGCGCTTACTGCTCTTGATGCTGTGAGATACACCGGACATTCATACACATTCGTTGAATCCAAATTATCTGTGTCCTTCTACAAAATGTACAAAAACAAAATTCTATTAGAATAAAGAGTTTGTTTTCCCCCAAATTCAAATATTTTACCGGTACTAGTTTACAAAGAAGCGGTGGTAAACGATGAGTTCGTTGTTGACTCGTACAATCAACAATCTGATGCAGTTCATAATCCCATTGTGCACCATCTAAATAGATTCCATCAATGGTAATACCATTTGTAATATCATTTGTTGACTAAAAAAGAATTAAAAACGAAATATGACTTGCGAATGATAAATAATATTCAAAACTTGCAGTTGATGATTGTAACGCCAGTCGTTCTTCTTTTTGATCTAAGACTTCATACGAAAATTTCAATTGATCAATAGGCAATGCAATAGATCGCGCTGAACTTTGAAGAATTGCAGAAAAAAGTCCTAAAATAAGATTCGAACACAAACAGGAAAGCGATATTTATACTTCAATAAAGTAACAAAAAGTAACCTTTCGGATAATAGAATGCGCCAATATTGAATGTAGGTGGTAATGGCGATAGAGTTTTATAATCTTCGACATATGTTACTATTAATCGAGTCCAATCTTTGAAGAATGCTATTCGTAGAAGATGATCACTGATCCATGCTCGAAGTGATTTCGTTGATGGATATGATCTTTTCTAAAAAGTATGTTTAGATAAAATATATTTTCATATCTGCTTCGAATTCATTGTGTAATAATCCAATCATGCGGTGTTCAAGAAAAGAAGTGTGAACAAGACAAGGGAAAAGTTTGTTTCTCTTGAAAAATAGACGAGACAAGAGTTCTTACACCTTCGTAACATTTTATCTCCTGTTTGTTAATTGATATATGTTGTTATTAGAAAAATAAAGAGAATACACTTGTTACATACTCTCCAAATACGAGGCATTTCATGCATTAGTAATGTACGTTGAGTTTCTTCTAGAACTTCGCTAACAACCGTTTCACCAAGTACGGCCCGACGTAAATCAGCACACGTTACATGAACTAATTCAAGCAGTTCATTATATGCACGAATTTCTTGTTTCAATAACGAAAAGAAAATTGAATATGCATGATATTTATGTTCTAAAGAAAAATAAAAAAAACATGGACGCGTTATCCGGAGAGAGAGAAGAACGATTTCTTACCTAATCTTTCACTAATTTTTGCTAGTGCATTTTCAAATGTAATACGCCGTGCCTGCGGACCAAAACCAGTTTCAATTGACAACGGTAATTTTGCTTTGATGTCCTCAATAATTGCCAGACAAGCAGCATCGCTATCTGATGAAGTACTGAAAAGAATGTTTTTAAATTAGAATAAGAAAAGAAAATTTTCCAGGCAGATATTATACCCTAATGAAATCATCATTCGATATTGTGGTTCAATTGTGACTAACATTTCAACTACTCGATTTGCTTGAACGTACATTAATGCTCGATTAGTATTTGGATGCATACCAAATACACGTGGATCATCAAAATCCGGTAGAGCATTTATATACGAAAGAAGACCAGAGAAATTTAAATTTAAACTAGGTGCTTTGTACGTCTAGATGAAAGTAGGAATTATTAGAAAAGCGACAATAGGGGCAACATTGTCTTGCCTCATCTCCTGCATATGAATAATTTTCTTCTAATGTTTCAGGACAATAGAATCGTTCGATAATACGCAATAATCTGCGTCGATCAAATTCATCTGTGACACGACCACCGTAAATAACGGAGCCAGCAAGATAACAGAAAACATCAAATGATGGTACTTGATTTTTCGAACGACGAACAAGATTTTCTAATTCAAGTACAGCTACTTCCAAATCAGACTGATTGAATTCGTATGATAAATTCCATCCTAATGCTCCGAATTTTTTGCGTTCATGAATAACAGCATGAAAAAATGCTAAATTAAATACCAGACGACGCCAATTGGGACCTATTCATTCATTTTAAATTGCATTATAGAAAGCAAAAGAAAAATGATTTCCTAAAATTCTTACCTAATGTTTCGTTTTCATAGACTTTTTCATTAACAATACCAGTGGGTCCAAACGTTTGAAGAAGACTACTCTTTAAGCCTACTGGCCATTCAATCGTCATCTAAATATAAGACGATAAATTCTTCACTATATCATAATGAATAAAACAGACTTTAAGACCAAGTTGTAAAAGTTCAAGAGGAAAATGAGCATCAGGTTTTGTTGAAAGAAACAATCGAAATTGACTATCAAGTTCAAGACCAGGTTTACTAAAGCTAGAATCACAAAATAAAATCGATATATTGGAAATATACAGAATAATATGAGTCCTACTTATTAACAAGAACTCGAAGTCTTGGCATAAATGATGCGCTTAAATGACAATTATGTAAAAATATCCAACGACCTTTCAATGTCAATGCTTTCGATAAAACTTCTTCGACCTTCGGTCCTTGACCTTGACCTAACGAAATAACATCAAGATGTGATGCACTACCACGTGTTTCTTTTGCAAAACGAAGTAGAAGACTAGTCGGGTCAGTTCCTATTCAAACATAAAAATATTTCATCAACATTGTCGTTTTTTCTTCAATCGAAAGAAAAACCGTATACCAGGAGAAAGTAGTAGAACAATGGGTGCTTGCGGTGATGAATGTGCATATATATCTTGTATATCAGCAAAACCTGACGATAGAAATTTACTGCCCATTTTTTCAGCGACATATTGTGATATCGATGGAAGTAAAAGATCAGGTCGAAGAATTTTTATAAGTAAAATGCATCGAAAACGAGATAAATGACTATACTTCTCATTTCGACTTAAATATAAATAAACATTTGGATGTTTGAAAAATTCTTGATCAACATCTTGTATTAACTCTTGACAAATAGAATATAACGATGGTAATTGCTCATTAATAAATGATAATTTATCTTCGCTTATCGTCGCTAGCATTGGGCTCATAAAGCAAGTCCATTCGTCAAGTGTAATATGCGCTAATTTTGCGTCGCGTTCACTTTTTGTTTCTTGTTGTTGCTCTTGTCCATCTTCTTCTAATATAATTTCCGATGTAGCTGTTGACTGTTTATTCTTTTCGTCGCTATTTATCTCACGTTCAATTGTTGTTGTTAGCAAGAACGAAAACAATAATTGATGTTCAGCAAAAAGACTCCACGAAACAAGTTGATAAATTGTGTATGTTAACCGATCAACCATAAGCCGAAGCGTTGCTTCTCGTTGTTGCGGATGTATGGCTGCTACGAACGACTTTGCACTACCTCGTCGGCGTGTTGATGACACACGGTCAGCTGTTGGTTCTTCGGCAATACTATGCCTCGGCGAACTCATCAGACTACTCAACATTGAACTATTTCGTCGCTGTTGGTTATGACGTTGTAACGAATCTAAATCACTTGCTAAATTCGTCATACTCATACGACGGCTTGTATCATAGTCCAATATACAAGAATGAAATGTTCGTTGAAACCATGTCAATGAAAATTGATACATGATATTTAATCGTGATAGATAATTTATGAGAAAATAAAGCAACGAACCGCGTCTAGCCAATGAAACATAACAGAGACGAGCGAGATTTATCTGTCGTTCATTGGACTCGTTTTCACGATAACGGTTCGCGATTTCATCACTGGTAATTTTCGAACGCGTCAAATTTTCTATAAGATCATGACGATCAAGTATATGTTGTTCTGACGCTGTTAACATTTCTAACGTTCGATCCTCATAATCACGTAAACTTTTTAGATCTTGCGCCATCGTTTCTAATAGAAGTTTACGTTCGTGCTCTAATTGTGGCTCTTCATTTAGAACAACAAGACTCAACAATTGATGTTCTAAACCATTTTGTGTGATTGTAAAATTTACTGAACGAGAAAAACAAGATTGAAAAATCGATTTGCTTATTTTTGTTGATCTTACTTAATGTAACACGAATACAAATGTCTGGCAAGTAATGTGGATTGTTTAATTGTGTTATGAAATAAACACGAAAGTTTGGATTGCATTCAATGTCAACATCGTTGAATCGAATTGTTCCCATCGACGAAGACGTTTTTCTAAAACTATCACGTTCAAGTATCGGCAGCAATGATGATTCAATTGTTTCACCAACATTTTCAATAAGTAATGGTAAACCAACTCGAATACATTGTTCGCATACACGTAATAATATGGGATCATCGTATGTTATCACGCGGAGATTATTTTCTGCTTCTTTTGTTCGAATCCTTTTAGAATGAAAAGATAAATTATAGAAAATAGTGCGTTTTCTTCTTCTTAGAGATAATTACCATTGAGTGGCTTGCCGTTGTGGATCGATTAACAGTGGCCATTTTGTACAATGTTTAACAAGAACAGCATTTTCACTAAAGAATATAAAAGTCAGTTATGCTATTAGAAAATAATATCGTTATTTCTCTATGTATGCTCTAAAAAGCGGTGCACGATTTGCTGAAATGAAAAAAAAACGAAGCGAATTCGACTCACATTGAACATTCATCATCTGGCAATTGTTGACTAATCCAATTTCTTATTTCACTTGCTGTTGATAAAACTGACGATAAATTAAAATCCGATGAAAACTGAATACTATTATGCAACAGAATTTTTTGAAAATCTCCCATTAGTTCAGATCGAAATTCAGTGTTAAATGGTCCGAAATAGTTGATTGCAGCAGCTGATAATAATGCATTACCAATCAGCAAGCGAACTTTTTCTTCGAGTTGGTTGAGTTGTTCTTGCCAACGAACTTTTTCAATGGCTAAAACATTTGTTAATTCATGTGCACGTGCCATACGTTGTTTCATTAGTTCGCGTCGAGCATATAACGCTTGTTTTTCGTCGATGCTATTTCGATATTTATCTTCTAATTCTTGTAAATGATCTTTTACCTTTTTTATTGTTTTGTTGAATAGAAAACAAAAGGTTTTTAGGGTTCATATTAAAAAAAGAATTTTTACATACAAGCTTAAGCATTTCTTGTTTTCTAGCTAAACTCTTACGCATGACCTCTAACGCTTCATTGGCTGTTTTTAATTTTTCTTCTTTTGGTTTTACTGTTCGATAAACTTCATGGTAACGTTGAATAGCTAAGACCCATTTACAAAACGATCGACATGCCGATGAGACTTTACCAATAAGATCAGGTGTGAATTGTTGATGACGTGAGTATTGTAATAGTTTTCGATAGGTTCGATCGGATATATGATTTATATCTAAATTAGTTAAACGACCAATAAAACCTGAATCGCCAAGAACTTGCCGAGCTGTAGCCCAATCAGGTTTACAGTCTAAAAGAACACAAACTGCACACATAACCATCATAACTTGATAGGGTGGATTTTGATAAACGCGAACTTCGGCTACATCAGCTTTATCGAGTTGTGACACATCAGCCATAGCTTCATCTAATACAGGTATGACATTTTTAAGATCAAGTTCAGCTTGTGTGGCATATCTTTCAACCATATCTGTATCTTCGCGAACTTTTTGTTCTTCTATTTCAACGATTTCTTTAACTTCAAGAACAGCTATTTGGTCTTTTTGTAATTGACTTAACAATTGTTCAATTTCCTTTGTTTAAAAACGAAAAAAAGATAGGTCCTTGTAATTTGCATACAAACTATTTTTATTACTTTTTCTTTAGCATCAATTTGTGGGCCAAGGAGGGCGAGTTCATCACGCATAATACTTACGCTAGCGTTTGCATCAGACAATTTCGAAAGACCTGTTGATAAACGATTATAACTTGTCTAAATATATCAAAATTGTGAAACAAACATATTCAAGGAAGTTATTTGTAAATTTACGAGAAAATCTTGTTTTGTCTGTGCCATCATTCTATCATAAGTTTTCATTAAATCCATATAGGACGATGGCGTTAAATAATAAACTCGCTTATGTGCAGCATAAAAACGTTTCGCTGTTTCGATCACAACTTTATGTAAAGAAACACAACAAAGTGCTAATCGCTGGCGAAAGTCACTCTGATTATATGTTTCATGATCAGATGCGAGAATTCTAAAAAGTAAATTTGTTTCACACAATCCCTGCGCAGCGCTTTTTCTTACCTGAAATCAACTGTTTCAAGAAAAACATCAGCGACTTGGCTCATTGATATTTCACTCCATTCTGTAAACCAATCAATACTTGTACAATTGAGAAGCGCAGGATGTAAACGACATATTTCACGAAACTTTTTTCCAGCTGGAGAAAACGAAATAGTCACATGAAGATTCGTTCGAACACGCTGAGAAAATAAGCAAAGAAATTTTGAGGAAACCTATTTAAATGTTGTCTTACTTGATAAAAAAATTCTCGTAGCTGAACCGGTGTGTCGCTCATGCCAGCTGCATAGGCATCAGCTTTAAGATCCATTGTGAGTGCATCGAATTCGTCCGGTTCAAATAAATCAACAACAGTACCAGAATTGAGAATGCTTTCAATATCTTCGATAAAACTATCCTGTACGGGAAAATAGAGAAGTCAAGCAAAAAAAACGAAAACATCGAAGAAGATGAGACGATAGAGCAATAGCAAAAGATATATTTATCTACAGCTTTTTATTACCTCTCTTAGACTGAAAGAATTTGAAGAGTGATGAGAAAAATATTTTTAAATAATAATAAATGGAAAACTTACAAATAATAAATCTTTTTCTTGAATGAATAAAACCACTTGTCGATTTTGAAGTGTAACAAGTTTAAATACCTTAAATAAAAAAACATTTTACAGTGATGAAATTAGAAGGAAGAGTTTCTCTTTCAGGAAATTGAACTCTATGAAAAGAAGAAATCTGTATGTTCACCGAATTTATCTTCCCGGGCTTATGAAATGGACTTTGAGTGTTCTCTTATTGTAAGATAAAATAAGAGAATCCAAATGTAAACATATAGTGTAAGAAAATATATCATCTAGATTTCTGCAAAAACATTAAAATATTCAATTACTCTGAAATTTTAATTTAAGAGAGACCCAAAAAACGAACACTTACAACTTTTAAATCATCTCGAAATTCTTGATATGAATAACCTCGCTTAACATTCAATTGCGACATCAAATGACCGGAAATAAACGAAGCCAATTGTAGACATGTCTTTCTGCCCGTTCCATCAAGACCAATTAATAAAAGATGTCCGCCAGGTTGCTGTAAAACGCGACATATTCTTAGCACATGTTCAACCGCTTCTTTGAAAAAGACCATATTCAATGTTGAATGTTCACTTAAATTGTGTCTCATTTGATAATCCAAAAAAATCGGACAACATTGCCGCCAATCATGTAATTGTTGGTATAAACGATCATCCGATTTTAAAAAATTACAAAATAATAATGGATTATCAAGATATTTTGTTGTGTCTAATGTAATTTTAAAATAGCCAGATATTGTTGCATTTAAATGTTTATAAAAAATAGCAACATCGCTCTGTGCTACTAAACGATCAGCAAACACACGAAGACATTCATGAGCAAATAGAACAGATAAACTATCCTGCGTGGTCATGTTCTTGGGAGATGCTTGCATAATACCTTGCGAAAGTTTAGCTAAGTCTCTTAAATTGAATATATAATGAACTTTGGATGGTGTAGGAAGAATATTAATCGAAACACGATAGTACATAACAAGACAAGCCGAAACAAGAACGAAAAGTGATGCACGTACATCAAGAGGAAACTCGGAAATATTCAGAAATCGTCCCAGACGAACACTATAAATATGAAACAGTTGTTTCGCAGCTGGGTCGGGTAATGCAAATATTGAAAATGATTGGAGCAAACGTTTGGATGGTACACTACGACCTGATGAGGGCGAATGGCAAGCTGTGATAAATGTTAAATCAGATATGGGACGTATTTGATTCTTTTTTGCATCGATAGCCGATCCTAAACAAAATGTTCTACACGCAAAATTAATTTATCCTGAAGATAAACCTGTTTGTAAAGTATATCGTAGCGTTTCCAGTGTCGGTTGATCACCGAATGAATCCACTTGCGGTATATTCAAATCATCAATAAATACGAATAACCATTTACCAGGTTGACAACCAAGCAAATTTGTGCCTTTCTTTATTAAACTTCCCATTACTTGATTAACGAATTTGTTCGGTGTTGTTTGAGCACTCATTTGTATTTTAATCGATTGCAAAGCTAAATGATTTGCAAAAAAGAAGAAAAAAAGAACGAATTATTATCAAGTATAAAAACAAAAATGCGATTCATCTATCACAGATATTTATGATATTTGTAACCAAGTATTTAAGGGGTCTTTTATTGATTAGTAATGTTCTCGAAAGAAGCAACATGACGCACATTGAAACACAAAGCGTGACCGAATTCGCTTTCTTTTATGACTAGCAACAAGTTCGAGCAATTTAAAATAATTTCTAAACGATTGATTTGACAAATTTCTCTATTCTTTTTTGAAACATAATCTACAGTAAAGTCTTCCCGTTAGGAGTTAGATTTGTTTGAACCCTACAACTTTCCTATATACTACAAACAAACATTCATATTTGTGTATACAACATAGATAAAAAAAAAGAACAAAATACACTTTTCTTTCTCCTCTTGATATTTGTCTAATTTACAAATATCAAAAGAAAAGAAATTATTATTAAAGCAAATTCAAAAACAACTTCTATTTATTAGACTATCCTTCAATTCGTATAAACAATTGACTTTGTATACGAAACTAAAGGATATTATCGTCACATAATCACTTACTCTTTCGCTTCCGACGAAGCAAATTATTTCCTAAGAGTCATAGAATTGCATTTATATATCAAATTCTCGAAAAACAAAACAAAAGGAAAAAATCGTTCCGTCTTTTTTTATTATGCTTACCAGCACCTTCAACATTGTCCGCAAGAACCTCGCTGTTCTGTGCTAATTTAGTTGTTGATGAACTTTTCGTAGCACTGTATTGTAAAATATCACCTAGAATGGTGCCAGGTCGCACATAATTTCCGTCGGGTGATGTTAAAGATCGAAGCATTGATTCGATAAGTAAGGTTTTACCAACTCCACTATTACCTTCACAAAGAATACACAAGTAAAATATGCGGTAAGAAAAAACAAAGCCACTGAAAATCTCTACCAGTTAAAAGAACAGGTTTTTTATGTATAAGTACAGCTGCTATTAAAAATGAATAACGGACAATGTCCACAGTCGGTATAACATTTTGTAAATTTTCACTTTTGATTAAAACATCCGTTTTCGGCACAAGAGTTTCCCATTCATGATACAAAAATGTATTTAAATCAATCATATAATCAAATATCATACGTGCATCAGGTGGTAAATAAACTGCATAATTAACATTAGAATTAAATACATCACTAGATGCAAAATTGTTTACGTATGAAAACAATAGGCAATAAAACAAATATAAATTTACCGAACAAAAGCATCGAATTCTTGTGTCGTTGGATCTCGGTCAACTTTGATTTGTTCTTTTTGATTTATTAAATTGTCATCTTCAAAATTATCTTCACGCTACGAGAACAAAAATAAGGATTATATTCATATTGAATAACACAAACAAGCCACTGGATCTTACTTTTAATCCACCACCAAAACTCCAAACATAACAAAATATATAAATTCGTATAAGACATTGCCGAATATTTTTCGGATTTTTCTGTAAATAATATTGTTTCTTTTCATTAATTACATAAATCACTAATGCATCACTAGGAAAATAAAAACGAAATTCGCACGTCTCTCATATTCGTTTGAATATCTTACTTTGGCGTATAGTTTTTAGAAGTACTGGCAGCTGGTGGATCACCTAAAACAATAAGATTTAGAAACGTAATAAATCCTCTCCAAAAAAATGCATCATACTTCCTGGCGTTTGTGCTAGTCTTTGGTCCTCGTCTCCAAAGCCTCCGTGCTTATCCAAATAATCCAAAAATGTCGATAGTAAATAACAGAGTGTTTGTAAAACATTTATTTTCGATACTGGTATATGCCAAGGATCTTTCAATGTACTGAGAAAAGCAAATCCTATAAAAATAAAAGTTAAATTAATTATGAAAATTAATTACGAAAAAGATAAACCTTTATCAATTGAAAAATCCATTAATTCTCGAAGAAATTCAATCGCATGCTTTGGAAATGTAATAGGCAGTCGGCATCGATACCAATAATTCAAAAACGGCTTATATCCAAGATCGGATGGATCGAGATAAACCATTGCACAACGACTGACCGTAGCTGGCGATGCATTTGTTAGAGAATCAACTTCAAATATAATTCGTGTATGGCCAGACATTCCAATACGTTCTCCATTGGCCAAACAAAGTATTTTTGAATCATCAAGAAGCTAAAGGTTACAACCAAATCGATTTGCTTTTCCCCCGTGATGACGTCAACTTACTGTATTTAAATTTTCGACCCATAACGTATCAATAGGACCATCAAGAACTAGCCATTGCCAATGATCAGTATGATGTTCACTCTATAGTAAAATAGAATAGAAGAAAAAAATAATCGGTGCCATGAAATTCTACTTTATCTGGACTCCCTGGAGATTCTTGCGCTTTTGCATATGATCGCATAACACTACCAAGCTAAAATGAAAGAAAAAACGATATTTCTATTGAACTATTTCGAAGCAAGATTTCTTACCATTCCATCAGAAAATTCCAATGTGTCTGCATTGATGGCTCCATATAGTTCAGATATTTGCATTGATTTCGGATTTAAAACTGTTACATCCACAGTTGCAGATCGACTCGATCGAGTCTAAATTATCAATAGAAAAATCCTCGAACATCGCGATATTTCGTTTTACATACTGATGCGCCATCTTGAGACGTTTGCGATGCAAGTGTGATTGCTCTTTGGAGAATATTTCGTACAGCAGTTTTACCTCCGCTTGCTCCACCAACTAGCATAGTACCATGTCGAAGAACAATTTGATTGTAGAGCTGTAGAGCTTTGTCAGCTTGCGCAGGCCAATATTCATAATTAAGATCTTTAATCGCTCGTTTAATAGCGTGCCGAATATGTCCATGTTCTGCGAGCTCTTTATCGGCTTGCGGGAAAAGATCGCAAAGAATGCCAAGAAAAAGTACGGTGTCTTCTTTAAGTAATTTCGGAATATTTGATTCAATCAATGCTTGTAACATTATTGCTTCCTAGTTTAGATTTTCCAGCATAAAATTTCTTTTCTATTCTATTCAACAAGAAACATACTTCTGATTGTTCATCAGTTAAATTTGAATCTCGAACATGTGTTCGTTTAATTTCACCAGCCGTTAAAAGAACGGCTTTTATAGCACGCATACCAAAATCATAATGATCCTGTTGAGATAGTTGACTATTCGATAGATTATATAAATAAACGATTTTTGTAGCAAGAACTTTTGCTGATGTAAAACCAACAGAGAAAAGAATGACTGAATAAAAACAAAATTCAATAGAATATTAGAATTTTTGATTTAGCATTCAAATTACCTTCACCAATCAATGCAAAAAACGGTATCATCATAGCAATAGGACGAAACATAGGTTTTAAATTATCAGGCAATTCAAAACGGCCAGAATACGTTGGATTCCTAACAAAGAAAATCCAATTAGACATTGAAACAATATTTTTATAATTTACATAGTAACAAAAAAACCGCAGGTTGGATTCATCTTAATTTCGCGGCCATCAAATGTAAATCTGAATAAATAAAATATCGAAAAGTCTGTTTTTCTTCGAATGGCAAGTTGTTAAACAAACCGCTGAGCATGAGCATCTTTTGCTGTTTTAATTGTTAGTAATTGTTGAGCAACAACGGATAATACTTCAACATCAATACGATTAAATCTTAATAGTAATAACAGAAACAACAACATTGAACCTAAAGAAAATATGATTGAATTACTCACTCATCAAAACAACACCAGGATCCTAAATGAACATAAAAATTTAATAATTAGAAAAAGCAAAATTTAACAAACCTGATTGCGCCAATCCACTAAACATTTTGCCAAGTGTCTATAACAGTGAGCATAGATTTAATATATTCTATCGAACGAAAAGAATCAATTTACCTTATGGTCAAGTTCGTCCGAACAATTAAATACTAAACAAAGTTTTCCAAATGATTTTGATAAATCCTTCACTGTTTCTGTCTTCCCTGTTCCAGCCGGACCTACAATGCAAATTCATCATTAGTATCAAATAGAGTTTCCTGTTGTGTGTCTACCTGACGGCGCACCGCCAAGATTAAGTTTGATTGCACCAGTTAGTGTCAAATAACATCTTTGAAATACAAAAATCGATTTGAATAGTAGAAAATAGAATAAATAATGCGAACCTATCGGTAAGCGGAGTCACAACCAATCTACTTGAGCATCCAAGATACTCGTAACCGTACGGAAAACTTGCGTCACATTGAAGAATTTGAAAATTGGTTTCTTTATCACTCCAATCATATCGAAGATGTTTTTGCCATTCGAAATCATTTCTATCTCGAGTCTATTTGCAAAAATAGAAGAGTCTCAAATTGAAGGCAACATTTTCCTACATGAGTTTTGATAAGCATATCAAATATATCGCGCCAATGAACTTGTAATGTTAATAGAGCTTCGACAGTCAATAATTTCGATTGTTCAACATTGGTAAATACTAACGCGCATACATTGTTAATTGTTATAATCATTTGATCACGTATTTCAATCAGTCCAGCATCGTTTTCGTTTGATTGTGAATCGAGTTTTTCATTGACTTGTCGCGTATAAAGAACTTGAGATATAGTCAAAACAACTTGACCAGGATGTTGAAGAATCCAATTACTGTAATCAGTGGTTTTTATATCAGATAAACCTAACTGTCAAAGACGAAAAATAACAAGAATGTCATAAGTTAAATAGAGAGTAAGTAGAATTGTTAATTTACTTTAAGATGATGTTTAACAGCATCATACATTGCTTGTTCGACTGAAGCTAACCATTGTTCAACCATCCCTCTTGGACGAACTGTTTTTGGAAAATTAACAATTTCACCTAGCAAATAAATCTATGATGCAAATGCTGTTCTTATTATTCGACGATTACCTTCCACTGATTGCATACTGGTTACAGCTTCCATTGGCGATTTAGCAATATTAAGATGGAAGACGTTAGCAAAACATTTACGTAGATGTGGCTAAAATAGTATGATAGAAATGGAGTTGCGAATGAATAAATGAACATACTTGTACACAATTTGCGTCTTTTGAATGCGATAGAATATCTAATAAATCTTCATTACTAAGAAAAAATAGCCGTGGAAACGCTAATCGTTTTGTTTCCAAATAATCCTAAAGAAAAATAAATTATAAGTAACACAAATTTTATTAAATGCATCTTTTTTTTTCTATTATTAGAACAAAAATAAAATAACTATTACAAAATAGCTCCTGTAACATTTTCTCGCAGGAAGAAAAACAAAGTTCGCATTCGAACTTCCTCCCATAATTAACTTTCAGAAGTTTTAAGTCTATACTATCGGGTTGTATTGTCAGATGGATTTACATAGGATGAAGCACGGAAATTTCGCTTTTCCTCCGCCGATCTACTAGACGGATGAAATAAATTGTAGGACAAAAATTTACTTCTAATGCTCGTTGAATCTTCTCCATTTGTGCATTATTCGTTTGTAATAATTCCAATGTTCCTGGTTGTGTGGTTGCTTTCAATGCATTTGGTTGCTGTTCGGTTTTACGCATTAATTCTTTCCATGTTTTGTCGATTTGTGAAAAAATTTTTGTTTCTGCTGTTAATTGAATATCCGGTGTAGAAAATATTTGTTCTAAATAGAGCCAACGTCGTTGACATGTTATCCATTCGTCGATTGTTTTTGATAAAAGACCTAAACGTTTATCCCATTCATCGACTAATTGTCGAATTGGACTTATATATCTTGACGATTTTATGGTTGACATTGTTAACTTAAAAAACAAAACAATCCATTGAAATATTTTTAAGAAGAAACAAAAATCAAATCATCTCACCTGACTTTCTTCTAATTGTTGTAGAATTTCTTCAAAACCAGTGATTATATACGTATCTTTACCTAGATGCGGTAATAAACGAAAATCTAATGATCTCCATCTATAATCAAAAACGAAAATAATCTGAATCGAACTTGTTTTTCTTTCGATAACGTTTACCTTTCAATAATTTTATTTAACATCGTTTCCAGTGATGCTTCATTCGATGCCAACGATGCAACATCAGTTATTTTTTCTGTTAATTGTAATATTTCCGTTTTAAGCAATTTACTTAATCTTAGATTTTCATCGTCAATCACATCTTTTCCAATTAACACGCGTAAACGATCGAAATGTCTTTGTTTCATGTGCGAATTGCGCAATGCTAATATAACCGGCATAGCCGCTTTAAATTCTACAATGCGTTCTTTTAACGATGGTATTATATTGTTCGATGGTAATGCTTTTTCAAGCATATAAATATTTTGTGTAAACTTGTTAACATCTCTTTGTAACAGATCAATATCAATAGCTTCAAGAACCGTATTTGTCCATTCGCGATAAAGTTTCGTCCATTTTTGTTGAGATTCCCACAAAAGTTTACGCAAATTAATATCTTGTTCAATGTCATTTATTTCACTATGAACAGTTTGAATACTAGCTGTAACGTTATAACGTTGCATTTTATTTGTCATTTGATAATCACTATAGAAAGATTGCGGAAAATAAAAGAGACTTTGACTGATATGATTTACCCTAGAACACGTTTTTTTGTTGATTGTTTGCTAATTTGATTGAAACGTTCTTGAAATGATGAATAATTTTTTGCTTTTTCATTTAATTTCGCTAAGTTTTCTTGTAGCAAGGTTATTATATCTAAAGCTGTTTCCGTACGAGTTTCGTTGGTTAGTAAAGCTGGATCTTTGGATTTAGTTTTTAGTTCGATTGTTTGTTCATACAAACGTTGTATCATTTCATCGAGTTCAATAGTAAATTTTTGTACATTTTCATCGCATTGAGCTTCTGTGTAAAGTAAACTCGACTAGAATTCAACAATAATTAAAGAAGGAATAACCAATAGTATTCGGTCTTACTTTTAATTGATGATAAATCGGCGCCAGCGACCGAAACAATGCATATGCTTCCGGTGCGATATTCATTGAAAAATCTTTAACAATATGAAACATTTTTGATATTGTTTCAAATTCAACGTCTAAATTTGCTAAATCACTATTAACTTTATTTAATGTTGCTATGTGCTGAACGAATTCTTCAACGGATCGTGGGTCACGATCTAATAATTTTAATACTTCCTAAAGAAAGAAAGAAGAAAAAAAGTGATAACAAGAAAGGAAATTGTTTCGATTTACTCGAATTGTCTTTTGCATTCGTTCATTTTTATCAATAGCCACCGGCGGTAAATATCTTCCAATGGCATTAACAACATTTTCAGGATACGGTGTGACTGCATCATGAAATTCTTGTGCTTTAATTAAAATAAGTCCAACGCGTTGTTGAACAATCATTTGTTTCATTTTCATTAATTGCTGAGTATGTTTACTCATTAGAAAATGTAAATCATCAGTTGATAAATCTTTTCGTTTAAGACTTTCGTTAATATTCACTTGAATACACGTAAGAACCATATCACAATATTTTTGATATCGCTATAAGACAAGAAAAAAAAGTCAATTTCGAGTTGGATTAATAAGACGAATTTTTCTTCGTACTTTAACAAAAAGTTGAACATTACTCAGAGACCGATTAACTGTATTTAATGTTTCCGTGATTATATCTTGATGTTCAACATCATCACCGAAAAGAAAATCAACATCTGGCCAACGAACTTCCGATACGTGAATTGGCGTTCGAGCTTTAGGATTTAATGGGTCGTAGTTTGGATAAGTAGAAAATAACTGCAGCGTTGGATGATCGCAAAGACTAGATACTTGAGCTGAAAATATAATCCAAGAAATTTTTTTTTCTATTCAAGAAAAATTTCTTATTATTTAATCTTTACCAACAGCGGCTTCTAATCTATTGATAATATCACGTGTAGCATTTTTAAAATCGTATTCATTTGGACTTATTTCATAAGAGACTCGAGTTCTGCTTTCATGTGCACTAATAGGTAAAACAAATTATTTTATCGATTTGATTTTATAATAAATAAAATATATCAAACCTGTCCGATCTCGAGGCATTTTCTTTATTTGGCGTTTTTTTTGCTGTTGCTTGTGTGATTTTAAGTAATACATTGATTTCGAACATAGGCCGAGGTACTCGAGCAGTTGTTTCAATCTATGAAGAATATCCAAACATGAACTTCTCATGCACATGTCTTGTCACAACAATTATTTGCTCTAAGATTCAGAAGTACTCGGAAAGAAAACAATTTTGCATGTAAACTCAAAAGGAATTTCTTGAAAAAGCTTCAACTCAATATTGCCGCAGACGATCCCTATTCTTTTCAGATTTTCTTCATCGATAATCACACAAAGATTTCAATCCTAGAGACAATGTTTTCACATACTCGTGGTAGATCAAGAATATCATTTGGTTCAATAATTAAATAAAAGTCATCTTGTTCAAACTCATCACTTCTAATTCCAGGTTCAACCGTTGGCGTTCGTGTATCAGGACCTCGTTCTGATGATTTACTTGGATGTTCTGTTGATTCTCTAATGCTTGATCTTTTGAAATAAAAATAAATAAATGACGAGAATCTATCTATTAATTCGATTTCTTACAATTCTGAATTGAGAGTTGTTCGGAGTGTTTGATAAGTTGTGTGTGATTCCGATCTGAGTTGATTTTTCGTTCGAAAACTTCTCAATGATGTTGCTGATCTTACGTGTGATGGTTGAAATTTCAAATCTTCTTCATCTTCATTTTGTCCTTGATTAGCAAGTTCAAATTCGACAGTAAATGAATCACGTAAATGAATCAGTAGATCTCGTACAGCTGATTTAACCAGACGACGAAGAAGTTCAAGAATAATATAATCGAGTAAACGTAAAAATTCAGTTAACCGAGTTAATGTATCACGCCAATGTTTTCGTACAGCAAAACTTGGACCAACATCTAATATAGAAAATAATCTTATGTTCACAAAAAGAACTCCTTGATGAATGAATAATTACGTTGTGTTTGTTTTCGTCTTATATTAATATCGCGTAACACAGATGCTCGATTTTGCTTCGATTCAAGATAAGTTTGTGTTGTTTTTTCAGCTTCTTCTTCTTCGATTGGTCGACGATAACAACTTGGATCAGCTAATGCTTCCATAGGAATACCTTCTAATTCAGCAGCTTTCTAATTGGAGAAAGCAAAAGATAAAGAAAATCTAATCAAAATATTTTCCGTAGCTAATTTACTTGGCAAGCATCGGACGCTAGAACTGCAACTTGATCAAGAAACTTGTTTAATTTAGTAACTGTTGTGTCCATTTGAGCGAATTGCCGTCGAGTAAATTCTTCGAGTGTTAATGTTTGTTGATATGCATGACGATCGAGTAAACAAAATGGTTGTGCTTGATTCTTTTGTCCAAAATAATAAACTTCACACATAGCTTTAACATGAATAATAATGCCTTGAAAGATTTCATTAGCGTAGAAAAGTTTTCGATAATGAAGAGAACTAAAAGATTGAAAGAAATAATTAATTTCGAGAAGGAGATTTTCTTTTTCTTTACAGTTTTCGTTGAAGTTTTTCTTCTTGAACATTTGACCACCAGCAACGAAATGTTCGCCATTTTCTTCAATGAAATAGAGATAAACAATTTCAAGGGGGAAAATTCACACAAACCGAAAATTAGAAAAACATGAGAATCGACTGATTAAATAATTATGTTTATATCGTTCCCATAACCAAACTAAAGCTGGCGTCATAGTTGTTTCAGATGAATCGGCTTGATTAACCTACGAATATAGAGAAAGAAAAAATTTGTTTTTGTAGTATTGATTAAAACAGATTCAATAAATTCTACATGTGTGATATAAAATGCAGACATTGTCCAATAAGATTTTGATGCAAGTGCTTCAACTCCATTGGGCTGTATTTCTAATTGATAGGGATTATAAGGTGAGTAATGCTTATGACGACCGGTTAACAAACAATAATAGAAGATATTATTTGCTTCGTTATGCGCAGACTTAAAAACAAAAGTATAACGTATAAAATTAACTTTTGTTTGAATATTACTTGTTCATTTTCAACACTTTTTAGGTACCGTTGTAGTGCTTGTTTTCCTTCTGGTCCACGAATAGGTAGTTGTGTGGGAAGACCAAGTTTTCTACGCAATCTTATCAATTGGTAGGCAGCATCTTGTGGATCTTTTTCGGCTTCAAATTTTAGCCATAGAGTTTGCGATGCTTTAGTACCATCGGTTGATGCTTGTACATGTCTACCTTCTTCTTCTTCTTCTTCTTCTTCTTCTATTCGTCCGCCTAATTTTTTCGTTGAGGAATGTTCGTATTGCCATCTTTCTAACCTTAATATATTTCGAAATTATATCTTTATAGTGCATCAATATTTGAATAATCTAGTAAAATTACGATTTTAAATGAAGAGGAAATGGATTGCGAGGTTCATTTCGTGAGAGTGTACGAGATAGATGTTTTCCGGAAACGAGACGTGGTGATTTTCCATCTCGCTGAATAAACGAATAGGAAAAAACATATGAATTATGAGAATGCCAAGATTAAACTTACATCTTGCGCTATATGTTCAACATATGCTTTGGCTTCACAATTATCGTAGTTACTTTGAAGAAATTCACGGAATTGATATACCTTTTGAGGTGCTACAGATACATCGAGCATTTTCCGTTGTTCCGACGACATTCTTTTTTTTTCTATTGTACTAAATACACGTGGTACTTTTCAAAAAAAAACTATGCACATAACGAAAAACCTGCCATTTACGCTTCATTAAAAAGAAACGTCGCCTAGTGATGTTCAACAGCAACAAAAGAGGTCACTATGCTCTTCAATTGTTTGTAACGAAGAAAATGGTAACTAAAGGATTTTCAGTAATAGAAATTGTGATATTCATATTCTACAGATGATTATTTTAATAATATTTTGACAAGATATTAGTTCATTTTCAATCTTACAGAGAGTATTTGTAACGAATTATTCCTAGAGCTTTCTTTTTTTTTGTCTCATGGACTTAGATATTGGTTTCGAGAGAACATTTTTCTACACAATTTGATGTTGTTTTTTCAATAGTAATTCGAAATGAAAATTTTACAGCTATTAAAAAAATTTTGTTCACTACTATACAACTGATTTTCAAGATTATATGTTGGTTAATAACGAGTACTTGGACATGATTGATTTTATTCATAGCAAAACTCATTAGCACGCTCATAATCGATTTCTAGATTAAATTTCTATTTCTTATAGAAGTATTCTCAAAAGCAGAATTTGTTTTTAATATGATCATCGCTCGTTAGCGACCTCTATCTCATTGGCAATGAAAGAGGTTTATTGCATGGCTACATACTCTTTCATGGTATACAAAAAAGAAACTCGTTGTTAAAATCAAAACATTACAACATTAAATTTTGATACTCTTGGCAACTTTCCATCGATATAATTATCATATATATCGAAAATGAGTACTGCAGAGGTTAATGCATCTTCTTCTAACGAAAACAATAATACGGCTGCTGATGATACCCAAAATCCACCATTGGTAAGATATACTGAACTTAGTCAAAATGGCGAAGTTATCTATCAATCAGATACAGTACCAGTTGAAATAGCAGCAACTTATTTACAACCACGAGAAACAGTTGCACAAAGAAATGCTGCTATGACTGGTGAAAAAACTAGTGATAAATATAGAACATTTAATATTCCAGCTAAATTCGAAAACCCAGGTAAAAATATTTAAGCTTTAGTTTTTCGCTCTGTTAATTTCTACACATTCTACTATAAAAATTTGATAGATTATTGGCAAGGTTATAGCAAAAAAGAACCAAATCCACTCTATCGTACAACAGCTCAAGATTATGGCGCTGAAAAACCTAGTGTTCATAGTATGCCAACTGTTTATCGAACACAGTCAAGTGCATTCACCGAGGTATCGTCTATGATTGATTTTAATTTTTTTCTCTCAACCTTTGAATATTCATACTTTAGCATCTTGGCAAATGTGGTATCTTCCGTTACCAAGGCCTTAACACTGCTGTGGACAAAGGACGATATATAGACAAATATTAAACATTTTTCTTTTCTTTGACGAGTGTAAGAAAAAATATTATTTTACTCGAATTAACCAATTTTTAAGAACAATGCACAATGGCTTATCATTATATGTAAATCGAAACGAAATGATGAAAGACATTTGTAAACTAAATTAATTTGATTGAACAAGTTCTGCACAACAACAACAACAGAAAGAAAGAATCTTGCATATCATTTTTTTTCTTCTTCTGTTGAAATCAGTGATTTATTTTAGGCAATTGTTGATAGTGAATGACGTATGAATGATTTGTGCGTGTGTGCGTGACAATGAGAAGAACGAAGAAACAAACAGACGTATACACACTCTAGTACTCATACTGGTAAAATCAACAACAGTAATGAATTGATTCTATATCATGAATTGAATAGAAAAAGAAATGCGAAAGAAAAGCTTGAAAGTGAGAACAGAAGAAGCAAGGAAAATATATGTTTAATAATGGGAGAAAAGTTTTTTTTCTTATAGACTTTTTTTTTGTTTTGTTTTTAAAATACTAGACTACTAACATTAGGTTAGGAGAAGATTTTTTTGAATAGTGTAGATGGTTATAGCAATGGTAGCAATTGTGTTGAGCGAACAAACGATTGATTTGTTTCACCGAGTTTGGTCAATGGGCAGAGTTGAGGTCAGATTATTGGCAAAAAAATAGACACTTAAAGATCTGTGAAATGTTGCGGTGTTGTTGCTTGAGATGAAGAATATGCATTATTGTTCGCACTTTTCTCGTTTTGTTGAGTTAAAAACGATTGAATCTGTTGATTGAAAAGTTGACGTACTTGATCGACGCCATCACGTTTCATTGCTACTTGTGATTGCTGTTTATCTTGTGGACGTGGTTGATTCCATGGTGAATATTCTTGAGTTTTCCATTTACCAAGAATATTGTCAGATGGAAATTTAAAATAATCATCATTCTGTTGTGGATTCGGCGAAAACGCCGATTGAGATATATTTCGTGTATGCGCTTCAGCAGCACCTTGACAAAATTTATTGTTTACTACGATCAATGATGTGAGAGTCTTACCTTCACGCATACTTGGCTCCGAATTTAAATTAAATGGTTTACGTGAATCAATACTTGGACGTGGTGACTGCGATGCTAAATCTAATTGATGGAAAAACATAAAATTTATAAAGACAAAGACAAAGACAAAGAAAATATTTACTGTCTAAATTTCGACTACTAAAACCCTTCGGTTTGGCATTAAAGTCTCCGTATCGCGGCCCACTTTGTACTGGCATATGTGGTGCTATTGGTTCAGGCAGCGTCGGTGTTGGAGGAGGAAGACTAACTTTCTGTCGAACCGGTGAAAAATTCTGACCACTCAATGGGTTTTCATCAGCAGACCATGATGTGGATGCGCGTTGCCCCCATGGTTTCGCTGATGGCTGTATAGAACGGGAAAAAAAGAATCACAAGAATAATTCATAGAAATAGAAAACGATAAAGGTACACACTTCAATATAAGTTGCTGTTGCTTGATAGCCTGGTCGTTTCACATTATTCTCATCGATGACCCATCTTTCGGAACGGGCTTTACGTTTTTGAAACAAAGCAGCACCTTTACCTCGATTATGATTCAAATCGGAAACAATGCTCATAGCAATTTGCGGCGGAATCATGGTATGTGTCACATGTTCCTAAAAGAAAAGTTTTATATCCATTTATTCTTCGAAAATAAATCATTCGACTGAACGCATTCCGGTCGAAGAACAAATGAAGTTTTCTATTATGTTAGCCTGTTGTCTATCTGTTTGATGATATATATTTCGGATCATGTCAATATTCCTTTACACTGACACTTGCACTCTCATTTAGTAGACATAACTCGTACAATAACTCATCTATGATTGTTTATTAATCAAATAAAACGGATGAATAATAATCCACTGCATAACCTTAGTCTCAAGGCTATAACAGCAGAATTCTTTGCAAGGAATACATGATAGTGCATAGAAATACTAATGCAATTCTCGACAACAGTATACCTAACAAATGTGGCACGGAATTGCATTGATACGATTCGAAGTATTAGCCAGTAACGAAGCGAAAAAATTTCAAAATAAAATTTGAAGCATATGCAGATGTCTCGGAATTTTATTTTAATAAACATCTGCAATTCACCATACAAATAAACAAAGTTGTAGAGATTTTCATTTGCTAGAATTATTTTCTCACGAGAATACACAGCGGTTAATCAGCAATCTAAATAGTATCTAATTGTTTTTAGCAAAAAAGGATACCAACGATATTTTCAAAATTCTCAACTTCCGGTAAGCCTAAACACAAGAACTTTTCTTTTATAATACACTTATGATTTTCATTTTCCTTGAAACTACTCTTCTTATTAAATTTTGCGCACGAATTATTATTTTTTTCAAAAATAGAATAGTTATGAATCTCGTACCTGCATATGAACTTGTTTAAAGTCATCGGGTGCACCGACATATCTCAAAGTATTCATATGTTGAGCCTCTCTTAAACTATGTTTAATACAATCAGGTACGTCTGGTGTATCATAATATGCTGTTTCATTTTGATGCAATTGATGTAATGGCCGATAATTGCTTGTTGCAGTCATTTTAAATGGTGATTCACATTCGATTGAATGTTTTTCGGCTCGCTGGCGTTGTTTCTCAAATTTCGTAGCACCTTTTTGAGTTGGATCGCCTCCTTCGAGTATAGTGGCAATTTTTCGAGCCAATTTTTTTTGTTCTTCAATGGTTGGATACGTATTATATGGCGTACTAAAGAAGCTTGAATCAGCATAACGCTTCTCTAAACAAAAACAAATAATAATTTTTCAAAAAAACAAAATTTTACTATTTGCAATTGGTGATTTGAGCAATTCGGCACCCAATTCATGATCAATACTTTCTAAATGTTAATGATAGGATTAGAATGAGGAGAAAGAACAATAATAGACCCTTACGATCAGATCGACGACGTTGATCTTGAGATGGAAAACTAAGCTGTGGTGGTCTGGTATGTCGAGCAGCTGCAGCTGCTGCTGCTTGTTCTTGTTGATAACGATAGACATCGAACGGTTGTTGTTGAGGTTTTGGTGGTTCTTGTGGCACATATTGATCATAGGCTTTACTTGTCATTGAACGTATGGGTAAAACAATATTACTTGGTCGTCGTGAATTAGATTGTCGTGAAATTTTCGTATAACGAGGACCAGATGCAACACATTCTGAATCACTATAATAACTTTGATCATTACTTGTTGTAATTTTCGTATTATAAGCTGTTGGCTGCGATTTATAAAGCGGTTGAACACGTGGAACATTCAAATTGTTAGTTGTAATAGGACGAATAGATACCGATGAATTTCGATGATCATTACTATCCGAAGTATAACCATGTGTCGAAGCTCCATAATAATTACGTGGAGTATCGTAAGCATTATTTGATGATACTGTATGATAATTAAATTGTTGTTGTCCTCTTGTTGAAGCGGCCGGTGAGGCGACCATATTTGAGTTAACTGAAGACGTGCGAAATATCGTCGGCACTGGATTAGCTGTTAAACGTCCATAGGAGTCCATATAACGTTGATCTCGATTATTATCATATTGATTCATATTTGATGTTGATGTATATGTTGGATAAGTAGGTGTAGCACGTAATGAATTATATTGATAATAATCCATGCTTGGCGGTAGTGGAGTTAAGCGATGTGTTGAGCGAACAGGACTAGTGTCTGTTGTATCTATACTAGAAAATGAATCAAATCGATTCCGATCAGGATGTAATGCACTAGAAATAGAGAATAATAAATTGAATTTGACATCAAATATACGTACGTACTATCATCTTTGATAATTACCTTTGTACTTCGAGAATAAGTTGATCACGAATAGAACCAATTACATTATTTAGTTCAAGTAAAGTTTTATCAAATGCCGATGTACCATTAACAGATAAAATTGTATCACCTGCTGAGAGACCGGCGTGAGCTGCTTTACTTCGGCTTCGAACCTATATATTGAAATAAAATTTATAGAAAAAAAAACATTTTCCCAATAGAATTTATTGAATAGTTATTTCTTTTGAAAAACAAAAGCTATCTACCTTGATAATATAAACAGGTGTGAAAATGCCGCCCGAGAGTCGAAAACCCCAGGGAGCGCCACCTCGTAATACAGCAGTTTTTCGTTCACCTAACATTTTCTATGCTAATCCCTGATTCAAATAAATAACAAATGCTGTCATTTGTTCATTGTTCGTTTCTAGACGAATATCAACAACGTCTGTTGCTGTGTCGGCAGTCGGGATGTTCTTCTCTCAAACTTCCAAAACAACATGATGCTTGTAGCAGAAACAAGAGAAGATAATAGAAAAGAGAGATAACAAAAAAGAATAAGAATATATCCTAATGAGAAAACATTGACCAGCAACAATCGAAAGACGATCACAGAAAAGGAAAAAAACACTCTTTGGTTAGAATGCTTTACACTCTTTTCTAAATAGATATCTAATGTAGTGAAAGCGAAGAGAGAAAACTTTTCTTATACAGTGTGATCTATTTATATGCATAGACCAATAGGAAATAGAAACTTATTTTTCTTATTTTTTGCTCGTATATCTATGTGTTTATGTGCATGGAAGCGAGTCCGAATAATATTTATAGTAGTCGATAGAAAAAATATTGTCGATTATAAGTTCTCGCATTTAAAAGGATGGAAAATAGGCGACAACTAGAGATGATATCCCGACAACTAGAGATGATATCGCGACAATAGAGATCACACTCGTATTTTCTTCTTTTGCTATTCTGGCTTTTTCTTCTGTTCTGGTTTTCATCGTCTGCTGGTTTTCTGTGTCATATAAATGCTAAAATGATTGAATGAAGACAAACGAGAAAAAGGCGCATCCATTTAGCTCTATCATCGAGCAGTCGGCCGTTATATTACACGACAGCGATTATGCATCGTTTTGTTCTGCAAAGACCAGATGCATACTAATAATATACACGAGAAAGACTTCCTGCATGTCTTCTGCATGGAAAAACATGTATGTGTAAATAGACAAAAAAAAAGAAGAAGAAGGAAGAAAAACTCTAAAGGATTGTATCAAACCTTGGTAAAGATGACAAAGAGAAGAAGGGAAAATAATGTTATGTGTATTGTTTAATTATCGCCATTGCAGCATGACCTTCCGATTCCTCATTAATATTAGATTGGCATAATAACTAATAGACAACTCGAGTTGACCCAAATGCTTTTACATCAGAAACAAAGTAAAAACAAATTACTATGTTCTATGTCAATCAGAAAAATACACAAACTAACAGTTGGATAAGCGTAATTTTTTATCATAATAAATGATTATTTTGCTTTTCAATATAATGTATTTTTTTGTCTACGGTTCTTATATGTACATATGTAGTAAAAACATTTGCATTTGATTTGTTTAGTGTGTTGTTTCCTTCGTTTTTTATAATTTACTAATAACTGGCAAGATGCAAAGCTAATTCTCGAGTGTCTTATAAGACTTACCGTAGACTATAATATTTTTTTTCCGAGCTTTCGTCAATTAATAAGATCTTGATATTCTCTTTTCTTAACAATAGCACAAAAGAAATATTTTTTCAAACAATAGATTAGATTGATAAATAAATACAATAATAATCCAAGCGTATCGCCCAGGTTAACACAAGTTGGTGGCACACACACACACGCGCGCACACACACGCACGTACAATAACATATAGTATATGCCCGTTAACTGCAGCAGCGATGCAGAAGACGCTGCTCTTCTGTTTTTTCCCTTCTATATGCTTATATGGAACAGCTAAAGGAAAAAAGGAGATTGTTAAGAATAGGAATTGTGTCGATAGGATCGCCTCACGCGACAAAGACAGTTCTTGTATACAAAAAAGAAAAACGGAAGATCCGTTTTTCTGTTCTACACGCTTCTTACAACTAGAACCCACCCATACTGTTTTTCCTATATTCTTTGTGGATGATATGCGTCAACTCCAAGGTTGGTCGAAAAGACCGGCGCAATCAGAATATTCGTCTCAACGACAACAACAACAAAATGCGAAGAAACAGGATATCATTTTCTAACAAAAAAAAACACATTTACGCCCAAAACAACGAGTAGGACAAGAGATAGAAGCTGTCATTACTGATATGCATATGTATATACAAGATTCGCAAAAAAAACATTATGCGTAGAAGAATTAAATATATTCTTACATTTACATAATTAACAACAGTATCGAAATCTTTAGACGTATGAAAATTTTTTGATAGTTGTTTTAATTCATATCGATAATCAAGTAGATTCCCTTGAATAATTATGTCGATTAATATGCAGGATTTTTGTGTTTATCCAGTGTTTTATTCAGCGGGAGGACACGGTACATTTTGCCCTCCCGAGACCGCGTTTGCCCTCCCGAGAAAAATGAAATAAATAATTAACTTTTGTATAACTTACAAAACACAGATCTTTCGAACGCATCAGTATGATAGACTCGATATTACTCGTGGTAGTGAGCCCCTTAAAAAGCTTTTGGTTGCCCTCCCGACAACTGAATTCACCCTCCCGGAGTGAAAAATCTAGATAAAACACTGTTTATCTATGGCAGTAAATATAGACTCACCTTATATATATATATATGTCTATGTCGTGATGATCAATACCAACGCCTGAACTAGATACTATGACTAACAAGCAAAATAAGTTTACGTAATCCTACTGAAGAGAAATCGATATTCTTTAAAGTCATTTGCATATACGTATATCTTGTATGCTCACAGTATGTAAAAATCAAACGAGAGAACATGGCATGAATATATTGATTAAACCTTGATATCAATGAAAAAAAAGCAGACAAGAAATGGTTGATAGAAATATATTTATGTATATTTCATATAGACGTAAATTTATGTATAAGACAGTATTTGTAAATCATATTCACCGTCGATCTATTTGAAAAAAAGAACAATTTTTTGTTTTAATATAATCATTTCGTTAGCTATTATCTTACATCAAATCGTTTGATATGTTCAGGTCCATAATCTGATTGTTGCATTTTAGCGCATATTGTCCACATGGCTTGTAGATGTTGGGAAAGTTCATTCATTGTTGGTATATTCTGTGAAGGACATAAACAATAGTCTTGTTTGTAGTATATTAACAGTAGGATTACTTACAGCAAATGCCGGTTCTGTCATTTGATCATCGTTAATTAATGTAGTCGCGAGTAAACGTTCAATTGACGGTTTACGCTAGACAAGGATGAATTTATTGAAAGGTTATATACTGAAATTTCCGAGCAAAAAAAAGCTACCATACATCTTTTATCGGTATTGTTTGGTTATGAATTTTAACGTTATCAATAGTAAAATCTTTCCAAATCGATGATGGCTGTTGAAGTAAAAACCGTATTTGATAGATAGCACGTGGCATAAAGATCAACTAAAAGAAGAATAACTCTGATTGCGAAGAAATTCCTCTTGAAATACCTGTTTTTGACCGAGTGTAATATGACTATTACTACCAAGTTCCCCATGTGGTGATTCCATCAATCGATACCGTTTCAAGCAAACATGCCATTCATCTAATTAAATTACTGAGAGTATTACTCGTATCTTAACAATTCTGATCCATCGTACATAATCTTATAAAAATCATGGATATCAGTTAAGCTGTTATAATGAAATGCAGATCGAATGATTATGATATCTCATCGGTTAATTATCTTATTCGTTGTGTTTTTTATTTGCCGCTAAATATATTACGCTAGCTGCTAAACGTCCTAAAAAGATGTCGATGCTTTCGCTTAGGTCGATCGAACTATTAAATGTTGAGTGATTATCACAAATGTTAATTAACACCTTTCTCTTCTGTAATTTTACTACAATGTTCAATTAAGAAAATCGTACGATGATGAACTTCTACGTGACTTGAAAAGATTTCGATTTGTTTTTCTCGAATACAAAGCTAAACAATGTTCTGTCAACATTGTCTTTTAGCTTTATTTGACATATTGACTTTTCTATTAAGCTTTTAGAGATTGTGGTTTTGTGTTACTGCGCATAAAAAAAGACATGCTATCTGTCAGGAAATGTCGAGAGCTAAAGTAAAAGGGCGGATTGATGTAAAGATCAGTTAAATACATCATTGGCTAAAGTTATGTCCATGCTAAAAACCAAATGATATATTTACATGCCCTTGTCTTTTTTCAGAAATGCGTTCTACCGGCAAAGATCTCGCATATGTGAGTGAAGCCAACTATCAGCTAGGTAGATTTGAAGCGTAAGAAAACTATAGGCAAAATATTATGGGAAAAAACTGACTAAACTAAAAGCGGACACAATTTGATGATGAGATAAATTCATGCTGTTTTATAGCAATACTTTCACATATATAGATATTTATATATAGAGCAAGAAAAATGCATAAAGAAAGATGTAAAAGTCGATATCTTCGAGGGTCTGTTTCTATCTAAGAAAAACAAAACGGAAACAATCCAATTCTATCCTTTAAAGATCAACGAGTCAATATCATGATCGATTTAATGAAATTTAATACGACGTAAAGATTTTTATTTTCTTAACACGAATAAATAATAATAACAAAACTATAATAGAAGAAGATTTCAAACACTTGGCTATACCCGAATGAATAAATTCTCCAGGGATGTCGTATGTCATATTCTTTGTTGACGTTTTTATTATTATAATGATGGAGAAGAAATTATTTAAGCATTAGTTGTTTTTATTATTTTCTAAATGAAACTTGTAGTTATCGGAGCCAAAAAGACACAGTCGCAACGGACAAATACGACTATTGGGATAGCCTTTTATTACAATTCTATATCTTTCTATTGTAGGTAGAGGCACCAATGCTTTTTGTACTAGTAGTTAAGTACATGGAATCCATATACGATCTTAATGGCTTGTGTAAGGTCACGGAAATATGCATAAATATTCAACTAAGGGTCATCTATTAGGTGTAAAGTATTGCTCTGTTAATGGAGCCTTCTATTTGACAACATAATACATTTACATAGTAATTATTTCAAATACGACTATAGTTATGAGAAAAAAACGATCATCTAAAATACAAGCTGCTATTGTTTTTTCATACCCTCAACTAAGATTATCAATCAAAATTGTGCTTCTCGAGTATTTGTTTAATTATATATCTGATCGAATAATATAAAAGATGATCTAACATTCTTCTATTCAACATGATTAAATTTTTCATAAGTTTAACAGGTCGTCGCACTTAAGAAATTGTGAGAACTGCCCTAAATCACTGTCCATTTAATACAGTTAACATGTTATTATTTCCCGTCAATAATAAAATCCCTGTACTGATTTACTACTAAGTAAATAGAGTAATCTGTCAAAATATTTTCTTTTACGAAGCGTAAGAATGGCGAATTTTAAAATCATTTAAGCACTTGTAAGGGATTCTGCGAGGAATATATTTTCAGTCATAAATTTTACCATCTGCATGTTGTTTGATTTTAATGGATAGAAAAGCCGTATAATCATTAACGAATTCGATCGATGTAAAATTCTACAAAATTTAAATAAAAATATGCTTTCTTACTATTTAATCACAAATAAAATCTACTTTAATCGGAGCATCATTGCATTTCCATGTATACATTTTACATCCCGATTGCATTAATGCATTTGGGCGATCTTGAAGTGATAGTTGAGTTTGTTCTTTGAAATTAATTATTGTTGTCATTTCTAACTTTATGAATCAATTTCTTTTCATTCAAGCATATGTTTCTATAACGATGCAGGCGATCAGCAAGAAAAGACAGATGTCGCGTTTGTTCTTTCATTGGAGACCTTAAATCACCCAATAAGTAAATTACAAAAAAATCAACCAAGTTTATTGAGAAAATTTAGTAATTCCTTTTATTTATTTTCCCTCTATAGATAAATCATGGTGTTATTCTTCCAAATTATTTACACAATTTTATGTTTAATTCCATTATCAAATACAATCTTGGAAGATGACATTCTCTATGATATCAAATGGCAGCCCGAATTAACATCCGTATGAATATTTGACTAGAAAAAAACTTTTGTTTATTTCATTTTCTTTCAGCCCATTGATCTTGATAATAGTTATACATTTGCATCCAATCGAAAAGAAAATTATCTATGTACCCTCCCGATCGTTCAAACAACAGTTCCGGTATGATTATCGGTTGTGCTTCCTTCGTACAAGGTGATTCTATATTTAGACATCAACGGATACTGTTCTACTATCTGATATTGAACGATTATTAGAAAATTTACATTCTAAAACATCATGTGTATACCGAGTAAGTTGACTTTCTGAAACTTTACCCAACATCTATTGCGATTGATTATAGTTGGATCCATATTGGACATACGAATTATGTCACGGTATACATGTTAGACAATATCATGATACAAAGATTGCAGGCAAAGTAAATTTGCATTTATTCGAAAGAGACTTATACTACAAGTGTCAACATTAAATTTTTAGAAATCAATTATTCAAGAGTATCACTTAGGTTATTATCATGCAGAACAACAAGATGTTTCAACAGATTCTGAAGGTCAATCAGTACTAAAGGTAACTACAAAATATTCTACTATTTAAATTCTTTTTTTTGTTCGAATTAGATTCATCATAAAACGATCTATAATAATAAAACTCCGATGTTAGCTGTTCGATATACAGAAGGTACAACATGTGAAATTAATGCAAATCAACCACGTGAAACTGTTGTTTACTATGGTAAATAATGTCAAAAAAAAAACATTTTGGCAAAGATTTCACGTTTTCTTTTTGTGTTTAGTATGTGATGAACGAGGTAGTGATGGAATATTAAATTTTGAAGAAGTATCATCCTGCTATTATGAAATTATTGTGGCTTCGAGATGGCTATGTAAATTGCCAGCGTTTAGGTAAATTGATTAGCGACAAAAAGCCGAGGATATGAAATGTATAAACCAAGATGAAAGCTGCGTGAGATATGGCTTAGAAGTGTTTCAAAACCTTAATTCTTTCCTTCACATGAGACCGATCACACAGTTAACCTAGAGCAGCATCACAGCTCTGAATATAAGACACTAAATTTTATTTCAGACCAAATTACCCATTGAGCTTTTAATACATGCAATAATTTGAATGCAGTCATTTGCTTCCTACACAAACTTCGATTCATTGTGTAATAGTGATGTTTTTAAGATGAGGAAGTAGACAATCTTGAGTTTCAAAAGTTACTGTCAACCATTTAACTTGAAACATCAGAGCGATATGAATGTTTTTGTCACCTAATTGCAAAAGATATATATTTTTTTCTTTTCAATAGTCCTGTAGAACCAAATCGATACAGTATAAATTGTTTTCCAAAAGAGAATGCTCGTCAAAAACCACGTGGTTTAAAGAAGCTTGAAGACGATAGACAATTATCAATGAAAGGTGGTCGGGCACAATTTACAGTAAGAAAAACATGATTGTGCAATTCTCGGTTGTGCAATTACAACACATGACATATTTATACCTAGATGACAAGCTCCGACGGCACGACATTCATCATACAATACCAGTATGGTAATGATGACGATCTTGATGATTTAAATGAACCTTCAATAAAAGATCAAACGAGCAAAGTAACTCCAGCAAGTCCAAGTGAACAAAAAGAAGTAAATAATAATCAAGCTGCTCGACAAGAACCGTTGGGAAATTTGGGTGTTGATGTTGATCGTGAATTTCTTCAGAATTTTCTGTCGGGTAAAGAATGTTTACCTGGCGGTACGGGTTGGTGGAAATATGAAATATGTTATGGTCGGCATGTTATTCAATATCATGTAGGAATTTGTCTTTCTTTTTAATCTGAAGTTTGTTTGTTTTTTAATTTGAAGGAAGAAGGACAACATCGAGTATCGATTCTTCTCGGAACATGGAATCGTGAAAAGCATATTGAATGGTTGAATAAAAGTCCGAAAAAAAGATCTGCTGGAAATACAAGAGATCGACAGTAGATTTTATTTCCAAAACTATTTTTTTCGTTTTAATCGATTGAAAATCCTTAGATTTGTTTCATTGTATTATACCGATGGCGATACATGTGATGTAACAAAAACTCGACGCGTTGTTGAAGTTAAATTAAGGTAGTGTAAACAACAGAAGTGAAAATTCAATCAAATAAATTTATCCTATTTAGATGTTCTAAGAAAACCGATAAATCTCATGCAACATCCATGTATCTTGTAGAACCGGAAACATGTTCCTATGTGCTAGGGGTATGTATTCTACATATAAATGTTACGGTTAAGATTCAAATTTTAAAGAAATAATTTAATTGTGAAGATTAAAAATCTTGAGGGTGTGAATTTTCTATTGAATATGAAGCTATAAGAGCATTTTTATCGTACCTGTATATCGCAATTAAAAATATCTTTTTATTTATTTACAATTTCACGCATAATGCAAAAAGAATATTTTATATATTAGGTTGAATCGGCACTTTTTTGTAATTTGGCTGACTACACAGATGAATATGGTATTCCTGATAACGAAAAATTAATTAAACGTTTTCAACAACCACTACCAGAAAAATAACAATTTTTTCTTACTTTTCTGCTTTCTTTTGTCGAATGTATATGGTCTATTTTATTGTTAATTTTCATTCTTTTCTGTTTGTTTTTGTTTTGTTCATAATGGGATTTTAAAGAACAACTGATCGTATTTCTAGATAAAAGAATAATAATAAAAATGGTAACAAACATGGAATCATTAAAAAATTTTGTTCGATACAGTTGGTATTCATCACCAAAAGTACGTACAAATATTATCAATGATCTTATTGAATCGTTTCAAACAAATCAAACAGATGGTAGGTTAAAGACAAGTATTTTCTATGATAGACTCATTTGTTTTTGTCTAATCCTGTAAAGATCTACCCGATCCTGCTTTGAAAATATTGGCTCATACAATAGGTCAACTTATTCCATTGTATACAACGACGAAATCGCGTGTTCTTCTTAGTAGACTTTTGGATGCAGTTATCCGGAAATATAAAGAAAGAATTTTGAAATTAATTATCCATGCATTCGATGTTCAGTCACGTACAATTTGTAAAGTACATTCACAGTATGTCTAATTAGACACTTGTTTTTTTCTTCTCACGAGAATTTGATTTTCCATTGTAGCCGTAATGCACGATTTCAAGCCGATTACGGTTTTATTTATATGTCAAACATTGTACTAGCAAGTAATGGAATAGCAATCGAAGAAGAAACCGATAAATTGATTGTAAGGCCTCATTGATTTATTTATTTTTAAAAATTTTTAATTCCCAATAAATATTCTTGTTTGTTTCGTTTTCAGTTATTAATCGTGTCAAGATTTATTTCAACTTTATTGGCTGATTCATCCACTTCTGCAGGATTGATATTAGTTGACAAACGTCTGAATCATCTATTCAAACAGGTATATGACGCAATCATCTCCCATCATGATAATTGATTTACATAAATATCCTAATCGGACTAACTTGACTACTGAATTTCCAGTAGTTTCGAAGCATCTCCTTGCAATGAATTGAAACTTCGAAATTATAATCGCTACGAATAGAAAAAGCATAGAATGAAATTTTTGATACTACAAAATAATCCATTTCAGCGTTTGATTACTAGCAATACGGATGTCTTTAGAGAAAAAAGTCTTACAATTCGAAGCAACAAACTGAATCATTTTTTATACGTACTTGCTTTCAGGTTCCAACACTAGTCGAAAGTTGGGTAAATTTATTAAATTCAATATCTGAACCTGATCTAGCTCATTTGGGCTTGATCAGTGCTCTATTATATTGTCTGAAAACTAAAGAAACAACATTATATGAACAAATCAAAGTAAAATTTCGACATTATCCTACAACAATAAACAAAATCTGCATCTTCTTTTGCTAGACCATTGGTATTGATTCCTATGCAAAATTAATTCTTGGTACAAGAACAAAACCTTATGAAACAGCGTTAAAACCTTGTAATGAAATTTTAAGTGCAATGGATCTTGAATCCTTCAAAACAAAAGTTTATCCAGTATTGAATCGATCACTTCTTCGTAATCCGGAAGTTATCATCGAAGGTACATTTTTCTTTTGTCATTGATTATTCAACCAAAATTTCTATTTATTTTTCGAATAGCTGTACCACCATTGCTCAGTAGTTTATCATTCGATTTAAGTTATACTGCCAATGAACTTTCTAAACAATTAGCTCGTAAGTAATTTCATTCGAGAAAATCAAACCGTTCAATTAATGTTCACATGTGTATTCTAGCACCATTGATATCAAAAACTGAAAGTTTAGAAGCATCTGCATTAGCTTCATTTCGTACTCTTGCCAAACAAATTTCAAATGGTGAAACCATCATCAGTATCGTTCAATATTTATTCAATATTTTCAATGGTATAGACAACAGAAGAGATTATTTTTGATTAATGACGTTTCTGTTTCTTTTTCGATAGGAACTGAATCTTCTGTGAATAAACTATCGGTGATAAGTCAACGTGAAAATTTGCTAAGTGCAATCGGTGCATTTAGTCGATCGCCAAGTACAAGCATATCACAAGATGATATCTTGAAAATACTCGACAAATATTTCTATCCAATGATTCAACAAGAAGTCCATGAAGGTCTTATTTGTCATATGTTACAACAAATGGCTAGTTGGTGTTCAAGATTAACTAATACCAATCAAGCATTAACGGACTTTTTTAAAGTAATAAAGTTATTTCCATTCGTTTTATGAAGAATTTCCGCTGTTTTTGTTTTCTTATCGAAAATAGAAAGGACTTGAACAAAAGAATACTACTGCAATTACACGAGCAGCGTATCTTCAATGTATTTTAGTGACATATAAAGGTGAGAAAATGATATTTGGAGGGAAATTTGAAAATTTTCTTTCTACTTTCAAGAGGATAATTTAACTGGTTTAATACCAATGCATACAATATTAATGGCACCATACGAACGTGGTGTAAACCAATCGACGTTAATCAATTGTCTTCATGAAGCATTATTAGCTGCACTTATTATGATAAACATAGCTCAAATGAATTCTTCCTATGGTAAAATAAAAAATGACTTTTTAAAATACACATTTTTTCTTAATTAGACAACAAATTAACAGCATTATGGTCTTCGTTAAACGATAGCAAAAAACAAATTTTTACCACAGATAAATTTCAAAAAGAAATTAATCCAGCTGGTGAGTATCATAAAATTTGAGAAATATTTTCCGAGGCAGATTTTCGGGAATAACATCTTCATTTAGCCTCGTTTTGATATTTACACGAGAGAGATTTTGTGAAAATTTTAGGTGCTCGCGTTTTCTTTCAATTATATGAACAACTTCATGGAACATTACACATTCAAGATATGGTGTATGTTTAATTTTTATTAAATTTTTCGATGTAAAGATAAAACATTTTCTAGTCCATACACTCGAACATTTATTTATTTAATTTTGCATTCATCCTATGACGTACGCAAACCAGCCTATGATATCATTCGTCGTCTTGTTAATAATTTACGTTCAACTGACACCGATATAAGTTTAGCACTCTTAACTGGATTAACTTCATTTCTTGATCATTTTCAAGTGACGGTAAGAAAGAAAGAATGATATTTTCTCCTCGAATAATTCGAAACGAAGAATATTTTGATTTAGAATGAAACCTCATCGAATGATGACGCAAATCAACAATTGAACTTAACAACAGTTTCGAAAGCTTTTGAGGAAACAATTCTATGTATAGCTAAATCAATGCGAATGCAGGATGAAAAATTCAAACAAACTCTAGCTAATCGAGCGTTACTTGCTTGTTGTTCAAGTTCAATTTTACTTTCAAGTAGTGAAAAACTTTGGCTCAAATTTCTTTATCTTATATTCGATAAAAAACAGAATGAAGCAGAAGATTATTTTAAAAATAACGTGAACTCTCTTGTTCAAATTTGTACAACAAATCAACGATTAACAAAAGTAATCATATATAGACACTGCTCATGAAAGAAATCTTATCCCGAATCTCTTTAGCTGGTTCCAGCAACAAAAATTAAAACTTAATATTTCTCTATTTTATTAGGAACAAATATCAGCTATAAGTCTTCTATGTTCAATAAAACCAAATCTTTTCTTAAAATCTTTTCTACAAATTGCTTATGAACGTCTTCAACCTGCTAGCTATTTATTAGTCAGCAAACGATCATATGAAATAATGAAAACACCGCCAGGCGAAGTATATGATAAAAGCGTTCTGGAAAGGTAAGTGTGACAAAATTCGATTTTTTGTGTTGTAATAAAAGGTTAATCCGTGCTCTAGTATATTGAAACATGAAGCAAAAGACACAGGAAATGTTAAACGAGAAAGTAAAAATTATTCCTATAAAGAACAAATGGCTGCACGAGAATTGGAAAAGGAATTAGCTGCAAAACAAAATAAAGCTGCTGTTCCACAATTAACGAAAAAACAACAAGAAATGCTTCAACAACAACTCGACCAAGAACAAGCAACTCGTGATAATGTTAAAAAAGTAAAACTTCGATGTTTGATTATTTTTGTTTCGAACTGCTTTTCCTATAAAGATCGACGAAGATGCAAAGAATGTTTTTGAAATATTTACAAATATTGTTAAAAGTACTCAAGAACTATTTATCCCTTATCTTGGTGAACTTGTCGCTCATATTTGGCCAACATTAAAATCACCAGTAGCGTTTAATTATGCTAAAGATTTATATATTGCTCTCGTACCGATCGTCTTCATGAATGATAAAGATACATTTGGTAATTATTTTAATCAGTCATGTTTATGTTTCGAATGTTTCCTTTTAAAGGTTACGCAATCGCTTATTTGGCTGTGCGACTAAATTCTGATCCATCAACGGTTCAACAGCAATTAGATAAATGTTGGCTTCAAGAAGATCTATTGGTCGCTATTGAACGTTTACTTGCATGTCTCTATGAAAATACACAACAAGCTAAAAAATTCAATCAATTGTCGATTGCAAGACTTGACTATTGTCTACCTTTATTTAAAGTTCGTTTTACAAAATCATGACTGAATGAAATCTTTATATTGGTATGAATTTAGAATATCGTCAGCCATTCAAAATGCACAAATGAATGGACAACATCAATCTTAAATATTTGTCGAGAATATTTTTCAGCAGTTTCAACATCGGATCCTGATGTAAGATTTATATTTATTCGAGAGAATGTCGGATAAAGTTCTTGAAACTACTATCCTAAGACTAGCGACCAATAAAAATCGTCCTTATCGGAATCGGACATTTGTTGAATAACGAGAAGTTTCAAAATATTGTTGATTTTAGAATCATCCATCGTTATTACCGCGTCGGGATCTTATTCGTTTATTTCTCGATATCAATGCTGTATCAAAATCTATTCAAGTTCAAGTAAATTATTGCTTGTGATCCACAAAATGAAATCATTTTCGTAAATTTTTAGAATGATGCATCTGAAATGTTGGAAAAACTGTGTGAATTATTTTGTACATATGAAAGCGATGATGATATTCAAGTTTTACTTGACAATCTTCAATCGTCTATTCCAAGTGTACGAGAAAGTTGTGTACTGGTAAGTTTACTTCGATTTGATTAACTAGTCTTTTCTCATTATCTAATTGAATAGTCATTGAAAAAACTAGTCACCCGATTACATAAAGTACATCCAACACTCGAAGCTGATATTGCGCGTCGTTTATTAATCGTATGCGAAGATCCTGAAGAACATGTGAAAAAAATTGCTACCGAGTATAATATTTGATCTGCTTGTTTTGGCAATCGAACATGCGAAATCTATTGGTTTGTTTTTTAAAATAGATTATGGCCTCAAACAAATTTAAAAGTCAAATCAGAAAATGTTAGAGACTTTCTTAGAGATGTTGTTCATCCAGAATATTTCGTTCGTGAACCAGCTACACATGCATTACCAAAATTATTAGAAGCATCATTTCCTCAATTAGTACCTTTTATTCTTAGTGATCTTTTCGATATTTATACAAAAAATAATAAGGTTAGTTTTGATCATTCTTCAGCGATATGAAATGATAAATTTTTTGTAAAGCTTCCACCTCCAATCGTTGATCAATTTGGCCGACAAATTCAAGCTCAACCAGTCGATACATGGGAGCCACGTGCTGGTGTAGCAGATTGTCTTTTTCATATGGCATCGCTTGTTGGAAATAATATTGAAGATTTATTTAAATTTTACGTTCCAACAGCATTAAATGATCGGCATGCGGATGTTCGTAGTGACATGCTTCGCGCAGCAACATCAACAATTGATATACACGGACGAGTAATTTATTTCTCTTTGAAAAAGCATATCTATAGTGTCCCTCTATTTGGAGATTAAATACAATGCGTTAATGTCTATACATTGAAATCTTAACTCTTCGGAAATGAAGTATTAACAGCACTTTTTTTTCTTCTTAGGATCATTTAACAATGTTACTACAAATCATGGAAGACTTTCTTAAAGAAGCTCCTAAAACAGCTGATTATGATTCAGTTCGTCAAAACGTTGTTATTCTTATGGGTAAATTAGCTAAAGATATGGATAAAGATAGTACAAAAGTAAAAAACATTCTTGGACAACTTATATCAACATTAAATACACCGTCACAACAAGTAAATCAAATCGTAAAAGAATTTTTTCGCCCCCATGAAATCATATTTTATTTAGGTTCAAGCAGCTGTTGCTGATTGCCTTCCACCATTGGTCCCAGCAATTAAAGATGAAGCTGGAGTTTATGTTCAACAATTACTTAATGTTTTACTTAAATCAGAAGATTATGCTGAGAAAAAAGGTTCGATATAAAAGAATACAAATTCCTTTTCGCATTTTGATTGTTGTTTCGTAGGGGCTGCTTATGGTTTAGCTGGCTTTATTAAAGGTTTAGGCATTCTGGCTGTTAAGCAATACAATGTTCTTACTGAATTAACAGATGCAATTCAAGATAAATCAAATGCTAAACGACGAGAAGGTTCTATTGAAGCGATACATTTTTTTTCTTCTAAATTCCACTTCATGAATTAGGTGCACTTTTTGGTTTGGAAATGTTAACATCAATGTTAGGCCGACTCTTTGAGGTATATATTGTTAATATACTGCCACATCTACTATTATGTTTTGGTGATAATGATGCTAAAGTTCGTGATGCTGCAGAAGATTGTGCAAAAGCTATTATGAGCAAATTGACAAGTCACGGTGTTAAGATTGTTCTACCAGGACTTTTGAAAGGATTAGAATCAGATTTATGGCGAACAAAATGTGGAGCTGTTGAATTACTCGGTAAGAATTAATTCTTCATTCTTTTTTACGAGGTAGCATTTGATTGGTTGAAATCATCATCTTGCGAATTGTTAAGTAGTATTTTTAATTCTTTGGAGATCAGAGTCTAGATGTGCGACTATCGACGTTCAAATTATCTCTAAATCTAATTCTAGGTGCCATGGCACATTGTGCACCAAAACAACTATCAACATGTTTACCAAGTATTGTGCCAAAGCTCATCGAAGTTCTCACCGATTCTCATCAACGTGTACAAAAAAGTGGTACTCAAGCATTAAAACAAATTGGTTCGGTAATTAAAAATCCTGAAATTCAAGGTAAATATTTTGCTCTGTACGTTACATATTTAAACCGACTTTATTTACAGCTATTGTTCCTGTTTTACTCGATGCTTTACAAGAACCAACTAAGAAGACACAAGCGTCACTTCAAATATTAATTCACACACGTTTTGTTCATTTCATTGATGCTCCTTCACTCGCCTTAATTATTCCTGTTATTGAACGTGCATTTCAAAATCGTTCAACTGAAACAAGAAAAATGGCTGCACAAATTATTGGCAATATTTATTCATTGACTGATGCAAAAGTAAAAATCATTTGCCGTTTTATTTTTATAACATTTTGTTTTGTTTCTTTTTCTAGGATCTTACGCCTTATTTAACAAGTATTCTTCCTGGATTGAAAACTTCTTTACTTGATCCTGTTCCTGAAGTTCGTGCTGTTTCAGCACATGCACTCGGTTCAATGGTTCGTGCCATGGGCGAAGAAGCCTTTCAAGAAATTGTACCTTGGCTTATGGAACATCTTGTACTTGAATCAAGTCCAGTTGATCGATCGGGCGCTGCTCAAGGTTTAAGTGAAGTTATATTTGGTCTTGGCGCAGATCGTCTTGAGAAATCAATGAAAGAAATTATTGAACGTTCACAACAAATGGATCTAGCTGCACATGTTCGCGATGGTTACATGATGATGTTTATCTATTTACCGATTAGTTTCGGAGAGAAATTTCTTCCTTATGTCGGACGAATTATTCCACCAATTTTGAAGGTAAGAAGAAAATAAAGGAAATCGCAGAAAAATCCTAAATCATCTACTTTAGGGTTTAGCGGATGAAACAGAATTTGTTCGTGATACGGCACTGAAAGCTGGTCAACGTATTGTTAATAGTTATGCTGAAACAGCCATATCATTATTCGTACCTGAACTTGAACAAGGTCTTTTCGATGACAATTGGCGTATCCGTTATAGTTCAGTTTTATTACTTGGAGAATTATTATTTAAAGTATCAGGTGTAACAGGAAAAGCAACAACAGAAAGTGTTGATGAAGATGATAATTTTGGTACTGAATATGGTTTACAAGCAATTACGCATGCCTTAAGTCGAGAGCGACGTGACAGAGTTCTTTCAGGTAAAAAAAGAAAAAAATCTCGAATTTTTTTCCTTTCTTCTAAAATGAATTTTCGCTTGCTTGAAATAGGTTTATATATGGGCCGATCGGATATTTCATTGACGGTACGACAATCGGCTTTACACGTTTGGAAGACAATTATATCGAATACGCCGCGTACGCTTAGAGAAATTTTACAAACATTATTCACACTTTTATTGGGTTGTTTGGCAAGTTCGAATTATGACAAACGACAAGTATGTGAAAGTGGCGATAGATTTTTATTTAAAGAAATGTAATTTCTTTTTCTTTTGAACTAGATTGCAGCACGAACATTGGGTGATTTAGTTCGCAAATTGGGTGAACGTGTTCTACCGGAAATTATTCCGATACTCGAGAAAGGCCTCGATTCACAACAAAGTGATCAACGACAAGGTGTCTGCATTGGTCTTAGTGAAATCATGGCAGCATGCAGTCGAGATTACGTAAGATATTTAGATGATTAGAACTTCTATTAGGTGGTGGTGGTCATGACGCCCTCTAGAAAACTTTTTGTTTTATTTTAAAATACGTTAGTTCAATTTTAGAAGAAAAAACTTCCGTTTTTAAGCCATCGGGGTTCTCTATTAGAGCTGATACTAAAAATTCGTACCACACATCCCAAAGGTTTCTTATTGTTTGATTTCTCTAGATAATCGCATTTTCAAGTACAATAATTCCAACGGTGCGACGTGCTCTACTTGATCCCTTAGTTGAAGTTCGTCAATCAGCGGCTAAAACATTTGAAAATCTTCATTCAAGCATTGGTACACAAGCATTAGATGAAATTCTACCCTATTTATTGAATGTCATGCAAAAGGATCCAATACCAAATGTAACAAATGGCGATCAAAATAATAAAGAAGACGAACAAGAAAAAGAAGAAACTGAACGTGATTTTGCTCTTGATGCACTACAACGTATCATGCAATTAAAATCTCGTGTTGTTTTACCATATCTGGTACCACATCTAATTCAACCACCGGTAGACATAAAAGCATTAGCCAGTTTAACACTAGTTGCTGGTGATGCATTAGCAAGACATTTAAGTCGAATTATCCAAGCTGTTATTACGCATATTGCCGATGAAAAAGATCCTCAAGCTAAACAACAGCATCTGTTTTATGCTGAACAATTATTAGCAGCAGTATGTTAAATCAAATCATTCTTTTTTCCTCTCGCCTAATCATTATTTTTACTTAGATCAATGATCCTGATGGTGTCCAACTTGTCATACGTGAATCACAAGATTTTTCGCGTTCATCAAAAGTTAATATTCGTGTGGTAACAATTACTTTGTTATCATCATTTTGTAAAAAAGCCAAAGGTACATATCAAGATTCCATCGATGACCTGATTCGTATTTGTATTAATTTATTAAATGATGATAACGAACAAGTACTTAATACAGCATGGGATTGTATCGATACTATTATCAAAGTAAGTGTTTTTGTTTTCAAAATGGAAAATTCCTAGAAAAAAACCCTTTTTCTATTTAGGATATGGATCAACTTGAATTACAAAAACGTTTGCCTGTTGTTCGCCAAGCATTACGCAGTGCACAATCAAATAGTCGAGAACGTGGCCGACTTGTTGGTTTATGCTTACCGAAAAAGGTTTTAAAACAGTTAAAAAGAAAAAAATGCTCAGCTAGTTTTATTCTGTTGTTCATAGGGTATCGGATGTATTTTACCGATATATAAAGAATGTATTCTTAATGGTCCTCCGGAATTACGTGAATCGGGTGCCAACGGTTTAAATGAAGCAATTAATCTTTCGGAGTAAGAAAAATCAAAATATTAAAAATTTTTTACTTATATTTATCGTTTTTCTATAGTGCTGAAGCTCTTAAATCATCGATTATGAACGTGACAGGTCCATTAATTCGTGTGTTAGGCGAACGATTTAGTACTGATATTAAAGTGGCTATTCTTGAAACATTGAGTACATTTATGGCAAAAGTAAGTTAAAATCAATCATTTTCACTGAAGCCGCTCCTATATAAATATGAGAAATCAGAAGCACCACGAGTCTGTTCTTGTTCTCAGCATTCTAAACCAGTTCCGAGTAGTATTGCATCGAAGATATCTTAGATAAAAAGGTCCACTACGATCAAGTCTATTATCTACGATAAGCGTTTTTTGCTTCATTCTACGCTTTTGTGTGTTTGCACTACAACTGATAATGAAAGCGTGTAACTGTCACTTTCATCGTCTGTCCGTTGTGGTTTTCTTCTTCACCTACACACATACATATAAAATAATTTAGGTTGGCGTTCAATTGAAACCATTTTTACCACAACTTCAACCAACACTTCTCAAAGGTCTTAATGACCCAGCGCGTCAAGTTCGTGTGAAAGCTGGTAATGCTTTAGGATTACTAAGTCAAATTCACGTACGAATCGATCCGATATTTGTTGAACTTTTAAATGGATTAAAAATGAATGATGATCCTTCATTCAAGTAAAATATTTTTGATGTCTGTTTACATGAATGCATTTTTGTTTGTATTCTAGAGAAACATTTTTATTAGCATTGAAAAACTGTTTAGCAGCTGTTGCCTCGAAACTATCTGACGATATGAAAAAGCAAACTGAACAATCGCTCATTAATTGTCAATCAAACGAAAGTGACGTTGTTCGGCAAACAGCATTAAGTTGCAAAGAAATTCTGTTATCATCTAGTTAAAAATCTGAAGAAAAAAAAACGAGAAGAAGAAAAATACCAACACTAACACCAAAGTTTTGTTTTTCCACTGTTTTCTTTTTTAATATAAATTTGGTGTTTTGTTGAATATGATGAAATAAAAACCAAAAAAAAAGGAGTTGTCAACGTTTTATAGGATTCATGCAGTGCATACAAATTTTGTTCTATGATTAATTTTGTACCGTTTAATCGTTACGGTATTGAATTCGGTAAATATTTTGCATATTACTTTTGCAACGTTACTTTGAAAGATGTTACGACTTTTTGTTTGGTCATTCATTGATATTTTTTATGCAAAGGCTAATGATCCATAAGTTAGAGTAACGAACATCTGCTGTTTGTATTTGTATTTCCTCACAATTGAAAAATCGTATTTTCATGAGTTTCTTTGTGTTATCGTCCCGTATGGTGACCTTTAATTATGCATAGCTTCTCAACCGTTAAAACATTTCTTTACATAGAATATGGCCAACTAGCAGAAAAAAAACTGCACTTGATCAAATCTCATGAATCATAAGCAAGCAGCACTATAGGACAATAAAAGCGAAAGAAATGCGATGTATTTTTTTTCTTCCTTTGTATGTTGATAGTGTACACTTATCTATTATTCTACGTTCGGGTTTCTTTTCTCGTATGGGCGTGTTTGTAACTAACTGACAATGAAGGCCTTTCTCTCTTTCTTTATTCGTTCGTTTTCATAGCATCCTCGTACTGATAAGTAATTGAGACTTCCGATGAAAGTGTTAAGCAATATCATAGAATCCGATAACAAGTTTTTATCTGATGATTTTAGAGTACCAATTTTATTGTAGATCAATACTCGCTTGATAGGAATCGATTTTTGGAATGGCGAAAGTAAAGACGAGCATGAAAGCGATTCTTTCGAAAACTTCTTTGAGATATGTTTTAGTCTATGGGCGATAGACCAGTTTTTAAAATAGTTGGACTCGTTTGGATTTTTCTTGAAACGAGTCTACTCGCTGGAAAGTATATATTTCAATCTATTTAAAAAAAAACTAATCCTATTTCTATGAATAGTATATTCGGATTCGGATCGCTATTCAGTGTATTGCCTGGATATGGTATCTATGAATCTCGCTGTAAAACAATTTCTGAGAAAGCCATTTCAAATGCAACAGCCACAATAGCAAAAGATTGCAAAGGACAAGTCGATGAATATCAGGTTAACTTCTTAATTCAGTAAATATAATCAATATTATTCATTTTAGTTTGCTTTTGCACTAGGCATCGGTTTTTATAATTTGCCTGCAGTTCTTCTTGGCATTGTTATCGATTTATTCGGACCACGTACTCTTAAATTAATTGGAATGTAAAATGTTGAAATAATTACTAATGAATTTTATCATTGATATTTCTTTAGTGTTTTTCATTTAATCGGTTGGCTATCATTAGCATTGATAAGACCAGGTTAAAAGTCAATTATGAGAAATTTTCTGCAAAATATATAGTTTGTTTTTGCTAAATTAGGTTATGATTGGCTACTTTCATGCCATACAATATTTACATCCGTGGCTCAAATGTGCGTTTTACTATCCTCATTTACTATATCAGGACATTTTACCAAAACTCGAGGTTTAGTATCGTAAGTCGTTCTTTTTTTCGAATTCGTCTTGATTCATAGTTGTATTTCTAGATCATTAATAAGTGGTGCTCAACTTAGCGGTGCGATTTGGTATGCTATTTTCCAGGTACATATCATCATGTTTTATTTTGTTAATTGAATATTTTATTTTAAAGCTACTGATTGAAACAAAATGGATATCTCTGTCGACATTATCATTTATGTGGGCTTCATTTTCGATCCTTATGCTTGGCAGTTCAATATTTTTTCTTGATTGGCGTTTTCAACTTTCTACTAAGTCAAAAGACACAAAGTCAACAGGCAACGAAGCTGGTAAAAATTAAATCAGAACTTTAGCTATTTGCTTATGACACAGTTTTCTTCTAGTTGTTATAAGCCGATCGGAAGATTCATTAGTTCGACATTTAACAAACCCAATCTTTATCGTGGTCACATGTTTCCTTGGTTGTCTTCTTCTTACTGTATCATATTTACCTGTAGTTTGGTTTCCATGGGTAATGTATTTAACTGGATTCAATTTAAAATTAGGTTAGAATCAATTTTTATGATTATTATCTAGCTGCTGTTTTTGCTTTCGATTAGCCAATCGTTTTACATCTATGTACAATATGAGTACCGTTCTGTCGATATTTATTTCACCGATATTTGGATTCATGATTGATTACAAAGTCCAGCGAGGTTTGTAAACGATAGCGTTTGTTACTTTGCTTTTCAGAATATAGCTTCGTCTTTTTCAAGGTTATTCTCAACGATTGCTCAATGTTTCTGTGTTACAAACACTGACTTGGCTAGGTTCAATCGCACTTTGTATTGTTTGCATGTTTCGAACTATCGCTGCTCCTATAGTTGCGATATGTATTTTCGTCTTTTCACGTACCATGCTTGTTACTGGATGTCAATCAGTTATTACCACAATGTAAATATAGATAAAAACTTTGTTTGTTAATCTCGATTTCATTTTTTTCTTCTTTTAAGGTTTCCACCACAATATATCGGTACTCTTCTTGGCGTTATGTGGACAGTAGTCGCTTTTATAAGTTTTGCTACCTATGGTTTAACACGACTTGCAACTAGTCCGTTACATGTTTGGAGAGTAAATATTGGCGAAAAAAAGAAAAGAAATTGTTGTATTCAACTTTACGATTGCTTTGGTTTGTTTTAGGGATGGTCAGTAATTTTATTATTGTGTTTCGTGATGGTTGGACATGTAATTCAACTTTGGAGTTTATATTTCAAGTCCAAAAAACAAGCAAAACAACAAGTATCACTCAACGAAGAACAAACTCAAAGTCTTCAATCCTCAACTGATACTTAGGCTTCCTTTTTTTGTGTGTTTTATGGTTTTAAAATAAAATAAATGTCATTACAGACAATCTCCGATTTCAAACTTTTGTTGAAAGGTTTTTCTCATGGTGCTTTAATGTTTATTCGTGTCTCGTACCAATAGATAATATCGATTGTGTTGATGGCGAAAAGAAAAATGATAAGACAATATATTTTAATTTTAATTGAAAACAAAGCTAAGCATTGAGTTACTTCACTATGCACCGAGTAGGAATGTGCGGGGAAAAGAGAGAGAGAGAGAGAGAGTACATGATAATAAGATTATAAAATCGTAGACAAAGTTGAGTCTCACTGTCATATTGCATCACAAAAAAAAAGAGAGGAACCGAAACCAATGTTGAAAATCTTTCCATTTTTAGTGATCATTGTTTATTATTGTGTAAGTCTGCTAAGAAAGAATTAGTTCTTCTATAAATTTATTTCATAATAGGATGCAAGTCACCCACCACTATCATCATCGTCATGGTCAATTTCGATACCACTTTCTAATGGGAGTCGACAATTGATCGATGTTCCTCTCCTAATATCATTTTCGAAAGTAAAATAGTTAGAAATCACAATATATTCTATTTCATACATTTATCTAATAGGATGATTTTTCTTCATCTTGTAAGAACTGCTTTTATGCTCGTATGTTGAATGCAGGACGCCGAATGATAGTTGAGCCATGTGGTGAACCTAATTGTGTTGCATTGGTCAATAGTACAGGTTTTGTAGTCAATCAACCAACAAGAAAATACAATTTAAAAAAATGTGGAAGAATTAATCGTAAAAGTTATTCAAGTATACATGATGGAATAAAGTTAAAAGTGAGCACAAGTGATGAAAATACTTTACGTCCTGCCGAATATCCTTGGCTTGTAAGTTTTGTTTTTAAATGATGGGAACCATTCCGATGAATTAAATCTATTGTTTTATTCTCGTTTGTAGGTTCGTATAGAAAGTCGTTCAGATATTTTCTCGCGTACGGTAACACTCTGTGCTGGCACACTCATTCATCCACAATGGATTATAACAGCTGCTCATTGTATGTTTGATAGTAAGAGAAGCACGCTTTATCCAACACATGGCATTACTTTATTTATGGGTCATTATAGTCGTATAACTACTAGTCGAAATGAACATGTAGTAAAACCTGTTCTATATGTGATTAATCCAAAATTTCGTATTACTCTTAAATCGCCAGCGCCAATTCATGATTTAGCACTGATTAAATTAGCGAGTCCAGTGCCATTGTCACGTTCAATTTGTATTGCCTGTTTACCTGAGCGAACAGATAAATTGCCTGATGGAAAATTAGCGTTTACAGCTGGCTGGGGTCATGCATCGCCAAACTCAACAGCTGTTAATGAGCCACGAAAAGCAAGAATAAAAATTTCACCAAGATCATGCCGAAAATTGATGATTGATCCTAGTGTACACATATGTGGAAGAAATGACCGCGGTAGTAATATTTGTAGTGGAGATTCCGGTGCTGGTTTAATGGTACATGCTGGTGTTATAAAAAATAAAAATAAAACGTTATGGAAATGGTATGTTTTTGGTGTCGCTAGTTTCGGTCTTGACGAATGTTCACAAAGTGTCAATCACGATAATGCATTTGCATCGATTTCAACAGATATTGACTGGATACATGAAGTTATCGAAAAATATTGATATTCGTATTTTCGTTTCTCTTTTTTCTTTTGTCTTTTAAAAATATATACATATAAATTTGTCTGTCTCTTCCTTTTTTTTCTGATTGTAAAAAGAACAACATTCACATGTAAAATATTTTCTTAGATCAAGGCCAACGTTTGTAGTAGTAATATTTTGTAGTGTAAGATACACGAAAAAAAGAGCAAAGACGCCTCCATGCGTATCAATAAATACATTTATAGTATAGTCTTATTCATGGTCGTTATTTTTTCTTTCTAGTAGCGTTGTTATCGTTGCCGTCTCCTATCGTCGTAACCGCACAGGGCCGTCTTTATTAATTTGAAAATAACATTATATTATACATCGGCAAGTAACGAAAAAGAAAAAAAAGAGGGTAGAGAACGAAGGCTTTTGTAATACTTGAAGGTCTTATTTGGCTTGAATAGTTCGTACGATAATCACAGCGTCGTCTATTTTCTCCCATAGAATTGTATAGTCTTTAGTTAAAACGTTAGCTAATTGGTTTTATTTGTATAGAAAAGTCAATGTTAAGTCAGCAACGTCGTTCACCAGAGTCATCGGCTGGATCAAAGCGGAGTGAGTCGGCAGCTACAGGATCAATAAACAATAAAGATGAACAACAATCTGAGCTGTCAGGGAGTTCGGACGAAGAGACTATAAAAAAAGGTAAGCATTAAATATTATTAGATATTGAATACTATTTTCAAGTTGAATTGAAACTATTTAGTTCCATCACCGCCACCACCAGTTCAAATACCACATTCTAAAACAACAAAATCATCTTCATCATCATCAAAGAGTAGCTCTAATGCATCGAGTCCCAAACCATTTAAAACTATTGCAAATCCAGTAAAAAAATCTATTCCCATCACTTTTCAAGCATCTCTTCCAAAAAGCAAGAGTCCACAGGAAAAAAATAAAACCATACAAGATCTCGTTAAGAATGCACAATTACGTTCGATACCGAAAAAATCGACAACAACCTATGGCGGAACCAGTGCAATTGATATAGAAAAGGAGCAAGCAGAATTAATTCCGATTACAAGCAGTCGAAATGGAAAGAAAAATTTGAGTGTTTTTGAAAAAATTGATACACACAATGGGCATAGTAGCTATTTGGGCACAGGTTCCTATTCACAATTAGAAAATTGTATACGTAGCTGTTTATTACAGGATCCACATCATAAAAATCTGGCAAATCATACAACAAAATATGAATATTCATCGAAAAGTTCAAAACGTGCATCTGTACTTGAAGATTACAGTTACGATGGAATCGTATCACCAAATCATCATGCAGCTCATTCACATAGTTATAGTCATCATCATTATAATGATCGTCATTTCGATCATCGTAAAAAATCGGCAGCAGAACTTTCTCTCGCTGAAATTCGTCAAGTCAATGATGCTCTTGCTAAATATGGTATACCTGTTTTTTCACATCAACCAAATCCTTATACTCCACATCCTCCTCAACGTAACATCAGTGATATTTTATCGGCATGTCGACTTCTCGTTGAAAATCCAAATCTTGCACCACACCCAAATGAACATGCAGCTGTACAACATGTTTGGGATAGTATACAGCATCAACCACCGATGCAAACTGCTCCTGGTTACGCACCACCAGCTGTGCATGCTGCTTCATCACATATATTTCCAGGTAGTCAAGCTCCGTACAGTCCTCTTCAAAGTGTTCCAACACATTTATTTCCTGGTCAACCACAACAACATTTCACTGGATCACCATTTAGCAGTGCATTTCATCAATATCCTGGCAATAATAATTTCACGTATTAGCCGATTTTTCATCAATGAAAGCAAACAAAAGACACACAGACAGAAGCATAATTATTATTATTCTTTTTAAAATTAGATGAACTGTACTGTCTTAAATAAAATATGTTTGCAACCTTTTGAATCTAGATTCAATGAAATATTGTGTGATGAATCATCACTTGCGATATTATAGATAAATGTCAATAGAGTGAAAGTCAATGAGACAATGTCCTAGTGAAGGTCAACTCCATTTCGACATGGCTATTTTAGAAGTCTGTCGAACTGTATTGTGAATCAGCGTCTTGCCTGAATTTTCGAAATTTATATTCTATCTCTCTAGAATCATGTTAGTGCTTTCAATGGGATGAAAATAAATACAAAAAGGAACGAACGAATTTAGATTTGACGTGTTTACACGATTGAGTTTCTATAAAGAAAAAGACAATATACGATACTCAACTGTTCTATGATAAAAATATTCTAAAAAATAGTTTCCAGGTAATTGATTAATCATACATATACTACAACTTGTAAAAAAAGATTCACTTGCTGTAATTGCTTCATTTTTACTTAACAAAATGGCCCGATTTCTTTTGCAATGACTAATCGTCGTAAATACCTTGTTCAAACAAAAATAGCATTAAAGGAAGCACTTCTTATTAAATTACCATTTCTTTTGTTTATTTACAAAAAACAATCTTTAAAAAACAAATACTAAAAATAGACAAGCACATTCTGTAGAAAAAACATTGTTCAAGTGTTGAGAACATTAAAACATGGACAAAAAATATTCCAGCTTTTTGACTGATAAAATTCGTCGAGATGCATTGTAATACTTTAGATATTTGATTGTATTTATGCCGCAAAATAGTGATTCCATAAATTACTGCATCGAAAGTCGCCGCTTTCGAATCATTTTATTAGAAACAACGTCAAAATCACTGATACAAGTTTGTTCGAATGAACATGATCGTCTACGAAGTGATGGTGAGATAGTAGCTGCTAGAATAGATTTGTTCGTTAATGTTAAATGAAAGCTATACAGATGAATATTTACTTTGCATTTGAGTACGAGTATCAGCTGCTTCACTAGGAGGATCAGAACAAGCTATAAGACAAAATGAATCAGTTTTTTTATCGATAAAGGTCATTAAAATAAGTATACTTACAAGAACCAGTTCTTGAATAGCTTTGAGCGGCTTCTGTGTGTAAACCTTTAAAATAAAATTTTAAAGATTCATTAGATTCGACAAAAAAAAATTCATTTAAAGCTAACCATGGCCTGGTAACCGTTCTTCATCGATCGTTGAAAGTTGAGCAGTCGAAAATTGCAGTCGTAAATTCGTATATTCACGATCATGCGAATTATCAGTTGATTGAATCACTTGAGTTCGTTGTATTTCTGAATTTAAAAGATTAATTTTTCGTACTTTAAAATAAAATTTCATACCATCTGTATTATCATTTGAAGCAGCCGATAGAATCACAGGCGATTGTAATAAAGAAAGGCTATGGTCATTGGTTTCATCATAATTTTCAATAGAGACAGAATATGATTCCTGTTGACTAAATGAATTAAAACCATGTGTAGCACAGTCATAATCCGTGGCATCTTAAAATATATAGATAATACATGTTTAACTCTACCAAAATATTTACCTTCAATTTGCGACGACAGTTCCATTTCATAGCTAGGCATATTGAAAAACTCGTCACCTGAAAGTGAACTAATGCTCAGCATACATAAACCAGTATTTCAACACTTACGAGGTGCAAATAGATTTATGACAGCCGGCTCTACATAGAAAACATTAATAATTAATTTACATCGAAATAGTTTATATGAAATTACCGTCGCAGTGGCTCTCCGATTCTACCGGCTGATTGTCAAATACAGAACTGTATTCTACTAAAAGATACATGACAGGTGGTCTGGTTAGTGGTCACTAGTTGTAATGAAAACAGAGATTTTTACCAGGTGGACCACAGACCTCTTGTAATTGTTGACTGTTGCCTGTTTGAATAATTATGTCAGGTTCTTGAATAGGAGTCGGTGGAGGAACAGCAATCGCATCATTCCGTGCCATAACTATAGTATCTAAATTAAAGTGAAAACATCACAAAAATATTTTTCAAAATGATTCGAATAATACTTTGATCATTTTCTCCTTCATTTACTATTTCAACGACTAAGACTGCTGTCTCTATTCAAATTTTAAAAATAGTAATTATAGTTGTTATTGATTAAATTATCTATCTCTTACGAATTGTCTCTTCTGATAGAGCTGGTGCATTTGCATTGTCATTATTCATTTGTTCGGCCATTTTAATGTTTGCTCGTTAATACTTGGTTTAACTATATAAAACAAAACAAATAATTTTCATAGGAAAATGTACATAATTACACTTACATTATATGGTATACCTTAGGAAATGGCACGTTTATTTCATCAGTCTAGAGTATCATGCTGGCTTCATAAATACATTTAGTAAATGCAACACAATCAACGTATGCTAGGTAAATAAATTGCGTCGATAAATAGCGGCCATACATTAAATACGAAAATCGACTTTCAGTAATTCCCTAAGACACTTGTGCCATCTATTATATAGAGAAACATTGCTTTACTTACAAAGTAATTCGAATATTAGCTGTATATTACTGCAGCATAAAGCGGGTTGAGATAATCTATATACAATTCGTAAATACACGAGCGCTATCAACAACATGAATTACGTTGGCACTACTGCCATTGTATGTAGCTTATCTCGGCCCATAAGGCGATGGATGTTAGATTGAAGTAAGTTCACTAGACTGAAATTATTCCAAACATCACATCTAAACTTTGTAATATAATTTTTTTTATTAGAATCAAAATTTCTTGTTAAAAAAATCATTGCTCACATTTCAATTAATTGAATAGGCGAAAATTCGAAGTTGAAATAGCTATTTGTAGGTCTCTAGTGGTTAGATATACGTTGGACCAAGATGTTTTGGTATCGGACTTGATCACAACAAATCTATTCCAGCATTTATTCGTAACACATTCTTACTGATGATTGAAATAGAGAAAGACCATGCACATATGTGCCAATGCTACTGAATGCAAATTCTCTTTTTCTTCTGATCGGTAGCCTTGTGACTGCATGATTAAGTAAACAATAAGTATGTGAAATCAGTTTTTCAATAGCAAGCATGTAATTTTTTTTCCAACATTTTTATGGTGCATTAAAATCACGGAGATTCGAAATCAAGAGAGAGCAATGAAAGAAGATTTTGAGTAATAACTTCAAAATACTTCGAAATGCTATTGATTTTATTTCGTGTCAAATTGTTCACCTTAACCATAGGACATTGTTCGATTGTTGATCTCAACAGCGTATTAAAGTATATAGAGTAGAAATTAGCACGCCCGTATATCGTGACAGAAGTCATCATAGACAAGTTTTCTTTTCAATGTATAGATTTCCATTTTTAATCCCATAGGGATTGTACTAAGAGTTTTTTTTATTTTAACTCTAAAAATATCTAATTAAATTAATTAGCAACTATAAAAAAAACACAAAACAAATTCTATTAAAAACAAAATATCGTTTATACAGTTCTTTAGATACTGCAAAAAATAAAAAAATATTACAGTTCTTTACTTGAATTGGCAACCGGTATACAACTTTGTAAAGTTGTTCTGACTAAAATTTGCGCACATCGGAACAGAGAACTGCCGTATATTATGGCGTAGATTTTCGCCATCGTTTTATACGTCCAGGAGTACGGTTCTTATCAGCTTGACGCTGTTCAATGGATGACATCGATCGTTTATGAGCTCTTGGTAGCGGCATGGTGGCTAGAATAAGTCATTTATATTACTATTAACATCGATGTATTCCAATGAAAATTTACTTGATACTTGAGCACGATTATCAATAGTTTCATTCGAATGAACAGCAACAGCTATAAGAAGAACAAATAAATTTTGTCTTTGAAAATGAACACGCAAATATATATTTACAATCAACTGTTAAATTTTCATCAGTTACTTCCATAGGTTGATCTACAAAAATAAAATTTGATTCGATTACGCAAAATAATTAATTTAAACTTGCCAGGCGCTTCCATGACTGGAACAGAGTCAACAACTGGATCATGCTGTGGTGGATTCATATTTTCATCGGTAAGAACATGCGTTGTTTGTTGTACTTCTAGAATACGAGATTTATTTTTCATACGTGTAAAAAAAGAACTCATACCTTCTTCATTCTCATCTTGCGTGAGATCAATTAAAACACGTGGTACAACTGCACTCGATTGCAATTGAGGAGCTGAAAAAATGTATTTGTTTTTTATTGAAAACGAATAATTATTATGATGCATACCTTCATCGTCAGTTAGATCAATTACAACGATAGGTTCAAGACGCGAATTTCTGATGTCATCATCTTAAAAGCACGACAGAAAAGCTGATTTGAAGAAAACAGATTTTGTTTTAAATTACTATTTGGTTCGACTTGAGCTGGACTCTCCGCTGTTTCAACGGCATTACTCTCTGTGAGGAGTATTTGAATCTCTGAAATAAAATAAAAACGAAGAACATAATTATCAACCATAATACAAATGGTTATAATTACCATCATCTGCATCATTGACGGCAACCGGTAATGGCGCAGGTACATTGTGTAAATCAAAAGGAGATATTATATTATCATAAATGTTGGCATCTTAAAATATATAGGTAATACATCTATTTTTACTATGAGACGTTTACTTTGAGCTAGTGTAGTTATGTCTGGTTCATTATCAATAATAACGGCAGAAATCGGACCTAACAAAAAATGAATAATAAATTCATATCTACGTAGTTTACATGAACTTACTACCATGATCTCTCTCCAATTCTACCGGTTGATTTTCAAACATAAAATTGGATACTACTAAAAGATAAATAAAACCACATAAAATTTTCTAATCTTATACAACACATATCTAATCAAAATTATTTATTACATACATGCATATTCATATGGAAACATTTTGTAAGCAAGACTTCAACAAGTTCTTGTTTAAAAAAAGGATTCATATGATAATGATCAGATTCATGTAGATATTTAACAGGTTAAATTTCTTCAATAAATCATATTCCATCAACTATCAACTAGGGAACTCTGCTTCGAATGAGACATATATTTTTTTAGTGGCCATTAGTTGTAATAGAAAAACTATGTTTACCAAGCGAACTGGGAACGCCCTGAGATGGTTGACTATCGCCTGTTTGAATAGATATTTCATGTTCATCAATCAAATTAAAACCGTTCGTAGCACTGAGTGCTCTAGCTATGGCATCTAAATTAAATTCAAAAACATCATATAAATGCTTTTCAATATTATTAAAATAATACCTTCATCATGTGTTGTGTGATTCATTTCATCAAGGACCATTTCAGAGGTGTCTATTGAAGTTTTCAAAAAAGAGAGTTATCATTTTTTAAATGAAATTATTCATGTTTTACTTGTTGTCTCGTCGTCTGATGATGCAGACAAAGTTGAATTTTCATCATTTGTTCGGTCAGACATTTTAATTTTTCCTGGTCAATAATCAGTTTTTATCTACAAAACGAAAAAATAGTCATTGTAATAGATAAAATGTACCATGGTTGATAACACTCATAGTTGGCCACAATCATATAGAAGATGACCCCTCAATATATATCATGATGCAATTACATGATAACATTTTTCCGTATAATGATTGAAGTTGCATACGTGGCTGTCTCACCTATTTATAGTTTATCGTACTTGTATTATAAAATGTAATAAAAAATACACGTAATCAAAGTCGAAGAGTACAATAGATTAAATTCGAGTGTTTATAAACATATATGAATGTTAACTAAACTTAGTGAATCAATTAGAATCAGCTTGCAACTATCCAGGAGTGGCTTAGTAGCTGAAGAGACTTATCAAAATATTTATTGTTCAATTTTCTGAAATTCTCAAGGTAATGGTTCAAGGCTATAATTATACTACGTCTTTTTAAGGATGGCTTACATTTTATTTTTATACAAAAGTCGATCATTAAATGTAAAATTGCTTAGGCAAAAAAATGATGAAACTTTCAAATGAGATGAGAAAGTCTGTGTGTGTGTACCTTCGATACAAACTCCAGCATCCGTTAAAAACATTTACCATACGACAGTAAACTCAAAAGATGTCAGTTTATTCGCTATGGAGCACTACTTGAAATACGACTTAAATCTGTAATTCAATACATAAAATGTATTATTGAGTTTTCCTGTCGATAAAAAGCCAGTTTCAACAATGATCCGTTTTTTTTATAATCATCATTCTAATAAGTTGTAATATATATCGATCAATCAAACCAAAAAAAACTTTTAACAACGGTTTTTATTTTTAACTTGTGCCTAATAAACTACTCACTGAACAAAGCACTTTGAAAGAAAAAAAAACAACTTCACTCGGTTTAAAATGAATTTGAAATTAAAAGAAAAAACAACAAGCTGATATTACAGTTTTTCTATACGGAATAAACACCGAACAGAAGCAAATAAATGCTATGGCGACGATGGTCGACATCTTTTTATATCACCTGAAATATATGTTTCATCAATTTCATCCGATGATATTGATCTTTTTTTGCTTTCTGATAAACTGATTGATGCTAGAATTGGTAAATACATTGATATTAATTCGAAACTATTCAAAGGAACATTTACCTTGAAACCGAGCACAATCCTCAATAGTTTCATTCGTATGGTCATTAGAAGCTAGAAAAAAAAATGGCAGTGTTCATTCGTCATATGTGTGTAGAAATTAATTTACAGGCAGTCGTTGGATTTTCATCAATAGCATCCGTAGGCAATTCTTGTAAAAAGAAAGAACATAATTTATAGGATACAATAAAGCACGAAAATTTTGACTTACCTGGGCTTGACAAGTTTGCTGGTATAGTTGAAACAGGCTCAGCAACTGGATCATTCTGCGATTGGTTGCTATCTTGGTTATGATTAAGATGTTCTGCATTTGCAATTTCTTCCGTTTGTTGTACTTTTGGAAAGCATAGATTTTTACCTTCGCCTAAATCAACTGGTATAAGACGAGCTCTACCACAAGATGAGCTTGCAAACGATTCAGTTGAAGACGCTTCAAAAAGAAAATCGTTAGTTTTGCTTGTTAAAAATAAAATTATGCTCATTCCTACATTCTTCGCTATTATCCTCTGCGTAATCTATGCTATCAGAAGATGACGTGCCATCTAAAAGAAAAATATTAAATGTACTCCTTCGAAAAATGACTATTGTTTTGTACCTTCTTCTTTCTTTGCCAGAGAATCAGCTTCATCAAAATATGAACTTGCGGGCGATTCTATTGAAGATGCTGCATCATTAAATCATTAGCTTTGTTTATTAAAAACTTAATATGTGCATTCATACCTTCGTCGTCTTCTTCTTCTTCAACTTCTCCTTTGTAGTCTTCATCAAATCCAATTACACTAGCATATGGACTTGCGGGAGGCTCTATTGAAGACAATTCAAACCGAAAATTATCAACTTTATTTATCAATAAATCAATTATGTTTTCATATACCTTCTTCTTGTTCATCTATTATAAGACCGGTCGTACTTGAAGATGAGCTTATGGATGATTGTGCTGCAGACATTTTAAAAAGAAAATGATAAGTTTCACTGGTTAATAAATCAAGTATTTCCATTCATACCGTCATCTTCTTGTTCATATTTTTGCTTAAGATCACTCACTTGTCCTTGAGCCAATTCATTAGGGCGGTCAGGAACTCCATTTTCTTGAACATATAAAGCGACATTGTTTTGAAGCAAACATTGTTGATTCGACTTATCCAATGGTGCTATTTGATTTTATGAAAAAAGAGAATATAAATTATATTTCGTTGAAAATCATAGGAGTTAATAAAATTGCCTTCATTGTGGTTCACACCAAGTTCGCCGGATGCTACATGTTCAGTAACTAAATTAAAATCCTATTTTACATGATCATGAACAATATCATCGTAAAATCTATTGATAATCAATAACGATTCCTCCTATCAGGCACTCGTCTTCAATTTGTGAAAGTAGAATAATGATCGATACTCATAAATGAACATTTAACCACTTACTTGCGTTAGATACAAATAGAAAAGTAGGTTCTAAATAAATTATTTTGAAGTAATAATTACATCTATGTAACCTATTTGAAATTACCGCCATGTTCGCAGTTGAGATCTAGCGGTTGATGGCTTGATGCAGAATTGTTTATAACTAAAAAATAAACCATATTCAATCAAATTTGATTTCAAGAACTATTCTTTTTAATAAGAATATAGTCATTTCTATCCTTAACTACCGGTTACATCTAGTTCAGTCATAGCTATGGCATCGACGTATCATTCAGTCTATTGAAAATCATACCTTGATGATCTGTTGTATGATTTGTTTGACCATGAGCCATACCACACGAGACTATTGGATAAAGAAATAATTTATATTATGTGCCAAATAGAATTATAATATCTTACCTAATTTAGATATCGTAAATTTATTTTCCTATATAAAATAAAAGAATTCAGTTTAATAAAGTAATATTAAGTACTTGGTTTTTTAAAAAGAAAAATATCTCTTTCACTAATAACGCATACTATATATTAAAAATGATACACTCAAAATCAAGTAAAAACCTATACTACTATATGAAAACAAATAGAGAACAAAAATACTCTCTTCATAAAAAGTAAGACTATAAACGAATCTGTCATAAGAATATCAGCATCTCATTGGATCTCTACTTTTCTCATGAGTCATATATTTGTTCTTTTTTGTTAAAGAGAACTAAGAGAACTCAAGTTTTTCAAGGCCAATTAGACGTTCATACTATTTAAGAATGCTATTCATTTGACCATTACTGGTAGAGTGATTGCTAGATGATCCTTTCGTCGTATTAATTACTGAAGCCATATTCTGCATACTATACGTGCAGTTTATTCATAGAAGAAGAGCGACATCTTAAACAATAAAATAGCTAATGATATTCTATTCACATTGCTTTCTTTTCTTTTGACTTTTATATTTCACAAAGAAATTTGAATTAATTAATGAATGAACAAGAAATAATTTTGTGGAACTCACATATGTCTTCGAAGAAAATAGTGAGCGTAAGTTCAAAAGCGAGATTTTTGCGGCTCCCCCCCCCCTCACAAGCACCGCCTCACAAACACCCCTCATAGCCCCCTCCAAGATTATAAAAATCGAAAAAAAATTCAACCACATCAAAATTTACCTTTAAATAAAATTTGACATTTTCTTAGCAACCTTGGCTTCCCTTAATTAGGAAATAAAATTTTCTTGGTAATAATCTTTTACTATTGCATTTCAATTCATTCAAACTTCTAAACATGTTTCATTACATAAGACAATGTATTAAATTATCTACTAGCAGTTACAGCCTATGTGAGTTCCGCATTTTAGGCCCATAGCGGCTGCGGTAACAAGCTTTTTCGAAAACGATAAAAAATAATCCATCTTAGAATAAGTTTGCCTTAGTTTAAATTTGAAATTTTTAAGTACTAAAAATTTGCGTGTTATTATTCGTACTTTTTTCATATAGATCATCAAAAAATAAGAAAAAAGTATCTTTTTATATTAATTTATTGTACAATTGAATGAATATTATTATCTAAACTGTACCTATGCATGCATTATTGGGATATCTTTTGTAATGTTCTTGTTTAGGTATTCACACATCTATTCGTGCAAATAAATAATGTTTGATGAAAATGCCAGTTAGTATCTTGTATTGAGTGAGATCTTGGTTTTGCTTTGTATTTTCAAAACGTTTCACATTTGGTAAATTTTAAATTTTCGCGCGCTCATCAACATGAGAAATAAAATATAAGTGACTTTTTAATAGAAGTTTTCTTTTTATCTATAGAGATCAACATTTTAACTGCTTGTACATTTTGATCTCCGAAACAACGTGTACAGTTACACGCTACACGGGAAAACAGAGTGTACGCATACATCCTATTTTAGATTTCTATGAAGAACGTTAATGTTTATATATTATTCTTTATTTGATTGAAAATGAACAATACAATTGATTATGTTGATCAAGAAATTTCAAATAATATTGATAAAAGTCGTGTTTATTCGTATATTGATGGAATATTCGATTGTACATTGATGAAAGTAAAATAACGGGTGCGCCAGGTGAAATGAGTCTCTCAGTATTTTTCGAATATGTCGTTCAGGTTCTCACGTATTTATTTGATTTTTTTCTCTGAAAGATAGCCCATCGAATTCTCTACAAAACCTAGTGACGACAGTTCTTTCAACGAATCATCATGAAACTATATCCAGTCTACACTACAATGCTCCAAAATAGTCCACTTTCAAATACGCATTTTTATAAAAACAATTATTTCACTTTTTCTATTCAAACAAATACGAGACTCCACTCTCATGCAATTTTCCTCTGTTCTCAGGTTTAATCTCTCTAATAAGATATTTGGATAGGATTGCGAGTTGCCATCGATCAATTTTCTTCAAAAACGGTTTGAAACTATCGATCTTCCTCATTTTATGGTACAAGAATTGCAAAAACCTCTTAATAGCATTATTTCCCTGTCAGAATGATAGAGAAAACAGTTATCGTCAATTTGGTATTACATCTGAATGCATCATCATTGCCTATTTAATGTAACAAAATCATAATTGCGTATAATTATACGAAAGATTCTCAAAACGAAAGTAGTGCCGAACCAAGAAGAGGCTTTTTCAGATAACCTGATGTGACGCTAAAATAAAGTTTTTGCTCAATTGATAGAGCTTTTCAAGAGCTACAAACTAGCCTACTCAATCCGTTTTCTAAGTAGGGAAAGAACAGTGCAAAATCGGAAATACAAAATACAGTGCTTCGAAAGTGGACTATTTTGGAGCCTTGTAGTGTAGACTGGATATAGTTTCATAATGATTCGTTGAAAGAACTGTCTTCACTAGGTTTTGTAGAGAATTCGATGGACTATCTTTCAGAGAAAAAAATCAAATAAATACGCGAGAACCTGAACGAGATATTCGAAAACTACGGATAGGCTCATTTCACCTGGCACACCCGTTAGTTTTCAGTTTTTAATTATTCAAAAATAGATCATTTCTAGCGTACCTTATAGTATGATGATGATAATAATAAAAACATTCTCGATGAAATTCAAATAACCATTGTTTATGAACCATTGAAATATTCATTATTGACACACAAGTAAGAATAATAATAGATTTATCTTGAATAAATAGAAGTTGTCTATCGAATGATATTTCTATATCAAATAATGAAACAAGTGTTAATTCCGGGACATTATTGTTTATTTTCAAATGATTTAGATTCATTGGTAAGAAAAGAAATGTGTATGATTTTTGTACATTAATTTAACTTACAAGAGCTTTGGTGTACTTTAGACTAGCTCAGAAGAACAACAAATAATGTTAAACAACATAAATAATATGCCTAAATTAGTTCCAAATGAAAGAGCATTCATTAATATTCAAACCAATTCGATAGAAGAAACATATCCTTATACATATGACGGATCAACGCATGGCAAATTTTTATACCGAAAGTTTCAAATGAAATTAAAATAAAATCGTCATTGTTATCGATTAGATCGTTAGTTTTGTGTATTGTAGTTGTTTATGAACGTGAAGCAGCAATTCAAATGACCTTCGGTAGTGGTTGTTTAATAGCCAATAGTCTTATTTTAATATGTGCGCATTGAATTCTGATAAAATAGTATTTACAACTAAAATACTTCAGCGTAGTTTAGCAGAAGAAAATATTGATGAACATACTGAGCTCAAAGATACGGATACAGACCTTGCTTTATTAATGCTGGACAACGAAATACCAAATATAACAGAAGATCAATATTTGAATCCAAAATTTGATTTCGTTTCATTAAAATCAGGTAATATTCCGATCAATTCAAAGCTATATCTCGTCGGATATAATGGTGAATTGGGTGAACAACAGGACTTACACCATACAAATATTTAGAAGATTTCAATAATTCAATGATTTACCAACTGAATCATTGTCATCATGTTAATTACAAGTCAATATCAATAGGACATCTTATCAGAGAAGCATGTCAAAATAATCCATATTTTTCACATAACTGTAGTACTTTGCCTGGTTCTAGCGGTTCGATTGTTACGGTGGATTAGCAGGTGTACATATTGGTATAAGTAACTGAAGAAGAAAAAAAAATAATGAGATTTTTTTTACTAAAGATACGTATAATAAGTATGTATCAATTAATTCAAATCAATTTCAAACATTTATTGGTGAAACAATTTCACCAAATGTAAAAGATGCTAAAGTAATTAAAAATTGGTTATTTGATTCTATGTAAAACAAAAAAACTTCTTGTCTATTTGTATTTATTTTTTTGTTCTTTACATTAACTTTTTGCGTGTTAATATTTCTTCTCTGTAGAGTCCTGCAGGTTAAGGTTACAAAAAAAATATTTAGGGTATAAGTAGGGTGTAGCTCATACAAATAAAATTTTTATAGAGTAGAACTTAATATATATTTCTGACATCTTTTTGATCAAAAACAGTGTAACGGGTGATAGAATAATTTAAATCGAATGGGTAGAATAACAACGAACGGAAAACAATGGCCTATTGTTTAGTACTATTTTTACATAAGCGGACGAGTTCAGTCACTTTTGATTATTTGTCTAGTAAATGTGCATGTAAATGTAATAAAAAAAACTTTTCAGCGCAGCCCCGTTGGGGCTAAAATGTCGAACTCACATATTTCGGTCAGTTAAATACTGATCAAATAGAAGTTTTATTTTTTCAGTGTAGTGAGATCATATTTTGTTCAGAAATAAGATAATAAAACCTTTTTAACATTTAAAATTTATTGGATCTATCAATAGGAAATATTACTAGAGAGAACGTATAAAAAACTTTTTGTTTAGAATATGCCAGTATGCTGAAGTGTTTAGTGGTTTCATTGAGAAATATTGTGCATGATAATAGTTTAAACAGTATTTAGGATATACTAGTTATCAATATTGTTGAAAAATTTATATTTTTTCGGTTTACTAGATGAGAAATTGATACATGTTTTCATAAACGAAAACTTGATAAAAGCTTCCCAGTGGATGGAAAGGTTGCGAATTGTAAATACACTAAAGTGGATTCAAGCTCTAGAATAAGGTATTTATGTGAGAAAAAAAAGATTAAAATCTTCATCT